TTGATATTTCCGATTATAGTTTTAGTGATTATGGTGGTCAATTTGAATTACGAAAATTACCTAGCTTACAATCACTAAAGATTGGAAAACATGAACAGTTCTCAAACAACTTTGTTGACTGTTCATTTGAAATTCGATGTAACGATACAATTGGTAAGATGAACAATAGCTCTTCCAAAATTGAAGACCATTACATTGCTTAATGGTGCATTCTGTAATTCCTTATCAACAGTGTTTGAAGGTATAAATGAGTGAAGCGAAATGATCGTAAATAGATCTTCCATCTCTACGATACATTCAACTTGAGGGACAAACGTTACGTGGGGCAAAGAATGAATCATCCAGTCTGGTTATGCGAAGTAAAACTCTGAAGTATCATGGCATTTTTGTTGTTTAGATCTACCTGCATTAGAATCGATCATCAATCCTGGGGGGACCACATTTTCAGAAGTTAGGACAGTGAAATTAGAGAGTATTTGCAATGTATATAAGTATAGTGTATCTAGATATTCCCAATCTTAAAACAGTTTCACTTTCGGGTTCATTTGAGAAGGTTAAGACCAAAACTATCTCTAGTTTTTTCATTAATTTGATTAAATATCGTAGATGTTTCATTGGCTCTCTATAATCTCCTAAACCATCATGGATCTAAATAACAGGAACTATTTTATTTTGTAAAAAATAGGTCAAGTAATATTTGTTTACAACACTCTTTTCCACCAATTATCTAGAATTGTGTAATTTGTTATTAAGCTTTTCATCGATTTGGCTTGTAATGAGTAGCATTTTCCTTTCAAAATGTACTTTGATGGGCTCTAATGATAATATTTTCCTAATAACAACGAATGAGGTCTGTTCTGTGTGAAAAAATAACCATTTCGAAAACTTACCCTTTGCTTCATTAAGGACTCAAGAATAATGCCTGGAATTATACTATAAGCATGATTAGGCGCTGTGTTCTAAACGTATACTACCAACAATCGATATACATTATCCTTTTAATTATATTTTCTGGCTTTGTAATTACAATTCCATAATACTCCTTCTTCCATAATATTATATATAAAACAAACAGTACAGAATACACTAGCATACCATTCTACGACTAGTTCCACTTGCTGATGCTCGATTTTTCTTCCACAACGTTTTCTCATCAAAAGCAATTCTCGAAGGATGCTATCGCCCGTTTGTTCAAGACGCAATTGTTCTTCTCGAGTTAACGTTTCGCTTTCGAGCCGATCTCCAATACAATCCAGAGAGAACAGCGGCTTCTTTGCTCTCACCCAAATTACAAATGTCTTTTCGATCTCTTCCCAAGTGCAGTCTATCTGATATTGGTCCGAACACACTTCAATCCCTATGATGTTCGAGGTGGTAACAAACACGGGAGTACTACAAGAATACACAGATCCATCCATTCGGGTCAGTTTTACTTGTAGTTCCAGGTTTGTTTCTTCTCCTCGAAGCAGACACACACATTTCCGTTTCTTTGTACAGCATCTCCAGAGCTGCCTAAATAGATCAGGCAGAAGGGAAGCAGATCCCAAGTGAGTCGAATAGAAGGGAAGGAAAGAAAGAAAGAGAAAAGGAGATTCGCTTTTTGAAAACTCAAAGGTGGCTTGCCCCTCTGCGAAGGAAACCAATCCGATCGCTGTCGCTGTCGCTTGAATGAGATCCGCCTGGTTGAGAGATACAAAGGAAAGGAACAGAGTTCGAAGCAAAATGATGATTTTCGTGTTTAATGAGGCTATGAAATGGAAGCCGATGGAGTGAAGGATCGAAAGAAGAAAGAGTTTCGGGAATTCCAAAAGTTGGTTGATCTTGTCAGCTTCGATAAAGTGGCAGCAAAGATCCACAACCCAGTCAATGAGTTGGTTCTTTCCTTCTTGCTGTATAACATTCTGGGTGTATATCAATCCTCCAAGAAAGAAATACCACTTCTTTAGAGACGGGTTGAATTCCAAATGATCGAATAGGAGGGATGGAATCCAATCCAATGCGTCATCGAGATAGCCAGCAAAAACAATCGCTGATCCATAAAAGAAGACTACGTCTTCTCGTTCAGATTCAACAAAATGACTGGATGCGTTGGAATTAAACAGCTTCAGTTTGTAATGAGAAAAGAGACCTTCGGCTAGAATCAGACCGCATCTTTCTTCAACGGGAACTCTGGTTCCGGTTGCAAATAACTGCCCGATTTTGGGAATTCGACGAGAATCATCCAGCCAATCAGGAAGCCGATCAAAAGACCGAGTAACAAGCGATAACGAAATGACAGTAGTTAAGTAATATCGAGTAAGATAAAGCGAAGTGTATTCAATGGAATTATGAAGGAGTGATTCTAGAGTGTGGATAACTGCTTTGTTTTCTGTATTCTACATAATATTATGAAAGAAAGAAAGAAAAAGGATACATGGCAGACGATTCCTAAACCAAGAATCGAAACAAATAGCAGCATATAAATAGAATCAATTTTGTTTCTGTTCTTCCAATCGAACGATAAGGGAGAGTTCGGTTTTGAAACATCAAGAATCAAGTGGATGTAAAACTCAAGAATGTGAATGACTTGATGGTTATCCGAACCTCGGTAAGCAATGGCCAGTGCAAAGAGGAACTATCAATTAATCTATTTTGGAAAGAATCACATACTCCTAATTCGAACAGATAATCGACTTCGATTTGTCTGTTTGACTTGGATGTCCACTGATAGGCCGAACAAAGAACAAGCTTATGTTTATATAAAGACAGGGGAATGGAGAGCAAATGCTTCGAAAACCCTAGACTCAACAAAATCCCGATCTGTTCCTCATCCGAACGGTTTTCTAAAAGGTAATCTAGATCGTTGATCGTAATCGGAGCTGACGAATACTTCTCCAAAATAGGAGAAAGAATGGTGATTGTATTTTGAATGCGGGGGAAAAGCAGCGTTTCTCGAGAAAAATGGCACTCCATGACATCTCCCTCGTCGTTTTTTCTCCCTGACAGAATCAAATGCAGTGATAGAGAATGAAGCTGCTGGATCCAGGAAGGGTTCACTGATTTCTCAACGCATGGCTGCAAAAGAGCGTTTCCGTTCATACTAAGCAGTTGAGACTCAATTTGAGTGTGAATGAGTTGAGAAATATTCACAGACAAGTTTGTGGATGAGAGATTGAGATTCACTGTGTGAGGACTATACATCAATCTTCAGATACAAAGAAATTACGAAATCAAATTGTGAACTTCTTGGATCACTGAAGGCTCTTTCCTCTCAGACGCGTGTTTGAAGGTCCTCTTCTTTCGAGAGAGACCAAAAATAGATAGGAGTGGACTGATATTGAAACTCGAATCCTCAATCAGCTCTTTTCCGAGGAAGGCTTTCAATACTTTGAGCGGAAGATCCTCGCTTTGCTGATATTTCACATACAAATTCATTCGGTCTCGAATTCGTTCATCAGATTCATCAATAAAGCGAAGATGCAGAATCATTGGAAGCGGCAATTGCATGGATGGATCTACTCTTTCCCACATTAAGGGAGAATACGAATCATAAGCCTCTTTTAAAATGAGATTTGATATCCGAGTGATGCACTCGTTTAACGACTTTTCATCATTCATAATCCAAAAATAATCTGCCAAAAAGAGCAAAGTCTGCTCATCCGCATCGATTTGAATAATATCATTCGAAAAATGTACGTGATTCAAAAGTGGATTCGCCAGAGATAATAATTTGCTATTTAAGCAATCCAAAGGCAATTGGAAGTTTCGAAAAACAAGCATTGGATCAGAATATTCGATTAGAATTCCATCCGAAAAGCAGTATTCGGGAACTCGATTATTGTCCTCATCTACCATATCCACTTTCGAATCATATACCATAGCAATGGGTTCTTCGTGTTTGACTGATGTCAACATAATAGTAGATGATCCTAACACGATTCTCCATTCATCTGCACTGAATCGAACCAATAGAAACGGAGTGTCTGGCATTCTTCCTACAGCAGTACCTTCAATTTCGCAGACATAATCAATGCTCATTGGAAACATGGAATCTTTGTCCAGAAAGAAATCGGCTCCGACCTGATACACTTGAACTGCACAGCCTTCTTGACAGTACAGAAAGACTACCGAATCCACCTGGATCCAATAGAGTCTAGAATAGGCAGTGGAACTCTCCATCCCTTGAAAAACCTCATCCAGACACATTTCGGGACCGCAGAGTTGCTGAATAAACGCGTCGTTCAGCTCGCAGCCATCATCCTTCATCAGTTGTTCCAAAACTGCCTCTTCCGATTGAAGACCGATTGAAGTAGAGCTCGTGTTCACCCACCGCAGGAGACTATGACGACCCATGGATCGTTTATACAAGAATAGCAAGTGGACGTCGGGTAGTATGTCTATGATTGACATATCGTGCTCCAGATTGTCGGCAATTCGACTGCTAAACAGATCCATGGACGTGTTCATGATTCTCGAAAGATTGAGGGCAGTTATACTCAAATCCTCGCCTTCTTGCTTTTGTAAAATAGGCTTCGGTATATTCATCGGAGACGTAAGAGAGAAATACATCGGAATGGAGTGAATTGGAGTTGAAATCGAAAATGAAGTATTCATCGAAAATAAGTCCTCAATCCGTTCGAATACCAGTCCGTTTTCTATTGGATACATTGCTTGCATCCTACAGGGAAGGACAACCGAAAACAACTCTCCTTCTTCATTCCAAATATTGCAATAACTATAGGAGAGCGCTGCAATGCAATTGCCATAGCCAGCAAACGTGCACTCTGCAATCTTCTCAATTCGGTCCGGGGAATGCAACTGCCTTATCAGAGAACCATCAGTAACACGGTAAACATATAGTTCACATCCAGAGAAGGACAAGATGTGTGGGACCGACCCAAACTTTGAAAAGATGGGTTTCTCTCCCCTTATCCGATCGCTGAGTTGAATTCTCGCAAATTCAGAAACATTCATTGCTTGAATTCAAAATAGAAAAGCGTGGGATCCCAACTATTCTTTCCATGAAGAGCCTAAAAGTGATTTCAGATACGGCAGCCACATTCTCCAAGTTTCTAAAACTGCGAAATGTCAAATTCATTCAAAACGGCATGCCTCGCTCTTGGGACTACATTTCTGTATTTTCATTTTCATTTCGTTGAGTAAATAGAGTAAAGACTCGGTCACTGCCTTAGTTTTTGATAAGTATGGGAGAAGAGTGTTTTCTTCTGTAGAAAGAATCAGGAATTTGTTTGCGTGCAACAATTTCGTCCTGCAATGTTTTTTGGTGCTAGTGAAATGTCGAAGGAAACGATCAAGAATCCGAATATGGGGTACTGGTACAGTTCCTTGCTCTCTTTGATTATCTAGCTATGAGCTGTGCGCAGGTTTGCTGGACAGACCGAATCGATCCAAAGAACAAGCGGTTTGCGATGAGATACAGGAGGAACTGGGATATGTGGTTAAGCCAGAGGACTTAGAATTCGTCGGGAGGAGTAGCTCTTCTGCGGCATCTTAACCCTAGCTCCTGGCGCTGTTGGAATGTCGGGTTCCCGCATGTACATGTACTACGTGGAAGTCACTCCGGATCAGAAGAAGTTTCAAGGCGGTGGTTTGAAAGAGGAAGGGGAGCAAATTTCCGAATACCGCGTCCCTCTTTCCGAAATGGATGCTTTTCTCGCCGACTATGAACAAGAAAAATCGGCTTCAATTATGATGGGAATGTACTGGTGGCGTCATTTACGAGGAAAAAACTATCCTGTGGGCAAATTTACAAAATGGCATGTTTGTTAGAAAATATCACTATTCTCATTTCGCATCTCTCATCATAACAAGTATTTATACACACCACCATTTACGAAAGAGAAAACGATCCTTTACTCAAACAAACAAACATACAAGCAAAATGACACGTTTGTTAGAAAATATCACTTTCTCGCCAATGAACGTCCTCCTCCGGCTCGCTATCCTCCAGCATCCGAATTCGCTCCCGCATTCGCTCTCGAATCTCGTCGTTCACGCTGGCTTTTGGCGCGGGTTTCGACTCCGTTCTACATTCAACTCGCTTTTCTATCACACTTCTGCACTTTCCGGAGACGATGCTTCGTCGCCGGGTCCTGGATATCGTTTAAAAAGGGAAGAGGCGGGGGATGGGCTGGTTTAAGAGAAGGTTTGTCAGATGTGGAGAATGATGTTTCGATGGAGACTTCCTCGTACTGTAGAACGTCGGGAACGCGGGTAGGCGAGGGAATCGTCTGCGGAACCTCCTCCTGGCAGCGCTCCGAGCGCTGAGTATAGCGTTCTAATTCAGGAGGGAAGGGAGGAGGCGTCGGCTTTGGCTTTGGCGCAGACGATCGCACCTGCTTTTTTAGAAGATCGATCTCTGCTTCCTTGCGCTTGTTCTCCTCTTGAACCACCTCCATTTGTCTCTACATACTCGAGGAGGGGAGAGAAACAAAACCATCACAAATTCGAGCTTCTGCTGAATCTCGTCTACATCTTGGAGAGGTGTTTCTGCCTTTTGTTTCTTTTGCTGCGGAAAGAAAAACCGCACAGCCTGGATTACAAGGAATATGCAGGACTACGCTATTTATGCTTGATACTATACTCTCCGACGAAATGTACGACCCAATGGAACTGACCAAATTCTCAAAAAACAACATATTTTGAGCTCCGAATTCCTTATCGGTTACTCGACTCAAATGTCAACTTACTAGAAGCGAATAGGAAGGAGTGTTGAAGGATTGAAGGATCTTTTCTTGCTCCTGCCTCATTTTATATACGTTGGTCATTGTCTGCAGTTCCTGGGCGTTTCTCGACGACGATCCTTGATTTGAGCATAAACCGATTTTTATACCTTTTTCAGCTTCCTGCCCACTTGCAAACTCCGGAGCAGGTAGGTCCATTCAAGATGGATTGTGAATAACGGAGAAATGGAATTCCAGAATTGATGAATCATTTAAAAAAGCCATTTCTATGCGTTATCTATTGCTGATTGTGTTGTGTATATTGCTACTGAGTAGTAAATCGCGTCTGCTCTCTTATGTAGATGGTAGTTGCAACTCCATTGCATTCCGTCGTTTAGCAGACGATGGTGAATCTAGTTGCATAAACGGAGATTACAATAATGGAACGTGTATTTGTGACGAGAAGTAAGGCGATTCAAACACCTTGTTAAATTCTAGTTTCGTTGGCGAGCATTGTGATGTGGAATGTCCTTTATCGACGGATGGAGATCCATGCAATAATCACGGCAAATGCGTTTTAGACTCCGATGGCACTTCCGCAAGTTGTACGTGCGATAAGGGGCATTACGGCCCTGCTTGCGAGCATTCCTGTCCTGGACTTGAAGAAACGGGTGATTCTGTACTGGAGTGTTCTGGTCATGGAACTTGCAACAAAGAGACGTTCGAGTGTACACGCGAAGAAGGCGTAAAGGACCAGGAGACGTGCTCCATGGAGGAATGCTCCGAGAGTACCTGCATCCACGGCACCTGCGTGGACGGTGTCTGCCAATGCAATCCCAACTACTACGGAACGACCTGCGAAACGTTCTGCGACATGCACACCACCTGCCACGACCACGGCGTCTGCAGTGAAAAGGACGGCGAGTGCATCTGCGTGTACGGCTGGGTGAACCCCGCCTGCGACAGCCCCTGCACGGCGTCGGCGAACTGCTCCGACCACGGCGTTTGCGACAGCTTCGGCGAGTGCATCTGCTACGACGGCTACGACGGCGAGTTCTGCGAGGCGCGGGACTTCGACTACTCCTTCCTGGTGGTTCTGCTTCTGCTCGGCAACGGCGTCGTCGCCTATTTGTGGTACCGCTCGCGCGTTGGCCTGTCGGATGCGCCTCACCGCTAGAACGCCTCCGTCTTCGAACGCAAAGTGTACCCGTCCGCTCTTCTCTCTCCTCGCTAGGCCGCAGTCGTTCAACCCCGACCAGCTGGCCGCGCGGCGCCAGCGCGAGGCGGAGAAGGCGCAGGCGCAGGCGGCGAGCCACGCGAACGCGAACCCGCTGCCGTCCGTGACGGTGACGATCAATTCGACGGAGGAGAAGTGGGTGTGTCCGGCGTGCACGTTCAGTAATCCCATGTCTGCCAAGCAGTGCGTGGTGTGCGCCACGAAGAAGGGCGCCGTGATCGACAAGACCGCGAGCGCGGATCTTTTCGCCGACGACGAAGAGGAGGTGAGCATCAAGCGGACGCGGAAGAGCAAGCGCGAGACGCGAAGAAGAGAGCCCGCCCGAAAGATCGAAGCTGCCGGCGTGGCGTCGCCGAGGCCGGCGGGAGGGAAGAAGGAGGCGACGAGCGAGCGGCTGACGGAGATCCCGAGCGATCTGGAGCTGCTGCCGTTGTGGGAGATGGGCGAGAGAGCGAGATGATGGGTAGAGATGCGAAGGAGGCGGAGGTGGAGCTGTTCAAAGACGAAACGATGCGGATCACGCTGATTTTGAAAAAGTAGAGGCGCGGGATCGGCGCGATTTGCGTGTAGATATGCCGATCCACATTTGATGAGCTGCGTCTGTCGCTTCTACGCGGTGGAGGGGGAGATCACCGACCTCGCACTCACGGTGGAAACGGGGAAACGGGGTAACGGGTAGTACGCGGCGCCGAAATACATCAAAGTGAATACCTATCCGATCTCATCCACGACGTTTTCGAAGGAGCAGCCTGCGAGTCAACAGCTGGCAGTAGGAGAGGGCGGAGAGTGCGACGTAGTTCTTGTTGTTGGAGGAGAAGCCGCTCAAGATTCGGATCTCGGGTACATTCAGCCACGACGGAAAGGAAATGTCCGTGCACACAGGAAGTCTTATGATTATGTAAACCAATCTTTTTTGCGCTGTTTGTGAGGAAAACGCAAGCGAACTACTACTACTACTATAAAACTTTGATGGAAGAGGAGCAAAGAAAATCCACAATCAGTTCGATTGCGGATTCAATCTCGTCGCTAGAGAGTAGACAAGCGGGGTAGGATTGACAAGCCAGGTCTTTTAAATCGGACATGGCGACTGTACTACATTTCTCCGATACGCGAGTCATCTACAAAGCAAGAGTTTATCGATCGGCTGATTCCATCATTGAAAACCCACTTTTCTCGAAAAGTGACGAGTATCGACAATTTTCGAGTGCGAGACTTGATCATTCGTGAGGTAGATGACGTTCAAGGTACGTATTGTCCAAGACAGTGACCCCATAGGTTTTGATTATGCCATGGGGTTTTTCTTGCGCTTTTCTTCAGAGAGCCAGCACGCCGAATTGCGTTGTTACATATTTTCTCAGTTTTCCTCGCAGTCCCAGTCATTTATCCTCGTTCGGTCCCCTTCTGCCTCTCATGCCTAGCTAAAGGGACGAAAAGACATTCGGTTCGCCTTCCTCGATTGGCTCCGCCAACTCTACGACATCTACATCGACACAAGCGTCAAGCGGTTTTCCTCCTTCCAGCTCACCAATCTCTGCAACGCCAGCTACGAAATCTACCACGAGCCTCCCTCGGATCCAGAGAGTCTCATCCTTCTGACCTACTCCCTGCCATCCCTCATCAGCGGGATTCGCAAGATGCATCTGTCCATTCCGACGAGCGACCTCCACAAGATGGCGAGCGCCTCTCCGCTCTCCCTCGTGGACATCTCGCTCTCCCACCTCAACTACACGCTCACCGTCGACCCGGACATCCTGCTTTTGGAGCAGTTCGCCACGCAAAACCTCATCGCCAACCGCAACGGCCGCCTCAAGTTCATCGAGCCCTCCTCGATCAACGATCTGCTCCTGCTTTTGTCCCTTGTTTCCAACAAACACTTAAAACGTTCACGGCGTCCTCGCTCTTCTCCTCCAGGAAGTGGTGGTACTTCTCCAAGTACGGGTCCACGACGTCGCGATTGAACATCTCCACCTGGCGCGGCGCGCGGCCGATAAACGCCACCGGGTTCACAATGGAGTCCAGTCTGTCATGCACCGCAGCGAACAGCGGGTCCTTGCGGATTCTCTACGATCAATCCCTTTCCTCGCTCCTACCTCCAGCAAATCGAACGGCAGTCCCTCCTGCTTGAACACGCGCGCAGCCTCCATCGAGTGCACGCGGATCGCCTCGTGCAGCTCCTGGCGATCGCCGCCCGCCTTCACGCACTCCATCATGATGTTCTCCGTCGCCATGAAGGGCAGCTGCTCGCGCACGTGCGACTCGATCACCTTCGGCCACACGATCAGACCCGACGTCACGTCCAGCGCCACCGTCAGGATGATATCCGTGGCCAGGAACGCTTCGGGCAGCACGATGCGGCGAATGGCGCTGTCGTCCAGCGTTCGCTCGAACCACTGGCACGCGTGCGTCTGCGCCAGATCGTTCGCCAGACCCATCACGTAGCGCGCCAGCGAGCAGATGCGCTCGCAACGCATCGGGTTCCGCTTGTACGCCATCGCGGAAGAGCCGATCTGGTTCTTGCCGAACGGCTCTTCCATCTCTTTGAGGTTTGCCAGCAGACGGATGTCCCCAGCCATCTTGTACAGCGATCCCGCGATTCCGGTGAGCGCGGTGAGCACGTAGTAGTCCGCCTTGCGCGTGTACGTCTGGCCGCTGACGGCGATCGAGCGCTTGAAGCCCATCAGCTCGCACACACGCTTGTCCAGAGCCAGCACCTTCTCCTCGTCGCCGTTGAACAGCTCCATGAAGGAGGCCTGCGTTCCCGTCGTGCCCTTCACGCCGCGGAACGGAATGTGCTCGATCTGGTACTCCAGATTCTCGAGGTCCATCACCAGGTCCTGGTTCCAGAGGGTGGCTCGCTTACCGACGGTCACCAACTGGGCGGGCTGGTAGTGCGTGAAACCCAAGGTGGGCAGATCTTTGTACTGCTCGGAGAAGTTGCGGAGAGCGTTGATCACACGCACCAGCTTTCCGAGAATCAGGTTGGCAGCCTCGCGAATTTGGATAAGATCGGTGTTGTCACCCACATAGCACGACGTCGCTCCTAAATGAATAATAGGCATGGCCTTGGGGCACAGCTCTCCATAAGCGTGCACATGAGACATAACATCGTGTCGCAACTCCTTTTCCTTCGCCTCAGCAAACTCGTAATTGATATCGTAAATATGAGCCTTCATCTCATTGATCTGCTCATCGGTGATGTTCAGACCCAACTCCTTCTCAGCAGTAGCCAGAGCAATCCACAATTTTCTCCAGGTAGAAAACTTCATATCCGGAGACCAGATGTAGCTCATCTCTTTGGAGGCATATCTCGGAATCAGACATCACAATTCTCCCCTTACCTGTCGACAAGAGGATTCTGGTACTTAGGACGTTGAGGAACGTATTCTTCAGGGACAACACTCATTTCAAGACAACAAACTATGGAAAAAGGTGGGACAGGAAGAATCAAAATGGGGTCAACCTTGGGGGATATTTTGAACTGGGTATTCCTTGTAAGCTTCATTGGATCTCTTTCGTTATGACAATCATTGCTATTTGAGTATTTGGAATCGAGTGTATATAGGGTGATGAATATACTGCACGATATCCATAGGTACTTGAAGGAATCACAATTCTCATGACTGAAAAACATTGTCTAGGTGATAAACACATCAGAGATCATTCTCTCCCCAAACTTATAGTTCCAAATGGGCAAGAATCGCTGAGACTCAATTAAAAAGGAGAAACGGAGGTGTTGTTACAGATTCAGGAGGTCATATAGTATTCATTATGCCTCGTTTTTCGCTTGATGAAAAGCAACACCCCGGTATAGTCCCTTGTTTTCTAGTTATAGATAGTTGTGTTTGGCGTCTACAAGTTTTTTTCTGGCTCTACATCGGGAGTTATCTCCGGTGCGTGTTTCTCACTTTAAAATAAAGCGTAGCAATCATCCTGCAACCAATGGATGTAATTAAAACAAAGCAGCAAGGTCTTTTCCACAAAGCGACTCTCCAAAATAGCATTGACTTGAAATCTATGAAGGATATGAGATGGCAAACCTCGGCAAAAGCAATCTACAAAGAGCGCGGCATTCTAGGTTATTGGGATGGTCTTGTATCTCTTTTGAAGCGATATTAATGTAGTCCCCAAGTTTGATTCGCGTAATGTTTGGCGTTGGGCTCTATTATTACCTTCTCCATGTTTTCCTCCAAGATGAAACAAATGGAAAGCCGTAAGTGTCCGATTAGTCTGTGACATGCAGCAACATTAATCACAAGTCATTGTATTCTTTAGGAGCCGGATTTTGCGCACGATCCGTCTGTTCAACCATCATGCTTCCCATCACGCTCGTAAAAACGAGGTATTCCTCTAATTTTAAACTAACTCCCAGAATGGAGTTTGACAAAACCACAAACAACACCATCTTCCACACATTCCGCAATGTAATGAAAGGAAATGGGCGAGGTTTATTTTCTGGCCTCGTTCCGACGATTCTGCGCGACGCGCCCAACTCAGGCCTTTACATTTGCTTCTACCACACCATCAAGCCTTCCATAATGTCGCTCCACGACACATACAACACGCCAATCACGCTTCTCAACCTCCTCACAGGCATCATTGCGGGCATTTCGGCCACCTTTTTGACACATCCCTTCGATATGATCAAAACGCAGATGCAGCTGAATAGTGCGGTTGAAGGGGGCGTGTGACGGGTAGACGGGGATCCCAATTATTTGACGGTGCGGAGCACGGTGAAGACGATTGTGAATAATTCGTTGGGAGTGAAGGATAAGAATCGGCTCGTTCACGCGTTCAAGAGTATTTATACTGGAGGGTTTATGCGCATTTCGAAACGTGCGATTAACTCTACGATCACTTGGTAGGGAAGGAGAAAGGGAGTGAGAACTAGGACGATCTATGAGGCGATGAATCGGTTGGTTAATAACAACAATCATGTAGCATAATTAGGGAACATCGCTTGTTTGTTTGAATTAAGAAACATTTTATGAACGCTTTTCTCGCAACCGCTTTACCACCTCTTCCCGAATTCGCTTTTGAAACTCTTCCCGCTCTCCGCCCTGGGATTCCTTCATCTTCTCAAATCCACGATGGTCCCAATCCGGCTCGCTTCGTCTATACACAGGACGCCGATCTCGATTCTCTCTCGGTCTTCGGTCTCTCGATGATGACTAATTGGATCAGAGAGGAATCAATAACACTCCTACACGGCTTCTCCGCCTATCCCTCTCTCTGTAGCTCGTTCGCTCACGGTTGTGACCTTACTTATTATTTCAAGTGAACAGTCTAGATACCACGTCCAGAACGTTCCCGTGACGGTTCCTTCTTGGGAGACGCAGAACGCGAACGAGAGCGTTTTTCTTTTGTATCTGATTTACTTCTTGATCTACGTCCTGATTCAAAGATAATGGCAAGAACCTTGATCTGGACGATGGCATTCAATAACAAGAAAAAGTGCATATTAGACTAACAAGAATCGAGTGTATAATAGAAAACAATTCATTCTACAGAGGAAGCAGTCGATTCCTTCTTGTTTCGCTTCAAACTCCGTACGAATACAATACAGCAGATTATAAGGCCAATCACGATAATAGACACAAAAATACTTAGCGCCATCTTATAATAATAGAAACACTCTCCTTGGACGTCGTACCATTGAGGGTGATCATTGTAGACTCCACAAAAGCGCGTTAACTCTCCATAACTCGTCGCAAGCGATGAACACCGAATTACAGCTGTAGTATTCACACGAGTTTCTGGCCAGTATCCATCTGCTGAGCAAACGTTTTGCATCAAACAACGAAAAGTTAAATATCATCAAACCCCGCTTCTTCGTAATCCCATGCGCTTTTGGTAGAATTTTGTGGTTTTTCCTCAGGAACAGTGCTTTGCTTTGAGGAGCTTCGTTTCTTAAAAGTGATTCGATGTTTCTCCTCTTCTTTGAACTAATCATATAGAACAGAGGAAATTATAAACATTTTCATATACATCTAGTAGAAAACGGTACTGTTCGTGTGTTTCAGCAAATTGCTTACTAGTGATAAGCTGTACTGGATAGTTGTTACATGCTATAATCATCTAATCGTGCGATATCGCTCCCCTCTGCTTCTTTAAGAAGGGTTCGAGATACGTCTTCAAGAAAGCAAACGGTCGCAAAATCTAGATGCTACAGAGTTTTGCATGCATACTAACAGCATTGAGCGCTTCTTGGTTGATTCGACCCACTTCCTTGTTTTCCCAGAGAATGCGTTTAATAACTTTCTACAAACTAATTTTGTCGTTTGCATATCAAACAGTATTAAATGACATTCACAATCTGAGTAACTTCTCCCTTTTTACCTTTTGCTGTTTTGATTACCAAGTTTACTCCTTTTCTAATGGTAGTTCGTGTGATCCTATAGCTTTGTATGCATTAATATCGCTAGACGAGAGAGTCATTGGCTGCTGGAGTAGAAACTGCTTTGTGTAGATGTCTTATTACCTATAACAGGTTCGGATCCAGCTCGTTTTCAATACAACGATGGTCCAATACCAAAGGCTAGTTCACAAACAAACTTCCTAAGAAGGGTTACAGAATAGAGAATTGAATAACCGATTTGCATTGGCTAAAAACGGTGTAATTTGATCTTATACAATGCAGCACAAATCCAGAACATAATGCAACACCCAATAAGTTCAACTCATCGATAATGATAAAACAATCAGCTTTCCTTCAAAAATAGCGATCCTACAACATACACACTATCCCATCACCGCTCTATTCTTCCAAATTACCACCGCACAACCTGATTCTTCGTTCATTTTGTCACCAAACATATCACATATATGTTTCTACCCTATCACGTCTCCACTCTATCAAAAAAAATTACACTTCAAGAATCAATTGACAATAAAACACAATTAGACAGTGTACTTTTGCTCAACTATTTTTTCTTTTAAAATGAGATTCTCGGTTTTTTCAATCTCATTTGTCGCGTAATAACAATATACACAGATACTTATGTATAGGTATGCATTTATGTACTTTGTCCCAGCTTACAAGAGTTTCAGTTTTCTACTTAAAAACGACAAGAAATCCATGTCTTCTATGCTTCAATATTGGTATTATCCATTTTTGCTTGGACATTTAGGATTTCTGTTGCTGTAGTGCAATACTTGTTTTTCTTTATTCGTCCATTGATCAAGAATTTGTAGGTACTGCTTGGTTGCTTCTTTCTAGTGGTGGATGGGCATTGCTATTCTTTTTGACGACCGTTACATGGTTTGTGCATCCCTACTTTTCTGGATACTTGCAACTGTATGACTACCTCGAAGATCATCTGTTCATTCCCTATCGAGAAAAGATCAGTGGTTTGCTTCACCAAATGCATCTCATGTACTGGAAGATCGTCTCCCTAGCTGTTCAGTATGTTTTGTACTTTATTGATCGTTATCTTATCCAATACTACCAAATCGTGTGTATTTGCATGGTTTATAACAAATAGGTTGCTAGCAAGCCTCCAAGCAGACATATTAAGTACACTGTTTCTTATTATACACAATGGCTTTCCTTTCCCTCACTCTCACTCTCTCTCATTTTTTCTTATGAAAAATTGATATTAAAGTAGCCAAACTACACATCACTCCCCTTACACACAACCCACAGAGTCAAAAATCTCCCACTGCTCCGCATCCCAATTCAACTTCGAGAACAGATCGAATACATATTCTCTCCATTTCCACGAAAGCGAGATCGCTGACAATAGATGCTGCATATACACGTAGAGTCCTACACCTCATTCGCTCTCCCATCACGCACGCGGCTGCAGAAAATACTCTGGATGGACCTGATTCAACTCGCTCAGCCGCTTCTCCGCCTCTTGACACAAAATAACGGAGTTCAGCGAGGTGATCAGCTCGAGAATCAAACTCTCTGCTTCGGTGATTGTCGCAGCATTCACAGAAATGTCGCTGGGACACATGCTGAGCTTCGAGTGCATGATTTCCTTGTTGTGCAGAGGGTTGAAGAGATCTGAAAACTCGGAAGCCGACAATTCTTTCTTTGTCTGAATGCGGAAATGATCGCAGCACAGCAGCAAGCCATTCTCCGACACGATCTCTGCGAAAGGAACCAGCGGGAGACACACGCTATTGCCACAATAGCTGTCGCAGAACCATCCCTGCTCCTCGATCGCCTTGTGCAGCGATGGATTGGAAGCCATGAAGGAACTTGCCATCAGCACGACGGCTCGCATCGATAGAATCGGGTCGGAGAGCGCCATGTGCAGCAGGGATTCAACAGCATTGCAGTGACAGAACTCTTGAAGGTAGGCAATGCCGCCCTCTTTGACCGCAATGTGAGCGATTGTCCAGACGATGGCTCGGCGATTGATGAGCGTTTCGTCGGGGTTGAATGCGATTTTGCAGAGCTCGGACATGTTGATCCGCTCGTGCAAAAACTGCTGGCCTTTCTCGGAAGAGAAAAGCGAGGCGATGAGATGAGGATGAATGACCACTGGAAGCGGCCTGAATGATGATTCAATCGATGACAAACTCACTTATGCGGGATGATTTCACAAATAAATTCAACGGAATACACACGATAACAATCATCGGCTGTCAAATACGCCACGTTCCACACACAGCAACCCGTACTGACTCGAACCAGATCCGAATCACTCCAATGATCGTTCTTGGAATGAAGGGTCTGCCAACGAATCGATTCGGGAGTGACCGTTTCGTTCTGTCGAATATCACAACTCAAATTGTTATGCCAAATCAAATCTTCTCCAATAAACAAATCCACCTGGATCGAATCGCCTTCAAACAGAATCACGGGCGACACGATGTGGTTTGTTTCATCTGTGAACGTTCCGCGTAATCGAACAGTGCTGTGGAGAAGATCGGAGCCCTGCGCTCGATCGTGGGGCGCAACGAACTCCACACTCACATCGACATTGACTCGCTCGTCTGCAGCGACAGCCTTCATTTGCCAGGGAATGCAAGCCATCCACCACACGTGGAAGAGATCGTCGTGCATGATCTGCATCATGATGTTGCGAGGAGGTTGAATTCGGAGAGGCGAAATCGAAAGCGTGGGATCCGAATCGATGGAAAACGGATCGGTGGCAGTCGTGGACGGGTTTTGAAGCAGCCCGGAAGTGAGTGTGTTTTCTAAATCGAGAACGTAATCGTAGATTCCCGTGCTCTAGAAAAATCACAAGCACAAAACGAAATTCACCATAAAAGAGTCGAGAAGCATCGAGACGAAATGAAACTCTTCTTCGAACAGAGAAAATCCTGCGTCCGTCGAAATGCATTCGATCACCAAATCCGAAAACAGAGGATTCTCGACGAGAAAGTGGATTTTGTCCTTCGAAATGCTCAAAGCGCTCACGACCAAATCGGTATACGATCCCAACGCGATCACACTTTCCAAAATCGAACAGGAAAGGAGGGTGAGAGTGGAATTCTGCCCAATGCACGAAACAACAAGCGGCAGGCACCACATCATAAACTCTTCATTGTCCGCTTTTTCGGCCAGCGCTCCCTGAATCCGCGTCAGACACTGACGTCGAATGCTCAGATTTCCATTCCGCATTAACGACGCGAAATACGTGCTCCCTTCTTGAATTCGATCGTCACAAAGGTGGAGTTCGTTGATTACGATAGTGATAAACTCGGGGTTGTTGGTGTAATCGTTGATATTCGCAATAAAGGATTCAAAGAGTAAGAGCAAGTTTTTCACATTCACGAGCGAGCGAGCTCGCTCTGAAAACAACAAATGAATCGCCATGATCGCGTAGAAATATTGCTACGATTGACTCCATTCCAGGGATTCAACATTCGTATTTCGAAGAGAATTCGACGTGAACGAGCCATCGTTCTTTGTGACAACCTGCAGAATTCCATCGAACAAATAGTTCAGAAAGCGCGTTTTCCGGCTCTCTGAAATAATCCACGAATCGGCCACGAGGAGAACGATCATCCACAAACTCATACAGCACACTTTCACGATCGAGTTGGTTGTGATGGGAAGATCCGCAAAGCGCGGACTTCCTTCCATTGGAATGAACATGGTTTCAAGCAAGGTCATAATTCTAGACTTGGCAAACTCGTTTATGAAGCGATCGGAGGAAACGGTGGTGAGCAGAAGAGAGAAGAGAAGCTGCCAATCCCATTGCGACGAATCTTTGTAACATTCCTTCTAGTCTCTGAGAAGAAACGCGCGATTCGGTACATTCATTTCGCTTAGCAGACTCACGAACTGGTCCTTATCGGGATACATCGACTTGATCGCATTGTCCATCATATCCGGACTGATATACTGATTCGAACAACAAAACTCGGAGAACCGAAGCGACTCGTCCGAGAGCGAATCGGCGCAGAAATAATCGAGAACGTTCTCAAACACGATGAACCACGACAGGAAATCCACTAGAAACGTGTTTCCGTACACTTTGTGCTGGACGATCGGGTACATGTACGTCGAAGCGATCGTGTATCCCATCAGCGACAGCGGCCTCCCCGCATTCAGCGAGCTCACAAACGACGAAATCATCGCGACTCTGCAGCTGTTCGATGTGGGGAGAAAGATATCTGCCAAGATCGTGAGGATTCGGAGAAGCTGATTGGCTAAATACTCCACGTCCTTATCGGCGTGGCGCGTCAGCGGAATGAGCGTCTCGGGGAGTTTGGCGCGGAGGCAGATGACCGTCATGACGGAAAGATAGGTGGTGAGGAGATTGGTTTGCTGCTTGGAGCTCGCGGAGAAGCTCAGTCGGTCGAGATAGAGCGAGCATTCGGTCCAAAAGATCGACTGGCGCTGGATCTCGTCCTCCATGAGCAGGTTCGGAACGGGAATTCCCAGCAGCACGAACAGGGACGACAGCATTTCCTTCGCGAGCACCGTGTTTTCCTCGCCTCGCGCCGCCAGAATGCTCACATAGTTCGAGAAGCCATCGAAGTCGCTTCCGAAGATCAGCAATCCATTCCACGATCGCATGATGGTCAGCACGGCCAGATTGGCGATGTAGTAAAACGAGGTATCGCTCCGAATGGGATCGGCGATGAACGGCTCCATGACGTACTGGAGGTCTAGAAGAATCATGGGCTGGCGGTACGTCGGCGTGTTGAGGAGAAAAAGACAGGCGAGAAGCGAGGATTGGAGAAGCGAGTCGTCCTGGATTTCGACGCAGCCGCGAAGAAGAACGGAAATCCCGTCGCAGCTGATGACGAGACGCGTGTGGTGGATTAAAAGGTGGAGAAGCAGGTGCAGACAGCACGAACAGAACGGATTGGAGGACTGCGAAGCGACGGACGTCAGCGAGATGGCCAGGGAATAGGGGATTTCGCGGGGGAAAAGCTGGCAAGGAAGAAGGAGGCATGGAAGAGTACGTTGACCCATTCGGTGAAAATGTGCGAAATGATCTCTCGGTTGGAGAGAGAAGTGGTTTTCGACTCGAAAAATTGAATTAGGAATAAGTGGGTTTTGAGGGAGAGAAGGCGGGAAAACACGACTTCGTCTGAGGCATATTCGTGAAGAAGGGTCAAGGCTAGCGTTAAAAGAGGGTAGTAGTAGCGATGTTACTCTTCGTTACCACCGACGGACACGAGCATAACAACAGGATCCGAGTGATGTAGACGAACTCATCGAGGTTGATTGGCGTCAGCTCTGCAACCACTTCGAAAAGGGAATTCTCGTCGATTGGGGTCTTGTTTAGAACGTTTTGCACGGTCTAGGGTAAAAAGCATGAAGGTCTGGTACGTAATACAGCGAATCCGGATCGCAGGACTGAAAGAAATTCACTGTACTGGCTATAGGAGTGGAAGCACCGAGATCGAGTGATTTGGTGCCATTGGACTCAGAACTCGAGCTTGCTCTGATGTCGCTGTGGGGAACCTTATCAGCAAGGTGCGAGAAATAATTGCTTGTAAAGGAAGTTTCCAAGAGCAAGCCGCGCTCATTATACGGACTGCCCTCAAAAATGGGCGTAGACTGCTCTATTCCAGTCAGATCCGTGCAAATTCCAAACGACTTAAAGCGGCAGCAACATCCTTGTAACTCTTCTCTTTTCGCGATCTCCTGGAGTTGTCATTCAATAATTTCATAGAGATTCAAAAACTTAGCACTCTTACAAAACGAAGCAAGGGATCAAGACAGGAATTACACACACCGGTACTAGAGTAGAAGCAATTCAGAAAGATCGTACATACCAGAAGCAATCTCCACACAGACAATTGTAATGAGATTGTTTACGACTGACGATTTATTCTCCTTATCGAATATTAATCTCGATAAATGGACAAATACCGTTCTTTTTACGTAGTTTGGCATGACCTCGTAGTTTAGCATGGATTTCTATCTCACATATATGTCAAAGTGGCCTGATCTGTTTTTCACAGAGGGAGCGCCCAATGGCGATCTTGTGGGATTCGGTGTCGGAAAAATCGAGGGTGACCCGAACCCTGAAAAACTCGACTATCGCGGACATGTTTCTGTCCTCACCATCGCTCCAGAGTATCGTCGAGCTCGATTCAGTCTCACGTTCATGAAGTTCATTGAGGATGTTTCAGAGAAAGTGTAAGAGTTTCTCTGCATTCTTCTTTGTAGAGATAACGCCTTCTTTGTCGATTTGTTTGTCAGGAAGGACAATGATCTGGCGGTTGCTTTGTACAGAAAGCTACAGTACTCAGTCTATCGCCACATCCTGGAATATTATGGAAACCACAACGATGCCTATGGTAGTCCCTCATCGCTCCAATTGATTCTAGATATGCGTAAAGCCCTTCCTCGAGACACAAAGAAAGCATCGATCGTGTCTCCCTACAGCAAGCCCATCCATGTTTCCAAGACCTACACCACCCTTTCCCCTGTTTGCAACAAACACCCCAGCTACAATCCATATTATTATATAATTACATTCAATTGCTTTGATACTCCCCTTCCCAGTCAAAAATAGGGTTAGCAATCGCGAAGGGAATGTCTTTCACAAAATTGTCCACAGCTTTTGCTCGAGCATTGACTTCGTCTGGCTTGTCTTCGGCGAGCGTTTTGTCTGACCCATCGGGCAAAAACACGGGGTCGAAACTAGGATCGCCAATCATTCCTCGAGACCTACCCAAAATTGCTATCTCCGCGAGGCTCCACAATTGTACCACTTGTTTGTCCACGATACACATGAACACGGCCTTGCATCTAGTGTCAAGTCAAAGGAGTGAGTCTACCAGAATTGCGAGGAAAACGTTCCAATTAGCACGCTTTCCTACAAAGGAGGAAAGTGAACTCATCATCCACTTCACATTGACTCCCACCTTTTCCCCCTCCACGTCGAGAGAAGTATCTTCTATGATCACATATTCTCCTAGTTGAGAAGCTTTGTGTATGGCAACAGAAAGAGGATCTGCAACAATCTCGCGAACGTCACGCTACACGTGATCCCACAATCTCATTCAAACGTTTGTCACTTCTAGCTGAATCCCATACTTGGAAAACATTCTACTAAACTCCTGATACTACAACTTCAACCCTGGGAAGCACGCATACTTTATTTTGATTACTGGTATTTAACCGTAATCGTACCGACGGGTGAAAGGATGGCATAAAACAAGTAGTGCAACTTTGAGAAAGAATGGAGAAACGGAGTAACACACCCCTTTTTCCACGGTCAGGCAAGAAGAGATCACTGCCGCATGTAGATGTGCTGTTCGGACGAGGGAGAGGATGAATAGCGTGCAAGAAGAACGTTGGAGGACCCTTGATCCCAAAATGTAGGGGATGAGACTTTGAATAGTAGGATGGCAGATAGAATTCCTGCAGAACCATCCTATGTGGAACAAACAGCATAATGGCATCTTTTAGATTTCACTTATTAAACAGCCGCGGAAAAGTAGTGATGGTGGGGTGTGCTCTCAAGAACTCCTCTGAATTGTCCTCAGCATCCAGAATTTTTTGCACACGATCCCAATTGCCGACAAACTCCACGATCTCGGTCTTGCGTTTAATGAACACAAGGGGATATTCTTTTCTGCCGCCACACCGTTCTAGATTAAAAAAACCAGCAAACGTATACCAGCATATTGGAAGAAAGCAACGCGAACATCATGATTTTTAGGATCAGTACCTTCAATGATACGATATGGAATGTCATATTTTTGCAAGTGAGCCTACACTTCAGAGTGCATCGTGATCCAGTACGATAAGCAATGAGATTTGGTTCGTATACTTGTTGTCGATATACGAAGTTAAAATAACCACATAATCTTCAGACATACACACTTTAATAAAACAAAAAAATGAGATTTGGCTCTTTCAACTTAACGTTTTTCCTTTATGCCACCGGCGCATCTGGAGGAGGTGCTTCCGGCGCATCTGGGGGAGCATCCGGATAGGCTCCTTGAGCAGCAATCACTGTCGTTTCCGTTGCTTCAGTTTTGGCTCCGGTTCCAGCTTCTCCTTCCTTCTGCTGTGCGGACGGCTTGCTTCCAATGGCTCCTTCCGCAGTACCGTCGGTTCCATTCTTCCTCATATCCTCGCAGTAGCACAGCATAATCGTATCCACGGTGATCACGAAGACATCAATGAAGATCGAGCTGATGATGTAGCTCAGGCAGAGACTAATCAAAACGGGGCTCACGACCGAGATCACTGGATGAGAGAGCCAATCAGGGCAATTCAAGATCATAAACGCGACGAACAGACTCGTACTACGCGTCATCCACCCGCAAAAAAACGCACAACACACAATTTCCGACCTTTCCGATCCAAATAAACAGCGTTGACACCGACTTCAGTGTGGTCACCTTCGCCAGATTGGCGACCAGCAGCGAGAACGACTCCACGGACGCCTTGAAGAAGTTCTGTCCGCGGTTAATCACGAGAATATAGGCGTTGCGGGAGATATACCGCATGCATTTTTCGAGGCAGAACAAGCAGCAATGGCAGCATTTAAACCCGCACTTCACCAGCGGGTTCATCGTCTGCGTCTCCTTAAACTTGCGATCGATGTACCTATCCGTGACTCTCGCCCCAATCACCCACAGCATGATCGATCGCACGAGCTGGATCACCGCGATCACAAGCGATCCGTACGCGACGGACCCCAAATGGTACGTCAGCACGCAGCACAGCGCTTGCAGCAGCGTCGTCGACCCCACGTCTCCCTTCTCCTCCTCCTTCTTGAAGTACCACTTCCCGATCGTGCCCGCCACCACCATCACGCCGATCGCGTTGACGAACCCCGAAGTCCAGAACCACATGAACAAGTGCCAGAACGCCAAGACCACGTCGCTCGACGTCGAACCGCTGATCGACTTCGAGATCAGCGTGCAGTTCGTCATCGTTTTGGGGTCTTCGCAGATCATCGACGTGGAGTTCTCCGCTAGAAATGAGGGAAACGGAGAAACCGGACGGAGGTAGTCGCTCACGACGCCCATGATTTGATGAGTGTAGTCGGTGAGGGTGAGATTGGAAGAGAGAGTCAGCGTGTAGGACCACGCGAAGAACAAAAAGACGATGAGATCGACGATGGTGATCACGATTGGAACGCTACACGTCAGAATCGCTCGATGTTCCGACGTGAGAATGGACGGGATTTTCATCATGGCCACCGTGGCATGTTTCATCATTTCAATCGAAAGATTCACGGCACGACCCAACGCGATGACGACGAAGAACAGAATAACCGTGAAGGCCGTCATGATATACGCGGCTATCGCCCAATAATCGCGGGTCGACTCGGAGGCGATCAGATAATCGGGGATCTACGCTCAATCCCGCTTCGCTTCGGTACGTTTTCGATAATGGAATCGAAGGTGATGTTTCCCCAGTGGAACACTTCGTCGCCCTTCTCGGCCACCACGTCGAACCAGTCGTCCAGCGGAACCATCCCGGCCTGGTAGTACAGCACGATCGTCGCCAGGACGCAGAGCAGCAGCCCCAGAATGATCACGACCCAGATAATGAACTTCGAGCACGTTTTGATGAAAAGCTAGGTGGAACGCGCGTCTTTGGATTCGTACGAGGAAGAAAAAGCCGAGAACGAAGGAAAGCAGAACGCTCAGCGCGATCACCAAGTACGACGCCTGCACGTCGCTCGCTGTGCGGCCGATGAACACTTGGAAGTTTAGCAAGGCGTTCGTTACGACGTCCTGATTGCTCGCCTGCGTCTTGGTCTCCTTGGTTTCCACGCTCTGCGCTAGGCATTCGCGGGAGTACGGGTCGATGTAGTTCGGGTCGGAGGGATCTTCGGGGCTTTCCGGCACGATGCACCGCGCCTTTGTTTCCGTGGTGGCGTTTACGACCGGGATGCAGCGGTTCCTAAGCTCAGAGAGGGTAAGAGAAAAAGCACATCACAGAGGTGGTGTTGATCGGAACCACCCAGCAGTTCGCGCAGAGCTCGTAGTGCAGAGCGCGGTAGAATCCATTGGAGCACTCAATGGTTTCATTGTAAGAAGGAATACCATGGGTGTCCTGGTGGTGAGAGAGCGAGAACAAAAGAGGATCGTACAGTGTAATTATATGTACACACAACGTCGCCAGCGATAGGGCAACTAGGGAGACAGATTCCAAAGAGGGAAAAGGATGTGTTCTAGTGTGAAGAGCAAGAAGAGACTCCATACAAAAGCAACAGACACTGTCATATCTTCGTTGATGCGAGGATAATACACTTGAGTACAAATTCCTGACTCACATCCGTGATAAGCAGACCCTGGATGACTCACAGAGCTGCCGCATACGTTTCCATTATAATCTCTTCCAAACGTCAAACTAGCATTTCAAACCAATCAAATCGGTCAATACGCGGATGTGTCAGCAGTGCGATAGGCAGCTATCAAAATAACAATCGAGACGAACCAGAAAAGACAAAACAATACAAAACAAATGGGATCAGTACAATGGCGGTGTGTAAATGACACTTCTAATGTCTTCTTTTTTCTACAACAGCAACAACAACCCATCTAACAAATATTCGTAATAATATAAAAGAAAAAAGTGAGTATTATTGGTTTTTATTATCAAGTTATTGGTTTCAATTTGAAAGTTCAATGGAGACAAAGGAAAACTTCCGTCCTTTAAAGAGGTACTTCCGTCAGAGAGCTCACTGCAATCCTTTGTCTCACAACGACACATTTACCTAGTACCTCTGTTTTTTGGATCTAACCGATAGTCCCCAGACTCCAGATGATATGGACTGGTCCGTTCACTATCCTCAGTACTTCGATTCTCGTAAAGTTGAGACTGGAACGTAATCAGTAGAGCTCCCTGCACAGGAGCAAAATAAGAAGGCAACCAAGTCGATTTTGAGGGAAAGGGTGATTGTGTAGGCAAGTGAGTGTGCTGGATGTTGGTTGTGGTTATGGCGGTTTGACGGGTCGACTTTGGGAGTGGAAATAAGGAATAGTGGCCTTGAGCACCATTCTTCCGGAAGAGCTTATTTTAGGGCTCGAAATCCGCATGAAGCTTTGCGAATATGTGGACTTGCGAATCAAGAATTTGCGCCAGGAAAATGAGGGTCAGTACCAAAACGCCTCTGTTTTGCGAACGAACGCGATGAAGTACCTCCCAAACTACATCCGGAAAGGCCAGCTCTCTCGCATGTTCTTCTGCTTCCCCGACCCGCACTTCAAGGAGAAGAATCATCGTCGCCGCATCATCAGTCCGGTTCTGCTTTCCGAGTACATGTACTACCTGAAACCGTCAACGGGATCCTTTACACGATCACGGATGTGGAGGAACTGTCGCTGTGGCACAAGAAGCAACTGGAAGACCATCCTGGTTTCGAGCTGCTGACGGAGGAAGAACTCGTAGGATTGGAGAGGAGGAGCGAGGCGTAGAAGGACGATCCGGTGGTGGACGCGGTGTATCACTCGACGGAGGAGGGAAAGAAGGTGGAGAGAAACGCAGGGAAGAAGTTTTTGTACGCGGCGAGGCGAAAGAGCGATGAGGAATTGATTCAATCAGTTTTGGATTGAGGTGTTTGTTGAAAATAACAATAAAGAATAAAGAATGAAGAACTATGGAGAATTATGGAGATGAGTGTGCTTTGATGGATCTCAAACAGAGAAAATGGAGCTATTGGGAGGGGGGTGAATACGAGATGAGGGAGTGAAAGAGGCGAATGTATTCATCACTAGAGACTTGAAAGGCTTTCTTTTCCATCACGTTGGAAAGGGACATGTCGGAAAACAGGGCAGTGCTTTTGTACCTTTCCAATCCTAGCAGATTCTTCCGAACCGATTTGTTTTTGCTTCGAAAAGCGTCTCGCAGAAAGTCCTTGTAAGCAGGAGGATTTGCAAGAACGCAGGAATCGTCCTGCGACATCCATCGAGGATGAAGCCGCATTAAACAGGATGTCACCTACACCATCACGAAGCTAGCAAGAAGGAAGTGCTTGAGGAGGAGGAGAAAAGCAGGTGCGCGAGACATCAAACAGTTTATCGACTTGGAAATAGGACTGTGCAAACACCGTCAAAAAAGTGGAATCGTGCGTTGATTGCCGTCTGTATGTTGAGGATTTCCTAACGGATCGTACGCTGAACAAAGCTTTTCACAGAATTCCTTTTGTACAAGAAAGTAGAACTCGCTAGAATAACGCTTTTCTATTATGATGCGCTGAACAATGTCTGAAGATACCTAACTTGCAAACAGAATCAAAAAGCGCACGTAGTATGGAATATTCGCAACACAAATATCGAAAGAAGGCAAAGCTACTTTCAATACGTCTCCCGTTATAATTTCGAGTCTCTGTTGACTTATCTCATTTGAAAAACGTTCTGACAAGCGAGAAACCATTTGCTCGTCCTTTTCGATCGCCGTCTATCTCCTAGACTATCCAAACAGAATCCATACGACGTGTTTTGAAGAATTTACCAAATATTTGGTGAGTTGCCCTGTTCCTGGACCGATCTCCAAAACAGACTGATTTTCTCGAATCTAGATTGAAGAAACTATCGTATCAACTCTAAGTAAAGGATATTTGCACTGTTTGGACGATCTTCCTCAGAACATTCTCGTCCCGTAGCAAGTACTGTCCCAACGACTTTTTCAGCGCTATGACAGCTGAAAAACATCGCCGGAATATACCTGTCGAACTCATTTTGAACAAACAGAAATCAACTGCGACTGTACTAGGTAGTACCTTGGGTGGTTGTTACTGTACTAAATATTATCAACTGATAGCACTCATCTCTACCTCAGACCGTCCTCCTCCGAGCTTTCCTCCTCCTCCAGCAGTTCTTGGCAGTGTTCTAGCACCTCCAGCATTTCCTTTGAAACATAAGAGAACATGTAGAGAGAACCGAGCTGGATTCGTTTCATCTACTCGTTTGTGTAGAAAAATAGTAGAGTACCTCGGTCACACGGAACCGCTCCATCATCTCCGAGAAAGAGCGAGATTTGGGAACAACTGGCTTGTTTATCTGTTTGAGAAAGCTCATTTGTGTCTCTGCTTGCTTCCACATTCTCCGGCTCATCTGCGGGGAGTTTGCACTAGAATGCCAACAAACTCCGGGAACCTTACAAACGAAGACGAGCGGCTCTTGCAAACTGCTTGGGAATAGAGGAAAAGACCCTAGCCGACATCCCTTTCAAAACACAAAATAGGTCTGTTTTTTGTACTGTTCAGACTATTGTTCAAATTCGAAGTGGATGTTTATCCATGTTTTTTAACTACGAAAAGCTGTAGAGTAGTGTAGTCACTGTGTAAAGTCTAGACTCTTTCTAGTGGAACGTTTCTTCGAGTAGAGAAAACGGAATTCTACTTATTTAAAGGGTGTATAATCCATTTACAGAGCAGACAATTAACCATGCGATGCACGAGTATCAGTCGAGTGCTGGATACCCGGAGCATACTTCTACAGAGCTAACCGAATCACACACAATGGAAGGACAGAAGGAGCCAACGCCCTCCTCTCCGATCGCTGAGCTTCAGCAGAACCAGTCTTTTATGCTTCAGAGTGCGGATATACTTATGGTAGAACCCGCTCCAATACGTAATCCACTGTAATAATGTGTTTTAAGTATAATTGGATAGAATGACGCCAGGAAGTGTAGTGTTTCGTTGCTTGTGCGATGTAGATCCTGTCGTGGGAAAATATGAAGAAGTGGGAGTTATTTACCCGTGACAACATGACGTACTTGAAACTCGAGAACTACATTTTCTGTCTCCTCATCATTAATTTCGTATCATTTGATATCTCTCATCACTCGATCGTTACTGCGCTTGCATCGAATTTCCACTTTGTGAATCTCTTCAACATCCTCGATTGTGCGGTTATGATCGTCGGAATCCTCTGCATCACTTCATGGAATGTCTGCTATCTGATCATCGTGGACGTGTGCATCGCGATCGTTCTCTTCTCCAACGTCTTATTCGTTGTTTTCTCTCCTCGGAAACACTTTCTCACATATGTTCGTGTGGTTTGTGAAATCTGCCTCATCGCTTTTCTGACATCCTGGGTTCGGCGTTTTTCGAAGTTTTCGCATGGGGGTTTGCGTGGCTGGAGGCGTTTACCAGTAGATCTCTTGTTCTATCAAGCGATGACGTACTCAATCAGCCGTAGAAAGAACGATATTGTTTTTTTAATTCAGCATGTGTGTGTACAATAACTGAAATCGATTGTTTGTTTTATATCTTATTTTATAGTTTATTTTTAAAAATAAAGGTTATGATCGTAACGATTGATGAGCTGGCTACGCTTGTCGCGTTTTGTGATCTTCAGAAAGAGCCTGTGCTGTGTCAAAATGGCATCCTGTTGTGTAGATTACCATGCAAACAGTGCAGGACAAAATGAAGGAGATTTCCACTTCACTGGTGGAGAAGGAGGAGTTCATGAAGCAGATATGCCAAAATCTGATGATGACATCGATCTATGCTTCAAACACGGTTGAAGCGCAAGATCAGTGCAGAGAGATCGTTAGTAGTGAATAGATAAGCGTATAAGGCGTAGCTTTGTTCAATCAGCTCAATACAATAGGCGAAGATCTTGACAAGTTGTGTAAGCAACCCGTTTTTGAGCAGGGAAATGTCGAGCATCTGAGAGCCATTCTGTTACAATATCAAACGATCGGATCTTCTTTGGAGAATGTGAAAGCCATTGCTGTGACGGCTTGTGAACGACTCATCGGATTTATTTTACAGCCTGAGTATGTGGACAATGCAAAAAGCCAATACAAAGTCGCTGTTGGAAGCAGCTTGACTCTCCGCCATCGAGGAATGCAGCAACGAATGGCGCAAAGTAGGTTCATAAAACTAGTTGAATAATGCCAAGTTTTACAAATCCTAATCAAAAGTGAGCTGGAAAACTGTGATGTTTCAAATTACAAAAACAGTCTGTGGTTGACAGTGTGGCAGAAAATTATCGAAGCGATCATTCTGTACGTCGATTTCTCGAGTGACGAAGAGTTCAACGAGCTCCACCTGGTTTCTGTGATGCAACAAACCTTGCAGCCCATCCGAAACGTCTACAACGAACAAACGAAAACGATTTTTGCTGAGAGTGGAATCAGCTCCGCCTTGTTAGAAATGAGTGAACGATATCGCGGACGCAACAGCCTCGTGCGATCCAAAGTCGACCTTCTCGAGAAAAACCTCTCCACTCTGTTTCCTGTTTGTAACAAACACACTACTTTTGGGGAACGGGCTGCTGCGCTCCATAATTCATTCCATAATACTGGTAATACTGATAATAGTACTGAGCATACTCGGGACTGTTCGGGTCCGTAGGCACCGTTCCCATCTGCTGAGGCATCGCCTGTCCCATCTGCATCATGGGCTGTTGTTGCATCATGGGCTGTTGTTGCATCATGGGCTGTTGTTGTTGTTGCTGCTGCATCATAGGCTGTTGTTGTTGTTGCTGCTGCTGCACCATGGGCTGCGTCTGTGTTGCTGCCTGTGACTGCGTCTGTGTGTTCTGCGCGGACTCTTCGCTGGGTCGCTTCTGCGACGCGCGCTGCTCCTCCGCCTGCTGCTCCGCGGACACGGCGAGCTTCCACAGCGAATAATCGAGCTTCATCTGCTTGATATTCGCGACGTCCTCGCAGATCGTCGCGTAGTACTGCAAGAAGAGCTGGTACATCTCGAGCTTGGAGGCGTAATCGAGCGCGCTGCCCATGCAATCGCCGCGCAGCGCGAGCAGTTCGTCCGCAGGATGCTCCGCGGTGGAGTAGAGGAAGTTCATGAAGAACTTCCAGAAGGGCAACGACTTCTGGCAGCGATCCTTGTTGCTGGTGAGCACGCTGCGCGCCATGCTGAGATCCTTGCGGACCTTCCAGTAGTAGTTGGCCATGTAGACCACGATGAACCCGTTCGCCTCCACCGAGTAATCTGCGATCGACCCTCCCTCACGCGCCTACCCTCGTTGCTGAACCGCTCCATCAGTTCCTCCGCACCGTCCCGATCGTGCTGGCGCAGCAGCAGCTCGATATAGAACACGATACCTTCCAGAAGCTCGGGACACCGCTTCGTCACGATTTCCTCGCAGTAGCTCTTCGTCTTCTCCACGTCGCCCGCCTCCTCCAGCAGCTCCGCCTTCGTCAGCAAGATCTTCACGCTGTGCGGCAGATACGACTCCAAGCAGCGATTCGCGATGAGCATGCTGTCCTCCAATCCGCGTGCCATGTGCTAGACCCTGAGCCAGCCTTCGCGCGATCCTACCGCCCAGTTGATGTACTTCACCCAGAACTCTTCGTAGTACGCGCACGGGATCAGACAGCGCTCGAACAGTACAGTGATCGAGTCCTTCATGATACCAACCCCACGACGCGTACAGTGGTTCCGTTGATGAGCTCCCAGTCGAGATACGCGCGCCAGTTCGCGAGATCGTTCTGGCTGACGGGCTTGAAATGGAAATAGAGCCGCTTGAACTTCTTATCGAACACGTTGCGCGCCTTGACCTTCTCCAGCGTCATCTACGCTCGATTTCCGCCTCGAATTCGACATCGAACACCGCCTTCCGCGCATCGATCAGCATTTTCTTCAGCATGATGTGTCGATCCTCGTCGCTCTCTGCCGTGAACCATCCCTCTCCACGCCCCACTCAGCTTATTTCGCTCGTCACCGTCGAACGCCGTCTCCAGCGTCTTCAGCTCCTCGTCGCTCGCCAGAATCTCCACCGTTTGCTGCGACGCGAACGCCATGTACGGGTCCCAGTACGTCGCCAGGTCTTTGAACGGCGTAGACAGCAGACGCGCGTAAAGAGCGGCCAGAGTTTCCGGGGAATTCTACGGGGAAACCGGGGAAATGGGGGTACGCAGGATGATTCGTACATGACGTACGAGTCCCAGAGTTTACCCGCACCGGGGTCGGTTCCGACGAGAGAAACGGCTTTTTGGAAGAGACTAGGAGTGAAAGGAAGAAAAAAGAAGGACTCGCGAGCCTCGGCTATCATGTAGGTGGAAGCGAAGGACATATAGTAAATCCACATATCCTAGAGGCGTGAAAGCACGGACACAATGGATACGACGCAGTACGGAGCAGCAGCGACCGCTCGGCTCCAAATGCTGTTCACTCGATCGATCGTTTCTTGTTTCTTTAAACTTCCTCGCTTGATTTCTTGGTCGCAATACTATGCAATCAATTGGGGGCGATAGGAGTCACCTTCTTCCAATATCCATAACATAAAGGAAAACGACCCAAAAACTGTTCATAGTACTTTCTCATAGTCTCAATATCCTGCAAAATAAAGAAGGGCAGAAAAAACGCACCTGATCGTCCAGCTTTGAAAGCAGCTTCGTCCACGAGTCGAAGTCATCAGGGTTCTTTTCTACGGCTTTGGAAAGTGTTTCTATGGGACTCTGTCCCTCCAATGAGGCAAGCAGGTTTGGATCGATAGGCATCTTGATTTCTACAATCAATTCAGAACGACAGCGCAGTACAATACGAACTTACCTCAACCCAGTAAAAAAGAGGAATAGAAGTAAGAGATTCCAGAACTTCTGCCGATTTTAGGAAAATATTCGCAGACGCATTAGCATGCCAATACAACGGAGTTTTGATGAGGACTATCACGACAACGACATCGAAGTATCGGTTCCCGCATTCCTTGATGCTTAGGAAGTTGAATTGGATGATGATGTGAATGCTGATTTTGCCGATGAATATGATATGGGTAGTCCGTAGAGAGTCGATTCCATGTGATAGATGCTGAAGTGGGGACAATCGACTTTAGTCTGCTTGAACTCAAACCAAATCACGAGAAAAAACCACTCTGGGTCTGTCCCAATTTTCATATATTCTTAGATACGTCATCTCGTTACTATGAGCAGGTACGTTGCGGTTCTTGCGCTATCATGCATCTAGGCGACTGATTTCCTCACAGCCATTGCAGAGCCGCTCTCCCGACCCCAATTCATCCACGAATATATCATTACCGACTCCTCGCTCTATGGTGCTGTCTCGATTGGTCTGGAAACGGAGGCAATCATAAGGAAGTTGGAGAGTTTGTCCAAAGTCCGCCTCACGACCGACATGATCAACCACATTCGTCGAAAGACGGAAACATTCGGCAAAGTGAAGTTGGTACTTCGAAACAACCGATACAGAATATCCTACACACACACACACACACACAAACACACAAACAAATCGGTAACGTCCTTCACAACAAGTCGAAGCTAAAAACGAAACGATCAAACGGCATCTGCTTCAGTTTAAAGACATCGACGACTGCCGTCTCTCCGATGACGTTTAGCCTCGCCACCGCCTCAACGCTAGGAATGGGACATGGAGGTCGAAAACGAAGAGAACTTCGACGAACTGCAGGAGAACCAGAACGTTGTCGTTCGTGTTCCTGATCGGGTTTTGCCTAGAAAATCGACCCGGAACTGGAGGAAAACGTCTCCGACCAGCCCGTCGAGGAAGACGAAGAGCGCGAGAAAGTGCTCAAGCGCATTTCCTTCCCGATCAAAAACGGCAAAGTAGGTCCACTGGATTGAATGGATCGAACGCAGGCCACCGAAGTGAAGCAGGTTTCCCGCGCTCACCACTATCCCATGATCGAAGAATACGATTTCCGAAACGACTTTGTAGGTTTCGTCCGCTAACAGCGCATAACATCCAGCGAAATCGAACCATTCGAATTCGATTGGCACCATCCACGCATATTCGTCCCTACCAAGAGCGATGCCTCAACAAAATGTTCGGAAATGGGCGTGCGCGTTCCGGTCTCATCGTCCTCCCTTGCGGTGCCGTAGTCCCGCGGGGATCGGTTCATTCTAGGGAAAAACGATCGTCGGAATCACAGCGGCAGTGACGATCAAGAAGAGCTGCATCGTGGTGTGCAACTCGACGCTCTCAGCGCTGCAGTGGCGCGACTCGTTTTTGTCTTTCTGCGATGTGAAGGGCGACTGCATCCGCATTCTGGTCAAAGACAAACGCGTAATTTGATTGGCGGATGGGTGAGCTGAAGGATCCGCTGCCCAACCCGTGCATTCTGCTGACCACGTATTATCAATTAATCAAACGGCGAAAAATCAACAAGGAGCGCGAGGCGATTCTGAACGAGATCGCGAGTCGCGAGTGGGGCTTGTTGGTCCTCGACGAGGTGCACGTGTGTCCCGCAGATTCGTTCCAGGAAGTCGTTTCGACGGTCAAAGCGCACTGCAAGCTGGGATTGACCGCGACGCTGGTCCGCGAAGACGGCAAGATCAAAGACCTGGACTTTCTGATCGGTCCCAAGCTGTACGAAGCCAACTGGATGGACCTGACGAACGTGCGTGTTAGTGAAGGGAGCGAGGCATAGAAAGGCTATCTGTCCCCGGTGCGCTGCCTGGAGGTCTGGTGCGACATGAACCCGCTGTTCTACAACGAGTTTCTCCGACGCAGCAAGGAGTACAACAAGCAGAAGCTCCTCGCCGTGGTCAATCCGGAGAAGCTCAAAGCGCTCGCGTATCTCCTCTACATCCACGTCCAGCGCGGGTTTTCTTCGCCTCTTCTCTTTTCCTCTAGCGATAAAATCCTCGTCTTCTGCGACTCCATCTTCCCGCTCCACAAGTTCGGAGAGCTCTTCGGCTACCGCTACCTCGACGGCAGCTGCGGCGAACCGTATCGCAAGCGCGTGCTGAACGACTTCCGGAACAGTTCCGCGGGGAGCGTCGTGTTCTTGTCGAAAATCGGCGATACGTCGATCGATCTGCCCGAAGCGACGGTGCTGATCCAGGTCGAGGGGCAGGAAGGATCGCGTCGACAGGAGGCACAGCGGTTGGGACGTATTCTGCGACCGAAGATGGGTCTGTCGATGGGGAACCAGGCGTTCTTCTACACGCTGGTGAGTCGAGACACGAAGGAAGTGGGGAATGCGCTGAATCGGCAGCGATACTTGATGGCGCAGGGATACACATATAAGGTGCTGGTGAACATCACGAAGGGGCTGACGCGCGAAATGATTCAGCGAATTCCCAAGATGCAGCAGATTTGCTCGGGGGATTTCGCGAAGAATTTGCTGCAGGAGTCGCTCGAGGCGAAGGCGGAGGAGATGCAGAGGCATGAGCGATCGAAGATGCTGGAGGAGGTCAACTCGAAGGTGCAGCGGAGACGCGGGATGACGAAGATTGGCAGGAAAATCAAGGGGGCTGTAGGATTGAGGTGTGGATGTGAGGGATAGGCGACGTATTCGGGGAATATGCTGTCGATGTATTCTGAAAAGAGGCATCGTTAGTTTGTGGGTTGTTTGTTGTATCACACTTGGAGTTGTGTAATGCTAATGTTGTTGTTGTTGTTGTTGCTGCTGCTGCTGCTGCTGCTGCTGCTTGATTAGGATGACTGTTACTCTAAGAAGATGCGTTGCCTGTTTCTAAGTGTTGGATGCTTTGCCTGGTGTGAAAAAATGCAATTCCTTTCGTCCCCGCCACGTGTTCCCTTTACACTCCATGCAACTCCCTCCTGACCCAATCTCCATCGCCTCCCTCATTCTTTCATACAACAAACAACAAAAGGGAGAAGACACCTATAAACTCCTTCCATTTAATTTGTGAACGCTTCACAGCGACTTCGGAACTCTCCCGAAGAAGAAGATGATCGTAGCTCCGCTTTTAAGAGCAAGGACTTCATACACGAGTTCGCCGTCTGCCTTATCGTCTCACACCAATGCGCCTGCAGCGACTGTAAAACCTCGGTCAATTGCTGGATCATCTACGCTGCTCACTCCTCCGCACCCCGCACTTTATTCGACAAAATATACAGATGGCTCTGCTCCACCCGGCTCAAAAACTGAATACACTGCAGCGAGACGAAGCGATTCGGCGACTGCAGCGCCGCGCGAATCCTCGGAAACAGCAGCGCGAAGAACTTGAGCTGCTGGTTCTCCGGAACGACGAGAAACGTGCATTCGACTTGCCGGAGATACAAGACCTCGCGCGAGGAGTCCGTCCATGGCCAGGATCGAACGAAGAAACGCGCGACGGTGGCTGCGAGCTCGGGCTGCGTCAGCACCACGGTGTAGAGGAACTTGGAGACGGAGTTGAACGAGGAGAGGATGATGGACGTGCGGAAGAGGCGGAGAATCGAGTGGAAGAGGCGTGGAGGGAAGGGACGGATGAAGTTCCGCGCACAGAACTCCAGGAAAAAGTCGAGCTGTCGGTGGTACGCGAAGACGCGGCTCCCCGCGCGGTCGGCGCTCGCCGATTCGGCGGACGGGGAGCTGCGCGCGAGGATGACGAGCTGCGAGAGCTCGCCGATGCGACAGGACTGCTCGAAGGCGCGGCAACGCTCGACCTGCTCCTCGAAGAAAAGGGAAAAAGCGCGGGCGAAGGCTTCGCGCGCGTCGCCGAACACGAAGAACAGACAGCGCAGAAAGACCTTCAAGTAGAATTCTTTCTTGAGGTTCGGCGTGTCCAGCTCGCGGATTAAAACGTAGAGCAAGCGGCCGCGGTCGAATTCGTTGCCTCCTTGCACTGGGGGTGAGCGGACTGCCGCGAGAAGGGTACAAGTGCGAATCACTTCGGGGAGAAGAAACGGTGTGGCGTCGAGATCGACTTGTTGCCGTGAGTAAACGAGTTGTTTCATTGCTTGTTTGACTGCGTTTCCGTCTTGGAGCAAACTGGGAATCTGCGATGAATGGGTTGCTCGTTGGACCCTACGAAATGCTGGAGCAGAGAGGGGAGCAGGGTGCTGCAGGTTAAAGGGATCTGGATCACCATGTCGTTCGGTGCGTCTGGACGCGACTGCAGAAGAACACGGTACATGGCGAATAAGATGAGGTCGACATCGTCCACGCTCCAAACAGAATAAGGGGGAATGAGGCAAGCGGCATACTGCGGCTCAGGGTGAAACAGAAAGGGAAACGTTATTGGGGGCTCTCGCAGGAGGAGGATGAGCTTCGACTAGAATGCCATCCATCTCGTTTCTTTGGAGTTGCTGAATTACCAACTCCTCTACCGAAGACTTCACACTCGGTCGGACCGCTGTAGGCCGAACGAGCTTATGAGAATACGCGGTAGGCGGAAACATGGCATACCGCTTTGAATGGCTGAATGGTGACATATCTGGAGGTCAAATCCGCTACAAAGCTCAACTATTTGTTGGAGGACACATAGACGCGAGTTGGTACTGTGGAATAGATTCAGACCGGTGGTGCAATGATTTTGCAGCATCAGGTACTTCAGAATAGCGCTGCTCACGAGAAGTAGCCGGCACACAATTCGAAACACAAGCAGGTTTCCTAGTTACATCGGGTTGTGGAGTTTCCGCATTAAAGTAGGTTGGCGGAAACATAATCCGTTGGGAATACTCCACATTGCCATATTCACCAGTATAGGAATTTGAACACATACCTCCCTGAGGAGGATGTGAATTCCCCAACTGCGGCTTCATAAACGTTTTAACAGGTGAATTTTGGACAAATTCCAACCTATTTTAGGTATTTGATCCTTTTCAAGTGATTCTAGAACGTGCGATGCAAAAGTTCACTAAACTCCTATTGGCAAACACAAAGCAAACAACCCTGTGCAATGTACAGAGAAAAGGACGATATTCATTTTTGTGTTTGAACCATAGTCTAATCATTGACTGTTCTTGCCGTGCTGTAATCACTTTTACACTCGCTAGTCAAAACTACGATATGTACGGTTCAGAATCATCCACTCTTTGTCTTACCAATCACTTTCACTTCATTCTTTCACTCAATATTTTCAAAAAAAACTTTAATTATGAGAATTGTCTTGGTAGCTGATACGTATTCGGCCAACAACAATGGGACAACCATGTCTGCACGAAATCTTGTTCGTGAACTGAAGAAGCAAGGTCATGAAGTTCGCATAGTCACAACGGGACCTGAAGGGGAGGGCCTCTACATCTGTCGGGCGTTTGAGAAGGGACTCATTCCCACTCTCGCCCGTTGGCAGGGGATTACTCTGTCCCGTGGCGACAAGGACGTGATTCGGAAGGCGATTGAGGGAGCGGACGTTGTTCATTGCTACTTCCCATTTGTACTGGCAAGAGCGACCGCGAAGGTCTGCGCAGAAGCTGGCGTTCCGTGCACTGCTGCGTTCCACTGCCAGCCTGAGGATATCACATACAACATTGGAATGAGTTCGTGTGGATTTATGGCCGAATTTTTCTATTGGGCCCTCCGTGAGTATTTCTTTAAGCATATTCGTTACATCCATTGCCCTAGCGAGTTTATTGCAGGGGAGCTTCAGCGAACTGGATACAAGGCAAAACTTCGTGTAGTTTCGAACGGAGTTAATGAGATTTTCCAGCCTCGTTCTGTGACGAAGCTCCCGCAGCTGAAGAATAAGTTTTGCATTATGATGGTGGGACGTCTCTCGAAAGAGAAGCGTCAGGACGTGTTAATTAAAGCATGCGCGCTATCGAAGCACGCGAATGAGATTCAGTTGATTTTGGCAGGACATGGTCCCAAGGAAGCGAAATACAGAAAGATGGCCGAGAAGCTGCCGAACCAAGCGATTTTTGGATTCTATTCCCAGGAAGACTTAGTCAATCTGTTGAACATGTGCGATCTCTATGTCCACGCTGCGGATGTGGAGATCGAGGCCATTTCATGCTTAGAAGCAATTTCGTGCGGTCTGGTGCCGGTGATCTCGAATTGCCGCACTTCCGCTACACAGCAGTTCGCTCTTTATTCGAACTCGCTCTTTAAATCCGGGGATGCGCAGGATTGCGCCGATAAAATCGACTACTGGATCGAGCATCCGGAGGAACGTAGATTGGCTGGAATCGAATATGCTAAATCCAGTCAGAAATATAAATTGAGTTCCTGCGTCAACCAGATGATAGATTTCTTCCAGGAAGCTATAGATGATAATAAAAATAGTAATCGTAATCAATCAGTTTAGTTGAGTCTGTTTGCTGCAACAAACATTCGAAATCTCCATCCCACCGTCCACTCGAATCACCTACACATGTTATTACAACACCGTCGAGTTTCTCACACTTCCTGTAATGTACGAAGCAGCATCCGAAAGCAAAAAGGACACCACATTCGCGACTTCCTCCACGCTTCCCATTCGTCCCAAACTGATCTTTTTCACCAGTTCCTCGCGATCTCGCACCGACTTCTCGGTCATGTCCGTGGCAATGAAGCCCGGCTCCACCACATTGCTTCGCACATTGAATCTGCCCATCTCCTTCGCCACCGAGCGAGAAAAGCCAAGCAAGGCGGACTTTGTCATGGCATATCCGGACTGACCCACTCGTCCTCCCTCGCCCACGATACTACCCAGCGTGACAATACTTCCCTTTCTCTGTTTCATCATGTGGGGGAGAACGGCTTGGGTCATTGACACGGTTCCTAGAATATTGGTTTCGATCAAGGCTTCCAGTTCGCTTTTCTTGGCTCGGATTGCCAGACTGTCGATGTTAATACCTATGTGATTGAGAAAATAGCGGCGGTACCTGCAATCAATCTCACTCTCCAGGCTTACCTGCGACATTCACTAAACCAACAGGTTTCCCCAATTCGGAAACGATTTTGGACACAGATGATCTTGAAAGAAGAGGAGAGACATGCCATACTTGACACTTTCTTCATCTCGAATATCACACTGAAGAGCGACATGTTTTTTTCCGTCTGCATTAATAATGAACACAGATCTTTACTTTTTTCACAGAGATGCTGAACCAAAAACACCTCTTCGCTCCTTGCAAGCAATCCAAGAGCGTATCCGCGTTCTGCAAGCGTGGTAGCGATGGCTTTCCCAATTCCACGACTACATCCGGAAATGATGCATACCTGACTCATTCTCGTTTCCTCTGTTAGTGCTTCTTTTTCTATCTAGTCTTAAATATATCTGTTCACTTTACAATTTCTAAAGCAAAAATGAAACCAAATTAGCAACTCTAGCGTAGACTATGCATTCTCTCACTTTTCATTCAACAAACAGTCCAACTAAGAATAAATGACAAGTTTCTGAAGTCTTTTGTCAGCGGATTCCACCCCAGCATGGTTCTGGTTTGATACACCTTTAGGTGCTCATCCATGAAGTTATTCAGCTTCATAATCTACGGTATCGCACCTCCCTTTCTTCCCTACCATTCCCTCGTTCTTCGTCACGGTCTTCACCAACCTCGCTAATGTCGTGAAATCGGTAGGGAAGAAAATATCGCGCGTGTATTTCCCCTCCAAATACGATCGGTGGTCGGTGCATCGTCCCTTTTCGTCATAACTACACACAATCGGTCCATTCACGCAGTTAACCGGCGAATTCAGATCGCCCTCCGCGCAAGGAGGCAAATAATCGAAGTCTACATCGGAGAAACCCTCCGTTTCTACCATAGCCCACGATGTGGAGAGTCGGAGCCAGCCGGGTAACACGGTTTAACAGATCGAGGAACACCGTGGGAATGAACGCTTCGGAGGGAATGAACTTTTTGAATCGAACCGCACGGTTGTTTCCGAGCGCGGAGTCGCGGTTATACGCGTCGATTGTGGCGTTCTGGTGCTCTGCGAGGGTGATCATGGAGTAGTCCGAAGCCAGCAAGAACTCGACGTACTGGCGAATCAGCGGGTCCGACACCGGGCTATTCGCAAAACCCGATCAACGCGTACAGAAAGAGCTCGTCGAAGGCCTTTCCGTTGGGAGCCACGATGCACTGCTCGTATTGGTCGAATGAATCGCCCTTGCTGCCGTAGTGAACGCGGATTTTGTCGTGAGGAAGCGAGCTCAGGACGTCGGTGAGGATGAGGAAGGCGGAGTCGCTGAGAAACGAGCATTTCTCCTTGTCCTGCTATGAAGGGAGTGGAGGGAGGAGGAACTACGATCGAGTACAGCTGGACTTTGTCTGCGAACTCGTCGGGAATGGAGAGGGGCTTGAAGTAGACGCTATGCATGGGAGGAGAAGAGAAGGGATACTCGTCTGTGAGGTAGTAGTAGCGGAGCGTCTTGTACACGTTGGGGAATTTCGCCTTGTAGTAGGACAAAATCGCTTTCATGTTCGTGATGCTTCCCTTTGCCACTTCGAGAATCGTCAGGGGCGTTCCTAGCTTGTGTTTTTTCAGAATATAGTTGGCTATGCCCTCGGAAAAGAAGGGGGTAAACAGTTCGACAGCGTTCATGTAGTTGACTCCCTGCGCCTAGTCGTTACTTTTCAAAATTGGACTCCAACATCGTAGATTGCGCGTATTTTCTTGTTAAACTCCCACTTACCCCAAAGACTACCAAAGTCGATCGGTTCGTCCAAAATTCCAACTTTCTTATTTCGATTATATCCCTTATCGTTATTATAGAGAGCATCCTTGATAAAATCACGAGTCAGTACAGCACCTTCAGAATCATTGAAAAACACAAATTCATACCATTTAGTGAACTCACGCAACGTACTTGCGTAGCCAAACGAGGTATCACACGACTACTCAACTTAGCAAACATATCTTTACAGTAACACTCTTGAATAATAGAAACGAACTCAACTAATTTTGCGGATTAACAATGTTGAATGGTAGTGATTCTTTTGAAATGGAAGAAGAAGTCACCTTTCAAGTGAACGAGTCCGTTATTATCGAGGACAAAGGTTTATTCTACGAAGGAAGAGTAAAAGAACGAATTGGAAGATGAGTCGTAGATATTGGACGTGAAGAACGGAAAATATTATGTTCACTTTAGCGGATGGCCAAAAAGGTATGATAAATGGGTTGAGTTCGATGATCTCAACAAACAAAATGAAATGAATCGGGCATTGATGAAAATGAACAACAAATCCAATAAAGACAAGGAAAACAAACCTTATTTCAAAACAAGTCTACTGAGTGAGTTGGTAGTGTATCTCTATGATTTTAATAATAGAACATGGTGAGTGAGATAAAACAAAAATACAAATTCCCATTTTTACTAAAACAACGTCTGGTGGAAGAATGGTACATTGTGAAAAACCGGAAACTCTTTATTCCTCTTCCTCGATCTCCTAATATAAAACAAATTCTTCAATTGGTATGTATTGTGTTTGTTCATTGTAATAGATTAGTGGGAATCAGAATGTAAAAGCGAGTCTTCAGTCGCTCATCAAAGTGCAATCGAAGTATGAAATGAAATGATTGTATGAACTATGTAGTTAATTGAAGGTTTAATGTATTATATGAAGAACTGCATGGACAAATCGATAATCTATCACGAAGAAGAAAGTCAATTTTGTCAAGTGAATGATATAAAGAATGTGAACTATGTTGAAATGTATGGAGCTGAACACTTGCTTCGCGCAGTGTGTATGAAATATGAACTGAATGAAATTAATTTGTGTAGATATGCTTCCAATATTGTACAGTTCTGCGGATATTTCTGAGAAAGAAAGCGAACAGATCCATGAGGTGGTTTTCAGTCTCTATCAGTTTTTACTGAGGCATCCTCAGTATTTCTGCAGCTTCGATGAGTACACGTCTCTGGAAGAGAGTATCAAGAATTTGGTTTGAATTGTAATTTGTTTTATGGACACACCTTTTGTCTCTGCTGAGATTTACAGGGGGAGAGCCTATCCAAAGCAGACTCCTGGGCATACAAAGAAGTGTATTTCTGTGAATTCTGCTGGCTTCGTGGCTCTTATCGATACTTATTCTTGGTTTGTTTTAAATCCATATACAAATGCGGTTTATTCATTTCCTGGAAGTTTTTCAGCGGTCCAAGAGGAAGAAGAGAATACAAGCAGCAAAAAACGAGTATTGATTCCCAAATGATTGTAATTGGTCTAGCCAAGTCCAGACGATCAAGAGAAATCACACCCAAAGATCAAGAAAGAACCTTGCATAATAGAATGGTCTCCTGATGGATTTGGATACGATAATTCGAGTCTATTATTGACAATAAAGTACGATCCTGCTATTGAGCTGTGGAGTTTGCCTACAACGCAAGGAGTTTTGTACATGAAGAAAGTGGCCGACTTGCTGTCTTGTATCAAATCAACCAAGATATTTTCTGAGCACTGTGTCCCTATCCGCAGCTTCAGCTGTTGTTTCAATAAACCCTCTCTGACGTTGGTTATTTCGATCAATTCTGCGCTCTTTTTCTTCTTTTTCTCTTGGAAGTCAGATCATCTCGATATCGATTTGAAATCGTGTCAATGGTGTCATGAGGACATTACAAGCTGTTCTTGGAGCAATCAAACTCTCTATTGCGGAACCATCTCTGGAAAAGTCATTCAGCTCACTAGCACTGCATTTGCACCGCTTCTCTCCCCGAGTGGAGCCATGGAACTTGATTCCATTCCAAACGAATCAAAACCCGAAACATCGAATTCCATCGAAAGAATAAACTCATTGGAAGAGAAAAGCGATTTCATTCATGTGTCACTCCATTCGACCAGCATTGAAAGCGAAGCCGTGGAGACGACGCTTCTCAATTCCATCCTTCAATCACCTCACGCAATGCAGGGAGGGATTGTTTCAATCCAGGAAACAAATGACAATCGAATCCTAATCCACGACGGAGCGAATCTCTGCGTTCGCAATCCGTATGGAGAATGGGAATATTACAATGTCCCAGATGGAATTCTCTGCGTCAATTCCTCTCTTCAAATCATCACCAAATCGATGCAAATCACAAAACTGAATGAGTTTGTCCAGCCGATCAGTTATTTTCTTCCGCCTCTCACCGACTTTGCACTGATCGACGCCACTCCTCTTCATTCTTCCTCTTCTTTTCTCATTCTATTTTATATTGTTACCGGAATGCGAACCACTTCGGTCGATTTTCGGTTCCAGAACTATTCTCTCCTTTCTGTGGCCATTCCTTCAGAAATCAGTTGGATTCCTGGCTCCGTTCTCCTGCCCCAATGCATGAAGCGATGTTTGTTGCCTCAGTGGAGTTCAGGAAAGCTGGAAACGGAGCAGATTCAAATGATTTATTGTTGGTTATGCAAATTGATGCGTCAACGGCAGAAACTTCCCTTGGATATTAGGGAGGTGCGAAGAGTTTTGCGCGAAAAGTTTCACCAAAAAACAGCAAAGGCGCATGATTCGTTTAGTTTGTGTTACTATTGCCCTTGTTGTGAACAGACATGCTTACAAAGTGAAGGACATTTGGAGTGGTGCTGTCTGGCGTCCTTGGATCTCTACTGTCCAGTAAGCGGAAAATTGCTGTTGGAGAGCAAAGAAGTGAAGGTTTGTCCATGCTGCCAGCTGTCCTATTTGGAGGCTTCAGAGTGCGTTTTCTGTGGATTGAAGCTTCGTTCAATGCTTCGAGGTCCTTGCTTGTCACAACCCATCAATCGTGAATTCATTCATTGCTATCAAGGAACCGAATCGAGTATAGAAGAATCGTGGAATCAAATAGAATCTTATTCAGTCTGGAATGTTTGTAATAATAAATCGCTGAATGAATTCGAATAAAGAAATTGAATGAAATATGAATTCAATCAACAAATATATCAAGAACAATAGTAATCCAAATCATAATATCATTCATATATATTGAGTTAATCAATCGATCAATAGAACCACCCATCTTTACCCAGCAAACAAACAAATGAACAAACAAACAAACAAACAAATGAACGAAGAGATAAATAGATAGATAGATAGATAGATAGATTCAACAAACAATTCATGTTATAAAACGATTCAAAGAATATTAAAACAGTGAATACATTACAAATTATTGAGGCGGTTCTGCAAATCTGACATGTTATTAGTATCCATCGCAGTAGTAGCGGTCGGACCTGTAGTTTCAGCAGGAGCTGCAACCGCTCCAGAAGGAGCAGCAGCAGCATCAGCTAATTGACTGATTCCGATTTCCGCAAGAACCTGATTTACCAACTCATCTTCAGCATCAGCATCGTCTAAATCTCCCATAGCATTATCAAGAGCATCTCCAGTCAATTCTTGCATCATTTCGTTTCTCATTGACTCTTTAGAGTATTCCGCAACAATACGCTGAATAGACTTCGGATCCATCATTCCACTAATTGCTCTATATGTAGCGCAGGCTCCCTTAAGAGCACTCGTAATAGCTTCTTGACCACTCGCAGTCATTAGCTGAATTTGAATACCTTGTAAATTAGCCTTCGCAACCTCGAATTTTTCAATAGCCTTTCTGATTCGGACAAGATCCTTTGCAAATATCTTTACTTCGTTCTATACATAACAAAAACAAGACAAAACTCACAATTCGGCCTGCCTTAGCACTTCTCTTAATCGTGGTCTCCACCTCTCTTTGTCGACGTTTAATTTGTCTTTCTTCTCGATCAATCTCACGAATGGATTGACGAATCGCGCTTTTGTTTTCATTTAATATTTCCTTCGTTGTCTTACTAGGAGCAGCACCCATTATTTAATAATAACTAAACTCAGAAAAATAATATAACGATCCAAGTTATAAACTGTGCCGTTATTTATTGGTGAACCAGTTCTTACTCGATTTAGGGAATCAAGCCCGCATTCCTTCGACTGAATTTGGTTCTTTTTCCATATACTCATGAACAAACGATATTCAATTGTATTTGTCCAAACTAGACTTTTTTGTAAACCCCCATTTTTGGTTTGTGTTTAGTGTGAATTGAGAGATTCAATGTCATCTGTTCCTTGTTATCATCAGTAGGACTCTATAGAAAAGAATTTCGTAATTTTGATAGGCTTGAGGATGTTTACGATAATGTTGGTGAAATCCAATCTCGTTTTACGGAATTGAACAACTTGTTCGAGGAGAAGTATCATTGTAAACCTGACTTCTACGTTCGTGCTCCTGGTCGTGTGAATCTGATTGGGGAGTCTATTATATACTATTTAATTTGATTGTCTCCGATATTGGATGTGAAGAACGGAAAATATTATGTTCACTTTAGCGGATGGCCAAAAAGGTATGATAAATGGGTCGAGTTCGATGATCTCAACAAACAAAATGAAATGAATCGGGCATTGATGAAAATGAACAACAAATCCAATAAAGACAAGGAAAGCAAACCCTATTTCAAAACAAGTCTACTGAGTGAGTTGGTAGTGTATCTCTATGATTTTAATAATAGAACATGGTGAGTGAGATAAAACAAAAATACAAATTCCCATTTTTACTAAAACAACGTCTGGTGGAAGAATGGTACATTGTGAAAAACCGGAAACTCTTTATTCCTCTTCCTCGATCTCCCAATATAAAACAAATTCTTCAATTGGTATGTATTGTGTTTGTTCATTGTAATAGATTAGTGGGAATCAGAATGTAAAAGCGAGTCTTCAGTCGCTCATCAAAGTGCAATCGAAGTATGAAATGAAATGATTGTATGAACTATGTAGTTAATTGAAGGTTTAATGTATTATATGAAGAACTGCATGGACAAATCGATAATCTATCACGAAGAAGAAAGTCAATTTTGTCAAGTGAATGATATAAAGAATGTGAACTATGTTGAAATGTATGGAGCTGAACACTTGCTTCGCGCAGTGTGTATGAAATATGAACTGAATGAAATTAATTTGTGTAGATATGCTTCCAATATTGTACAGTTCTGCGGATATTTCTGAGAAAGAAAGCGAACAGATCCATGAGGTGGTTTTCAGTCTCTATCAGTTTTTACTGAGGCATCCTCAGTATTTCTGCAGCTTCGATGAGTACACGTCTCTGGAAGAGAGTATCAAGAATTTGGTTTGAATTGTAATTTGTTTTATGGACACACCTTTTGTCTCTGCTGAGATTTACAGGGGGAGAGCCTATCCAAAGCAGACTCCTGGGCATACAAAGAAGTGTATTTCTGTGAATTCTGCTGGCTTCGTGGCTCTTATCGATACTTATTCTTGGTTTGTTTTAAATCCATATACAAATGCGGTTTATTCATTTCCTGGAAGTTTTTCAGCGGTCCAAGAGGAAGAAGAGAATACAAGCAGCAAAAAACGAGTATTGATTCCCAAATGATTGTAATTGGTCTAGCCAAGTCCAGACGATCAAGAGAAATCACACCCAAAGATCAAGAAAGAACCTTGCATAATAGAATGGTCTCCTGATGGATTTGGATACGATAATTCGAGTCTATTATTGACAATAAAGTACGATCCTGCTATTGAGCTGTGGAGTTTGCCTACAACGCAAGGAGTTTTGTACATGAAGAAAGTGGCCGACTTGCTGTCTTGTATCAAATCAACCAAGATATTTTCTGAGCACTGTGTCCCTATCCGCAGCTTCAGCTGTTGTTTCAATAAACCCTCTCTGACGTTGGTTATTTCGATCAATTCTGCGCTCTTTTTCTTCTTTTTCTCTTGGAAGTCAGATCATCTCGATATCGATTTGAAATCGTGTCAATGGTGTCATGAGGACATTACAAGCTGTTCTTGGAGCAATCAAACTCTCTATTGCGGAACCATCTCTGGAAAAGTCATTCAGCTCACTAGCACTGCATTTGCACCGCTTCTCTCCCCGAGTGGAGCCATGGAACTTGATTCCATTCCAAACGAATCAAAACCCGAAACATCGAATTCCATCGAAAGAATAAACTCATTGGAAGAGAAAAGCGATTTCATTCATGTGTCACTCCATTCGACCAGCATTGAAAGCGAAGCCGTGGAGACGACGCTTCTCAATTCCATCCTTCAATCACCTCACGCAATGCAGGGAGGGATTGTTTCAATCCAGGAAACAAATGACAATCGAATCCTAATCCACGACGGAGCGAATCTCTGCGTTCGCAATCCGTATGGAGAATGGGAATATTACAATGTCCCAGATGGAATTCTCTGCGTCAATTCCTCTCTTCAAATCATCACCAAATCGATGCAAATCACAAAACTGAATGAGTTTGTCCAGCCGATCAGTTATTTTCTTCCGCCTCTCACCGACTTTGCACTGATCGACGCCACTCCTCTTCATTCTTCCTCTTCTTTTCTCATTCTATTTTATATTGTTACCGGAATGCGAACCACTTCGGTCGATTTTCGGTTCCAGAACTATTCTCTCCTTTCTGTGGCCATTCCTTCAGAAATCAGTTGGATTCCTGGCTCCGTTCTCCTGCCCCAATGCATGAAGCGATGTTTGTTGCCTCAGTGGAGTTCAGGAAAGCTGGAAACGGAGCAGATTCAAATGATTTATTGTTGGTTATGCAAATTGATGCGTCAACGGCAGAAACTTCCCTTGGATATTAGGGAGGTGCGAAGAGTTTTGCGCGAAAAGTTTCACCAAAAAACAGCAAAGGCGCATGATTCGTTTAGTTTGTGTTACTATTGCCCTTGTTGTGAACAGACATGCTTACAAAGTGAAGGACATTTGGAGTGGTGCTGTCTGGCGTCCTTGGATCTCTACTGTCCAGTAAGCGGAAAATTGCTGTTGGAGAGCAAAGAAGTGAAGGTTTGTCCATGCTGTCAGCTGTCCTATTTGGAGGCTTCAGAGTGCGTTTTCTGTGGATTGAAGCTTCGTTCAATGCTTCGAGGTCCTTGCTTGTCACAACCCATCAATTGTGAATTCATTCATTGCTATCAAGGAACCGAATCGAGTATAGAAGAATCGTGGAATCAAATAGAATCTTATTCAGTCTGGAATGTTTGTAATAATAAATCGCTGAATGAATTCGAATAAAGAAATTGAATGAAATATGAATTCAATCAACAAATATATCAAGAACAATAGTAATCCAAATCATAATATCATTCATATATATTGAGTTAATCAATCGATCAATAGAACCACCCATCTTTACCCAGCAAACAAACAAATGAACAAACAAACAAACAAACAAATGAACGAAGAGATAAATAGATAGATAGATAGATAGATTCAACAAACAATTCATGTTATAAAACGATTCAAAGAATATTAAAACAGTGAATACATTACAAATTATTGAGGCGGTTCTGCAAATCTGACATGTTATTAGTATCCATCGCAGTAGTAGCGGTCGGACCTGTAGTTTCAGCAGGAGCTGCAACCGCTCCAGAAGGAGCAGCAGCAGCATCAGCTAATTGACTGATTCCGATTTCCGCAAGAACCTGATTTACCAACTCATCTTCAGCATCAGCATCGTCTAAATCTCCCATAGCATTATCAAGAGCATCTCCAGTCAATTCTTGCATCATTTCGTTTCTCATTGACTCTTTAGAGTATTCCGCAACAATACGCTGAATAGACTTCGGATCCATCATTCCACTAATCGTTCTGTATGTAGCGCAGGCTCCCTTAAGAGCACTCGTAATAGCTTCTTGACCACTCGCAGTCATTAGCTGAATTTGAATACCTTGTAAATTAGCCTTCGCAACCTCGAATTTTTCAATGGCCTTTCTGATTCGGACAAGATCCTTTGCAAATATCTTTACTTCGTTCTATACATAACAAAAACAAGACAAAACTCACAATTCGGCCTGCCTTAGCACTTCTCTTAATCGTGGTCTCCACCTCTCTTTGTCGACGTTTAATTTGTCTTTCTTCTCGATCAATCTCACGAATGGATTGACGAATCGCGCTTTTGTTTTCATTTAATATTTCCTTCGTTGTCTTACTAGGAGCAGCACCCATTATTTAATAATAACTAAACTCAGAAAAATAATATAACGATCCAAGTTATAAACTGTGCCGTTATTTATTGGTGAACCAGTTCTTACTCGATTTAGGGAATCAAGCCCGCATTCCTTCGACTGAATTTGGTTCTTTTTCCATATACTCATGAACAAACGATATTCAATTGTATTTGTCCAAACTAGACTTTTTTGTAAACCCCCATTTTTGGTTTGTGTTTAGTGTGAATTGAGAGATTCAATGTCATCTGTTCCTTGTTATCATCGGTAGGACACTATAGAAAAGAATTTCGTAATTTTGATAGGCTTGAGGATGTTTACGATAATGTTGGTGAAATCCAATCTCGTTTTACGGAATTGAACAACTTATTCGAGGAGAAGTATCATTGTAAACCTGACTTCTACGTTCGTGCTCCTGGTCGTGTGAATCTGATTGGAGAGCATATTGACTACCACGGGTTGGTTATCTACTCACTCCATCACACAAAGTTATTCCGTATTCCCCATGGCTATCGTGAACGACATGATCATTGCTGTATCTTCAGAAGAGAACACTTCTGGAGCGACCGAATTCTCTGTTCACAACGTGGTACGCCCTCCATTCCCTCGCCTGACCGTCAGAATCCGAAGTTCGCATCGAGCACTCTCCCCGTCGATCCCAAAGCTCCCATGAGCCCCGAGCACAACTGGTCTCTCTACTTCCAATGCGGCTACAAGGGTGCCTTCGACCACTTCGACACCGCCGTACCTCTCCTTGCCTTCCTCCACCCCAGCACAATCCTCCTCGCCTCCTCAAGATCGCCATGAGCGGCACCGTTCCTCCCGCCGCCGGCGTTTCCTCCTCCTCCGCCTTCGTCGTCGCCTCCTGCATGGCCACCGCGCTCGCCAACGGCATGGCCTTCGATAAGAGTTCCCTCGCCGAGGCCTGCCGCGTTGCCGAGTTCCCCTTTTCCACCCTTTCCACGATAGGTTCTACATCGGAACCATGGGCGGCGGCATGGATCAGGCCATCTCCGTGCACGGAATCCGCGGTTATGCCTCGCATATTGAGTTCAATCCGCTCAAAGCCACTCCCGTGCAGCTCCCCGCGGGAGGCGTCTTCGTCATCTCCAACTCCTTCTACCAGGCGCCGAAGGCGGTTACCGCGGCTACAGGGTACAATCTGCGCGTCGTGGAGGGCCGTTTGGCGGCAAAACTGATCGCGAAGGCGTTCGGATTACCGCGGTTCTTGGAGTACGTGACGCTGCGCGAGCTGCAGCACGACCTCGGCGACAAAACGCTCGAGGAAATGCAGGCGATCGTCAAGGAAACGCTCCACGAAACGCCCTACACAACCGCGGAAATCGAGGCGGAGCTCGGGGAACTGACGCAACCGCGGTTATTCGCGGACCGTCCGGCGGCGGCGAAGGTGCTGGAGGTGAACTCGTCGTTCAAGTGCCAGCAGCGCGCGCTGCACGTGCTTTCGGAGGCTGATCGGGTTTTGAAGTTCCGCGCGGTGTGCGAAGACGAATTGCCGCGCAAACTGGAGCGGCTCGGGGAGCTGATGAACGAGTCGCATGCGAGCTGCGATGGATTGTATGAGTGCTCGTGCGAGCAGCTGAATGAGCTGGTGGAGATCGCGAGGTCGATGTGGATGATGGGGATGATGCGTAGACGCCATGGAGCGATCGGGTCGAGACTGACGGGCGCGGGATGGGGAGGCTGCGCGGTGCATTTGGTCAAGGAGGAGGCGCTGGAGGAGTTCATGAAGGCGTTGAGGGAGGAGTACTATGTGAAGCATGGGTTCGACGAGGAACAAATCAAGCAGGGACTTTTCGCATCGAAGCCTGGAGCCGGAGCGTGCTACTTTGAGGGGATTGAGTTTTAATCGGCAGGCTTGAGGTGTTTGTTTGTTTGTTTGACATGATAAGTACATGATGAAGAATAGGACAGGAAGGTGAAAAGGGGGGAGGATTGGAGTCGTTGCTTGATTGTGTGTGAATGGTATTCGGAAGGGGTTTTAGGATGAAAGAGAAAGGATCAGATGACAAAAAGAAAAAGAGAAAATGAGAGAAAAGTGGAAAGCAGTGAGTTTGGAACAAAGTGAGCATGTTTGATCGAAACAGGTGATTCACTCATTTTCAGGCGTTTTTCAAACATTCAATAGATGCCTAAACTTGCATCCACCCCCCTCAAACAAAATCCTTTCCATTTCTTTCGTTCCAACAAACAACCCTCCACGACCACAATCCTCCTCCTTCTTCCTTCCTCTCTACTGCACCAGCGACAACACCGTCTGCGTCAGCTCGGGATCCTGGCTCCGCACCGCGATCTTCAGCACACATCCGTACTGCTGGCTCAGAATCACTTGGCACCGCGCCATCACCAGCGTCTCTCCCAGCACGCGTCCCGCGAGCAGCAGCGTATGATTGGTGGCCTACGTCACATCCCTCCGTCACGGCAACCCCCATGGGCACGCGCTCGCTTCCCTCCATGGGCGCGAGCCCCATCACCTCCACGATCTGCTTCACCGCGGTCTCCACGTCCTCGAACGGCAGCGTCACCTTCTCCACGGCCTCGCCCTGCGCCTCGCCGGCCTCGCTCCACGCCGCTCGGAAGTCGCTCACCGCGGGTCTGGCCACGAAGTCGGGGAAGCTCAGGAGCACGTCCTCGACGGGATACTCCTCCTCGAAGCCCTCGATCGCGTCCACGTCGTCCAGCTCCTCCTCCTCCACGTCCTTCGCCACGAACTTCACCGTCGCGCCGAACGCCGCCTCGGGCACGCCTCCCGCGGGATCGAACCCCAGCGCCGCGAAGCAGGTCCCCGCGCAGCCCCAGGGGATCGTGGCCGCGGGGAGCGCGAGGAGCGGCGTCCAGCAGGCGGCGTCGCCGTCGCGGAGAGCGAGCTGGACGGTCACGTCGGTCATGACCTGGCCTTCGATCGTGTTCTCCACGCTGAACTCCAGCACCACGTGCCGAGCGAACACGTGCTTCCGCACGCTCACCGCGTACTCCGTCTCCGCCTCCGTCAGACGCACCGCGGGACTGCTCCGCACCACGCTCCCGAACGCCGCGAACTCCGCCTGCTCCAGCACACAGCTCTGCGACGATTCCCGCGGGACGGACAACGACTCCCGCGGGGAAGAGCACGCCGCCGCCGCCGCCTCCTCGCGACGCGGCTTGGCGATTACCGCGGGGAGATGCTCGAAATCGATGGTTTCCACGTTCTGCTCGCGCGCCGCCAGCAGCCGCTCCCGCAGGTTCCCCGCGTCCAGTTTCCCCGGTTTCTCCAGTTTCTCCGATCGGTCTCCGGCTGCTCCTTCTTCCTAGACTGGACCGGTTTCCCCGTTTCTACCCCTCTCTGCGCGTCCAGATTCCGCAGTGCCACGAGCGCGGCAACGGCTCTTTCCCGCGCTTCGTCGTTCTCGTCGCTCAGACTCCCGCGCAGCAGCGTCTCCACGCCGCGCCTCACCGCGGGGACCCTCTCGGCGAAACGCCCGAGCGCCTGGATGGCCGCCGCGCGCACCGCCGCTCCCTCCAAAATCACGCGGTTGTACAGAAACCGCGTGAAACGCCCGGGCGCCACCGCGGCGGCGCCTTCCGCGGATAACACGTGCAGCACGCGGATGATGACCCGCGGGAAATCGCAGTCCTCGATGCACTCGCAGAGCTGCAGCAGAACCGGCTCCATAGCCGCGGGAATCGCGTGCATAATCGCGATCAGCGTATCCACAATCGCGGTTTTCAGCGCCTCCGACCCCTCCTAGCGCTCACATCCCCGCGGGACGCCTACACAGCGCAGCAGCGAGCCGAGGAAGGCGAGAATTGCCGAGACCTTCTCCGGGAATTTCTCAGTCAAGCTCAGCAAGGACCGCACCAGCAGCTGCTTGAACTCGTCGTCCAGATCGGCCATTGTCCCGTTCAGCTGCTTCAGCAGGCCGTCGATCCTATCGGTCAGCGCGTCCCCGCGGGGATACCGGGCCTCGTCGACGGTCTGCAGCAGCGTGCTGATCGCCAGCGTCGCGATCGACCGGTTCGCGTCGCCCGCCAAAACCTCCAGATCCCCGTTGCAGCTCGCCACGCTCGCCGGATTCCGCCGTGACAACTCGTGCAGCAGCCGAACCGCGGCAAACCGGTTCGCCGCGCGCGACGAGCCCAGCTGGATCTGCAGCATGTTCACCGCGGGGGAGAGCTCCGCCTCGGTCAGATCGGGGAAACGGAGAAACGCGCGGGCAGCTTCGAAGGCGACCATCTAGAGAGAAGGAGAGAACCGCGGGGACATCGTTGGCGTGGCGAAGACATTTGACAAGGAGGTCAAAAAGCGCGGGGCGAAGCTCCTGCGCGGGATCTTCGCGAAGCAGCAAAATGGCGGCACGAAGAAGCTGGCAGACCGCCAACGGCGAAGACGGCAATCGCTGCTGCAGCTGCGCCACCAACTACCCCTAATCGTGGAAACGTGGAACCACCTTGGCGAGCGCGAGCCGGTCGTTGCGTTTCATGGCGAAAAGGAGGAGAAAACCGTGGTATTGGACCATCTCGTCGGTGTAATTCAGCGATTGGCCGATTTCGCTGGACCAGCGACGAATCGCCTCAGGACTCACGCTGAGCAGGTAGAGGCCGCAGAGGAGGGCGGAGGAGGCGACGATCGGGTTTTTGTGGACGATGGCTTGCTTGATGTAACGCTCGGTTTGGGAGAGGAGCGAGGCCTAATGATGATGAGGAGGATGGCATGATCGATCCTACGTCGAGGATGCGGGAGAGTACGCGGAGACTGTTCGCTCGGAAGAGTTCGTTGTCCGAGTTGAGGTCTTTGAGGAGTGTGCTCACGATGATGATAACTTCTTCCGCAGAGGTCTTTTCGGCGATTTCTTTGATGAACAGATAGGCCATGCGACGCAGGTTCGGCTAGAATGAATCAGAATCAGGGAGAGAGAGAAATACCTCCTGGCTTTGGAACAGCTTCGTAGCGCCGAAGAAAACGTCACTCACTTCGTTGTTGGTGAGTGTTTCGCCCTCCACGATCACCAGATAGAGCACTTTCGCCATGAGCAAGCAGCACAAGTCCGGCTTGTTGGTTACGACGTCTGGATTGTTAAAGGCTCTGCATTCCTGCAGAACGGCCGATTTTGTGAGTCCATAGAACGGAGAGCCTACACAGAATCAAAACCATGCTTCTAGAGCGAACGTTTTAAATCGTCGTCCTTGTCGTGCCCTCCCAAATCGAAAAACTCCTTGCGGATGATGTTCAACACAGATTCAGGCTGGTCCTGGTCTTGGTTGTCTTTCCGAGTCTGATTATCCATCAGTAGGTGTGAATCTCCAAGAGAATGGATTTTATGCTGAATCAAGAAATGCCAAAAATCGGGAGAAAACCAGCAAGATTATAGAAGTGTATCATTTTACGGAATATCCTCCCAAATAATTTTGACATGGCATTGACACCGGGAGCAAAGATTGAGGACAGTGATATCGCGTTCATTGCACAACTCGAGCAAAGCATCGAGGAACATGAGTATAGCCGATCTTCGGAGGACATACAAGCCTACCTGAGCGTGAGTCAGTCGTTAGAGGGACTTTTAAGGAATGAGAAGGCGGTCGAACATTTGAAGGATTTTGTCGTGGATGAGCGATGCGAGGAGAATATTCTTTTCCTTTTGGATGTTAATTATTTCAAAATGATCTACAACGACAGTAATTACAGCGTGAGTCAAGTATTTTTGTTCTGCTCTCTGCTATTATAGAAACTATTGAAGGTCAACAAGATTGTACAGCAATATCTAATTCCTGTGTGTGTTTTGTTTGGATTGTGAGTCTAGGGAGAATCGTATGCGCAGTTGTACATTCCACGCTCTGTTATTGACCACTTCCACGCAACATATAAGAAATCAGAGGAGCTTCCTCCTATCACTTTGTTCGATGAAGTGGAGAAGGTTGTGATCGAAACGGTTCGCAAAGTAGTTGCACGGGGTCTGCGTAAGGCATAGACGAGTTATCAAAAGTTCATTCGCTCAGCAAATATTCGCCGATTGCTCGCCATGACAGTCCAAGACATAAAGGTAATGCCAGAAAATGTAATCGAATTATAACGTATTTGTTCACAAACACTCCACTTCGACTCGACTTTCTTTGGAGAAAAGTAACTCAAAATATCACGCGAGGCGACCATTCCCTTTTTCATCGCTTTCTTTTTCTCTGGACTGTAGCTGCTACTACTCGCAGTCCCATTATTTGTATTACTGTTTGTATTAGTATTTATATTTATATTAGTATTAGTATTGCTGTTGCTATGGCTATTCCTAGACTCACTTCCATTCCCATTGCTTTCCTGTTGTTGTTCCTGTAATTGTTCCTGTTGTTGTTGTTGTTGTTGTTTCTTCTTCTTCTCTTCGCTTTTAATCGCATCAAAGATCGACGACGCCACCACCGCCGCCTTCAATCCGCTTCGAAACGGCGTTCCCGGCCGACTGGACGCTCCCGACTCCCCGTTCACATGCACCTTCTTGCTCTCCGGCGTCGAAAAACTATCCGTGTGAACGAGAATCTCCGGGATGTTCGACCCCACGTTCTCCTCGTCGCAGCTGCTATCCACGATCAAGCGAGAGACCTCTCGCAGCCTCCACTGGTTCCCATACCGCCGGCTCTTCCACAGATAATCCTCGTCGTTCGCCTGGCTGTCCGCGATGATGTTCGCCTTCCCGTCCTTCGGCGAATCCACGTGCGAGTCCGTGATCGCGCTCGGATGCACGTTGCTCAGCTGCTCATTGCAGAGCAGATTCGACAGCGACTCCTCCTTCTCCTCCGGAAATAACTGGCTCGCCAGCTGGCTCGCGAGCTGCGAAAACTCCACCTATCGCTCACTCTGCTCTCGCAAAGCCAAAACGTTTTGGATCCAGGGGTGCTGCAGCGCCTCGTCGATCGTCAGACGCTTCGCCGGATCCACGACGACCAACTTGGTGATCAGATCCTTCGCTTCGGCGGAGATTCCCTTCCACACCGGGCTCTGGAAGCTGATTTCCGCGCCCATGATTTGCTGCGAGAGCGATTCGGCGCTGAACGGCAGGCTTCCCGACAGCACGACAAACAGCAAAACGCCCAGACTCCACATATCGACCGCTTTTCCGTAGGTGGTTTTGAGTCCGTGCTTCCCTCGACGCTCCAGAATCTACGCGTCGATTGCTGCGAGAGCAAGAAAACCTCCGGAGCGTAGTACTGCGGCGTTCCGCAGTAGGTGTGAAGGCCGTCGGCGACCGACTTGGCGAGTCCGAAATCGGTGACTTTGATGGCGGTGTTGTTGTTTTCGTACATGAGGAGAATGTTCTCGGGCTTGATATCGCGATGCACGATGTTCCGATGGTGGAGATAGTGGATCACTTCCAGCACGTTCTGCATCAGCGACCGCGCCTCCACCTCGTTGTATCGCCCCAGCTTGATGATTCGGTCGAAGAGATCGCCGCCCGTCACGAGTTCCATGATTATGTATAAGTGTTTCTGCGGCGTCAGACCCGCGCTCCATCCCGACCTTTCCCTGAATGATTTCCTTCATGAACGGAATCCCTGGATGGCTTAAGCTGCCCAGAAGCTCCGCTTCGCGCAGGATCGTTTTCATCTGGTCTTCCTACGACGTTCAGAGCTCTCTACGCCGCATACACGGTACATGACTTGGCGGAGATCGATGATCTTCGCGGCGTACATGTCTCCGGTTGAGATTTCGCGGCAAAGCTTGACTTCGCCGAAATTGCCCTTGCCCAAGGGGCCTTCCATTCGATACCGATCTTCAAAGCCATCCAGTCTAGAGAAGAAATCGTGGAGAGAGAAGAGAAAAGTACTCTTGAGAGACGAGGGAGTTCGTGACTTGAAGGGGCTTGGATGGGTCTTGAAAGATGAAGGCATGCACTTTCGATGCAGAGGGATTGAGAGAGGAGGAGGAGGAGGATGGCGTGGCAAAAACTAGACTAATCGTATCTCCCTAGAGAAAGGAAGCATGAGAACAAGGTACGTGAGTGAGAGAGAAGCGCTGATTCTTTGGGAGTCGATCGCCATTGATATATGTTCCGTTGGTGCTGGTATCAATAAGAATGATTTTGCAGGGAGAAACAGCACGATCAACAAAAATACGGCAGTGGTACTAGAATAGCAATAAAGAGAGCAAGCTCTACGGAACTAATATAGTTTTCTGGAAAGAAAATATCACACTGCGGATTGCGACCAATAACAAACTAGAATCATCAAACTTTAAAAGTAAGTACTTCGTCTTTTCCACCGAGCTCAAAACAGGGATCAGACGAGAGACTAATGAGTTTCCCCCACAACTTCACATCCTATTCGTTAATATCAAACCGACATCAACTTACATTTTCAATTTCATTCACATTTTGAGTGTTGCTGCCGGGTCTATGGAAAAGGGGAAAAACAAAGACTACGACTCACCAATATTTTGCGTCGCCGGTATCTCATTCATTGAGATATTTTTTACCAAAAAGCCTGTGTAGTAAACTACATAAAGAATCAAATCGATTTGGTTTCATCCGCTATTATACCAAAACTATCTCGTATTTTGGGGTGGAAAATCGAAATCTGGCTAGAAAAGATTCCACACGGTGATGAGTAGTTTGTATATAGAAGCTTCGAAAATCATCCAACAGTTCTGGAACAAAAGAGCTTCTCTGAAAACTCTTGTATATGGCTCACGTTCTGATAAAAAAGTAAATTAGTTGATCGTTATTTTACATCCTAGGGATATTTGTTTGCGTTATGCTCAAAAACATTACAAGCACAACATCTACTCCAGAGTATTATAGAAAATTGCGATGCTCTGGACAAGGAAACAGTTCGGAACAAATCTCTTCTATATGTAATGCTTTATGACGAAATATTTGGCCAAGGAGTTAGAGTACACAACTAATTTTGCATAGAAAATGTAGGGGGGAGGAGCTCTTGCTCGTGCCATTCGCCAAGCCAAGCAGCCAATTATGAAGTATCTGTCGATTCGAATGAAGGAATCCAATGTAAATTCTGTTCAAGAACTGCTTCCTACGAATGAGAATACGAATGCGAGCACACAGTCCATGGAGGTAAGGACTCAATCTCTTCTAGAGATTAGAAATGGAAATTCATCCGTGTGAATCAAGTGAAGTCTTCTGTCGACGCAGTACTTGAGAATCTCCAACGTAGAACCGAAATCGTTTTGTTTTCTTATTTTTTTTAGAAAGCTACGGCAAGGAGCAGGTATCCCGAGACACCCTCATCCCCTGCGTTCTACGAATTCCAGCATCGCTCGATATCCACGACAACCCGCTCGTCACTTCTTCCACTGTGATTCTTCAAACCAAAGCGTCTTGTCTCCCTCCTTTTTTCCTGATGGCCAAAACGAATCCTAAAGAACGCTTCGATGTGATCGACGCCACTGCTGCACCCGGAAACAAAACCACTTTCTTAGGCGATTTGCTTCGCGACCGAGGCACTGTCTTCGCATTCGACCGCGACGCAAAGCGATTTCAGATTCTCTCGCAGCGCTGCGAGGCTTTCGGCAGCGGAAACGTCGTCGTTTTGCGGGTAGAATCACGGACAGATCGAATGCATTCACGGAAACTTTCTCGAAACGGATCCTTCCTCGCCCAAATTCCAAAACGTGAAGTGCATTCTGGTCGATCCTTCTTGCAGTGGCAGCGGAATGACGCATACGTCTCTCGATATCACACCTCCATCTCGCCAGCGAATCCAGAGCCTGACCAAGTTTCAGTTGCAATGCATCGAGCACGCGGCGAAATTTCCATCGGTGCGTCGCATCAGCTATTCGACGTGTAGTGTTTACAAGGAAGAAAACGAGGAGGTGGTTGCCAAGGCACTGAACAGCCTGGGTTCTGCTTGGGAACTGGAAGCGATTGCTCCAGAACTGGGTCGAGGAGGATTTGTGGTTGATGGTCTGAGTGAAGCGCAAGCTTCGTGCGTAGTTCGTTGTGAGAAGGAGGATGAAGAGATGGGTCAAGGCTTTTTTGTGTGCGTTTTTACCAGAAAAGATGGAAAGAGGGAAAAAGAGGGAAGTGAGGCGAAGAGTCGAGCGAGCAAAGTGAAAAAGATGGAGAAAGTGGTGAAGAAACCTGTGCTTCGCAGTGTATCGAAGAGTAAGAAGCGAGCACCCAGGCATGGAAAAAAGGTACCTTTGGTGAAATAGTATTGTTTGTTTAATATAGTGGATAGAGAGAAATGGGTACGTAGAGCATGAAGCAAGGAATCACAAATACTGCAGAGAAAGCACATTATCAATTTGGTTTTATGATACAAAGAGGACTGTGTTTCTATGGGTATCTATAGAGGGGTATATTCTTTGATGAATTGATAATGAAAATTGAGAAAAAAGCAATACTTTGATAACAGATAATTGTCATCAAATTGGTAATAAAGAATGATATCCTTATTATTAATGTGATGATGGAGAATGATGACGACAATTGTGATTCCTTTGTCGTTGGATAATCCTCCAACCGAATTTGAGTCCTCAACTGCCCTTCCTTGATTAATCGATCGATAATTATCGGTCAGGAACCGGACTTCACACTAGCTTGCGCCAAAGTCACACTTCTAGTTGATATTATTAGGATGACTCATTTTCACTGTTTTTTTAATTAGTATTTACATTGTACACCACAAATCCATTTTGCACTAAACGCACAATTGCAGCTCTAGTTTGACAATCGTATCGAATGGTGCAGATCCACATTTATCACATTCGATTCAATATTAAATCTGAAAGAGAATAGTATCCATTCTCGTTAATCACTAATAAGAGTATAATTCATATAAATATTACCATATGCTACATCTCAATCTATCTGAAGACAGTGACTAGTTGAAAATATGCCCAAATTGAATGTGTTTTACCAATGTTAAGAAGGTAATACGGTAATCAAATAGAGAAGAAATTCATTTTATTTTGGTAGTTTCTTTGTAACATATTATCATTACTAATAAACTCATCTAGAATTCTGGCAATCAAACAAATTGTATTATGAAAATAAAACCATTATATATGTCTCATGGTATGGAAAAGGAATCGGGGTTTGAGGTTGATATTTGGAATTGATGTATTACCAATCAATTTCCCATTTGTACTATAAATAAGATTGATAGTGAGAATGTGATTCTGAACATTGGTTCTCCACATCAAGGTTACACGATTCAAACGAAAATGAAAGATTGAAAATTAAATGGGAAAGCTGTTATCAAAACGACGAACAATACGATAATAGCAGAATTCGAGTATCGAAGTAACGAGAAAAAAAGACAATGTGAATTGTATTATGATTCAGGCGAATTATATTTTGATTCGGAATGTGATAATAATAACGAAAAGGATCCATCAATGATAGTCTCATATATATGGATGAGTAGATTGATGGCATGGAGGTATAAACAAAAAGAGTTATAATTGGAATAATACTGATCATTCAATGTTATTAAAACATCTAGATTCAATAATTCATATACTGATTGATTTTTATAAGATCAGCGAGAATGGAAGAAACATCTATGAATCAAATCAAATCAAATCAATCAAACTATACTCGAAATTGATTTCGATCGAACACACTCGAATGAATCAGGTAGATTGACATTTTGAAGATTTGGAATATCTATATACTATCAATATTCAATATTCAATAATACTTTCCAATGTTACTACATAAGAAAAACGTAAACACTCACCTTGAGATTCAATGGATGTTAGATTTGGAAGATCTATACTCTATCATTCAAATCAGTTCATTATTACCTCGCATTACCAAGGAACATGCGTCATCATCAACCCTTCCTCGTAACGCACATTTACCGAGTTGAATGGATTGTAATGATAAAAGATCTATATCAATCATTTCATTCGAATTCATTCAATACTCTCAATGATTGTTAATTTTGATTCATGGAATACTAGATTACCTAATGTAATGAATTGTAGATTTGGCAGATCTATGCATTACCCAAATATTCAATATCATATCAATACCTCGAATCACAAATGAACTACCATAAAAATTGTATGACCAATTTCCAATTGTACCAATTTGAATGGATCGTAATTGTGGACAATTCTTCAATTCAAAGTCTCCAGCAAAATCACTGAAACTATATTCACCAATTTGAATGGATTCCAATGATTCACAATTCAATATGTGGAATGATTTCGACTCATCATTTCCAAACCAACTCTTTTTATGAGTAAACGATTTCTTACCGATTTTGATAGTTTTCAATCGATTCAATCCATCGATTTTGAATGCTTTCACTAATCCAAAACAATCATTGCCGATTTCGATTGATTCCAGACGAATGAAACGAGAGAAATCAAATACTGAATAATCAATCACATTACAAGTCCAATTTGGGATTATTATCGATTTTACTGTTGAATCGATGGATTGAATGAAACCAATCTCATACACTGTTGGAAACAATAAATCACTAACATCTAAATGTAATTGATAACAAAAAGGACTATAATTACCATTAACGACTGTGTGATATACAAGCTTTAATGAATCAGGAAGATCGACATTTTGAAGATTTGGAATATCTATATACTATCAATATTCAATATTCAATAATACTTTCCAATGATATTACACGAGGATGATAAAAACTCTCTCCTTGAGATTCAATGGATGTTAGATTTGGAAGATCTATATTCTGTCATTTCAAATCAGTTCATTATTACTTTGCATTATCAAGGAGCATGAGTCATCGTCGTCTCTTCCATATAGTGCACTTCTACCGAGTTGAATGGATTGTAATGATAAAAGATCTATATCAATCATTTCATTCGAATTCATTCAATACTTTCGATTATTGTTGATAATGATCTACGGAATGTATCGTCACCTAATGTAATGAATTGTAGATTTGGCAGATCTATGCATTACCCAAATATTCAATATCATATCAATACCTCGAATCACAAATGAACTACCATAGAAATTGTATGACCAACTTCCAATTGTACCAATTTGAATGGATCGTAATTGTGGACAATTCTTCAATTCAAAGTCTCCAGCAAAATCACTGAAACTATATTCACCAATTTGAATGGATTCCAATGATTCACAATTCAATATGTGGAATGACTTCGATTCATCATCTCCATAATCATTCTTCATCTGAGTAAATGAATTGTTTCCGATTTTGATAGTTTTCAATCGATTCAATCCATCGATTTTGAATGCTTTCACTAATTCAAAACAATCATTGCCGATTTCGATTGATTCCAAATTATACAACAATGAAACATCCCAATCAACCAATACACAATTGTCACTCAGTTTCAAATGTTTCATTCCCATATTCATTGGCTTGCTTCCATCTCCTTCATATTTTTCATCAGTATCACTTTCAATTCCATTATACCATTCACATTCATTCACTAATTTACCATATCGATCATACACTTTTCCAATTCCAAATCGATTATCATCACACCAATATCCTTCATATTCTATACATCCATTATTATGATAACTCGTTCCATATCCAAATCGTTTCCAATTGATCATTATGCCCTTGAACACCAATATTCCATCATCATCATACATTTCACCATATCCAAATGGAATTCCAATTTTATCTTCTTTTTCGTTTTCTTTTTCTATCAATACCAAGCCTTCAAATCGACTTCCATGATCCAAATCCACGATTCCTTCTACTACTACTTCTATGGATTGTTCATCATTATATGAAATAGCACCAATTTGATGATTTCCAAACACTTTCAACACTTTCTGCTCATTGAGGACAAATCCTTGATTCATGAATACTCCATTATTGAATTGCAATACTACACATTCTCTATTACTCATAATGAGTAAAATCCAGCCATCCACTTTCATTTCTTCACTCAAGCACGTCTGCACATTTTTAATAATGGAACTATCAACATGATAGTTACTAATAGCAGAATTGACAAAATCAGCAAGTCTTTGCATTTCAATCACCTAATATAAGAAAACCTAGCAATTTCTCTATATGCTTTTTTCTCCAATGTTGCCCGACATCATACAACTAGCATCATTATCTCTCGTTACTTATTTCTACAAACACTATTAACTCACAAAAGTTAGAAAATCATGAAGATCCTCCTCTCTTATATTCTCATCCTTCAGCTTCGTTTGCAAATGCTTCATCATAAAGTACTTCACAGTGACCGAATCCAAATTCAAGTTAATGTTAAACATGTCCGCAACTTCCTTTGCCCGACTTAACACAGATTCTGGAATCATTGAGAGTCTGGCTACATTCAATCCAAAACTCTCCGGACAGACTCCCTCAACCAGTTTGTATAAAAAGGTCACTCGATCCTGACCGTTCACTTGTTCCAAAAGATAGGACATATATCCAGTACTAATCGAAGGATCGTTTACAAAGGAGGTGATAATAAAGTTATAATGCGTAGAAAAGAGGAGACGGCACTTCTTAATGTGCGACAAGTACTTCAGGACTGCATAAACAATCGCAGATCCATCATAAGTGCTGGTTCCACGTCCCAGCTCATCGATGATTAGAAAACTGTCTTCTGTGCAGTTTGATAAAATCAGCGAAGTCTCGATGAGTTCTACATAGAACGTGGACTGGTTCGATAAAATCCGGTCTCTAGTCATCACAAAACAAAGCAGATATCGACTGCGCACCAATGCGAGTGAAAATCCGATCCACTGGACTCAAACGCATGTAGGAAGCAGGAACAAAGCAGCCAATCTGAGCAAGAATAATGCTCACCGCAACTTGGCGCAGCAGAGTGCTCTTTCCGCCCATATTCGGACCTGTAATGATCTTGCAGCTCGCTACACAATTCAACTCTACTCGAAGTCGCTACCTGCGCTTCCTCCGAGCGAGATGTCGTTCGCAATGAAGTCGCCGTGGCTAAACGTGTTGATTACGCAGGGATGACGCGAGTTCTGAAGCTCGAGAACAGCGCTCGCCCCTCGGCCGCGTTCAACGAAAAGAGGACGCGCGCAGTCTCCTCGATTGTCCCCCACAGACGACGCAACGGCTAGGGATTGAAGAACGTCCAGCGTGGCCACGCAATTCACCATCTGTTTCCAATGATCGTAGTGCTAAGCTCGAGAAACACATCCATCTCTACTTGATAGAATTTGGTAAACACCGTGGCCGTGCAATTCTTGAGAGCAGTTTGCTTTTTATCTTCGAGAACTTGCAGTCGAGCGAACTGCTCCTGGATGTAGGGAGTCCAGAAACGTTTGAAACCCTTCTTCCGCGATTTCAGCAGAAACTCCTTCGGCATGGCTCCGAGACTTTGACAGACCGATTCTGGGAACTGAAGTTGGAAGCGGTCCTTGTTACTTCCGAAATACTCGATCTTTCTACCAGAAAACGCAAACAGAATGACTACTGGCAATGAAACCGGTTTCGAATCTCCTCGAGATAGTTCTCCAAGTTTCGCTGCGTGCTTTGAAGATCCATAGAAATCTTGTCCAGCTCTGGATCCATTCCAGGCTTCGGCATGATAATTCCCTGCTCGATAGCGACCTCGTGATTGAAGGAATGATCAAAAAAGTCGAGCACACTGGTCATATCTGGGAATTCAAGTTTGTTCGTCGCAGAAGAGGATGAATCCAAAGAAGAAATCGTAAACAAACTCCGCAAAATCTCGGAGGAGAAGGACTCAGACACCGATTTGAAGGTTTTGAGGATCTGCTTCATTACCTCGATCAATTGCACAAAATCTTTGATCTTCCGCGTGTTGTATCTAGTGAAAACTTCTCCTCGGATCGTTACTTTTTGTCCTCGTAGTACTGCGCACGATTATCCGGATGCGCTTTGAGAATTACGCTCTGGCAATAATCATGAAGACGGCTGAGCAGTCTATCTACATCGACTATTCCTTTAAACGACGTCGTGATGAGTTGACTGATATGGGTCTTCGAAATCAATTCCTCCACAGCATCCAATCGTCTAATCGATTAGAAAGCACTTCAAAAGACGGACTTGTTTATGGCGTCAATTTGATAAAGTGGCTTGCACAACCATTCTTTCAAAAGACGTTTTCCGAAGGGAGTCACTGTATGATCGATATACTGGAACAGCGAATTCGTGGATGGATTCGATGGGTCTGGAAGAATGTCAAGATTCCTCAGCGTTATCGCATCGAGAATCATGTTCGATTGGGTTGGCACTTCTTCCAATTGATTCGAAATGAAGGGAACAAGCTGGTCTCGCTCTCGATCGATATTGTCAATCAGATAGAATTTATGTTGGCTCATGAGCAATCTGGCAACACAGCATCGATGCAAATAAGCAGAGCTCAAATACAACGCTGATAAAACTTGAGAGAAGGCTGGCTCTGGATGCTCGCGGTCCTTTACGATCATCTCTAACAGATCGGGCCATTCTCCCTTTGGCATCGAATCGTCGTCTGTGTCAAACAGATTGTTTTGTTTCACGAGTCGGAGCAGATGCTGCGGCTCGAATGACGACTGAGGATCCACGAACGACAGCATTGCAGACGGGCATTCTCGGCGGAGGAGCTGGATCGTTCGGGAATGAAGCGCGTTCTTGTGAAGAATGAACTCGGTGGGAAGGAAGCGCAAAAGCTGCGTCCGAAGGGCGGTTCGCTGGTCGTCGTCGATAAACTGGCCGAGATAGAAATCGCCAAACACTACAAAGAAGGTAAAGAAAGGAGACTACCTGTATCGACAATGCACAACCCAATCACGACAGCCGCATTCTTTCCTCCTTGAACCATTTTCTTTCCCTTTTCTTCGTCCTTTCCCAAATCTTCTTCTTCTGGACTTTCATCTTTTCGCTCTTCCACAATGGAGCAAAGGATGCGATGATCCTTCTGGTTGTAGATCTTGTCGACCGTTCCATGGCCTGCTACGCCGGGCGTGATGATGCTGCACACTTCTCTTCGGACTACTTGCGACTATGCGTTATTTCGCTCTCGATCAACGTGCTTTTTTCTCGGAGACTGCGTTTCTCTCCTTCATCTGCTGCGGAGTTTCCGTTTGCTCCACGCGCGCCACACGATAATTCGCATTGACGAGTTGATTACTGAATTTGCTGTAGGCCGCTTCAGGGAAACCAGCATGCGCAGTTTCTCCTTTCATATACACCAGATCGCAGACTTTCACTACGATATCGGCGTCCATGTGATAGGTTTCATAGAACTTTCCCACCTTCATAAGAAGGACACAATCGAACGCTTGCTGCTTCACGGCCCACCATTGCTTCATCCCGTTTGTACAACCCCTCAGATAGTCGGAAGGAACAAAAAGCGACGTGGGGTCGTATTTCGGATCGGAAGGAGAATGCTTATACTTGTCGCGTGGGTGAATCATCCATTCAGTGTTGTCGTGCGCATGTTCGCCTGCGTTTAGAATCACAGCTCCCTTCTTCTCCGATAGTTTCTCGTCATCTAACCCCGCTTCCGAAGTGCGTTGACGCTTTGGTGTGGATTTTGGAGTTGAAGAAGGTCTTGGAAGTTTGGATGGCGTGGAAACCGGCGAAGAGGAATAAGCAGAAATTGAAGGAGCGGGTCGTTTTGTGGGTGTACGAGGAACAGAAGGGGTGATGGCTGGTTTCGAAGGCGTTTTCTTTGAAAGAATCGGTGCATCCGAGTCCGAATCGGAATCGGAATCACTCACGATGAATCGACGGAGTTTCGCAATGGGAATGTCATCATCTTCGTCGTCGTCGTCGTCATCCTTGTCGTCGTTTGAATTGGGTTGGTAGGCATCGTCCGAGTCAGTCGACTTGCTGGTCTGGCTTTTCCGGCTTGATTTCACAGGCTTTGGACTGTTCTTTATAATAGGTTGCTCTGGCGCTGAATGAGGCTGCTCTGGAGAATGCTGTGTGGGGATCTCCTGCTTTGATTCTGCTTTGTTTTCCGTTTCTATCTCCATTTTTAATTCGGGTTCTGTTTCCGGTTCGGGCTCCGGTTCTTGTTCCATTTTCTTGTTTGCAACATCCGAACCCTTCGCTTCAGACTCCACGATTTCATACTGCTCCTTTGTACTATCAATCCACTCAACTTCCCCATCATCATAACTACATAGCAGAGAACAGAGCAAATATACAGAACTTCGAGCTTCTCTTGCTGCTGAGATCGTATAGTGCCAGTATACCATTCATCATCCTTCGATTATGAGACAAGATCAACTCTTACATTGGGCCAATAGATACGAATTCGTTTATTCACTTTACTGCTTTCAGACACTACACTCGTTGGAGAAGTTACCTCCTCCTTCTTCAAAAGTGGTTGTTTCGTTTCTTTCTCCGAATTCTGTATGCTCTTTACAGGAGATGAAGTAGAGGGAGTTTGTTGGCTCGGAGAAACTAATGATTCACTTGAGACTATCCAAATCAGTACCCTTCTTGGGACTTTTGAAAAAATCAAATAGCGTTTTCTTCTGAGGCGTCGATTTATTGCTTCTGACCATTCTCAAAAGAAAAGAAAAGGAAAATGCAATTTTGGGTGGCTTTTGGCGGTAATTTAAATACATCGATTCTAGATTCTATCCATTGATTTGCAGCATTTCACCAGGTATCACGCCATCTTTCATACAGGTGACTCCATTTTACATTATAGCACTATATCATAATTTAGTTTGCAATAATATGTCATATCAGAAGTGTTTGAATAACATCACAAATTCATCACTCTGAGTTGTCCTAACCATTTTTACAATGAAAAGGGGATGGCAAAGTGAAAGGTCAGAGAACGAGTTGAAACAAGAAGAGGAAGTGATAAACAATGTAGGAACGAGTAAAATCGAGTCTCATTTTGCAGCTCATGGAAGAAATTAGAAACACACCCGATTCTGTGGATGCTTTTATGTTAAGAACTGTTCCTGTTGAATACAACACAGAGTTAGAAAAGCAATGTAGAAATGGCGATTTGAGTTATGTTGCTCCTATTTACTTCGAATCATCTGTAGTTTTCCGTCGAGAAGTACATTTCCTTTCCTCCTGCAGTTCAGGAAATACAAACACAGTCAGGCTATATTCCAGAGTTTAATCTGCTCTATGTTCTGGGTGTCAACGACATTTGGTTCTGGGTTCTGGGTTCAAACAAGCACTGGATATGTTATAGAGAGTTATTAGATCGTGTCATAAAGATTTGCTATTCAAATTATCCAGGACTTGTTGTTGTGACCAAATCGCAAATTGTTCTTCTGGAGCTTCAAGTGGATCGTTTCTCTGTGGCTGTTCCGAGACAAGTTTACAGCGAACCAATCCGTGGAGAGTCCGTGACGGACCTTCAGTACTGCAATGGTCATATATACGTTGTCTTTCAAGATGGAACCATTAGCGAGTTCTGTCCTTCTGTCAGACGAACTTTCTTCAGTTTTCCTCTCTCTTCCGTGATTCCTCGGTCCTCCTCTTCGCCTATCCGACTCATGCGATACGACGAAGCGAGCAACTACCTCTACACCCTTCTAGAGAATGAGAGAATCTGCGTCTATGCGGTGAACGCGGACTCGCTGACACTGTTGGACACCATCGAGAATATCACCGAAGTCGCTCAAACCCCGATCCAATGCGCGTCCGATTGGACTCTAATCGGTTTGGATTTCCTCCCTTACGGACTCTGTCCATTCCCTGTTCTCGTCGCCACGGCACGCAATGGAACGCGGTTTTTCCTTTGTGTGAAAGACGGCAAGCTCCAGCGCTCCCTCCTCCGCCTCAGCTCGCAGAACGGACTCACAGTGAACTCGACGGCGATCGTTGGAAGCACCTTCGTGCAGACCACTGCTGCCAATCAAGTCTTCTTTACCACGCGATGTGCCAGTCCGCATCCCGTGTATCTCGAGGTCTCGGAGCTGCTGAAGGAGAAGTTCCCCGCGATCGAGCGTGTCTATTCCCTTCCGGAGCTCCAGATGCATCGGAAATGCTCGCGCCATCGATGCGAACTTCGCTTTTGGTAGGCTTCAAGCAGCTTTTGCGATTTTAGCGGAATCCACAATCTCTTGTTTGACGACGTCGAGACGAAAATTCTGTTCGTGGGCTACGGGTTCGCAGCGATCGTGACCAAAGCGATCTATCACACGGCGATTCGCAACATCGCCGATGTCTCGCGAGCCTCGCCCATCGAAATCTTTGAGTCCTTCTTGGTTTCGGAGCTTCCAGATCCCTCGGAGCTTTCGGAACTTTCAAAGCTTTCAAAGATGGAATTGGACGCGATTGCGTCGATCTCCTTCCCCTACACGCTCATCCAGCAAACCTTCGCGCGTCTGCTCGATCCGATTTGGAACCATCCTCTCTTTACGCTCTCCTCCTCGCTCACCTTCTCTCAATCCATCATCGAGCGTCTTGCGAGCATTCTCCGCCAGTTCAAGCGCTTCTACGAATCACATTTCGATCTCAACTCCTCCGACGACTCCGCGTTGAATCCGCAGATTGGGAACGACTACCGTTTGCTCTGCAGACTGCAGGATATTTGCGGCCTCTCCCTTCACGTTCACCTCCACTCCTTCCATTCCCTCTAGTTGCTCGCTCTGGACTGCAGACCGCTCGTTCTCGTCGACAAGCGCTTGCTCTCGGTGCTGGCCAACGCCTCTCTGAAGATGTGCGTGCTGCGCCCCAACGCGCTTCGCTGCCTCGAGAAGACGGTTCTCCAACTGATCGAGCGCTTCTACATCCCGCGATGCTCCGACTACGACCAGTTCGAGAAGATCTGCGAGTCGCTTCAGCAGGAATGCGGAGACTTCTTCAGCCCCTGCGAGAAGCTCTTCATGGAGGCGCAGTTCTTGGTCCGAACGCCCGACGTCTCCGAGAACCAGCTCTCCTTCGCGGCCGACAAGCTGCAGCGGATCTTCGGGCTGACGCCCTTCTCCAAAGTGGATCGATTCGTTCGTCGTATCGAGCGGATTCTGCTTCCCGACAGGCCCGAGCTCGCGATCCAAGTCTTCCTTCAAGGCGCGTCGCACATCCAGCTCGCGAACTGCAGCGACGGACCCAACTGCTCGAAGCTGCGCATGCTGGACAACCAGAAAGCGGCTCGCGCTTCGCTCATCGCCGCGGCGCGCGCAGTCGTCGAGAGCACCATCGACGCGCCGTCTGCAATTTCGAATCTCCAGAAGTTCTGCGATCTGGCGTCGCAATCGTCGGTGTTTGATCTATTCAATTGGCTGATGGCGACGCATCGCGAAGATCTGCTGATTGAGCTGAAGCACAAAGAGCTCGAGCAGTTCTTGCTGCATCAGGATTTCTTCACATTGCAGCGACTCTACGTGCATCGAAAAGAGATCCGAAAGGCGATCCAGCTTCTCTACGAAGTCGCTGTGCTGTCGCATCACATCAATATCCAGCTAAACGAGCGAATCGAAGCGCTCAATCTCTGCATTCAGCTATTCGACCAGGTCGATTTGAGCTTGGAGCCGTTTTCGTACCCCGAATTAACGCTCCCCAACTTACGCCATCACTTGAATTACCTTCTGATTTGCTACGAAACCGGTCTGGACGCCGTCGATCTATCGCACTGCGACGAGCTGCTTCGGTCGTGCCGCGAGCGCCATCTCTACGATCTCGTTCTCTATCTGCTGCAGATTCAAAACGACAACGACGAGAAAGCCGTCAAGGACGCGTGGAACGACTTCATGAACGCGTGTTTCGACACGTACGCCATCGAGGACAGCGTGGCGCGCATTATTGAAACGATGGTTCGCCTCGCAGATGAAACGATGATCCCTCTGGCGCTGATTTTAGAACGCGTGCTGATCGCTGGCTATCAAACTCCCGAGCGGATTGTGCGCGAGAGTGGATGCAGCGTGAGCTTCGTGACTCACCAGCTGCTCGAGCTTCTGCGGCTCCGTCTAGAAGAGGATTGGCGTTTGAAGGTCGCAGCGCTGACGTTGAAGTAGAAGCGAAGGATTGGATGCATGATAGAGTTTATTCGCCGCCGATGCGATCGCTGTTGCAGGTCATCGAGGGCGATTTGGTCGCCATTCTGGAACACCAAGACGAAGCCAAGCAGCTCATCGAACAGATCCACTCGTTGCTTTATTCTGTTTGTTGAAACAAACACAAGCGAACATTCAGGATTTTGTTATGTCTTTGTTTTGATTTTCATTTATTTTGTGCTTTGTATTAATAATAATAACAGTAGTAATAGTAGTAATAATAATATTAATAACCTCATTACCATAAGTTATATCCTTCTTTCTGGTTTACTTCATATCAAGAATCATGTTGATCATCGGCAGCACATCATCATTCAGCAACGCGTTCGATTTCAACTTGTTCGCCTCCATAAAGCTCACCACATTATTCAGATTATACGCCCATCGTCTCTTCTGCACCTGCAGCGGAGCCGCTTTAAAGTGCGCCTTTTCCATGAACACCATATCGTAAATCTCCCGACACTCCACCACGTTATGCGGGAACGGCGCCAGGCACGTCTTCGCGTTCTCCGGCGTGCACAGCACCGATTTCTGCAGATTTGACTGGGCATCGCGCAGGATCGGCTCCAGACGGTTATACACGGGGAGCTTCTGCAGAAGGACATCGATGGCGCTCAGCACGCGGCGGATGGACGCCACGACGAGGGTTGGGTTCTTTACCGCGTAGCGATAATCGCAGATCGTCCAGGTGCCGTCGTTGAGGAAGGTCTGCGATTCATGGTAGGATGGGTGAGTACGCTCATAAGGCGGTTCAGATCTCTCTGGAACTGCTGCTCTGCCGCTTCGGAGAGGGTGGGAATCAGGAACTTGATTGCTGACTTGAGGACATCGATCATGAAAAAAGAGTTCGTGGAGGGGATTAAAACGATGTTAAGAAGCAGTCCGTGATCGATGCAGTTCACTACGAGCTGGGAAGCCAACACACAGGCCTGGCAATAATCGCGAAGGTTATCGTCCTGATCAATGCCAAACTGGCTCAGACTATTCAATAGCTCGAGAGTAAGGCTGCAGTATGACAAGAGACAAGAGAACAATACCTATGTTCGGGATTTTTCAGATAGACCTCGCGCAAATCGGATATGATAGCGTTCATGATATCCTTTGTCTGCGTGGTTCCGTACTTAAGATCCTTCCACTTAGCAAACTCATTCTAAAATACCTCCCGTATCGCTATCCAGTCATTGGCGATCGTTTCCAGCACCTGACCCACGCTGTATGCGTTGCTCATAAATGCATCCTTCTCCAGACTGCTTTGAGGAACTAAATAAGTTCCCAGGTAGGGTTTCAGGTTAGCTAGTGTTTGCTCCGTTGAGTTCGTGATAAAAGATTGGTCGCGTGGAAGGTTGTACAGCGCGGCGAGGAGGTCATCTTGGTAACTACGAAATGTGTTGCTCAGATCCATCAACGTAACATTCATAGTATCGTTGATGATGCTCGCGAGACATCTCCCATGGTAGAGAAGGGCATACACCAGAGCAACAAATTGCTGTTCCTCCTCTTTGACTGTGGGCGGAATAATAGGTATCTACACGATATCTTTCCATCCGAAGCCCTACAGAATATGGCATATCGCTTCAACTGTTAAAATAATGAAAGATAGAAAAAAGAAAAACGGATTTTGCACTCAACAAACAAAAACTCGTTAAAAAAGTGCCTTACAAACTCTTCATCGCGCGCATGAACATATCCGAATTCAACACATGCGTTCCTCCCAGCACCACCTGCATGGTTCCCTCGGCATTCCACTCGCTCACCACATGCGCCTCTTCATACGTGGTTCCGCCCACATAGAACACCACCACCACGCTCGGCGTGCCATTCCCGCTCGCGCCCTCGAAGGGATAGTCGGTCTCGCTCAGCTTGTTCTTCTTGATCTGCGCCAGCACGTCCTGCAGCAGCGGCTGATGCTGCGTGTAGATGTTGCTGTTCCCCTTGATCGACTTCGCCAGCCCCGACACCAGCCCGCCCAGCCCGCTCCCGCCGAACAGGTCGCCCGTTCGCTCGCCGGACGGGGAGAAGCTACGCGTGAGGGACCGTGGAAACGGGGAACCGAAGGAAGAGGTTGACGATGTTGAGCATGTCGTCGCTGATGCCGCGGTCGCGCAGCGCGGAGAGCACGGAGGAGAGCTTGCTGCCGGGCTTCTGCTCGTAGTGGAGCGCGTAGAGAACGGCGAGGCGGATGGCGTCCTCCTTGGAGGTCTGGAGGTGAGGAGAGAGGAGAAAGAGGGACGTTGGGGTCCTCGATGAGACGCATGAGCTCCTTGAGCTGGTTCGCGTGGTCGTTGCTGCAGGCCAGGCTTTGCTCGAGCGCGGAGATGGTGGTGAGGCCGTGCTGCTTCACGATGCGGCCCAGCTCCGACGCCAGCGAGATGTGTCGCTTCGCGGAGAGCTCGAGGAGCTTGTAGTCCTTGAACTCCTCCACGAAGGTCGCCATGTCGTTCTCTACGCCTCACTCGCTCCGCTCTCCCGCACTCAGCAGCTCGTCCTTGCGCTTGTCCGCCGCCGCGAAGGCGTCCGTCTGCTGCTTCACCGCCGTGTAGAGGTCGCCGAAGTTGTCCCACTTGTGCGCCTTCAAGAACTCGTCCGTCTGCGCGTTCAGCACGAACTCCTCCTCCTTTCCGCCGCTCGCCAGCTTCACGCGGTTGTTCCAGATCGGCATGAACTCGTGGATCATCCCCAGGTACAGCCACTGCATCAGCAACGGCGTCACCGGGTCGCTCTTCCGGTCCATGATCACCAGCTGGCAGTTCCCGCGGTAATCGAACAGCGTGCCGCGCTGGTCTTCGCGCTCGATCTGGTGCAGCACCTCGCGCGCCAGGCGCCCGGCCGACTCCGAGCTGCTCTGGTAGCGGATGTAGGGACGCTGCTTGAGCGCCAGGCAGGCGGCCAGGATGCTCTACGCGGGAATGGAGGCGAGAAAGCGAACGTCGGTCGCCTGGCGGAACATCTGGTTCTCCGGGACCTTCCACTGCGAGGGCGCGCGGCACAGCTGCAGACCGTCCAGCAGGTTCAGCGTGTAGTGGTCCGTGTCGATCGGAATGAAGTCCCCGTAGAACTCGTGGATCTCCTTCACGCTGAAGTTCTCGTCCGCGCGCGCAAGCTCCTGGATATTGTCCTGGCGGCAGATGTTCGTGAAGTCTAGAGGCGTGAGCGGAGCGGAGCAGAGCAGTTGTACAGATATGGTACTCGCCGTACTTGGGCTTGCGGAGTTCGCTGCAGAGCAGTTTGATATTGCTATCCGTAGGACGGACAAACACAATAGCCTATGCAAATTAAATTCGAACCCAAATAAACACAATCAAGTGCTTCATGTCCTCATGAGAACTTCCAAGCTTTTCAGTCAGGAAAACTAGAGAATCAGACGTCCAGAAAGATCAGAATACCATCGTAATCAAGAATCTCGCTCTGCGAAAACGCAACAGAAATCGACTGCGTCTAGACATTAGCCTTCTGATCCACAAGAAACCTACCGTGTCATTATCCAGAATCAAAACTTTTGCTGTTCCCTTTTCTCTTCCTTGAAAGGTCAGCATCTTCTTTACATAGTTTCGGAAGGGTGTATATAAGTCAGCCATTGTTGAATAAGCAAATTAGTAACGCCAATCCCCAAATGCACAAGTAATTTGATCATCTAAAAGCTCCATGTGTACAGTGATTCCAATCTGCTTCATTATCAATAATTGGCTCATTCAATCCAAATCAATTTTCCTAGCGTTCCCTGCTGTCCAAATCAATTCCATTCCTTAATATTTCGATCCACTCTACTGCATCCTGCACTTTGTGTGGTGATTGAAATTTGCCATTTTGGGTCGTGGATCCTACACTCTTGTTGTCTTTCGTTCACTCCATCATTTACACAGTCTTTTGCCAATTCATTTATAAAATGTTGGGTTTGAGTACACGACCCGTTTCTCTTCTCCAAGGGGGAACACGACTTCCACGGTTGATTGGAGTTCGTTTTTTGGGGAAACGGCGTGTGATTGTGGATGACTCTCTAAAGGATCTGACAAGTCGACCAACGAACTATGTTGAATTGAACCCATATAATAAAATACGAGTTATGTCCAAACGGTCCTATCTTCCGGTTTCACACATCTCAAAGGCGCTCTGTACAAGGGACAATGGTGATTTCCTATTGAAAGTACAGTTTCTTGCCTATTGTGAACGGTAGGATGAAGAGGGGCGTGTGCACCGGTTTTCTGACGAACGAGATATTATTATTCCCTACTCTATTGCGGAACCGTATTTGACTCGATGCAAGAAGCAGTGTCGCTGCGTAGAAATCGATCCTGAAGTAGCTCCATCAACTCCTTCAAACATGGGCAACGTATTCTTGATTCTGGATGATCAGTAGCAGATGGTGAAGCGCCGGTCTGTCTTTAGTGTGATAGGTGAAATGGATCATGGGAAAACGACTTTGTTGGATACGTTTCTCCATACTTCCTATCAAAAGCAAGAATTTGGAGGAACCACGCAGATTATCCGAGCCAATGACATGCAGATCCCCTACAAAACAGCCTCAGGCGAGACTGCATTGCATCCCTGTACCTTTCTCGACACGCCTGGCCAATCTTGCTTTTCGTTTGTTTGTTTTCCTTGCGATTCAATCACGGATAGATTCGAGAAAATGGCAGCATTCTCTCGGACCTGGCGCTCTACATCGTGTCTTTGTACGAGGGACCTTCCGAGGAAGCTCGCTCCATCTTTCAGCAGATGAAAGAGAACAAAACGCCCGTGATCGTGGTGTTTACGAAGAGCGATTTGGTTTCGAATCTGCGGAGAGAGTCCGTGAAGCAGTCGATTCTCGAATTGGCTGCTTCGTTTCACGTTCCCATTTGTTTGTTCACACATCGACGTTGATTTGTAGTGGATATGCTCACTGTGAGCTGCGTTACCCACGAGGGAATCGAGCAGCTGCAGCAGCGATTGGTCGAATTGGGTCAACGGCAGCAGCCCAGCGTGCCCATCGATTGTCCTGCGGAAGCCACGGTGTTGGACAGTCTGGTGATTCCTTCGCAGGGCATTGTGTTCCGCGCGCTGGTCCAGCAGGGCTGTCTGTCGCTTCGGAACAACTTCATTTGTGGCATGTACACTGGACGAGTGCGAAATCTGATCGATCTGCACAGCAATCCGGTGCAGAAAGCGCTGCCCGGAATGGTGGTGAACGTTCTGGGCGCTCGAAAATTGCCCGCGTTCTTGCGGAAGAAGCCGCAGCTGCTGCCTGCGGGCGATACGCTGTTTGTTCGAACACCTGATGAAATCAAAGCGATTTGGGATCAGCGATTGCTGGAGTTTTCCTTCCGAGCCAGCGCAGGAAGAGGATTTGAATGAATCTGAGGGATTTAAGGAATCATTCGAATCATTCGAATCCAATGAGTCAATTCAAGGAAATGAAATGAATAAATTGGGTCAAAAGGACCAACAACCCTATCCAATGGAGTTTGAAAACGCGGAAGATCGTCCGGTTTTATCCAATCGGCGTGTGGAAATCATCGATGGAGAGGAGTATGTGGAGGTCAAATCGCAATCTGTGATCGCTGTGGCGGATAATGCGAACAGCATGGCGATTCTGCTTGACCAGCTGAATGCAAAGCCGAATATGAACATTGTTCGAACGCGTGTGGGTCAGATTACCGATAAGGAAATTCGGCTCTGCAGAGAATCCGACGTGAAGTTGGTGTCGTTCAATGTGGCTTTGCCTCCTAAGATCGTGCTGAGCGAGAAGAAGTTTATCTATTCGCGGTTGATGAACGAGCTGATTGATAAGTTGAACGTGGCATTTGGAAAGAAGGAGTAAAGTCTTTTAGTGGAATGAATGTTTGATCGACAAGCCTTGAATCCATTATTATTATTATTATTATTATCTTCTTATCATCTTGTTCTTCATTATCATTACTACTATCCTATTGACGTCTCCTCTCTCCACTCATCTCACTCTTCTTCCCACTCCTCTTTCTGTTTCCATTCAACAAACATCCAACAAAGCATCCATACTAACGCACACACACAACAACTACTACATACATACATACACTCTCTCTACTCCTCTTCCAACAATGCCGCATCCCCCGAAATCGTAATCATGCTATACGCCTTCTCCACATCCTCCTCCGCCGTCTCCTGCGGCAGAATCCGGAACGACAGCAACGCATTGCCTCCAATGCATCGCACATGCGCCTTCACCACCGCCATCACTTCCAGAATAAACTTGTGATTGTAGTCGTTCATCGACGCCGTCTCCCACGTCTGCGCGCACTCCCGAATGAAGTGCAGCACCACCAACCCGCAGTATTTCACCGCTCTATACCCGTTCACGCGCGTCAGCGGCGTGATGAACACGTACGACGGCGCGAATGGCCGCGGTTTTCCCGTCTCAATCGGCGGGAGACACAAATCCTCCTGCGACGACGCGAACGACCGCGTTTTCTCCACTTCGAGGAGCGGCAGCGGGGTATTTCCCGTCTGGGCGGGCAATGCCGAGCTGGCCTCGTTTCGCAGAGCGTAGTCCGCGGTTCTTCGCTGCACGATTTCGATGAAGCCCGTGAAATCGGAGGAAAACTCGCGGTGCTGCTCCATTTTGGAGAGAGCCTTGTTTTCCGCGGGGTCGTAGGCGATCAGCGCGGTGAGACAAATCTCCACGACATCTTCTCCCGGGAGACGGAGCTGGACGTCGAGTCCGAGGAGAGAGCAAGGGTGCATGCGCTGGACTTTGTAGCAGAGCCGATTGCACATGGAGCGAAGAAGATGGTTGAGGGAAGCCGACTCATCGGGGAGGTGGACGCGCTTGAGAAGAATGACGGGGCGATAGCCGCGAAGCGAAGGCGCGCAGTTCTGCAGCGTGTGGAAGCTGATTCTCTGGGGAGGGAGCCAGGGCACGAAGGTGTTCCGCATGTTCTCGTAGTTGTCGTCGGGCTCGATGACGCCTTTTTCGGGATGCACTTCGTTGAGAGTGGGCACGAAGTTGTCTTTAAATCTAGCGAGTCAGAGCGAAGCCAGCTCTGCAGCTACCTGGATCGATAGGAGTTCTTCTCTTTCCCCGTCGGCTCCATCGCGAGCTTGCTCTCCTTCGTGTCTTCCTCGCTGTCGTCGGAACTCGACGAGGACGACGACGAGGACGACGAGGAGGAGCTGTCTTCGGACGAACTGATCGAGTCGGAGTCCGACGACGACACGCTGTGGCAGCCCAGCGAGAGATCGCGCGAGTACCGTTCCTCGCTGAACTCGTGCGAATTGCTCCGCGAGGAATGCCCCAGCGTCTCCGAGCCGCGTCTCTCATCGTTCTCGCCTCCTCTTCCTCCTCGATCGACTTCTTCCTCTTCCTCCTCCTCTTCGTCTTCTTCCGGAACGCTCTCCATCAGCTTCGACCGCGCCGTGTAGCTCTGCCTCTTCTTCAGCTGCTGCTTCGACCTCTTCACCACGCGATGCTTGCGCTGCTTCTCGATCCGCGCCTTCTGCTCCGCCTGGTTCCGCTCCCACGCCGTCATCGACTGGATCAGCAGCGGCTCCAGCACCTTCGCGCGGCTTTCCTGCAGCGATCGCAGATCTTGCTGCCCCTCAGTTTTCTCGTCCATTCCTACCGTCACATGCTCGTAATTCTCGCGGGACTCGTCCTTCGTCGGCGGGAACGGCGACCGAATGCTCACCGAGCCCGGCTCGGGCAGTCCGGGGATGTAAACCGCGGTTCCCGTGATGGTGGCGGCGAGCAGCGAGCCGCCGATTTCCATTTCAACGGAGAGGCCGAAGACGGCGTTGCAGCGCAAGCTCTGCAGTTTGACGAGCAGCTGGTTGTAGAGCCGGACCTCCACGAAGGGAAGAAGGCGGGAGATCTGGTTGGCGCCGTTCTCCCGCGTGTCGAGGTCCGTTTTCCTCTCGGTGACGCAGGACTGGATGAACACGGGATCGCCGACCGTCTCGAGTCCCACGGGGATTTCGGAGGTCGACAGGACGAACTGGATGTGAGGAGACGACGAGAGAGAAGCGTACGAAGGGGACGTAGCCTTCTCGGCAGCGACAGCAGCGAGACAACTGCATATCGCGGAAAAGCGTGTGGTGCTTCGAGGGGTCGATGTGGATCTACTCCTCGACTCCATTCCATTCGGCTACCGCTTCGCACGAGCAGCGTGGCTTCTTGTGCGACTTCGCGCGCTTTCTACGCCTCACCCACCCTCGCGGACGTTACACTTCCAGCTTCACCGCGGTTCCTGTGGCGCTCAGAACGCAGACATCGTCGTGAATGCTGCACGTTTCGCGGTATCCCAGCACCAAATCGGCGCCAATTCGCAGCGTGTTGGCGCGAACTTCGTCGCGAAGCGCCTCCCACCAACTGTCACGTGTCTCCTTGTCGACGAGCGTGCTGTGGAGCTTTCCGAGGAACTTGACAGCGCGCGACGCCACGATGCCGCTGAAGGAGTAGCGGAAGGAGTCGGGGAGCTTTCGAAGCGAAATCAGCTCGATGGACTGCGCGTTGAGCGAGGGACTGGAGGTAAAAGAAGGGCGAATGAAGGGACAAGAGTTTGTCGGTGGAGTTCTTTTTGTCGTTCGACACGGTGTTGTAGAGACCGTACACGCGCGAGCTATTCGATCAAACCTCGGCAATGCCGGTACGTATCGATTCCCTTTCGCACGGACCGATCGCTCACATCTAGACTCGATTCGCCGACTGAACGCTACAGACGATGTCACGCGTCTGGATCTCGCAGACTTCGCGCAGGGGGCGATGATTGGGCGGGACTTCGATCTCCTTGCGATGCACCAACTCATCGATAGACGACATTTCGATCAGCGGGGAGTTCTTTCGACTCGGCTTGGCGATGCTCTGATCTCGCTTTTGAATGCTGCAATCAACGCAAATCAGCAAGCAAACATGCAGGCCGTTCCATACGCGCGGCCAACAATACCCGAGTCTCCTTCCATATCGAAGAATTGCTGGTAGCCAAACACGGCATTGGCGCCTCGCTTCTGCGCCTGCTTACCGACTTGACGACGAAGCTGCATTCTATGAGTGAAATGGGAGGAGAGAAGCGACGATAAGTGATAGAGCTGCTTTTGACGCTTTTCGTTACTTTTTTGGGAGGATCGGAATCGATCTTCGAACTCGAATTCAGGGTCCACATCCACAACCAATGCTTCCACAAAACCGAGAATACTCATCATCTAAACGCCATTAGCAGGAAATGAGGAGTGGAGGTACTCGGTATTCTGCGATATCCGGACTGCTACTCGCAAAAATGAAAATACCCGGAGAACCTTCTTCAGATTGCTAGGCAAATAAGCCCTATTCGACAGAGTTTTACATTCCTATCAACTTTTGCTTCTGAACTCACGGTAATATAGAGCTCGCCTCGAATGCCCTCCATTGTATCGTAAATTGGCATCCAACCATCAAAGTAGGGACTGAGCGAGTTATCATAATCGGAACGCATCACCATTGTGTTTAGATCAATGACTACTGTTCCGATTAGCGATCCCGCGCTATAAGTGTCGTGATCCATCACCTACTGATGAGGAACGCGATCGAGACGAACTTTAAATATGAGGGGAACGTCCTGGAGATTGCTTTCTTCCTCAATATCCCAACTCCACGACTCATTTTCCCACTTTGGATTTAGACTATTTTCGATCACTTTTGTGACATGCGGCTCTTCAATTAAACTCACTTCCACAAAGCTGCAATCAATCGGGTTTCAAAAGAGTACCAATCCGTTGTTTTTCGTTTTCGATCAATGATAGGAAGACCACGCGCCTCGAGAACTCGGATATACAAACTAATGGGCATTCTTTCGTGCTCCCTATTCGAAAGTACAAAAAGTAAAAATCTGCACAAAGTTTGGAATTCCAGCTTTCGAGTTGGTCAATCAGTTGCCTTGGCTAAACTATTCTTTCCAAATGTTTTCGAGGCTGCTGAACACCAATACTGCGTTCTTCATCTGTGATGTGCAGGGATGCTTTCTGAAATCTATTTTTGCGGTCGACGAAGTCATCCATTCGACCTCTTTTCTCCTGAAAACTGCACGCGCGTTGGAGGTACCCTGCGTCATCACGGAGCAATACCCCGATAAGCTTAAACATACAGGTAGAGAGAAGAATCACGTTTTTTATGTCTAGTGGACTCTCTTTTGCCTCTGATCAACGAGACGGAAACCCAGAAAGCATTCCCCGTGTTTCCGAAGGTTGACTTCTCGATGCTCACCCAAGACGTGAGAAATTATTTGCAATCGACTCTCCCCAATGTGAAGAATATAGTGCTGTGCGGAATGGAGACCCATGTGTGTGTGCTGCAGACGTGCTATGATTTGATGAACAGCGGCTACAAGGTTCATCTGTGTGTCGACGCAGTGAGCAGTCGCTCGCCTGTAGATCGCAAGGTCGCTTTGAACCAGTTGCAAAAGGATGGAGCCATTCTTACGACTACGGAAAACGTGGCTTTCCAGTTGATTGGCTCAAAGAACCACCCCCATTTCCGAGCAATATCGGCTCTTGTAAAAGAGAAGGAGCTTCCTAAGCAGTTGGATTATTAAGATTTAAATTGTGTATGATTTGTATGTTTGACAAACGTTTTTCAGCTGATTTTGTTCAAATAAGCAGGTGTATGATAATCATGACGGGTCGACCACTGTACGTTTCCCCATAGAATAATCATGAGCAACTCGCATGATGATGAAACTGCTCTGTCCGATTCGGATTCTCAAGTAAGCCCATTTGTTTCCAAGGATTAACGTGTTTAGTATATTGAAGGATTTGAGGAGGAGGAAGACGGAATTCGGAATCCAGTAATACCGGCCTTTCTGAGCAAGACATATTCCATCATGCATAATGAAGATTTTAAGGATATTGTAACATGGGGTGAAAAGGGGGATTCAATTATTATTTTGAAGGTAGATTTGGACTCTATATTTTTTGGTTAACTGTTTAGGTTGATGACTTTTCCAAGAAGGTACTGCCCCTCTTTTTTAAGCATGGAAACTTTTCTTCTTTCGTACGACAATTAAATATGTATGGTTTCCATAAGACGAGGCAGGGTACGGCTCGTGCTATGTGGATTTACTTGCAGATCCGAATTGGCGCGAATTTAGACATCCTCTGTTTAAAAAGGGCCACATCGAGTTACTTCCCTTGATCAAGAGAAAGAATAGCTCTGCCAAAGTGAAATCGGAGAAGCGTGAGCGTTGTAGGGGAGTCATCCCTGTTTCTAAGATCGTAGCTTCCAGCGCAGCAGACCACTCGCTCAGCGTGAGTGTGAAGAAGAGTCGAATCGATCGTGACATCTATCTTCGCGAGCTGACTCTTCTAAAGAAGCAGATATCGAACATGGAGTCGCGGTACAACAACGTTCTGAAGGAAAACCAATTTTTATGGAAGACTTTCATGAACAGCAAGAAGCAGCAAGACGAAATGAAGCGGCAGATGGAGCGAATCTGCAAGTTCATCAGCAAGCTGACCACGAGCAATCGCATCCTCGACAATTCCGACGATTTCAGTCAATATGTTCGCTTTCTTCTTTCCTTCGATTCGTAGATGCTTCAAGACAAGCCGCCAGGCATGGACGCCTCGATGTCCCCCATGTTGATCGCTGGCGAGGACGGCATTCTGACTCCTGAGCAATACAACGACACTCTAGAGTGCGTGTCCATTTCTTTTCTCATCGCTAGTTACCTTCAAATCAACTCAGTACCGCGCATGGACTCGCCTCGTCTTCGAATGCGATCCTCGCTGGACTATCCTCGTCCCGTCTTGAATCAGCGAATGCTCACCAACGGCTCCCACAGTTCCAATGGTTCCACTGGTCCCAACGGTCCCAACGGTCCCAATGGCCCCAATGGCTCCAACGCCTCCACTGGTCTCAGCGCTTCCAGCGCGATGCCCGGTCTTCCGGGTCCCAATGGGCTGAGCGGTCCCACGAACTCGCTGATGCATGTAGGCTCGCGGAGCCCGCGTAACCCGCAGCAAAACTCCATCGTGATTCCCTCCTTCTCTCCCTCCACGGGCGCGATCCCGGACACTTCCGGCTCCTGCGATGTGGACGATTTGAACGCGATCGACCTGACGGGCTCCTCCGTCTCGCTGGACCTCAACAACTCCATGGACCCGCTCTTCTTCTCCTCCAAGAAGGCGCCCTCCTCGCCCATCCCCAAGCTGGATCTCGGCGAGCCGCTCATGCTGAGCACCAATTCCTCCGCGGCCAACGACTATCTCGTGCTGGACACTTCCAAGCAGGCGCCGTTGCAAGTCTATCCCACGCAGCCCGCCGCCTCGGCCGCGCCGCTGCCCTCCACGCCGCAGAAGTCCAACCCCTCCGCGATGTTCGCTCCCGCCAGCGGCGCTGCGCTCGCCTCGCAGCCCCGAGCGCCCAATCCGCTGCAGATCCAGCCGCAGAATCCCAGCCAGTTGCAGTTGCAGCCGCAGGTCCAGGCGCAGTCCTCGCAGGCGTTTCTTCAGCCGCAAGCTCCGTCGCCGTTTCAGTTGCAGCCGCCAGCATCGCAGAGCGCGAGCCAGCTTCAGATCCAGCCCCAGCCCCAGCCTCAGGCGCAGACGCAGACGCAGGTTCAGGCGCAGACGCAGAGTCAGGCAGCACTGCAGACTTCAACACAAGCAACGTCCCAGTTTCAGATCCAGCCTTCTTCGCAGTCTTTTCTGCAAACGCAGCTCCAGCCCCAATCGCAACTGCAATCCCAATTGCAATCCCAAATGCAATCCCAATTGCAATCCCAGCCCCAGACCCAGACCCAATCGCAGTCCCAGCTCCAGCCGATGCGTTCTCTCCAGGAGATGCCCTCGCTGGGCAGCATGGCGGGGCTGCAGTCGGAGGTGCAGATGACGGACGGGCTGGGGTTTGAAGGCATGCAGTCGCCGAGCTGGATGCCGAATTTTGACGAAGAGCAGCCGGTCGAACTGCCGGCAGATTTGGATAAGAGCGAATTGATAAGGTAGGGATGGAGAGGAGCGTGCGACGTAGCTCGCTGCATAAAAACGTTCAAAAGGTGGACGAGCGGAGCAACTCGCTTCGGAAGAGGTTGAGTCGGATGGAGACGGAACTGAGTTCTCCTTTCCTTGCGCAAAACATCGAGGATATGGAACAAAAGGGCATGCTGTAGAGGGTTAAAACTCTATTTTGTGAAATTATAAAGTGTTTGAGACATACGGAGTTCTGGAATGGCGGAAATCCCGCCGATTTTCCAATTCGGGACTTGCTCAAATCCAACAAGGCACTCTTCCTTATTTAACATACGATTGCTCGATGGCAAAAAAGGAAATCAGTGATAATTCTGTATGCTCGTTTTACTGGCGAATTATGGACTTAGGCAGAAAAGACTCAAAAGGGAGAAAAGCGTGATCAACCGACTGAGTCTGTATGTGTTGACCCTGTTGAGCATAATTTGTAGACACGTTTCCCTCGTGGTGGAAAGGAGGAGTTCCTCAACGATCGAAAAAGGAAAAAGGTTGCGAACAGCAATGTACTATGCGGTGAAAAGTGCGTAAGATGCAGGAACTACTCTTCCGTCACAATAGTCCCAAAGAAAAGGCTAAGCCTGCTCCGAAAAATGAGAAACAGAAGAAGAAGGTCGATCCCAAGAAAATTAGTAGACGTATTGGCGTGAGGTGAGGTGTAGAAGAGAATGACGTTATGAATGACCAGAACAAGGCCAAGAAGTCCGTGTCTCCTCTCACCTTCAGTCGCCTGAAGGTCGGAATGATGATGATGGGCTATATTCGTGGTGTGGATCGCGATCGTCTTTTAGTCGGTCTTCCGTTCGGTTTGGTGGGGTAGATTCTTTCTCTCTCCTTTCGATTCCCTCTAGAATCGTGAACAAGGCCGAGACAAGCGACACGTACCACGCGTTTGCAGAGAACGCGGTGACCGACGACGAGGAAATAGGTTCCACGTTCGACGAAATCGATCTCCGCTTGGTCTACTCCATCCACCAGCGCGTGATCGTCGTGATCACCGAGCTCTCCACGGTCGCAGCCGGGACTCTCTGTAAGAAATAGAAGAACAACGTGCGCTTGGTGAACCTGTCGATGCGTCCCTCGCTTCTCTACCCCGATATCGTGTCCTCGAACCCCACCAAAACCATGTTTGCGAACTCGCTGATCCAGGGAGAAGTCGTGGGGAAGGAGGATTACGGCTACACCATCAATCTCGGATTTGCCGAGACGAAAGGTTTCTATCAGTGCGATCCCTCCGAGGTGCAACGTGCGTGCCAACGCGAAGCGATGAGTCGTAGTGCCCACCGGCGCGCAGCGATTGTTCCAGATCACCAAGATCGAGAGCCGCGTGGTGTATTTGCAGGACTGCAAGAGCAAGGGATCGGCGAAGTGCATCGAGAGTAGGCGTCGCTCGCAGAGAAACTCACACGCAGTGACCGACAACACGCCGATCTCCCACTTGAAGGCGGGCTATCTCGTCAAGGCCATCGTGTTCGAGGTGAGTTGCGTTTGGACGTGTCCATCGTAGACCTTCGCTAAGGGGCTTCTCGTCCACGTGCATCAGTTCGAAGCTCATGTCTGGTATCTCTCGCTCAAGCAACGCGTCGACGATTTGGCCGGCATGACCGCGGGAAAGACGATTAAGGCGCGCATCATCGCGATCGATTACGCAACGCGCCAGATCTACTTGAGTAACGTGGAAACCGTGATGAATCCCAACTACGTGCCGCAGTTCGAAGCGATCGGAACCGTCCATTCGGACGGCGAGGTGCTGTCGATCGACGAGAACCGCGGGATGCTGCTGAGTCCCAACGTCTACGTGCGGGAGAAGCAGCTGAGCGACCAGGAGGGCGCGAACGTGCAGAAGCTCTTCAAGACGGGGCAGGAAAACGTCTGCTATCGCATCATCGACCACGACCTGATCGACAATTTTGTCTTCGTACGCGCTGAGCGGGCGCTTCATGGATAGGCGGCGACGGCCCAGTCGATCGTGGAGTCTTCGATCTTGACGTACCACGACGTAAAGCCCGGCCTGATCACGCAGGCGGTGGTGACGCAGGTGCGTCAGAACTTCGTTCGTGTGACGCTGGGAGTGCAGGTAGAGGAGAGGATTGTTATGCATTGTTGTAGCTGCACGGCATAATCTATCAAGATCATATGAGCGAGCTGCCGAAGGTGATGCAGCCGAGCAAGCTGTTCGAAGTGGACCAGACCATCAAGGTGCGCGTTCTGCACGTGGACGAAGAGAAACGGCTGATCTACTGCACGTGCAAGCGAAGCTTGCTGAAGGAGGACATCAACGTTCTGAGCGATCTGGCCTCGGTTTCCACCGATTTGATGTACCCGGGAACGTGCTTCGCGGTGAATCAATACGGCGTGCAGGTGAAATTCTTCAATAACATCTTCGGGTTCATCAGCAGCAGCGAGATGCAGCGTCGGCACATCGACTCGGAAGGCTTTGTGAAGGGTCGCGTGGTGCGCTGCCGCGTGCTTCGCGTGGACAAGGCGCGGAACCGCCTCGATGTGATTCCGTGGAGCGCGGGACAAGTGGAAGAATCGGAGGATGTGGTGGGTCTGGTGACGAGCGGAGTGGTGGTGAAGGAGAAGTACCACGTGACGATAAATCACGAGACGGTGATGGGCGTGGTGATCCACACCGAGAACGATTTGTACGGGTTTTTGCCGGTAGGATGCGACGCGAATGGATTGATTGAAGGCCAGCCAGATGGGCGATCACGCTTCGCTTCTGGATTCGCTGTACTCGCTGTACAAGCACGGCGTGCGTGTGAATAAAGTGGGCTTGCTGCGTCCCCTCCACCGGCAATTCTACAGTTTTCTTTTGTTTTTTGAGAGAGATAACGCATAGACAAGCTTCCGTTGTGGCTGCTCACCACGCAGCCCTCGCTGATCCACGCTTTGGAGACGAAGAATGTGCCGCGCTCGGTGGAGCAGGTGCAGGTCAATCAAACCTATTTCGGCTATGTGGCGTCGATCATGCAGTTCGGCGTCTTTGTGTCGTTTTTGGATACGCTGCAAGCGCTGGTGCCGCTGCGTTATTTGAGCTCGCGGTTTGTGAAGGACGCGAAGGATGTGGTGCGAGTGGGCCAAGCGGTGCGCGTGACGTGCACGGAGATAAAGGAGAAGAAGGTGGAGGCGAGCTTGCTAAACGCGAACGATGCGGAGACGGAGAAACTGTATATGCTGTCGCTGGAAGAGGAGCAGTTGCGACTGCTGGATCTTGGGAAAACGCTGGAATTGAATGTAAGCGATGAAGAGGAAGAGAAAGAAGAGGAAGAGGAAGGAGAGGAGAATGAAGAAGAAGAAGAAGAAGAAGAGACTGGAGAGGAAGAAGAAGAGGCAAATAACACTTTGGAGAAGGAAGACGAAGAGGATGAAGAGAAAGACAGTGATGCTATGGAAGAAGAAGAAGAAGAAGAAGAAGAAGAAGATCAGCCGTTCGATTGGAAGGCCTGTCCTCTGGGAACGGTCTATGCGGGTCACATCAAGACGGTTCGTGATTACGGTGTGATCGTCGAGATGGAGAACGGATTCATCGGCTTCGCGCCCTCTCCGCTCCACACCGAGAACGTCTCTCTCACCGAAGGCACCGCCGTCACGGCGCGCATCCTCGATGTGAACGCCTCGCTGCAGCTCTACGACGTCACGCTCTCCCAGCGCTTCCTCCCCGACTCCGCTTCTTCCGCTTCTTCCGCTCCCCTCGCTCCAGGCGAGTCCGTGCAAGGCACCATCGTCGTGCAGAAGCCCGACTACGTTGTTCTCGCGCTGAACACGCCCGCCAAATCGCTCGTCCTCGGCTCCATGACCTCTTTCAACAACGCCAAGCAGCCGTTCAGCGGTCTGAGTCTCGGCGACGAAGTCGACTGCACGCTGCTCTGCGCGCCGGGCGTCGGCGCCGCCGTCTGCGACCTCCGCAACGCGTTCAAAGACACGCTCAGCGCGGCGGACAGCGAGGCGATCCGCTCGTTCTTCGCGGACGTGAGCGTGGCCGATCTCTCCAGCAAGGCCGCGACGAAAAGCGCGGCGAAGGGCTCGTCGAAAGCGCGGCTGCTGAGCGATAAGGCGATGGAGCTGCCGCGCGAGCTGGTCGGGAAGAAGGTGGCGGTGAAGGTCGTGGAGATCACGCCGTCGGCGGTGTTCGTGGCGCTGCCGCAAGGCGTGGCGGAAGGGAACGGCGATCTGGGCGCGATCTGGGCGACGGACGTGGATGGGAAGAAGGAAGGGAAGTGGCCGAAGAACATCGTGAAGGACGCGACGCTGGAGGCCAAGTGAGCGAGGCGGAATGGACTGACGCGTAGAATCATCCAGCGCGTTCCGAACTTTGACGGCGCTCCCAACCGAGCGGGCAGCCCTTCCTCCATGCTTCTTCTCTCGCTCCGCAAGGCCGATCTCGATCTCCCTGAGGTTCCGCTCCGCGTTTGCGCTCACGCCTAGGGCAAGATCGTGGAGCGCGCCACCGTGGACTCCGTCGAACCGCTCCGCAAGCTGCGCGGAATCGTCCACCAAGCGACCGCGTCGCACGTCCTCGTCTACCTCGACACCGGACTGATCGGCTCGGTGTGTCCCGCCGACGTCGACGACCTCGCCACGACCGACGAGCTGCCCTCCAAGTTCGCCGAAGGCGAGATCGTCGAGGGCACGGTGCTCGGGAAGACGCCCAGCGCGCGCCTCGTGCAGTTCTCGCTCTCGGAAACCCTGCCCGGAGACGCGAAGGTGCGCTGCGTGGTGACGCAGGAGGGCGAGGACCACGTGTTCGTGCAGTGCAGCGGGAACCGCGAGGGCATTCTGTACTCGACGGACGCGGCGAATCCGGAGGAGTGGAAGTCGTTCATGCTGCGGCCCTTCAAGAAGGGCACGGTCTTCGAGGGCACCGTGGTGAAGGAGATCCCGCCGCTGCCCGAGAGCTCGGCGAAGCTGGTGGTGACGCGGCGGTCCGACGTGGAGCACGTGCGGACGTTCGAGCTGAAGGAAGACACGCTGGTGCACGGGTTTGTCTCGCGCGTGGAGGAGAAGAAGGTGCTGGTGCGTCTGAACAACGACTGCGTGCGATCGATCCCGAAGCGATTCGCGTTCGACGACCCCTCGGCGCCGAACCATCTGCAGCCAGGCACGCTGGTGGTGAGCCGCGTGCTCAAGACGCGCAACGGGCAGATCGTGCTTTCCTTGCGCGTAGCTTCGATTCGAATGGCTGACTTCTAGCGAAGCGATCTGCAGGGCGAGAAACACTACACCTGGAAGACGATCCAGCCCAACGTGATCGTGTCAGGCGTGGTGGACCGCGTGCTGCGACACGGCCTGCTCGTGGCCATCGACAACTCTCCGCTGAAGGCCTTCGTGGACCAGAAGGAATGCGCCGACTCTCCCATCGCCGACCTTTCTTCCGTCTACGCGGAGAACGACCGTGTCAAGCTCGTCGTGCTCCGCGTCGACGCCAAGAAGCGCCGCATCGACGCCTCCATGCGCGCCTCCCTTCTCCCCGCCGACACGCCCTTCGCCCTCGCCTCCGCGCTGTCTTCCTTCGCTCCCAACGCCTCCAACGACGCCGACACGCCGCTCGCCGACGACGACGACGAGGATGATGCTGACGCGTTCGCCGCCGTCCCGGACTTCGACGAGTCCTCGCTGCAGCCAAAGGACACAATGGACGCAACCGACGCAACCGACGCAATGGATGCAGAGCCAGCAGAGCCAGCAGGACTCATGGGATCTCTGGACGGGATGGAGGTCGAGGACGCGTTCGCTTCCTCCGCGCTGTCCGCCTCCACCGGCTTCGGCTGGGACGATTTCGCGGTGTCCCCCGCGGCGCCGTCGCTCTCTGCGTCCTCCGCGCCGTCCGCCTCGAAGCGTCCGCAGCTCCGCGAGGCGGAGATCGCGGCCAAGGAGCGCAGCCTGGCCTCGCAGTCGGCGCAGCCGGCATCAGAGGCGGACTTCGAGCGGCTTCTGGTGGGCCAGCCGACGTCCTCGGAGCTGTGGATCCGCTACGCGTCGTGGTTCCTCTCGCTGGGCGACGCGGCGAAGGCCCGCGCGGTGCTGCGCCGCGCGCTGCAGTCGGTGCCCGGCCACCTCGAGGACGAGCGAGCGAACCTCTGGCTGGCGCTGCTGAACCTGGAGAGCGAGTTCGGGGACGAGGCGGCGCTGCGCGACGTGTACAAAGAAGCGAGACAGGCGATGGAGCCGCGGCGCGCTGGGCTGCACCTCGCCGCGCTGCTCGAAGCCAAGCAGAAGTGGGCCGAGGTCTACTCCGTGTGGAAGCAGCTCGCCAAGGAGAACCGCGGGGATGTGAAGGTCTGGCTGGGGTGGTGCGAGTGCTTCCTGAAGCAGGGATTACCGCGGGAGAGCGGAGAGACGCTGCGGAGGGCGCAGGAAGCGGTAGGAAGGAGCGAGAAGGCGAGGCTGCTGAGCGGGTACGCGATCCTGCTGTATCGGTACAAGCAGAGGGATCAGGGCCGAACGATTTTCGAGGATTTGGTGAGCAGTTTGAAAAATCGGCTCGATTTGTGGAATTTGTATGTGGACCAGGAGACGAAGGCGGGGAACGTGGAGTACGTGCGAGGACTGTTCGGAAGGATGGTGGAGCTGAAGATGTCGGTGAATAGTGCGAAGAGAGTGTTTAAGAAGTGGATTGCGTTCGAAGATGCTCATGGCGATGAGGAGCATGCTGCGAAGGTGGAGGAGATTGTGCAGCAGTATATTGATCGTTTAACGACGAAGGAGTAGAGAAGAGAGTATGTTTATGGGAGTGTTTGTTGCATTCATTTTGATTTGGCGTGGATCATGGAGAGCTCGTTGTACGAGGAATATTCGAAACTGCTTCTAGAGCAGGGAGTCAAGTTCCAAGCGTTCGATTTGGAGTCGATTACCGAGAAGGACGTGCTTCTCATTATTGATTGTCAGAACGACTTCTTCCCGGAGGGAACGGTGGAGGACGGAGGTCGCTTCGGCGTGGATGTACTCTCCTCTCCATGTTTGCCTAAACTGTAGGATGGAGAGAAGATCGTTCCCTCTGTGAATCAGCTGATCGATGTGTTTGCGAAGAAGGGCGGTGTGATTGCTGCCACGAAAGATTTCCATTCCATTCACCATTGCTCCTTTACACCGAACGGAGGCGCGTTCCCTCCGCACTGCATTCAAGGAGCCAAAGGATCCGAGGTCCGTTCGGAAAAGGAACTTCATTTCTAGTTCCACAAGGAAATCGGTGCGAAACTGGCGGAGGCAAAGGCGCAGGGTGCCACCGTCCTCGTGGGATACAAGGGCATTGAAGATGCGCATGATTGCTTCAGTGCGTATCCCTATACCTCTGCGACCGGCAAGGAGCGATTTGGAGCCGATTTCGAGACGAACGAGTGGTACAATTGTTTCGTTCTCGAGTCTTCTCGCGAGAACGAGACGATGGACTGCCACCCCGACGTGATGGCGATCTACAAGAAGAGATCGCTGATGGTAGGAAATGATGATGGTGTCGGTAAAGCGAAGAATGTGATCGGAGAACGCTTGTCTGAGCAGAGTCGTTTCATTGTGTGCGGCTTGGCATTCGATTACTGCGTGATCGACAGCGCGATCAATGTTCGGTAGGAGCGCCTGGAACGAGTGAAATGCAGCGAAAACACGCATCTTCCGGTGTTCATCGCCCATCCAGCGACGCGTGCGTCGCACATTCCGGGTGTGGGCGCATTCGGCAGCGGCTTTTTGAACAACCCGAAGGAACTGAGCGAGAAGCTCCAGAACTACGCGATAGCGATGATTGATTTGTTTTCTGTTTGTTGGAAAAAACGTGGAAACCGATCGTTCTTTGATTTGTTTTAAGTGGCGGCTTCCATCTTTGATTCGAGTGAAGCTGGGAATTCGGCCTTTATCTCGATAGGTACAAGTAACAAGGTTTAAACACGTACTTTCTCAATTCATGAAGGATTCGGTGAGTACGAAAGGGAACGAAGAGTGATATATAGGGGACTCATGGAAAGAGAAATCAGAGGCGGTCAAAGAGCGGAGAGAGCAGTATATAACTCAACGCATTCCTGTACATAAACGATATACTCCCAAAACATTTTTACAATCCCTACTTGCAGGGGGAGTTTCTGGTTGTATTGCAAAGACATGTATCGCTCCTCTAGAGCGAACCAAGATTTTGTTTCAAGTATTTCGTATTTCTGTGTTTCTGACTCCGTAGGTCTCGAATAAGCCATTTTCCCTGCGACTCGCAGGAAGGAAAATCGTTCAAGTTTACCACGAAGAAGGCTTCACCCGCCTTTGGAAAGGCAACACGGCGACAATCCTGCGCGTTCTTCCTTATTCTGCGACTCAGTTCGCTTCCTTCCGCGGTTACTCTCATCTTGTCATGATCGACGAGTACACGCCACTTACTCCGCTTCAGCGTTTTCTGTCCGGTGCAGCAGCGGGTGCAACGGCCACAGTTCTGACATATCCTTTCGATTTTTTGCGAACCCGCATGGCGATTCGTGAAGGCGAATCCACATATAAAAACATTCTAGTCGCCATAAAAAGCATCGTCCGCAGCGAAGTAGCGAGTTTCGCGAGGCTCTCACCTAGGGCGTGATTACATTTTACTCAGGTCTGTACGCGGCGCTAATCGGCGTTTTACCGTATTCTGGAATCTCCTGGATGGTCATGGACACCACGCGTCAATTCTTTCAGGACTACGTGAATGATGGTCGGAGCGCATCGCCATTGCAGCGCATGGTCTGCGGAGCGACGGCGGCGATCATCGCGCAGACGTGTACCTATCCGCTGGACATCGTGCGACGCCGAATGCAGAGCGAGGGGCTGGGGAATCATGGAAACCGGAGATATCGCAGCATTCTGGGGGTAGAAACGTGGAAACCGTGGAAACGTAGACGTTCCGAGTGATCGCGAAGGAAGAGGGAGTGCGGAGACTGTGGAAGGGAGTAACGATGAACTGGATCAAAGGACCGATCTCGATGGGGATTAGCTATGCGTGCTATGGAGCGATCGAGCATTGGTTTGGAGTGAGCAAGCTGCAGAATTGATTAGATGAGGATAAGGGTTGGGGTTGTTTGTTTGAAAGATGTGATTGATGGTGATGTTGATACGAAATGTATCATTATAGTTCGATCATCCTTATTTCATGTTTAATATAATTCCTATAGCCATGGGTAGATGTCAACATTCTTGTTGCTTTTATTTTTACTCAATGTACTTGTCAGATAATCTATGTATCTTTATATTATTTATGCTTGGGTAATAATATGTTCAAAGATAGCTGTTTCAAGTGTGGTTTCTGAAGCTGAGAATGGCAATAATCATGATAGTTTAGAGTTGTAGCTGGAGGATTTTGGTTGTTTGTTTCCTTACTATGACAAGCTACTTTAATTTTTCTATTCATCAGATGCCCATAAATAGGGTGAAAAAATGTCACTACATTTCTATGAATGGAGAATACTTTTTAGAAATCACCATAAAGTCTCTCTGCAGGTTTTGTTATTCTTTCAATAAATAGTGGATTACGTGTCTGATGATCAATATATACATACACGAATAATAATATAATCATACTAACCACAATAGTATTATCACTCAAATCAATGCTGAAAATAGTGCTTTCCATAAAATCTATTTATAGCCAAATGAATCAGTAATCCAAGTATCACGCTAATTACTGTATAACGACTGTTAACGATACATCAACATGAATTACAATGTTAGTCGTATTCGGACTTTTGTATAGTAAGGAAATCTATCCAAAATGGTAAAATGGAAGATATCATTCTTCGATAATATCACACCTGTTCATAATACCTAAAACCAATGTTTTTTTATTTACTAAATACTATAAACATACTTTCTACAACATACATTATAGCAACAAGATCGGCTTCCAAATAAACTGCTTTCCCATTTTTTTCTTAATTCGATGCAAAAGATTGTTGATTTTGTCAATTCTGCTATTAGTAACTATCATATTGATAGATCCATAATTCAAAATGTGCAGGGATTCTTGGGTAAAGAATGGAAACCAAATGGCTGGATTTCACTCATATTGAGTAATAGAGAATGTATAGTATTGCAATCCAATAATGGAGTATTCATGAATCAAGGATTTGTACTCAATGAGCAGAGAGTGTTGAAAGTGTTTGGAAATCATCAAATTGGTGCTATTTCATATAATGATGAACAATCCATCGTAGTAGAGGGAATCGTGGATTTGGATCATGGGACTCGATTTGAAGGATTGATATTGACAGAAAACGAGTTTGGAATTCCATTTGGATATGGTGAAATGTATGATGATGATGGAATATTGGTGTACAAGGGCATAATGATCAATTGGAAACGATTTGGATATGGAACGAGTTATCATAATAATGGATGTATTGAATATGAAGGATATTGGTGTAATGATAAGCGATTTGGAATTGGAAAAGTGTATGATCGAAAAGGTGAGTTTGTAAAAGAATGTGAATGGTACAATGGAATTGAATGTGATATTTATGAAAAATATGAAGGAAATGGAAAAAAACCACTGAATATCGGAATGAAACATTTGAAACTGATTAACAATTGTGTATTGGTTGATTGGGATGTTTCATTGTTCCACAATTTGGAATCAATCGAAATCGGCAATAATAGTTGTAGATCAGTACAAACATTCAAAATCGATGGATTGAATCGATTGAAAACTATCAATATCGGCAACTATTCATTTACTCAGATGAAAAAAAGACACTGGAACCTGGGGGATGCAAACAACAAATCGAAATCATTCCACATATTGAATTGTGAATCATTGGAATCCATTCAAATTGGTCGATACAGTTTTAGTGATTTTGCTGGCGACTTTGAATTGAAGAATCTACCACAATTACAATCCATTCAAATTGGAACAATTGGAAATAAGTCACGCAATTTCTATTGGAGTTCATTTGTGATTCGAGGTATTGATATGATATTGAATATTTGGGTAATGCATAGATCTTCCAAATCTGCAACATATTTTTATAGGCGGTTGGGCATTCTATTATTCCCAAACAACAATCATTGAAAGTATTGAATGAATTCGAATGAAATGATTGATATAGATCTTCCGTCATTAAGATCTATTCGGTTAAGTTGGTGTGCATGCTGTAAAACCTTACATATAATCATGGAAAGTATTGAACAAATTTGAGTGAAATGATAGAAATAGATCTACCACAATTACAAAACATTAAACTTGATTGGTGGGCATTTGCTGGAAGAAAGAATGATGATTCGTGCTCTTTGATAATGCGAAGTAATAATGAAATGATAAGTATTAACTGGTTGTAGATCTTCCAAAACTAACAAACATGCATACTGAGTACAATAACTTTTGTAATACTCGTTTAGTAACATTAGAAAGTATTTTTGATGGATTAAATATTATATTATTTAGATATTCCAAATCTTCAACAATACAATGAATCTTCTTCCTTTCGTAGAGTATTAGTTTCCTCTGTACATAGTATGTATATATATTATAATTGATCATTCCTAGATGTCAATCAAAAACTTGCTGTTCATTTTCCTAAGGTAACATATGATTACAAATATATTCAACTTATTGATTCAACCGTAACTCTTATTATTCTTCCTAATTGGATCTGTAATGATATTGATTATACAATATTTGATTTCTCTCGATTTTCACGAGTTGAGTCAATCGAAATCGGCGATAATAGTTTTAGATCAGTACAAGCATTCAAAATCGACGGATTGAATCGATTGAAAAGTCTCAAAATCGGTAAGAGATCGTTTACTCATAAAAAGAGTTGGTTTGGAAAAGATAAATCAAAATCATTCCACATATTGAATTGTGAATCATTGGAATCCATTCAAATTGGTGAATATAGTTTCAGAGATTTTGCTGGCGAATTTGAATTGAAGAATCTACCAAATCTGGCATCCATCAAATCTCAAAGATATAGTTTCTGCAAGCCTTGGTTATTGACGTTGGAAAGTATTTTTGAATAGTGCATATTGGTAGTATTTAGATATTCCAAATTTGCAAAATGTCGAGCTACCTCATTCATTCAAGAATGTTCGAAGGAAATCAATTTCGAGTATTGTTTGATTAATTTGATTTGATTCATAGATGTTTCTTCTGTTCTGGCTAATTATGTTAGTTCTCATTTTTTTAAATGTTCGAAATGGGTATTATTCGTCCAGCAATAAGTCATTATTCATAAACGTAATGTTGGTTTATTATTTACTCTGTTTTATCATACCAATTATATATATAATGAACAATGGCTAATAATTGGAAAGGACAAATTGTACTAGATAAAATAATAATACACGATATAAAGGGAAGCATTGATTTCAGGAATTGACCAATCATATGAATCGCTATTTTTGATTCCCTAATAATAATAATAATAATAATAATTCAATCACAGGACATACCTGATTCATTATTTTTTGGGCTGATCCATTACACAATCTTTTATATTCACTGATTTGATATTAAACAATTCTATTATATAGTATTGAAATCAATTTGTTGATATTTGTCTAAATACAAAAGAATAGATAAATTTGTATGTAAATCAATCTCATTTTGTTAAACTCTAGCAATTCATCTGAAAATATACTCTCGCTACAGGCTTTTTGATTTTCAAGCAAGTAGTATATCGTAATCATCACACTGCTACCCGTTTTATTTTAGACATCACTTTTTGTCAATCGAAAATGGTGGATTTTGTGTAGCTCCTATTTACGAATAAAGTGTTAAATAGTATAGGTGTGTACTCTTTTCTTTCAATTCATGGTATAGGCAACAGCATAATATATTATAAACAAAATATCAATCAATCAATCAATCAATCAATCAATCATTGTTTAATATCTGTATTATGACTCTTTTATTTGATTGTTATCGACACTACTATTCTGAGTGAATGAAAGTTGACTATGATCTTGTATTGTTTGAAATGATTAGCATCTCTGTAAATATAAAACAGACTGCACATATATGTTTTAATTATAGATTTATCACTTAAACATCATTCAGGTATGTCGATAGCGGATTTTCGAGGATTTTCGAGTTAGAGGTGTTGTAGTTCTGATTTGCAATCTTTCGCTTATAAGTTCTAACAATAAAACAGAATATTGTGATGAATTGACTATTTCGAGTAGTAGCTATGACGTTTCATTTATGATTGTATTGGGTAAGTGTAAGTCGTAGTGTATTTGTAATATCAGGTGCTTATGTCATTAAATATTATGAGCAGTAGTGAAAAAATGGTCCAATGAATCAGTAGATACTGAAATGAAAAAGGTGCGCATTCTATTGGATTTATAATATCCCTGGTCTTAGACCATCTAAAGTGTTCCTCATTGTTCAATTTGTATTGATTCCTTTTCATAGTTCAAGTATTAAGCTCGACAACAACTATGAATTATGAAATTATCACTGTTGACTTCTATCCAACACACTTAAAGAATTAAAACATTCTTATGACCTTTTTGTCCCCATCGATATGTTCCAACTTAAGCATGAGTGTTATAATGTTTGACATTCCTCATAATTTTGCCTAAATCGGTAACACTATTGTTATTAATAGAATATTTACAATAGATTATCCATATTTCTTTGAGTTTTTCTTGATTTCCTGGATATTGGATTCGACCAACACAAAAATCTTCGAGATAATCACTGATATCCCGAAGCAAAAGTGAATGCATTCCCAAATATAGTCAATAAACGCAGTTATCCACTTTGATTTTTTTCTTTTTCCCATCAAAAAGAGATTTTACAAAAGGTTTGACCTTACCAAACTCCATAAAAGTGTTTTCAACTAACAAGAAAATCAAATTCTTCTTCTTCTTCGTCGTCGTCCTCCCCATCTTCTGTAGATACAGAATCAGACTCCAATCCTTTATCAGCTTGCTGAACAGAAGACACGATCGATGCTCGACTCGCTGCGATCGACTTTTGAAATGATTTCTGAAACGAGCGACCAAACGATCCGAACGATGCGGAGGGAACTTGACTTCCCGCGCGAGAACGTGTGGATCCGCGCTGCTCGGCTCCGTCCTCGATAGGAATCATTAAGAGTCGTTTAATAAACGAGAGGAAGACTAAATCAAATCACAACAAAGCACAGCCAAAACCAAACGGAAAGTACCCGAGAGCGGCCAATCCCTCGATAATCAGCGAAAAAACGTACGCCAAAAACGCATCTGAAGTCTGCTGCGGCTTTTTCTCGCTCAGTACATCGATTTCTCCGCTGAGATAGCGAATCTACGCATTCCAATCCCCTGCAAACGCCAACTTGTTCCTTGATCTCGTACGTTTTGTCGGATACATCGCGATTAAACTTGGTCCCCAGCTTTTTATTCAGCTTCAGCCGGCTTTCTGTGTCCTTCGTGTCGATCCCCTCCAATCTTCGCTTCATTTCCCTCCATCTCCCCTACGCTCCTCGCCAGATCCCTTCATTCCTTAAAAACTCGCTGCACTCCGAGTAACTTTTCTCATATTCGCTCTGCAATCGACGACTATTCTGCAGCACGCCCTGAATGAATTTCTCCACATCGCTGCTCGCCGTCGTTTCCCCGCGCATTTCTTCTTCGCCTTCCCACTCTCCCTCCAACCCGTGAACTCCTTCCTCCCCGCGGTTCCGACTTATTATCATACTCCCCGCGGTTGTCGTCGAGTCCACGCTCCCCGATCGGTATCCCTGCTTTCCCGCGGGAAACACACCACTCTGCGCGGTCTTCGCGGCTCCCGTCGACACGCGGGGAAGTGCGGGCGTTTCATCGGAGGACGTTTCGGCGTCACTGATCGCCTCCAATCCAAAACCGCGGGGAACGCGGTCCATTTCTTTGTCACTGGCGATGCTGGCGATGCTGGCGGCACTTGACGCAGATAACCGCGAGGATCGAGACGCGGTGCGTTGAGGCTGGATTCCCGCGGGGATCACGGGTACCGTGGGGGTGCGAGGCGATTCCGCGGGGAGGGAATCAGCGATGGGGAGTTTCTTTTCGAGGGGAGGAACGGGAGAAAGGGGAAGCGAGGCGGCGTGAGGGGAAGAAAGAGAAGCCGTGGAGGGCTGCGTGGACGGAGGAATGGGAGAAACGGGGAGAGGAGCGGATGCTGGAACAGAAACAGGAACAGGAACAGAAATAGGCATCGAAGTGGAAGCAGAAGCAGAGACAGAAGCAGAGGCAGAAGCAGAGGCCGAAGCGGAAGCAAGAGCAGGAGCGGGAGCGGGAATGGAGGCGGAAAGCGCGGGAGTGGAAGAAGCGGAATGGGGAGGAGGAAGCATGGAAGGGACGGAGGAGGAGGGAGGAAGCGAGGTGGAGAGGAGAGAGTCTTCCGCAGAGTCCACTGGGACGCCCTGAAAGGAGAACTTGGAGTAGATTGGGAGCTGGGAACGAGAGACGGTGGGAGGGTCTGCGGAATTGGAAGAGTGGGTGAGATCGGCAGGCGAAATGGTCTAGGAGAGGAAAATAGACAACACAAACTTGGTTTACTAGCTTGGACACTTCTACAGTACGCTGGGCGTGGTCCATGAAAAGCCGCATCTTTTTATCAGGAATTCCATTTTCTAAAATGGATTTCAAAAAAGATTGGAACTTTTCGTAGCATTTGTAGACGCCGGCTTGCGTCCCTCACCTCGTTCGTCTGTAAAGCGTTTATCTTCACTCTTTTCATCTGAAAGCGTTATGAAATACAATAAAAAACGATACATCGGTCCGATGGAGATGATCGAAACGGCATCGATTGGGAAGTCTGTGGTAAACACGCCATAGCCAAGAGGTACATAGATTCTGCGATGATCATCCATACTTGGCCAAATACGATTTAAACAAACAAACAATGAGCATGTCCTTGACTCCTCTAACAACTTTCATTTAATTGTCCTTCTCAGCAGCCTTGGCAGCACGCTTGGCACGCTTACCGAAGTTGTGGGCATCGCACAGAGCCTGTCTCAGTCCCATGAACGCAGAGCGCTTCTTCAGCTCGGGAGTCACTTCCATGAACTCCACCTTCGGGGCGACCTTCTCAATCGGCAGGATGGTGCCGTTCAGCTGGGTGGCAGCAGCCATCTCCTCAGCAGTGGCCACTCCCTTCTCTCCCTTCACTCCGCGAGGGAACAGGATCAGCTTGCTCTTGTACGCGTTCAGACGCTCCACGTTCGCCTGCAGAGACTCCACGCAGCGGTTCACACGACGATGATCCACAGCAATACCAATGGTCAGAGCCTCACGGGGGTTGATTCCGGCCTCCTATTCCATTACACACCAAACCAAACCGAAACACACCTTCAGCTCTTGCAGAGTGAAACCACGACCCAGTCTGGTTTTCATGTTGTACTTCTGCGTAGAGCAGCGGACAACGGGACGGAGCAGTCCAGCAGCGGGGCGAGGAGCGATCGCGGCAGCCTTTTCCTTACGGAGCAGTCTGCGGCGTCTCTTCTGTCCAGCCTGATCGAACCAGGTCTTCACACGACGATCCCAGTCCTTCTTAAAGTGAGCATTAGGTAAAACGTTGTTATGCTTCATTTATTCAAACTCTACAACCGTGTTAGACTCCCGACAAAATAAATAAACAAATAATCATCAAATCTTACCAAGGACAATTATTCCTGATTGACGCTTCACCACAAGTCCAAAACAGAAAAAGTCGGTATTTTTGGAATCGAAAATATGCTAAAATATCGGGAATGGCCAAAATACTCTTAATTTTCGAATCGTGCAATGGTTGTGTTAAGAATGAATTAAAGATTTGCTATGTATTGGAATCTTATTCGACAGCATTGTACTATCTCTCTCATCACCACTTTTCAACAGAGATAAGGTAGGGGAGTGTGCAGGATTGAGGTTATATTGTAGTAATTCGAAGCATGCAAATCTTCGTTAAGACTCTCACTGGAAAGACCATCACTCTTGATGTCGAGTCTTCGGACACCATCGAGAACGTGAAGGCCAAGATTCAGGATAAGGAGGGAATTCCCCCAGATCAGCAGCGTCTGATTTTCGCTGGAAAGCAGCTCGAGGACGGTCGCACTCTTTCTGACTACAACATCCAGAAGGAGTCCACTCTTCACCTGGTGCTCCGTCTGCGTGGAGGAGGCAAGAAGCATAAGAAGAAGCAGTACAAGACCCCCAAGAAGCAAAAGCACCAGCACAAGAAGGTGAAGCTTGCTATTCTGAAGTACTACAAGGTGGACGAGTCCGGTAAGGTCACCCGTCTGCGACGTGAATGCCCTGCTTGCGGCGCTGGTGTGTTCATGGCTAAGCACGCTGACCGTAACACCTGCGGTCGCTGCGGAAACACCTTCAAGTAAATCATCAACTAGGAATTGGAGTCTCTGTTGATATAGTCTTGTTTGTTATGAGCTAGCATGGTTCTTGTTGTTTCTGAGAGGTGCAGAGAGTTGCTCATGTGATAAATGATTTGATATGAAACGGGAAAAGCGAGATTTTAGCGGACTTCGTTCGTTGATCCATTTTGTCAGATTCCAATAAGATAAACGATTGAGAGAACATGGCTGAGGAAGTTCAAAACCTGTGGGTGGGAGGATTCAATCCCAGTCTTTACAAGCTCCTGGTGAACTCTTTTGAGAAGTATTGGGTTATTTCGTATCCTGCTAATTTTCGTAGCAAAGAATTTAAGACAGAAGTGACCTTGAATCAAAGTGAAGGTACAACGTATGAACGTATTCGTCAATTGCAGGAATGAGAATCGATTTCATAAAGCAGAAGGATGTAGAGCATGCTGAAATTATGGTGAACTGCTCCTGCTGGGATGATATCAAAGAGTGTGTTTTGGAAGTGGATTTTACCCTAGCTGCGACGTCGAAGCCTACGTCAAGAAGAATTTGGGTGATGTCATTCGTCCCTGCACGAAGCTCCATGTGAATCTCTACCTTGAAGTTCCCAAGGCCGAATATGAGAAGGAAGGCGGTTTTCCCCCTGACATTGGGTGACCACTAGATTCCTATCTAAAGAAAGTGGCTTCTGTCCATGAGTACATTCTCGCTGCTCCTTTCTACAAATACCTGAAAGCTCTGCAAGACGGGTCTCTCTCTTCCCTCTACCCCAAGATCTTGAGTTTCTACCTCCACGAGCCCATGTACCACCCCTCCCTTTCCTCTCTCCTAGCTACATCATCCCCAAATCCACAAGCGTCTCCATCGTCTTCTCCATCAACGAAACCGACGACACGGACCGCTCGCTGATGCAGGTCTTCCTTCTGGAGTTCAGCGAAGCCAAGCGGACCGTTGTCGGCTCTCCTTCCGTCACCTTCTCGCGCGACGAGCCCAACGACATCCACGGAATGGTCAAGGAGAAGCCGTCGGTGGGGTTCCTCTCCTTCGGTATTTGATGTTTTGGGCGGAGGATGGATCGTAGCCTTCAACGAAGAAAACGTGGCGGGGAATCGCGCTGAGAAGGCCGCTGCGCTGCTCAGCTCCTTCCGCTTTTATTTGGATTATCATGTGAAGTCGAGCAAGACGTTCCTGCATGGGAGAATGCGAAATCGCGCGGAGCAGTGGAAGAATTGTAGGCTTTGGGAGCAATGTGGACTGTAGTGCTGAAGGAGGCGAAGTTCGAAGAAATGGAGGTCCAGAAGACGACAATTAGTGGCAAGACGTTCAAGCAGTGAGTGTGTTGGTGTGTTTGTTTGTTTGTTTGTTGATTGTTTGTTTGTTTTCAATCCATCCAAAAATCCCGCCGATTTTTTGTAATATACACCACCGTATCTATTATTCTTTATTGTTCATACTATTCTTAATGCATATGTAAGATGAAGAAGAGTAGCAGCGATCTGTTAATAGAAAAGGTGGAGGACGAGAGTCGGATGAGTCTGCTTTCAAGCAGTGGGATTCGCTCCGTATACAATATCGTTCCTATTTCACGTTCAGCAACCGCTCATGGCTGTGGAAGAACATTTACCTGAACAGCTGCCTTCTCCCACTGTGGTTTGTCTATCCGATTTTCCTTCACTTCTGTAGCATGAAACAAGTATCGGAGTACAAAGAATGTCACCCATTTTGTGGGATGAAACTAGGAACTAGTATGTTAATGGGTTTCTGTGACACGCAGCTTTTGCTATGTAAATGCGGAGCATCAAATTTGTATATTAAACGCAGGCGACGAGTATAAGCTCCTTTTCTGTCTACGAGGGCATCATTCTCCGGTTTTACAGCTTCTTTTTTACACCCACTCGATTCTCCTGTCTTGCGGAACGGAGGGACTTTTTATATGGGATCTCGCTCGTAATGGAGCCTGTACTCATCTGTATTCATTTCATTTTTGTATCTCCTAATACAGAATCGCCGATTCTATATCTTGTATGTGTTTTATCCCCCCGAATTCTCTCCTGGCTTGCGGCACAACAAGCGGATCGATCATCGTGTTGGATCCAGTCAACCAGTTCTGCCAAGTCGATCGACTCGAGTCGCAGTCCATCGCAATCACCTGTTTGCACGCAATCCCCGTACCTCCGTCTCGATTAGAGTCTCTCTCTCTAGTCTCAAAATCTGCTCGCAGCAGCAAGTCGAAATACAATGATCTATCTCTGGGATGTTCACTGCTATTCTGCGTCCAGTTTTCACGATTCGCCGACGCTGCGAAGCACATTACGCGGACATCAAGGAGATGTCACGGCGCTCGCTTCGACCTCAAACGGAGAGTTCTTGTTTTCGGGAGGACGCGATCATTCCATTCGGTGTTGGAACACGATCGCTGGAAAGTTCGTTCGATTGGTGGAAGACGCGCACAACAACCTGTAGGGCTCTTTCTGGAATTCCACAAATAGCGGGAAACACCACGGGGAAATCACGCACCTGCTCTGCGTTCAGAACGATCAGAACCTGATCACTGTCTCCTTGGATGGCTCGGTGAAGCGATTCAAACTGGCTCCCTTCCCTGCAACAGCGTCTCCGGATGAATCGCCCGTCGAGGAGAGCATCGACGCGATTTTGTCGAGCGTGGATTCGTTCCTCTCCATTGACAATTTGCTCAGCTTCGACGCGGAGACTCCCTCGATGCTGAGTCCGCTCCACGCCTCGGAAGCTCCCTCCAGCAGCGAGCAGGACACGCTCGAGCGAAGCTTCTGCTTGAACCAGTCGGTCGGCATTGCCCACGTCTGCTTCAACGCGGCTCGCTCGCTCCTCGCCGTCTCCTTCGCCACTCCCGCCATTTTTCTGCTCTCTGCGGACCGAATCGATTCCGATGCGTGGAGTTCGCCGCCTTTTTGGGTCCTGGAAGGCCACAGCGCCGCCGTGACCTGCTTCGCCGTGGACTCGCACTGCCATCTCGTCTCCGGCTCCACCGACCACCAGCTGCTTCGGCACGAATTCGCCTCCTTCGCCTGCACCGGCAGCCAGAATCTCCAGCGAGCCATCCATGCCATCTCCTGCGTCCATGAGTGGAGTTTTGTGGGGTCGTCCGACTACGCGATTCTCGCTTCCTCGCCCCAAGCGGAGGCCTTTCTGACCGGCCATTGCGGCCAGATCACCTCGCTGGCGCTCGCGCGTTCCGACGGAATTCTCGTTTCCGGGAGTTTCGATGTGAGTGTTCCGCGGGAATCTGACCTCTAGGGCGCGGTCATGCTGCATTGCGTTCCGCGCGGAGATCGCAAAACCGAGGCTCCCTGTCACGTGTCGCGGCTCCACGAGGGAATCGTGACCTCGGTGGACGCCGCCTGCTTCGAGGGCGTTTCGCTGGTGATCTCGGGGGGCTCGGACCACTCCGTAATTCTCTACAAGCTGGAGAAAGCCTCGCTGCGGTGCCAGTGGACGGCGAAAGAGGCGCACGAGTCGGTGGTGACGGGCGTGATGCTGGGCGTGGGGATGGGGATGGGGATGGCGTACTCGGTGGGAAGGGACGGCGTGTTGGTGGTGTGGAACGAGGAGAACGGCGAGGTTGTGGGGCGGCTGCGGCACCATCGAGCGAAGATCGTGGGGCTGTGCCAGTCGCCGGATGGGCGGTTTGTGGCGACGGCAGCGGCGGATCGGAGCGTGTTTGTGTATGATGTGAGCAAGAAAATGAAGTGCGTGGAGAGGATTGAGACGGAGGAGGAGCCGTCGGCGCTGTCGTTCTTGAACGGGTCGATCGTTTGCGGGTTTGTGTCGGGGAATGTGAAGCTGTGGAGCGTGTCCGGACTGCTGCAGTAGTGGTCATGGAGTGTATCTTTGCGTTGTGTGTTTGTGAACAAACATGGGAAAGTCAGAGAGAAAGCGAGGTGAAGTCGTTCGCCACCACGACGCCTTCGCTGCCGAAACTTTGCTACGCCTCACGCCACGACATGGATCGTACCACCGCGAGCTCGCGCAATTCGCGCATTTCGGGACTGTCGAAGCGTTTGGAATTGGCCGGATAGCGACTCGAAATGTGCGTCAGCACCAAGCGCTTGGCTTCGCACTCCTTCGCGAACGCTCCGGCCATTCTCGCCGTGGAATGACCGCTCTCGCGAACGATCGCCTCGATGTCCTCCATCGAACGGCCGCCTATTTTATTAAACAAAAAAACAGCGATCTGAAGCGTACGAAGCTCTTTCTGAAGCGGAATCACAGTGGATTCGTGCACTAGCAAGTCTGTCTGTTTGAGTAAAGGAAGCATGGAGCGAGCATCGCTCGTGTCTCCTAAAATGGCGAATCGTTTTGTGTTTTTCTGTTCCGCGAAAAGCGTCGAATCGAAGGGATCAATCGTGCAGTTTTCTCCCAGTACCACTTTCTTTCCCTGCTGAAGACGTTGAATCACATCCTGCTCCGTCACTCCGCACGTCGTTAGCAATTTCGACGCGTTCTCCTGGTACAATTCGTGGATTTTCGCTTCATCCAGCTTCTCTAACGTCTCATCTTCGATCCAAAAAGCGACTAAACTGAGGCGGCGAAGTGTACGCAAAGCCGAAGCAATCGACGGTGTGCTTGATTTTGCCTGCTCGAACGCTTCCGAGCGTCGTCTACTTCGCAATGCACCCACATTTCAACTTCGCAGAGATCCCAGAAGCCGTCAGACGCGGGAAACAGAGGCGCCACCTGGATGCGCCGATCTTCGTAGTGCAAACGTGTGCTGTTTGATGCGTATTCGTCTAGGCGGGGATCGTTTTCATCAGAGAACAGCTCGTGAACTATGCAGGGACAGTTCGTCTTGGTGTCGGTTAATTGGAACACGGTTTTGAGATATTTCGCCAAACCGTAGGGACCATAGATTTCTACTGGAGCATAGGTCTGGTTGTTTTGTGTGCGACTGATTCCTGCGTCGCTCAAAAAGGCAGGAAGGCCATAAATATGATCTCCGTGCATGTGCGTGATAAAAATCGTTGAAATACGCGAAGGACGGATGATTAGGTTCCGAATCCGTTCTCCACTTAACGAACTTTTCATTTCTCTCTGCAATCGGTACATCTGATGCGTTGTGACTACCAATAATGGAAAGCGACAGGAATTACTATCGCCACAGTCAAATAACCATTCTCCTGCTTTTAATCCATTTCGGATCGTGACTACAATCGATTGAGCTACAGATAAGGAAAAACAGACATCCCCACTCGCTCTCACAATTGTCGATTTCTGAGATCCTGTACCGAGAAACTGCAATTTTAGAGTCAGCGCCATCCAAGAAACTCAATTCTCTGTTGACAATTATGGCTTCCATCGTTTATCAGTGTAAGCGATGTAGCAATATGCTTACGGATTCAAATTGTATCATAAATGAGAAGGACCAGCTGGTTTTTCTCTCAAGTACGTGCTTTGCTAGAAAATCATGATTCCTTAGAAATCGCAAATTCTAAAGTTGATACAGGGATTTGTTTGTCAACAGAACCCTTCGATTGTGATTGTAGCTATCGCGAAGTGTATTGCGGGAAAGTAAGTGTCAGAATCGATTTTTCCGACATAGTGCAATGAAAATATCGGTCGCTATTATATGGCAACAGTACCCCAGTTGGATTATCTTCGAAATCATTACTCGTTATGTAAAGACAAACTGTATGAATACCGTATTCAGGATGTAGAACTTGAATTTCAGATTCAACATGAAAAACCAGGTAGGAGCTAAATTTCGCTTGAATGATTTTATTATATAGACAGAGTAACTTCATATTTTACGGGAATGGATGCTGAAAGAGCCGCTCATTTTGTGAAGGAGTTGCGCAACCTAGAAATGGAAATTCTCAAATTGAATGATAGGATAGATCGTTTACAATAGTTGAACTGTTTGTTGAACGAAGAGTTTGTCGATGTGCTTTTGAAAATAAGAGAAAATGGTGAAGCAAGGGTCTAGAGCTTTTTTCTTCTTCGAAATTTGAATAATGAGCGATCCTTCGCTCTACGAATGTTCTCTATTTTTTGCGATTCCAAAAATCTGTGGTTTTCTTCGCATATTTCTGGTTCTCAGTATTCATTACAGAAGCAGTTTATTTTGTACTAGCTTTCTGTCGAGAGTCAGCGCAATCCAAAATTCTTAATTGTCGGAAATGTTTTCTCAAGGACCGGGAAGATATGTTCCTTATGACTATATAGACTACCATGACATGGTCGATAATGTACTGGGTATTATTTTGTCGTTTAAGGGTGTAGGACCAAGATGAGGTTTTGAGGCGCCGTCGGAACTTTCGAACGAGCCACTTAGCTCCAAACTCTTATATTTACTCGGATCCATTGTTTGGTTCGAGCAGAGAGAATGGTATGGGGTTACACATGTATCCTAGCGATTCATCAAGTGCAATGTTTGATTCTCTTGAGGGATATCATGATATTCGCATGGATTCGAGTTTCTTGGTGGAAGAACGTAGTGCCCTACCAGATCTTCCGTCGTTTTATGATTCGAGCTCTTCGATGTTTCCGTATAACCATTATTCTACGGGTTCAACGCTTCATGCTGATTATCCCTTTGAAGATGCTCCGCTGTCTCTGGACCCTTTTGCACAGTCTTCAAATCGTTTTGGACACGATTCGGCGTACCATCTCTCGGATTCTCTATCGACGCATGATTGCTTTTTGTCATCGGATTCCTCGTATTCTCATCACAGTTCCATGTCTTCTTCTCGTTTCAATGTGAATGCTCCCGAGTTCACTCCCTATTCTCGACCCAAACAAAAGGAAGATGTTTGCGCAATTCCAGAAAAAGGGGATATTTTGAATGATGAACGAGAAGAACCATTGGACGATTCTGTTGTGGATGAAACGCCCTCCATTGTGGATGAAACGCCCTCCATTGTGGATGAAACGCCCTCGCTGACAAAAGAACCTTCCAAAGAACCTTCCAAAGAACCTTCCAAAGAACCCATAAATGAAACTTCCTCCAACGAACCAGTCGATGAAACTCCTGGAACACAATTCCCTCCCTCCGAAGAAACTCCCTCTCCCCCCTTGCAAGGAACCGGCTCTTTTGAAACTCCCTCGGAACGTCCAATCATTTCTTCGTCGCTTCCCTCCAAAGCGTCGAAGCGAAAACAACCCAAGTCCAAATCGCCCGCCATTTCTTCGTCGCTCCCGCCCTCCGTTTCCGCGACCGTTTCCGCGACCGTTTCATCGTCTTCGGCGAAACTCCCAATCAAAGTCAAAGAAAAAACGGTGAAACGAGAATCGAAAAAACGAGCGAAACTCTCCAACAAACCCAATAAACCCGTGAAATCGAGCGTTTCCCCTTCCTCCGTCCCCACTTCTTTATCATCTTCAACAACATCATCCACATCATTAACATCATCATCATCATCTTCCTCTTCTTCCTCTTCATCGCTTCATCTCTCTCTCAGCTCCCTATTCCGCGCTCTTCTCGCTCGCGTTCTCTCCTGTATTCTCCCCACCCCGCCCTTCACTCCTAGGCGTGGTCTACTTGATGAAAATCCTCCACTTCACCGATTTCCACATGATCGGAGTGAATACGGTTTGCGCACTCGCCTTCCAAGTGGTACGCCAATCGATCGTCCTTCAGAATGTAGTCGATGCCAGTGCAGGGACGGCTCTTTCTTCTACTTTCATTGCTGTGCACGAGCTGCAAAGAGCCCGAGCGATCTCCGTTTCTATTCATCGTAACGGGCGTTTTCATGGCTCTCACGCTGCTTTTGTTCTTCTCTGGGTTTGTCGGAGCGCCGAGTTATGTCTCTTGTATGGATCAAAGCGAAGAATGACGGGCAGATCTCTTCTATAACTTGCTGGCGTTCGTGATTCTGTCGCTTCGGCATCGTTCCTGCTTTGATGGGATGTTTGTGAGCGGATTTGTGATTCAAGTCTCTCTGATTTACATCTACATGCAGCACCGCAGCTTTGAAGTCTTCCTTCTCGCTCTCTCCTTCCTCGTGAATCTACTCTTCCAGTAGATTCCCTTTCCTCTTCTTCTTCTTCTTCTTCTTCATCAATTTATCAATTCGAATCCTCCTTTCTTCCTTGTTTGTTCGCTTCCCTTTTCCAACAAACACTCCAAAGCTCATTATCCATCTTCGATCGCTTCAAACTGCCGCGCGCCTTCGGACCCCAATTCGGCTCCGGATTCCCAGGGAATCGCGCGAACTCGTACTCCTTCTTCATCTCCTCCAGCACCGTGAAGTCATACCTTCCACTCGCCGGCTCCGTCAGCCACTTCTTCACGAACCCGTCCGGCAGCGCCTCCAGCCACTCCTTCTTCGCTTCTTTCTGGAACTGCTGGAAGTACGCGCGGAACATGTCGAACACCACCGCTCCCGGCGCGTCCGTCTTCAACGCCAGCGGATCGCAGTGGCTCTGCGAGGTCTGGTAGCCGGCCCGACGCAGCGCCGAGGCGATCTCGATGTACTTCGGCGCGGTCATTTTCAGCGTCGATGTCATGCCATGGAAGCTGTAATAGAAGGGAATCGGCAGCTCTTCTTTCATCTACGCTTCACTCCGCTCTCCCTCGCCCACAGCCGTCAGCAAGCCCAGCAGAATCGGATGGGTGGAGCAGAGGTACGAGCTCAATGCCAGCAATCCTTCGTCTTTCTCCACGTACAGCTTCGTCAGTCGGTCAATCGCCGCGTCCATCACTTGCGGATCGCACAGCGCGCCGCTGAACACCGGACCGCCCAGCTACACGTCAGGTCCTGGCGAGATTCCGACGCGATAGACGCCGTTGCAGAGCGGACAGTGCGAATCGACCTCGCAATTCGGCGGGTGGAACTTGCCTGGCTTCTCTTCTACCCTTCAAACCTCCCTGTGTGGGCACTGTGCGAACGGCCTAACGGCTGCAGCTGGTAGTGGTGGCAGTCGTTGCAGTAGTAGAGCAATGCCGAGTTCGAAGCGCACTGCTTAATCGCGGTTTTGGAGTCGTGACTGATTCGAAATCGCTCAAAACACATACATTCGAACGAAGCAACGCACATAGAAGTCGATTTGGAAGGCACCCAGCACTTCGATGGAGCGTCCGTACTTGGCTGCGTTCATCATGATGGTGTACAGCACGATTCGAACCGCCAGTTCGTGGCAAAAGGGGGTTTTCGGACAATTGGCGCCGTATTTCGTAAACACCACTTCCGGATGGTTGCCACACAGCACAGTGAGGTCGGTGCTGGTCACACAGAGCAAACCTCCGTCGCAGAGAGACTGCACGGCACCGTCCAGGAAGATACTGCACGATCCGTAGGGATCGAGATCGATCACATCGAAGCGGTTGTAGGAAGGGCTTCGATTCTGGTACATCACCATCGTGGCATCCCTTTGATTGAAGAGATCCGAAAGAAATACGCTTGGTTCGGAACTACGCGGTCGGAGGTGATTTTGTTGTAAGCGAGATTATCCTTCATGCTTTCAACAGCTGCATCAGCGATATCGTTAATAATAATGCGGCGAATATTCGGAATCTCCTTCCAGTAACGAATACTTCGCAGACCGGAGGCAGCCAATGCTTCCAGGATGTAGAGACCATCTTCTGCGAGATAGGGCTTTCCTTCTGCCTCGGCTACCTTTTTACGCTCTGCGATGATTCCTTCGTATCGCTTTGGCTTTTCTTGCTTAAGAGTTTCCATCTCTCGCTTTCGCATTTCTCCAAACAAGGTAATCATCAAGATAGACAAATCTCGGTTTTTGACCTGAACCTAATTCATCATCGATCTATAAAAAGGAGTGCCTTGTTGTAGAACACATCATTATTCTCAGGGAAGAGAATGGTTGCACTTCCCTCAGTAATGAACTTATATCCTTTCGAAAAATCCTTTGCAGCTATGACTTAATCACCTCTCTCAAACCCAACCCATCGAGACGGAAGAAGTGGAAAACAGGTGTTTGCTTGGTATCGATCGAGCAGCTCTAGGGAATAAGAAGGATTTTCTTAGAAGGCACAAAGAACGTGTGAAGCGGCTCAGCAAACGCAAACAACCGAACATATGAAACAAACACCCGATAAAAAGGTTCCAATTCGATTCATTATTTCATTCACTACAAATATCGCGTAATCCACTTGAAGATAGATCTCTCCATTTGATCCATATCGAATGTGTATTATTTGTGGGGATGTAGCTGTGGTGTCTCCATTTTCTTCACTAACGAGGATGTTAACGTTCTGAACCTCCTGCAGAGGGATCACGCCTTTCACCACATACGACTCGCAGTGATTCCAATCGATTTCTTTCGCCTCGTCCACGCTACAGGATCCAAACCTTTCCAGCGACTCCACGATTCGGGAAACGATCTCCATTTCTCGCTGCTCGTCCACATCCAAACTGTCTTCTTCGGCATTCATTCCTTCTTCTTCTTCTTCTTCTTCTTCTAAGGAAATCGATTGTTGCGATGGAAGGATGTCTGTTGATTCCATGAATGGAGTTTTTGTTTCGTTGGTGTTTGAGGGGTCGGCGGAGTTTGGATCGTCGTTTTCACTCGTCGTTTCGGTGGTGATTTCTGATGAATCGGCGGGATTGGTCTCTTGGGGAGATTCAAGAGATTCATTTTCGGTTTTCTCTCTTTCATGTTCTTCGCTTGCTGTGCCGTCACTTGTAGTATTTTCTTGTTCGTTTTCATCCTCGCAGCTTGTTTTGTCCTCATCCGTCCTTTCCTTTTTGATATCAGTGACACATTCATTTTCATTTTCGCATTCACATTCACATTTATCCTCAATCTCCTCTTCTTCTTCCTCCTCTTCCTCCTCCTCTTCTTCTTCTTCCTGCTCCTCTTGTTCTTCTTCCTCTTCCTCCTCTTCCTCCTCCTCTTGTTCTTCCTCCTCTTGTTCCTCCTGTTCCTCCTCTTCAATCCTTTCCTCCACCTTCTGACTCTCTTCTGTTTTGCCCACTTCAACCACCGCAGCGGTCACCAACAACATATTCTTCCTCGTCAGAATCATCAAATACGTTCCCTTCAAAGCATCCGAACGACCCAAACTTTCATCCGTTTTCACCGCCAATTGAAGCGCCTCGATCTCCGCAAAATCCTGGCCGATTTCGCTCTCCGAAAGAACCCTCACCAAATGGGTATAAAGCAGCGAATTCACGATCGTTATCAGCTGCGCAGCGATCTGCGTACCGATCGAGCTGCGGTCGATTTCGGCCATCATTCCGTCCAGACAGTTGTGAATCGCTTCAAAATACTTCTTCGAATGCGAGTCTTCAATGAACGACGCGTCTTCCTTCCGCGACGGAGCGACCAACACCACCTTTTCCTCTTCAGCACTGGCACTCTTGTAATAATCGCTCGATGACGTGTTGGTATCGCTGCGCTGCTTCCAGCTTCGCCACCAAGTCCAGCCACCCAACAACCCTCGAAGCGGTTTGATCGAGTTTTTGGGAGTCTGGTAGTCGTTCGATAGCAGAATGTCCAGCAGTTTCGGGAAGTCGGTCTTCGAGTCTTTCTCATTCATCGCAATCGACACGAACGATCGCTGCGCCTTTTGGAAAACAAGCGAAACCAGACTGGCTTCGTTTTCAGAGTCGGAGAGAATGATGATTGGCTAGGAGTAAACTCAAACACGCTTTGCTACGTCCTGGTACGCAGAGCACATCTGCTGATACACATTTCCCTCGGTGTTTCCTGAACTGTAGGGCACGTGGATGTAATGGATCCGCGTCGTCTGATCGGCGGAGAGAGTCGAGTAGAGAGTGGCTTCCACACAGCCATCCACTACACTGACAAAATCGTTCCGCGCAGCGACTTCTTTTCGAATATCCAGCACGATATAGGTCATACAGTTGGCTGTGTGGGAAGAAGGAAGCAGTTTCTTGTAGCGACTTTCCGTTGTGATGACTGGACCAATGATCTGGAAATGAGAAACATCGCAAATCAAAGCAGTACATTCGAAAACGGTATAACCAGAGCAAATGGAACGCTTTGACATAGACAGGAAAAACAAGTATTCTAAGTCACGGAGAAAGTAAAGGACAGTACGACATAGGCCTGAGAGATCGAAGGAAGCGTGTTGATCATCATGGAAATGGAGGTTAGTGAAATCATCGTCACGTTTTTCATTGCATCTCGCAGATAGGACTACATGGAGAATCGAAAAGGAATGAAAACATCGAATGAAGGAGATAGTGGAGAGGAGGAATGCAAGGAAAGAGTGTGAACTAACCAGAGCAATATCCACAACACAGAACGCTGCTGGTATCCTTGTAGAGGCTCGAGAAGAGCCCACAGCTGAGCAGAGTCAAGATAACTCGCAGGATCCACGACAAGAGTGCAGATTGTGTCTTCCCACCCATTGTACGCTGCATCGAGCTTGAGAGCCAGGGACGGATCGAAATAGAGAAGCAGCAGACGGAAGAAATCACCGGAAAACTCAGCATTCTGAAGACACGCACTGTTCTTATCACTTATTGTGCATATCAAACGATCCTGCAGGAGCAGACGTAACGCAAAGGCATCTTTTGGAGTTTCGATAACATCCACAAAGGAATAGAGAATTCGTAATTGGGCGCTGTTGAGCATGTCGTTCTTCGTCGGTGTGAAGGCCAACTTGAGAAGTGTATCTTTCCCATCACAGCTGTGCTCTCCAGAAAGCGAGGATGATATGAGCGAATCAACAAGGTCATTTTCCGGAACGGGCGGTACTGTGATATCTGGCTGCAGCTTAAACCAGTTCGTCCAGCGGGATTTGATGGCTTCAACCGACGTTCGCGCCGTTAGATTATCTGTAGAGGACGAAGTCGTTGAACTATCTAAGGAAGCCGTCGATGTAGGAAACGGCACTTGAACTTGAACCAGAGCATCCATAATCGAATAAATGCACATCCATTGACAATATCCCTGTCATGCGAATCATTGAAGAATATCCAATAAAGTCTTTTGTAAATAGACGGCATATAGAATCAAATGGAAAATAGTCATAAACTTGCTTCAAACAAACAGAAATTATCAAAGTTGAATGAAGAACTAGCATGGATGCAAGTGAAGATTTAAGAGAACTTGAAGGGAGCGTAGAACTGACGAATGACTGGGAAAGTGATGATCTGGACTTTTCTAGCGATTTTGAAGTGGATAATTTGCAAGTGGAGGAAGGAACGGATAATTTTAAATCTCAAGAGTCTATCCATGCAAACTGCGTGGATCGTGAAACGTTTGAAAAAGAAAAGCAGGCATGGAAGGAGGCAATGGAGGAGATGTCCCAGCGCTTCAGTCGCGCGACTTCTATGCTGGACAGCATGAAGTCGATAGCTCTGCGAGATCAGGAGAGAATCGAAGAGCTAGAGAGAGAGAATCGGGAAATTATGCAATACAAAGAAACGTTCACTAGACTTCAACAGCAAATCGAAGGGCTGAACACGCTCCTTTACGAATCAAACGAGGAGAGCGCCTCCTACAGACAAAAGATCAACGAACTGAAGGATAGGGTTGCAGAGTTGGAAGATAAACTATACGGACCTACAAACTACTATTACCAAGAGTTTTTAAAGGTAGACGTAGTAAATAATAATAGTATATTGTAGTGCCAAGACGAAATTGAAAGTCTCACGAAGGAATGTGACTCCTACAAGAACCAGCTCCACCAGGTGAAGGACATAATGCGAGACATGATTATCGAAAAGGAGAAGGGACCGACACAGGAGGATTTACTCAGAGAGCGCGAGAAGTTTGCCAAACAAGTATCTGCACTAGAGCGTCGTATTGAGCAATTGCAGGAAGAAAACGAAAAGCTTCAAGCAAAGTGATAGACTGTTTGTTGAAAACACTTCTTACATTCTTAATAGCTTAAAGGTTGATCTGTGAAAAACGAGCTTAGCACGATATGAAAACTTGCTATATGGGCAAGGGACCCAATTCGACGTAGGGACACATAGGGGTGCGGTTTGCGGATTAGAAGGTCTGCAATTGGGATTTGACAGATACGGCAATTCTGAAGAGGAATTAATATCACTTCTTGTTTCGTCAGATATCACTTTGGTGCCGCTACCAACAGAGGGTACCATCGTAGAATACATAAATCTTGCATAGGGCAAGATATGACGACGCTTTTCCATATATTGGTAAAATTACATTGAAACACATATAACGTCGCAAATAGTGGCTATTTTTGGATTTCATTCGATTTTCAAAATAATTTAAATCACATCTAAATTCTTTCTGCGTGTAATTACCTACTATTTATCGGATTCTTCAATAAAATCAGTGTTGATTATTAAAAAACAACCAATTAGAATAATTGTTAGGGACTTTAAATTGGTAAGTACAGGTTCCATTACACGGTCTTTGAGAACGAAGTATCAGCAATGTAGTCTTTCTTTGGCCTAAATTATGGAGTATACAAAATACTCTATTAAATAGCAGTACAAAATTGTAATTAAGCTTTTTACAATACGCTATAATCTCCTCAGAGTCGTAATGAAACTCCCGACGTGAATTGATTGGCTATTTTATTTTTCAAAAACCTCAATTTAAAATAGACTTGGATATACGGACTTAATCATGATAGGAATAGAATAGCAGGCTTTGAAAAGGAATTTACCCCACCTTCCCACTGGCAACCTGGTAAATAATCCGAGACTAGAGTTATGCCCTATAATGTGACATAGTTACAACCGCTACAATCCCTCTTTCTATCTTACCCATTTTCAATCCCCATTGTTTTCCTTTCCTACATGGAAGAAGAGAAGAAGTTTGTTTCTAGAGAGGAATGGAGAAAGGAAATGCGGAAAACCTTCTGTAAGAAGGACATGATTGACGAAGAAGGAAACTTGGTTAAAGAGTATCCTTTTTTATTTGGCTTCACCGCATAGGTATTTTCATTTGAAAAAATTAAAGACGTGGACCTTGGCTGAGGAAAAGCTGTTGATTGAAGGAATCCAGAAGTACGGAGTTGGCGAATGGGAGCGTATTCGCCGTGACTTTCTTTCTGACTGGGTATATAATCGATTACCGAAGTGGTTGCTTATTTCGTAGATTACGGAAGATATTCGATTAAAGGCTTGCAGACTGTTTGGAATTCAGAGAATAGAATTATACAATGGTTTTAAGGGTAGTCTCGATGAGATCAACGTTGTAGGTACTTTGCGTGGTTTGATCAACGTAGGAGTACGAAAAGAACAAAAAGATCGGAATGAAGGAAGGTCTGTGGGTAGGAAACGTGTTAATCGACAAACGCTTTGGTTTATTATGCAAACAAAACTAAAATGACTGTTTGTTTAAAATCCTGTCCTTCCGAATACAAATATCATGGTCCACCTTGCAATTGCTATCCGTGCAGCTTTTCACATGCCTTTCCACAATCCTCACAAACAGTCGGCATAGTTTGCAACTCCCCTTCTCACAAACCGAGCTGTGCTGCACCATGGTCTTCATCAGCGAGCAGTAGGGCACCGCACACATCTCGCTATCGCACACAAAGCAATGCGTTAACGCCTGCAGCTGCGAGTCTCCCGGATTCCCCTGGAAGGTCTGCATGGAACGTCTTTCCCAGCCCTACGTCCATAAAGCAAACGTTTTCATCGCGCGCAAAGCCAGAAACAGCGATCGGCGTGAGCTCGTGCTCGTGGCTGTGCTTCTCGCGGCAGCTGTCGCACATGTCGTAATCGGGACACTTGTGGCAATGCCAGCGCGTGCCGGTGGTGATTTCGCGCATGCAGCGATTGCAGCTGTGGCCGTACTTGGGAATATCCGGGTTGAAACAGTGATAAAAGGCCATCATGGTGCTGTAGGAGGCGCGACGAAGCTACGATGAAGACAAAAGCGAGAGGAAACCTGATCGAACTCGTAGTGGTTTCCTTGGCACACGCTCAAAAAGGTCTGGCGATTCTCGAAAGAGCGAGTAATCATCGACTCGTTCCAGTCATGCTCGTCAAACCGAGTGGCTGGGATGCGCGTCGCGCTGGTTTGCAGCTCGCGAGAGAGATTGGAGAGACAGGCGAGACAGCAGAAGGGAGCCATGAGAATGTTCTTCTCGGATCGATGCTTCACGGGAGAGGAAATCTTCTCTGGAAGCTTGAAGTGGACTTCATCGTCGATATACCGACCGCACCAATGACACTGATGCTGCAGTTTGACCACCAAGAGACGATCTTTGTAGTCCTATGGCTCAGAAAAGCTTTTAGCAAACGACTTTGAGCGACTCGTACATCTTTGCGAATAAAACGCCCTTCTTTGCTGCTCGTTTTCTCGTGGACGTAGAGGTCTATGATTGATAAAACATAGTCAAAACAATGAGATACATCCGATTCCACTTCATCCGTTTGCTCCAAGAGCGGCTTCACTTTCTGGACGTTCAGCAGCAAATTGCACTTCTCTTCGGAGTCCTGCACCCAGTGATCATCGCTGAATTGAGGCACTGCCAGCAACGCCACGTCATCCTTACTGCGATTGTAGTTTCCCTGCAAATACTCGTTCACCAGGTTGGAAACCTCCGTAACGATTCCCTGCTTGTGCGCATTGGCCAGCATCTCGTGATACCAGTCTCCCAATCGCTTTTCATTCGGCGTTTGCTGCTCGAGAGGATGCGAGAAGCTAGAAACATTAGAGAGAACAATGGGGAGAGTACATGATGTAATCGTCTCCTTTCTTGGGAGGACACACCCAGATTAATGCCGATTTGAATCCGTGTTGCTTGACATAGGCGAAATAGCCGAGAACCATTTCTTGGTAGATGGGTTTTCGATAGCGAGAGGGCGACAAGTAGCGAATACTATCCAGATACGAAATGTACGCGGTCTTTTCGTTGGGAGAGCCTTTTTCGGGACATTCGTAGACGTACATGATGAATAAAAGAACGTCCATGGAATCGATCTTCTGTGTGTGAGCGTGGATTATACAGAGAATGATACCTGGAACAGACAAATGCATTTCACCCAATACGGCCATTTGGATATGAAAGAGCAGCCTTGGAAGTACTTTTGGAAGTTTTCCTTCATGGTCCACGTTTTTTTCTAGCATCGTAATGGAGCAAACGAACGAAGTACCGAGTTTACAAGAACTCGAACGGATAATCCTTGGGGTACTTCGATTCGATCCAAGGTTGTGTTGAGGGATTCCGCCTCCGCTTTCTGCATGTCGATGACCAACTTCATGATTCGTTGCTCGATGTATCGACTCAGATCCGTCTCAAGGAAGTCTACAATCAATCAGAGTGCCCAATCGCAAATGAAACTTTCTGCTCGAGGCAGCACGGCCGGAACGTTGACCCGAAGCCTCCATTCCGGATGGCTCTGCATACAAAAGGGACAAACAAACAAGCAGTGCTTGTCTCGCTCAGCAATTTTACTATTGAACAGTACGCAGATCGTGTGGAACTTCTTCTTGCACTGAAAGCAAGTCACCCAATCTTCGTCATACCGCGTCGTGTTCTTTTTTAACTGTAAATCCTTCTTCAGAACCACGCCATCTTCGCATTGAATCGTCTCATCGAGTTTCTTGTAACACTCTTCACACCAGATGTGTTGTAATGTGGCGTGCAGATAGTATTTCTGATCCAGTTTAATCTTGCTATGGCAGGGACCAATGCAATGAAAGCATTGCGAGCGAAGACTGAAATGGCCACCTTCGCAGAGAGCACAAATCTGGCTTTGTTTCTGCGTGTATTCATCCTTTGCCCATTTATCGTTCCTCTCATGCTTTTCTAATTGGGAAAGAAACGAGCTCTGGATATTCAGAACATACTCCTGAATCGAAGGGTCCTACGATTCAACCCCAAACCCTTCCACGACCTTATTGAACGTCAAGCAATTCGTGAACATCAGCATCACATCCTCTTTGAACGCGTCCAGACTGTGGTAGAACTTCCGCTTAACGCGATATTCAATGGTCTTCAGGCACATCGGATGCTCGATCACTTGGTAATAATCCTCACATCCCGGCCGTTTCACATCCACAGGAAGCTCAAACAGATGGCTTACACTACTTTCACACGTGATAACATCATCTACTCTGCTTTCTGCAGGTCCGCAAAAAGCGTTGGGATCGCGCGCTGCATATCCAAACTCCACCAAGGCGACTGGGCTTCGCGAATCAAGCGAACGCGTCGGTTCATCTTCCTGAGAGCAAACAAATCGAGTTTACTTCGCTGTTTGACATTAACTCAAAGTAGGAAGGAGTGAGATGGCGTCGATTCCTGTTGAGTGCCTTCTGCTGCTCGTGATAATGTTTCGCAGCGTTGCAGAGAACGCAAGAAGGCGAGTGGCACTGCTGAATATGTGCAACAGCCTTGCGAAGGATGGCGCAGTCGGCGTTCTGAGAGTGAGAGGAGAGAACGCAAAAAAGCAAACGCTGCAAAGCGAGGGATTACAGCCACGAGCGTGTTCCAATAGATCGTGAAACCATCTGCAATCAATGTCAGTCTGATCGTGATAGAGACTTCGAAAGGCAACAAGACAGGACGATTTGCATGATTTCAAATGAATGAGTTCGTGGTAAATACGGAAATAGAGGATTTCACAACTGCGAAAGGCTGTGAAGGGAGAGAAGGAAGACTGATTCTCCGCGACACGAAGAGACTGCGGAAGGAGATGCATTCGCTTGTTCTGAGAACGTTCAGCTTCTCCGTTTTCCGGCAATTCACGTTTCTATTGATGAACAGAAGCACTCTCAACCACCAATTCATGACTGGGGCGCAATGATACAGAAGGGTACAGGCAATCATTTAAAATCTTTGAAATCGAATCCACCAAAAATCTGTGTGCTTCCTCCGTCCCTCTTTCTCGACACTGCAATGTGAGAAAATAGAATACAGGAATACAACATCCAAATAACTGGGGTATAAGCCAACGAAGAGATTTTGAATTTTGCCACTCTCGTTTCTAAATTTATCGTCATACACGTTTCGAACGATTTCAATCCTAAGTCAAATACGCAAAATCGATTCAAACACTTGGTTCCAAAATTGAGGATCAATGTTGTCTACACTGCTTCTCACACTCCCTGGAAGCATGGGCTGTCAACAAAGTCACGCTTGTATAGTAACAAAAACAAAAAAACGAATAGTGTTTAAAACTGATCTAGTCCAGCCGATCGATAATTGCCCCATTCTCCAACACCATATACGGTTTAAAGTCGTCTGCATCGTACACCGCCCATTAGTACCTACCATCAAAAACACGAAATGGCGCAATCTTCAACTCCGCCTTTCTTTCGAATTCCCTCATCCTCTTCTCATACACTTCCCCCTTCTCCTCGGGATTCTCCTCAATCCAATCGAGGATGTCTCCAATCTCGCCTCGCAGCGCGTCCCTCATCTCCTTGGGCATGCTCTTCTTTATCTCCGACTTCCGCAGCATTTTATTCACTTTATACAAATACGTTTCCAGCTCTGATTTCTTCTTCAACGAGCCCTGCTTCTCCTCGTCCTGCACTTGGAACATCTCCGCGTCCTCGATCATCTTCGCGATTTCCTCCGGCTTCAAGTGATCTACGCGCGAGGCCGCATCGCTGCCCCACTTTTATCGTTGATAACCGTGATCGCCGCCTCCGTTCCCGTCGAATTCTCCACCGCCGTCACCTGCAGAATTCCATTCGAATCGATATCGAACGTCACTTCGATATGCGGCACGCCCTTCAGCACATGCGGCAGTCCCGTCAGAATAAACGACGCCAGTTTGTTGTTGTCCTACGCTCCACGCCACTCGGCAAATCCCACTTTCGTGAACGGCCGCTCGCCTTCGAACACCTGCACCTCCACTTCCTCCTGGAAGTCCTCGTTCGTCGTGAACATTTTCATGCGTCGCGTCGGAATCTACCCATCAACTCTTCCTGTTCCGCTTCTTCCCACCGTGCTGTTCCGCGGAATGATCTTCGTCATCACGCCTCCCGCGGTTTCCACGCCCAGCGACAGCGGAACCACGTCGAGCAGAATCAGATCCGTCGAGATCTCCTTCGACGAGCCAATCAGAATCGATCCCTGCACCGCGGCGCCGTACGCAACCGCTTCGTCCTGATCGACCGAGTTGTACAGCTGCTTTCCGTTGAAGAAATCGCTCAGCAGCTCCTGGACCTTGGGGATCCGCGTCGATCCGCCCACCAGCACGACGTCGTGGATGTCGCGAACGTTCAGATTGGCGTCGGCGAGGACTTTCCGCACGGGGTTCAGCGTGTTTTTAAACAGAGTTAAGTTCAGCTCTTCGAATTTGGCGCGCGTAATGGGCTGCACGAGATCTTGGCCGTCGTACATGCTCTCCACTTCGATAGTCGTTCTAGCTCACAGACAGAGCAGGTCTCTACGATACTTCGCTGCTCAGGATTCGCTTCGCTCGCTCGCAGGCCGAACGCAAACGGCGGATGGACGACTGCGCTTTGGAGGGGTCGCGATGGTATTTCCGCCGGAATTCCTACGCAACCAGAGCTGCGCTAAAAATACCTTGATGCAGAAGTCCACGAGGTTGTTGTCGAAGTCTTCGCCTCCCAGATGGGTGTCTCCGTTCGTGGCCAGCACTTCGAAATAGCCTTTTTCGATCGCCAGAAGAGACACATCGAACGTCCCGCCGCCCAAATCGAAGATCAGCACGTAGCGTCTTCCAGACTGACTCAGCTTGTCCAGTCCGTAAGCCAGGGCTGCTGCTGTCGGCTCGTTGATGATACGCAGAACGTTCAGGCCTGCGATGAGGCCAGCATCTTTCGTTGATTGACGCTGGCTGTCGTTGAAATAAGCAGGAACGGTGATGATTGCGTTTGTAACCTTCTCGCCTAGATAATTCTCCGCTGTCTGCTTCATTTTGCTTAGAACCATGGAGGAGATTTGTTCTATATCTCAATCTTCCTGCACTTACTTACCGCATGTAAAGTTTTTGGTTTCGCCCATATACTGGACTTGAATGATGGGATTGTCGTGCTCATCGGCAACCAATTTAAACGGCCAGTGCTTGAGGTCGTTCTGAACAATTTGGTCATGGAACTTGCGTCCGATGAGTCGTTTTGCGTCAAACACGGTGTTTTGAGGGTTCGTCGTGATTTGAGCTTTCGCTGCCTCTCCAATCAGTCGGTGAGTTTCTGTGAAGGCAACGACGGAAGGAGTTGTCCGATTTCCCATATCGTTAGGAATAATCTCCACTCTGTCATCTTTCCATACTCCGACGCAGGAATATCTAAAGATGATTTATCAAAACACGAAAAGCACGTTGTTCCAAGATCAATTCCAATACAATATCCCTCTATCTGTAAAATTCAAAAACTAATCAGATACCCGATTTTGTAATAGCTGACATTTCCAGGCAACCCTTTTTGGAGAGAAAAACCAATTTTGGAAATTCCAAAAAGCGAGCCAATTTTCTTCCTTCCCTCTTTCCATTCTACATATCTGCTTATGTTGACACGTTCGATTAAACCGTTTGCTTCTAGACTGTGTGGAGTCCGTAACTTTTATGGTAAAATCATACCGGATCACAAGCTCAAGTATGAACATATTATGTGCATGAGACAAAAGATTTGTGCAGATTTTCCACCGGCACGGAGATCGAACACCGTTAAATAATTATTTCATGGGGTCTGATTTGGAGAAAGAGGAGGTTGAGACTTGGAAGGCATTGGTAGGAATCAGTCGGTCCATTTACTCTAGATTCCAAACCGAGAGGATGTCGAGACTGTGTATAACATGTACAAGTTTGAGCAATACAAACCCGATCCCACTGCAGACCCTATTTTTGGACAGCTTACACATAATGGAATTTTCCAGATGCGCCATGTTGGAGAACAATTAGTGAGAGTACAGGATGGGGTTGACTTGTAGAGGAAAATATATATGGACGAGGAGCAGTTCATCACTCCTGAGAACTACAACAACGTGGACATATTAGTCCGCTCCACTTGTCGAGATCGAACTCTTCACAGTGTTCAATCTCTTCTTTCCGGTTTCTTCCCAATTACGTATATTCTTCTATTCTCCCGCAAGAAATAGAGAGTTCAAGGACACATACCCGATTATCCAAATCGAGCCGGACGGAATTTGCTGCTTAAACCGTACTCATTCCCTTTCCTTGTGTTAATTATTGTAGGAGAAGATCCAGAGTCCCAGAACAACTACAATCGACGATTGGGGATGTACGATTGGCAGGAGCACGAGGAGAGAATGATGCGAAAGTACGGAGATATCGTCACGACTCACATTCCCTTCTTCCGAAACCGTTAGCTTTGTGAATCGCGGGTTCATCGTAGAGAAACACATTCGCTGGCCCGATGTGATGGACTTTGTGATCACTCGCTACAACCATTTGATGGATATTCCGGAGGAAGTGTGTAGGTGCGAGAGAGAGCTGCGATCTAGATACGATTTTCCCGGAAGTGTACAAGCATAACATGAACAAATTCCGGATCTTGTACAATACGCCGAAATGTTTGCATAGCTTCTGCGATGCTCTGCTTGAGATGATTAAGAAGGAAGTGGACGATGTGATGAGTGGAGCGGTGCAACGGAAAATGTCGATCTATAGCGGCCATGATACGACACTAATGCGTATGGAATGCGATGGAATGAGAAGTAGCCCTGCTGAATGTCTTAGCGCCTTTCCTTCCTGTGGAAGTGCCCAAGTACGGCTCTCAGATTTGTTTGGAGTACTGGGAGAACGAGTTTGATCAGAGTATTGATGTGGCTATGCGGTTCAATGGGTACTACCAACCGATCTTTATCGAGCACTATGTGGAATCGCTTGTAGCTTGAATGAAGAGTGAATTGTGTGTAGATCGTGCCTTATCCGGAGTTCTGCAAGACATTAACGATTCCGAAGTATTTACTGGAGGTGATGCGCGACAAGAACAAGCTGGCAGTTTTAGAAGATGAGTAAAGTGTGATTTTGGGTTGTTTGAGAGAAAAAAAGGTTAGCGAGCGTAGTAGTTTGTAGAGAAAGGAGGTCTATTCGCTGGTACTCAGGGATGAGCGACTCGAAAATAGATGATGGAGATTGTAATAGAGATGAAGTGCTGTTTCGTGTTTATCAATTCTGTATTAGTTATGTGAATTGCTATTTTCAGGAAGATCACAAGAATGAAATGCGATATATTGGAATAACTAATTAGTGAAAAATAGATAGTTTCTAAAAATAAGGTTTATTGACCATTATAATGAACCGTTATCAAATAGCTTTATTTGTGATACAATTTGGCTAATCAGAATAATATATATGTCAAATCGATATTAAGAATATGATTGTACTCTTTCCTGAGATAGATAGACTGGCAATTTGTTGGACATATAGCTGACCAATAAAGAAAGTAGGATGTATCTCTTATGATGATAAACGATATATTTTCCTACACCAAGATATCAGTAGCAATAATGCATGTGTCTTAAAATTGGAGTACACGAGTATCTATATCTAATTCATTGATTCTATTTCACTAATTCGAAATATTCATTGCCGATTTCGATTGATTCCAAATTGTACAACAATGAAACATCCCAATCAATCAATACACAATTGTCAATCAGTTTCAAATGTTTGATTCCGATATTCAGTGGTTTGCTTCCATCGCCTTCATATTTTTCATCAATATCACATTCAATTCCATTATACCATTCACATTCATTCACCAACTTCCCATATCGATCATACACTTTTCCAATTCCAAATCGCTTATCATCACACCAATATCCTTCATATTCAATCAAACCATTATTATGATAACTTGTTCCATATCCAAATCGTTTCCAATTGATCATTATGCCCTTGTACACCAATATTCCATCATCATCATACATTTCACCATATCCAAATGGAATTCCAAACTTGTTATCTGTCAATATCAACCCTTCAAATCGACTTCCATGATCCAAATCCACTATTCCTTCTACTATTTCTATGGATTGTTTTTCATTATACGAAATAGCACCAATTTGATGATTTCCAAACACTTTCAACACTTTCTGCTCATTGAGGACAAATCCTTGATTCATGAAAACTCCATTATCGAACTGCAATACTACACATTCTCTAGTACTCAAAATGAGTGAAATCCAGCCATTTGGTTTCATTTGTTTACCCAAGTATCCCTGAACATTTTGAATAATAAAACTATCAATATGATAGTCACTGATAGCAGAATTGACAAAATCAGCAATCCCTTACTTCAAAACTGTATTACTAAAAACAGCAAAGAAGATAGAACACAATTCTATTACAAAAATACGTATATCTAATAATTCTATAACCTTGTGGAGGCCTATTTCCTGAAAAGCAAGGAATCAAGCTAAGGTGTTCAAAGATACCAAAAATATGGCTATTTCAATAATAAATAAATAGGAGAGTCAAGAAAAACTACATAATTGGAACATAAAAGAGGTATTGGTGATCTCGTATAATATGCACCAAATACAATCATGTAACAGTAACAATATTTAGAAATATACACATATGAAAGCAATTTTTCATTGTATGCCAATATAACTAGAATAGCCTAATCAAATGCGAAAACATGTATGGTAAGGTCGCTATAATATTCTAGCGCTCGAATTTAAATCATTATGCAGTAGCGGAGACAAACAGTAGTTTACTCTTGTTGCTGCTATTACATGGTGAAACGAAACCTTTCCTATAAGTAAATAGATAGAAACATAATTATATAAAAACTGGATTAACACCAAAATAACATACTATCCAAAACAAACTGACATACATAATATTATAATTGTATTCATGAATAATATTGTTACAGAAAGAGATGCTGATATTCAGAGCAATACTAATATACCTAGAGCAGATTATAATCCTGTAGCAAATAGAGGTCACTTTTGGGAAGGCAACCTCTCTGAGAAGTTTACCATTAAGGAATCTACGGAAAAAGATGGTCATTTCGATGTAGTGTTGGAAGAACCCTTTCAGGGTATTCGTGTCAGTACAACGTTGCAGAACAACAAAATGCACGGAGAAACAACATTTACTTCGGAGGATGGAGTTGAACTCGGTAAATTGACTTTTGTGGAAGGAATTGCTACGGGACCTTGTATATTAAATGATGAGTCAGGCAAACTGTATTTCAAAGGAAGAATGGAGGAGGGATATCGCCAAGGTCGAGGAACGGAATATGATGAGTCTGGCAATGTGACATTCGATGGTTTTTATGCCAAGGGAACCAAGCTTGAAAACATCGTTCCATTAGAAGAAGTGAATGGATACTGGAAAGAATACAACACTGAACACAAATTGGTCAGTATTAGTCAACGAGATGATTTCGGAAGAAAAGAAGGAATTTGCTATTTCTATGATTCGAAAGGTGAGATCCATCGAATCAGTGAATGGAAGGAAGACAAAGAAATATCACTGTTTGGTAGGTGTGAAATATTCGATGAACCTCACAGAGTGTGGTACAAGGGACATTTTGCCAATGGATATCGTAACTGGAAGGGAGTAGAATATGATGAGTCTGGCAATGTGACATACGATGGCTTTTATGACAAAGGCAAGAGACTTTACAACCTTGTTAAATTGGATGAAGTGAATGGATACTGGAAAGAATACAACGCCGAGCATAAATTGGTCAGTATTAGTCAACGAGATGATTATGGACAAAAAGAAGGAATATGCTATTTTTATGATGATGAAGAACAAATCGAGCGAATTAGCAAGTGGAAGGAAGGAAAAGTAATATCCACTTCGGGTTATTGTGAAATATTCGACGAGCCGCGCAAAGTGTGGTACAAGGGACATTTTGCCAATGGATATCGCCAAGGTCGAGGAACGGAGTATGATGAGTCTGGCAATGTGACATTCGATGGTTTTTATGACAGGCAATTCAGGATTGAAAACATCGTTCCATTAGAAGAAGTGAATGGATACTGGAAAGAATACAACACTGAACATAAATTGGTCAGTATTAGTCAACGAGATGATTTCGGAAGAAAAGAAGGAATTTGCTATTTCTATGATGGTGAAGAGAAGATGGACCGAATCAGTGAATGGAAGGAAGATAAGGAAGTATCCACTTCGGGTTATTGTGAGATATTCGACGAGCCGCGCAAAGTGTGGTATAAGGGTTATTTTGCCAACGGAAAACAGGTATATTTTACACCAGCAAAAGAAAGAAAAGGATACTGGAAAGAATATAACGAAGACAACAAACTAGTTTGTATTTGTCGCAAAGATAAAGAAGGCAAGTACGATGGAATTTGCTATTTCTATAACAACGAAAAGATCAGTCAAGTCAGCTATTGGGTGCATGGAAAGGAGGTGAGAGTCATAAAGCAGTTCAATGGCTTAACAATGACTGAATACAACGATAAGGGACAAAAGTGTTATGAGGGAGGATTTAACGAATATGTGAAATGGGTTTATCTTCGACATGGAATTGGCGAGGAATATGATTCAGATGGAAAGACTCTGATTTTTAAAGGCTATTATCACAATGGTAGACGACATGGAAAGGGAACCAGTTACAAGAATAACGAGGTCAATAAAAAGACGACTTGGCTAACTGGTTATTCGACACAGGGACTATTGCTGACATTCTTGGCAATAGTAATTGTGTTAGTTATTTTATTTGTGATAGATGTGATTTTGGGTCTTGTTGTTACAGCAATTGTCGACTTACTGGTTATTATTCGATGGAGTTGTCCTAAGCTGCTGGGTAGTAAACTATGTAACAAGACAGACCTTCAGTTAATGGCAGATTACATGAAAACTAAATCTTCCAAGAATACAGAAAAAGAAAAAGAAAAAGAAACCGAAAAGAAAAAATCGTCTAATTGTTTTTACAATAACATTTATTTAACAATAACTGTTATTCTTTCTCTTATTATTGTATGTGTCTTAATTGGTGCCCATTTCTACTATTCTTTGGTGAATCCTTACGTGAGTGTGTTTCAAGGTACCTACAAAGTGGGGTCGAATAAACTCAACAAGCTATCTGGATTTAAGATTAGTAATAGAGCGTTGCTGAAGTCAATTGAAATTGGAACCGGTTGTTTTGAAGTTGCTTCTGTGTTCCAAATCAAGGGACTGAACTCGCTGAACTCTGTTAAGATCGGTTCGAATTCGTTTACTGAACAAAGAAACAATCTTGGAAATGATGGATCGAAATCATTCCATATTTTGAATTGTAAAAATCTACAATCAATCGAGATCGGTGAATATAGTTTTAGTGATTTCGGAGGTGACTTTGAGATAAAGAACCTTCCTTCTTTGAAATCTCTTGAAATAGGTGTGATGAACACATCATCCTATAATTTCTATTCTGTGAAATCGTTAATTATTGAAGGTATGGAGCAGTATTTCTCAGGTTGGTAATTGAATAGACCTTCCTACGCTCAACACGATATCTTTGGGAGATTCTGCATTCTATGATTTCCAGTTGGCTGCTTTCAATAGTAGGAAATATTATGAGTGTGAGTGCTAATGACTAGATCTTCCTGAATTGAATTCAATCAATCTGGGACAGCGCGCATTCTGTGGTAAACATGATGTGTCTTGTGCATTGATGATGGAAGGTACGCCAAGTAATGAGTGATGTATAAACAATAGATCTTCCGAAGTTATCATCGATCCATTCTGTAGGATATAGTTTCTATTATCCTCGCAATGTTACACTCAACAGTATTGCTAGATAGTAATTGTAATCATAATGTAGACATTCCTAATCTTGAAAGTGTGGAATTGCCAGACTCATTTGGATATTATTTTTACTTAACTGTAAATAGTATGTGTAAAACGATTTTTGTATAACGTGTAGATGTTCATGAATTGTTGTCACACTATGTGCCTAGCAATGTTTATCACATCGATGATTTGTATGAATCAGTGGATGTGATTCCATCGGATGCTGAAAAGATCATAGTGAAAGAGAATTCTTTTGGTAATGCTGAAACCTTATCAATCAATAACTACCCGAATTTGACATCCATCGTATTTGAAGATAATACGTTTAAGAATGTGAATTCTGTGGAGATCAATGGAGATAATATCGAAGAAGTTGTTATTGGGGATAACTGCTTCTCGAAGTCGGAGTCTGGAGTGGAGGGAAGTAGAAGATTGGAGGATACGGGCAGTATTGATTTGACTCTTCCACATACAGAGCGCATTAGAATTGGAAGTAAGTCAGCATTGAATGTGAACACATTGGTGTTCAATGAGCTATTGGACAGTGTGGAATTTGAATTGGGCAGTGAATCGATGAGGAATATCAATTTGATTCGGTATAGTTACGGAATCTCAACTGATACAATTAACGGCATCAAAACGGCAATTGAAACAAATAAGGGGCCAAATGAAATAATGAATATTGTAGTCATGGGTTATATTACTCCAACACCAACTCCTACTCCTACTCCAACAATGACACCTACTCCAACTCCTACTCCTACTCCCACTCCTACACCTACACCTACACCTACTCCTACTCCTACTCCAACTCCTACTCCCACTCCAACTCCTACTTCCACTCCCACTCCCACTCCAACTCCTACTCCCACTCCCACTCCCACTCCCACTCCCACTCCTACTCCTACTCCTTCTCCTACTCCTACTCCTACTCCTACTCCAACTCCTACTCCAACTCCTACTCCAACTCCTACTCCTACTCCTACTCCTACTCCTACTTCCACTCCTACTCCAACTCCCACTCCAACTCCCACTCCTACTCCTACTCCAACTCCTACTCCTACCACTTTGCCTCCTACTGAGGCTCCTACCACTTTGCCTCCTATTGAATGTGGCGAGAGACAGTTCGCGGTTACGGTTACCCGTACTTGTGGAAAGTTTGGATCTGAAGAATCGGTCAGCATTTATGAAGGAACTATTTTATCTGGTAGTCGCGTTTATCAGGAAACTACTTGTACTGCTGGTACCTTCTATTTCTGCATGAGACCTATGCAGCACACGATTGTGTTGATGGATAGCGCTCGTGATGGTTGGGTTGTTAACTCGTCTATTGTATTGAAGAGCGGAGGTATGTCTCTTTCTTACACTTTGGATACTGGAAGTTCTGTTACGTATACATTCAATCTGACTCCTTCTGGGGTTCCTACTGAAATTCCCACTACTGCTGGTCCTACTACTCTTCCTCCTACTGAGGCTCCCACTACTCCTGCTCCTACTACTCTTCCTCCTACTGAACCGATTCCTGAGTGCGGAGAGGACAAGTTGCTGCTCGAGATTATTCGTGTATGTGGTACTTATCCTGAAGAAGAACGAGTCGATATTTATCAAGGAACAGATCGTCCTTTCACGGGTACTCCTGTATACAATGAGTCTGTATGCACGGATGGAACTCATTATCTGTGCATCAATCGTGTTGCTCACACGATTGAATTGCGTGATTCTGGATATGATGGATGGACTGGTAATTCATATATTACTTTGAAGAGTGGTTACATGTCTATGACTTACACTTTGACGGCTGGAGGTTCATATGCTTATCACATCTTTGATATGACTCCTACTGTTACTCCTCCTGAACCTATTCCTACCACTGCTGCTCCTACTACTTTACCTCCTACTACTCTTCCTCCCACGACTTTACCTCCTACTACTCTTCCTCCTACTGAGCCGATTCCTGAGTGCGGAGAGGACAAGCTATTGCTCGAAATTGTTCGTGTGTGTGGTACTTATCCTGAAGAAGAACGAGTCGATATTTATCAGGGAACAGACCGTCCTTTCACGGGTACTCCTCTGTACAGTGAGTCTGTATGCACTGCTGGAACTCATTATGTGTGCATCAACCGTGTTGCTCACACGATTGAGCTGCGTGATTCTGGCTATGATGGATGGAATGGTAACTCGCATGTTACTTTGAAGAGTGGTTATATGTCTATGACTTACACTTTGACTGCTGGAGGTTCATATGCTTATCATACCTTTGATATGACTCCTACTGCTGGTCCTACTGAACCTATTCCCACTACTGCTCCCACTACTGCTGCTCCCACGACTCTTTTCCCTGAATGCAGCGAAGACCAGCTTTTGCTTGAAGTCCGTCGTACTTGTGGACCTTCTGGTGAAGAAGAAGGATTTGAAATTTATGAAGGAAAGGATACAAATGGAAATGCTCTTATTGCTCAGGCTTCTTGCACAACTGAGGTTCGATACTTGTGTGTCAATCCTGTTGAGCACACTTTGGTGATGCGTGATTCTGGCCTTAATGGATGGTCTATGGGCTCTATTTTGATTTTGAAGAGCGGAGATCTTTCTCTGGAATTTGTAATGGAAAGTGGATACCTTCAAACGAACTCGGTCTTCAACTTTGGTATGGCTTACACTGAATTCCCTACGACTATGGCTCCCACTGATGATACTCAAGAACAGTTCCAAATCATGTTGATTCGTTCTTGTGGTAACTCGTCGGATTCTGAAAGCTTTACGATTTATGAGGGAGCTACGCGTGACCATGCTATCTATAGTCAGACTACTTGTGCTTCTGGTGTGGTGAACCTGTACATCACTCGCGGTCTCTACACGCTTGTGATGACGAATTCGAATGGACAGGTTTGGGCTGAGAATTCGATGGTTCGTATTTTCTACGGCAGTTTGCTTGGATCGTACATGAAGGTTGTTGTGGGTGCTGAAGAGTCTGCAGTGTTTGCTCTTCCTGAAGTGATTGAGGCTGGTACTGCTTGGAAATACTCTTCGGAGGCCATGGTGGGCACGAGCTGGACCACGGAGAATGTGAATTGGAGCTTGACCTCGGAGTACCCGGCTATTTCTTCGATCACGCGTTACTTCCGTCAGAGCTACACGTTGTTTGGAGCTGGATTCAGATCTGTGATCATCCAGGTGAAGACGAACGGTGGCTTTGTGTTCTATGTGAACGGAATCGAGGCTTCTCGCTTCAACTTGCCCGCTGGAGAGATTACTGCAACGACGCAGGCTACCGAACTGAAGGAGAGCAATGTGTATCGTATTCTCCGCCTGTCCCTGGACGCTTATTCTGCTGTGAATGGTGTGTACGAATTCGCTGTGGAAATGCACGCTGCTGAGGGTCAGATTGGTCAGGCCGAACACTACGAGTGCTCTGTGGAGTTCACGATCTATGAGCAATCGCTGGTTGGAAGCGGTCAGGCTACTTCGAACCTACCTGGTATGTTTGGATATTGGATTCAGAACCTGTTCGATAACTCGGTTTCTACCAAATATCGCGTCGCTGTGACGAACTCAGATTTCCCTGTGGAAGTGACCTACACGTTCCCCGAGGGCGATGCGAACACGATGAACAAGTATGTGCTCACCAACGGCGGTTCAATATCTGCGGCTTGCAATACGTGGAAGATCTATGGTAGAGTGAATGAAGATAGTGATTGGGTGATGCTGGATAGCCAGGATAGTGTGGAGTGGGAAACAGCCGCTCAATCTCTGAGTTTTACTGTGAATAACCTGAATGCTTACAATGCCTACATGTTCCAGTGCAACGCGTTTGTGAATATTGATAATACCAATTATGGAGGTCAGCTGGATATGGCTGAATGGAAATTAATTCTTGCTTAAACGGAGTAAAAGGCGTGGAATAATATGGAATAATAAATGTTAATCAGTCTAGTTGGATTAATCTATCTTTTGTGATATAGTGGGCTTGTTTTAAGCAATACACCATTTTGACTTCTTTCCAAAAGGTTTGTTTCACCAAGTCGAAGAATAATGTACATATGATTTTGCCATTCACAGCTATGCATGGCTTTTCATTTTTAAACTAATAAAAAGCAAATTTTAAAGAAACAAATCGGTCAATAGAACAGTTGATATATCAGTTTGTTTTGTTCCGTAGAATCGTATCAAATCCAAATTTACCTTACATATTTCTAATTGGCTAGGGTTGTGATTACTATTCATCAATCCATACACTCATCTATTAACTTGTTGAGTAGACTGGATTGTGATTTAATCCCAATTATTAATTCTATGATTGCATAAAACCATTTCATTACACTACTATTCTTCATACATTTTCAAGCATTCAATTACTTTTTTCTTGTTTTCTAACTCATCTCTTGATTAGTTCTCTTGATCTGCATTATTTTTTATAAACCACATTTGAATCAACACGAATCGACTTCATAATTGTCCCATGCCTTTTTACTCCTCTGTCCTTCCTGTAAATCACCCATATTATTATATCGAAAATCCAAATCTCTTCGAGATTTCCATATGACCATTCTAGAATAGATTCTTTGGAAATGTTTCATTCATCAAAACCCCTTTCTCGGTTTTTAGTTCGTAGTATGTCTGTATGAAACAAGGGTACTCTTTACTGTAGTTCATTGACCAAACTCTTGCAAAGAAAGTAGATGAGGATCTCATGGGTGTTTATGGATTTAGCATTGACCAATTAATGGAAATGGCGGGTAACACATTCTGTTTCTATTTATTAGCTAGGTTACAGTTGTGCATGTGCCATCGCGAAGGAATACTCCCTAAATGAATACAAGCAAATCTTCATTGTTTGTGGACCTGGAAATAACGGGTTTCCTCTCAAATTTGCTCTCACCTTTAGAGGCGACGGCTTGGTAGCAGCCAGACATCTTTCTCATTTTGGATACTGTCCCACTGTTTATTATCCGAAGAAAAGCTCTGGCACTCTGTTTTCGAACCTTCTGAAGCAGAATGAAAGTATGGATATTCCTCTCGCTGACCACTGTCCAACTCTGTAATATTTGAGCTGCATATGTGAATTAGGGAGGAATTGAAGGAGAACTATGATTTAGTGGTAGATGCAATCTTTGGCTTTAGTTTCCACGGTTCCCCACGTCCTCCCTTCGATTCCATAATCTCCATTTTAAATGAGTGTGGCAAACCAGTCGTTTCTGTTGATATTCCATCGGGATGGGATGTGAACGACGGAGATATTCATGAATGCGCTGTTCATAATCCTGACATGCTCATTTCTCTAACTGCGCCCAAATTGGGAAGTCAGAAATTCAGCGGTCGATTCCATTATCTCGGAGGTCGGTTTTTGCCTCCAAAGTACGCGCGTGAGCATAATATCCAAATCCCTTCTTATCCTGGCTGTGAACAATGTGTCCGCCTCTCATCTGTTTGTTAAAATACTCTCTGTCACACATTCTGTCCGTAGGATTGCATATTATGCTGCTTGATATGATTGGTTGAACTGTATTTTGGGTTTGGATCTAGTGTTATTTAATATGAGTTCAGTAAACGCTCCCCTTCTTCAGCAGGATGACACCAACAAGACACCTATCATTTCCTGTGCACTTCTTCTTGCGAATGGTGCAATTGGTATTGCTTGTATTTGATAGATGAGCAATAGGTGCCGGTATTCTCACTCTTTCTCTTGCTGTTAGCAAAATCGGATATGGCTTAGGATTGTTTATGTATTGTTTCTTTGGTCGTAGGGTGTGTTATTTATTGCTAATCTTTATAGTATTTGCCGGATTTACGAATGGAATGCTCTTCCTCGTGCAGCATTACACTCAACAAAAAACCTATTCAGGAGTGGTTCGCAAGATGTTTGGTCGCGGAGCGGAGCGCTTTGTCGACATTGTGCAAGTATTATTTTCACCGCATCTTTCACGCCTAGCTTCTCTACAGTTTTGGAGCTTGTGTGGGATACGCCATTATCATCGCCGACGAGCTTCACCTTGTTTTAAGCCACTTTTTCCAGAACAGTCTCTCGTCCACCTTCTCCTTTTTGATCAGTACGATACTCCCTTTTCCCTTCACCCCTCCAGGCCGCGAATTCATTCTCATCTTCGTCACGGTCTGCATCATCCTCCCGATCTCTCTCCAGAAGAAGATCACTGCTCTCCGCTACACGTCCTTCCTCGCGATCGGCGGCATCATCTACCTCACCTTCGTCATGGTCGGCCAGGCCATCACCATCCATCCCTGCGCCCTCGCCGAAAAAGCCCACTACATCTGCCAAGACGCCACCTGCGTCATCGAAGCCAACATCAAAGAAGCCACCTGCTCCAGCCTCAGCGCCTGCGTGAAAAGCTGCCAAGCGGGCGTGTCGGACCCGATCAAATCGAACCTCCAAGGGTTCATTATCTCGCGAAACATCTTCCTCGCCCTGCCCGTGTTCTGCTACGGCCACTGCTCGCAAGTGCAGTTCATCCCCATTCTCAGCGACATGCAGCAGCCCACCAAAAAGCGAGTGACGCTCGTCATCTTCATCGCGTATATCGTCATTTTCGCGGTGTACAGCATCAACTCGCTCGCTGGCTATATGTCGTTCTGCGGATATGCGGTAAGGTTTGTGTCCCGCTGTGCGAGCTAGGTGGATAACATTCTGGATAGCTATCCCTCGAATGATATTCCCATCATGATTAGTCGATTCATCATCGCGATCGCGCTCTGCTTCACATTCCCTCTTTATGTTTGTTGCATTCAATCCGTGTGTTGGTAGGGATACAATGTCCGCGAGGTGGTGATGAAGATCTGTGGATTCAACAGCGAGAAAGGTAGCGTTTTGTGATGCACGCGTCGATGTTTAGTCGAATATTGGAAGATGGCTTTGGTTACGGTCGCCTACGTGCTTTTCTCTTCATTCACCGCTCTCTTCTTGGATTCTCTTTATACCGTCGTGGCGATGACGGGAGCTCTCGGAGGTAGTTTGATTGAGGCGATTATTCCGGCTGCACTGTACATCAAGTATGTGAAGGAAATCCGAGATGTGGATGCCCCTTGGAAGACGATTGGAGGATGGCTGGTGATTATTTTGGGAGCTGTGATTGCTGTTTTGGGTACTTATGAGAGTCTAACACAATACTTTTGTTTTTTTGAATACATTTGCTCCCTATGTAAGATGATCATTTGGTGAATATGTAGCACATAGCAAACAAAAGGATACTAACGAAATGTAGGAGCCGGGTTTTCTCTTATCTTCGGATCTTTCTAGGTTCGGTTCTTGTCGCTGCATCATTCATCTATTTTGTTTATCGCGAGTGTTCTCTTGGATTCCGTCTCTCGCCGAATTATGAAATTGTAAAGAGTGCCGTACGATTTCATTCAACGATTTATGCAGTATATCTTGCCAACGGATCGAAAAGTGATTAAGGCTCTCAACCGAGACGTTGTGATGCTTCACACAGAAAGACTCACAGTACTGGTTGTTGGATCCGTTTTCCAATCTAGTCCCATCCATCATACGCGATTGTGGATACTAATTTTGGTCTTCGTTTTGGAACGCGTCTCCGACTCCATCGGATCGTTGAATACTGTCAATGGAGAGAGGTACCGCATTCTTTTTTATATAGGAAGTGCTTATCTGTAGTACATTCCTGCAAATCATTCCGAACCGCAGTATTTCAAGGAGTGGTCCTCTGAACGGTATGTTTCCTCCCATCCAATCTCATCTAGAATCGATTCTTCCAAATTCGCCGTCCCCGAAGGCCATGAAAATGATGATCGCAATCCCATCCCCGAGGAAACCCTGCATCCCAAATATTTGCAATCCCACGCGTTCTCCATCCATTTCGAGTTCCTTCGCGACGTCCCGATCCCCTTCGAGCGCTTCATCATGAAGCCCGAAGACCTCAAGGATTTGCCGCCTCAGACGAAGCAGCAGGGCTTCTACTTCTACTCCCCGCACTGGATCTACAGCAAGCGCAGCCTCGCGGCCCCGGGCGAGCCGTTCAAGCGCGATTCGCTGACCTGGATCCCCGACGACGCGGAATTCGATTTCGAATCGGCCTGTTTTCGCTTGATTGGACGCTGACGCGCAGGCGAGCCGGGCGATCTCCGCGTGGCCTTCGAGTTCCAGCGCGTGCCGCTGCAGATGACGCTGGTGGGCGTGCAGAACGACGCGATGCTGCTGCCGGTGCGGCGCGCGGGCGCGTGGCTGCCGCTGGCGGCGGAGGGAAACCAGACCGCGGAGAGCATGCTGGACGGGTTCGCGGGCGAGGAGGGAAAGGAGCTGCGGTACGTGCGGGCGGCGGCGTGCGGAGGATGTTTTGTGGGGCTGTGGCTGCTGGGGGCAGCGATGGGCCCGTTCCGAGTGGAAACAGGGAAGCGAGGTGAGGCGTAGTATCTGCCGGGAGCGGTGCGGTGCTTCGTGGTGGCGTTGCTGGGGTTCTATATGGCGTGCTTGGGGATCTGGGGGTGGATGTATGGATGGGATAACAAGTTCGTGTATTCGACGGGGATGTGGTTTGCATCGCATCTGCTTCTGGCGGTGCTGATGAATGTGATGTTCTATATGATCCGGCTGTATCGGTTTGCGTTGAAGAGCAAGGAGGAGGAGGAGAAGAAGAAGAAAAAGGAGGAATAAATTATCGATTGTTTTTTGGATACGTTCGTTTTCTTCAAAAATGGGTCGATTGTGTGTGCTTGTGCTATGTGCACTACTTCTTTCTGTGAGTTTAGCGATTGATTCCTTCTACGGCGTCCCGGAGACTGAAAGGAGGCGCTATGAGCAGTCTGTGCGATCTAGACTCGATCCTGATCAATAGATGTTCACCTGCACTGACGGTTCGAAAACCATTCTTCGCTCTCAGGTCAATGACGATTATTGCGACTGTGCGGATGGATCTGACGAGCCTGGAACGTGTATGCACTGTTTGGTGTGTTCTGATGGATCGTAGCTGCCTGTGCGAACGGACACTTTTACTGTGAAAACAAGGGACATTTCCCAGTGGTTCTGACGTCTTCTCGTGTGAACGATGGCATTTGTGGTAAGATTTGGGTGGGTTTTCGAATTAGACTGCTGTGATGGCAGCGATGAGTATTTGGGAATTACTTCGTGTCCTAACACCTGCCAAGAGGAACATGCTAAGTGGGAGTATGGCATTTTCAAGGTTTCTCACATAGAACGGAAAATAATGAACGTTTGGAAACGTTCCGCAAGGGTTCGGCGACTCTCAAAGAATGGATGGAAGAAAGCGCTCGATATTTGAATGTTCTCAATGATCAGAAAGCTTCTTCCGAGAAAGTGGTTGCTGATTTGGAGACTCAAATCGCCCAAGTCAAAAAGGAGTGCGATGATCTTGAAAGGGAAGATTCCGTTCTCCACTCCGTCGTTTTCAATGAATTTGGTCTAATTTATAGAAGCTGATATCTGAGGATGAGTCAATCCTTCGTCTTTACCAAAAGTTTGGCTTGGATCAGTTGGAGGGAAATCAGCTTCGATTTTTGATTTTGCAGATTCTCGAAGTCGCCAGCGGTCCTGGCTTACACACGGTTGATAAGGTGCGGGAATGGGTTCCAAAGTTGAATCCAAACAGTGCGGTGGACACGACAACATCGGCGATAGAGATTAAGAATGTGCTGAGCGAGAAATTGAAGGATGATGCGCTCAGTGAAAAGAAAACGCAGCTGCTGTCTCTGGAGGAACAAAAGAAGCAAGCGGAGAACTCCATTCAGAATCTGGGTTCGGATCTGTACTACGGCCCTCGCAATGAATTTTACAAGATGAAGGGACAGTGTTACAAGAAGACGATTAATAAATATGTGTACGAGGTTTGCCCGTATGGAAATGCAAAGCAGGACTCGACTTCTTTAGGACGGACTTTCCAGATTGTGAACAAAGATAACGAGGAAATCAAAACGCTGGGCTGGGATGTTCATGTGAACGAGCAGAACCAGATGAGCAACGGAGACGTGTATTTCTATTGGAAAGGAGGTTCCCAATGCTGGAACGGGCCTCAGAGAAGTTTGAAACTGAAATTGGTGTGTCATGCCTCGGTGGAGGTGCTTCAGTTAATCGAGCCGTCCATGTGTGTTTACGTTGGAGAACTTGGCACTCCAGCTGTCTGTCCTCTATAATATTCGGATTGTTTGTTGAATAGTGAAGTTGAATGATTTTATTTCAACTCAAATGCCCACTTTTTCCTTTCTAGACGGAGTATTATGTCTGAAAAGATATCGGGTTGCCTATTTGCACTGAAGGCGATTCTGAAAAACTGTTGGGGTTTGAGTGAAGCGTGACGAATAGGCAATGCTTCAAAGGAGGAAAAGAATGTCAATCCATTTCGATTGCAAATGTTCGATGTTCTGAATGAGATGATGACTGAACTTCCCTACGTGGAAGACTATGTTTTTAACAAGTTTTGTAAAGAGTTGTGTTCTGAGTGAGTGGTGAAGCGTAGATTTGAGTCTTTCTTTGTTGAATGTGCTGGAGGAAAGAATAGTTGCCATTGCTAATCTTCTGTAACTCTGTAGGTTGTAACTTGTTTACCCCTCCCGTGCGCAATATTTTTGATAAATGCGTTGACGAGATTTATATCCACCACAAGGCGAACTCTCTCTCCCTCATCCGTATTTCTTCGTCACTTTTAAGAATTGATTCACAGGGACCTGCCTAAAGATGATCAATGCTCGCTACAGTGAGTACGTAAAGATCCAGTGCATGGAGATCATTTCTCTGTTCTTCGACGCCAAGATCAGCGAGAGCGGCATCTTCATCGGCGATTGTTTGACGTACTGCTCCAAATTCAGCCGAGCTCGCTCCGTACCTCGCTGTGTTCCTTCCTCACATCCAGGACGAAGAAAAGTACGGCCTTCTTCTCTTTCTGGGTTCCGTTCTCCGCAACGCTCTCCTCTCTCCCAACCCCTCCTCTCTCATCTCCACCATCCAAGCCATCCACAAGCAGCTCCAGCGCCACGTGGCAACGGAATCCTGCTCCGAAAACCGCTGTCTGACCCCGGAGCTTCTCTACAATCTGGGCGTGCTGAGCATGGACTGCCCGATCCACCCGATCACGATCCCCTTGGTAGTGAACGAGCTGTTTGCGCTGTTCCAAGACGAAGATCTGCGTCTGCGGAGCTTCGCGTGCCGCTACAGCGCGATGCTGTTTTCGGAGTTGGTCGGATCAGCGCGAGCGAGTGATGGATAGATCGCGCGATCGATGCGTCGTGCCACCTACCGGAAAACGACGTACCTCGAAACGACGGAGGCCGCGCAGACGAAGACGGAGGCGCCGTCCGAGCCGGAATATGTGTTCAATCCGAGCGACTACTCGTTCGAGAGCGTGGTGAAGATCTTCGTGGCGAAGATGAACGGCGTGGCGGAGGAGCGGGAGCTGCTCTGCTTCGGCCAGACGATGCTGTACGTGCTGTTCGGCGCGAAGGACCATATTTTGGAGCGCGATGTGACGATCTTAGTGAACGTGCTCTTCGAGTTTTTGCGCTGTTTGGGTCGCCGGTCGCGGTGAGGTGTAGTGCATCCGATCCCTGCGGTGAAAGCCTGCGTGGAGCAGATCATTCTCAACGGAATCTGCCAGTATCTGAGCGAGAGCCACATCACCACCACGTCCTCCATCATCAACAAGTACATCCTGACCTATCAGTCCGGAGCGGATCTTCCGTCCGAAGTCGTGGCTCTGACCGCCGCGCAGCTGCTCGCGAAGATCCTGCCGATCCTCGGCGAGGCGATCAAAGCGCAGCTGGATGAGTTCCTGGGCTCGCTGCTGCCTGCGTTGTCGAAAGACAGCGTGGCGCTGCAGACCACGGTGATTCGCTCGCTGGTGATGATGGGGAACACGGACGCGTCGATTATCGAGGTGATGATCAAGCAGCTGATTCTGCAGCTGACTCATCACATCCAGTTCGCGCGCGAGAAGACCGATGTCAAGGTGCGCGAGGATATCTTGCTGGGCGATGGGATCACGAGCTACTGCAAAGCGATCGGCGAGTTGCTGCTTCTCCTCTTCACCAGTTTCACATTGTTTTTTTACGGGTGATGGATAGAAAGACACGATATTCCGTTCGATCTTCTCAGCATGTTACTGGCCAAAGCCGACGAGCTGCAGCAGCTCTACTCCGAGAACACGGTTCCCGACCGTCTCGTGAACTCGCTCACGGGGAATCCGGAAGCGACGCGCAAGCGGCAAGTCTACAGCTGCTGTGAGGAGGGCGCGTGGTATCTCCGCATGGGACTGAGCGCCATGGACAGCGACTGGCTTCTCCCGGAGTTGGAGCGACTCATCAACCAGGCCTCGGAGTTCCTCATCGCGATCAACACCGTGTTCCACTCGATTCGTTTTTCGCATATCGGCGGCGCGGGCTCGAATCCAGAGGCCGCGGCTGCGACCGAAACGGAGCTCGATTTGTGTCTGCAGGAGCTGATTCCGTGCTTGGAGACGGTCTTGGTGCTGGTGCGCGTGCGACGCGACTTGTTCGATAAGTACACGCCGCTGTACAACTCGCTGGTCGCGTTTGGAGGGCGGCTTGATGCGTAGATCGCGCAGTTCCAATCGCTCTGCTCGCTGCTGGGCGCGCTGACCACGAACTCAAGCCATCTGCTCATTCTGATTCAGCGTCTGGAGCTGCTGGCGCTGCACATCGTGAACTCCTTCCCTGCGCACATTCTGATCGCGGGCTGCGATTTCTACCTCCCTCTGACGCTCCAGCTGGTGTTGGACACGGAGGAAATGAGCACGCTGAGCGAGGAACTGCTGTCGCACGAGGACGACGTTCTGCTGATGCACAATCACCCCGAGTGCGTCGCCTCGCTGCAGACTTTCGAGAAGAACGCGAAGGCGTTGAAGAACCGGAACCCCTACGACTACGAGGACGAATCCTTGTTTGATTAGCCGCAATGGATGATTGTTAGCTACATCATCTTTCATAAAGCGCTCGTCACGCCCAGCTCCAATCCTCCCTATCCCTCGTTGATGCGTCCCTACTCGCCGTTGCTCCACGTCCGTCTGATCAACGTGGCGATCCAGGCCTTCTCCCAGCTCTTCGTCTACACGGGATCGGGAAGTCGAGGCCGCATGATCGAAGTGGTGCTGAGCGGAATGTCTGGCCGCGAGAAAATGACCACCGAGGCGAAGCAGATCTGTGCGCACAACATTTTGTGCATTCTGTGGTGTGTCGTCGATGTGCGTTTCTCTTTGCGTTGCCGTGTTTCTCATGTCTAGACCGCAGTCAAGTTCGATCTTTATTTAGAGCCGCATCCCTGGCTCGCCGCTTCGCGATCGATTCTGTTCTCTGCGATGAGCAGCGTGGACCCGATCAATCGCCGTCTCGCGGCCGAGGCGTTATCGCAGCTTTGCGTTGTGACCGACGTGGAGTTCGTCAACAGCGTGATCAACGAGATCCAGTCCGTGCTTTCGGCTCATTCCGATCCGTTGAAAGTGAGCACGTGCGTGTTCTGCCTCTGCAACATTCAGCGCTCGGTGGACTGTCGAAACGGCGAAGCGATGACCGACAGCGTCATTCACGTGCTCATTGCGGAGTGTGCGAGCTACGAGCAGCCGCTGCGGACGTGGTGCTTGCATTCCGTGGCAATCGCGCTGCAGCTCAACGATGTGATCTGCGATCCGCAGATCGTTCGCTGGCTTTTGATGACGGTGAGCCACAGCATTCTCCAAGATGCTGGCGGCCTGCTGTATGAGAACCGAATCTCGGTGAATCTCTCTCTGCTACACGTGATCTACGCGTTTTTGTGTGGTGTGGATCACACGGTGCTGGAGATGTACAAGTACGACTGCGTAACGCTGCTGAATATTATCGATTTTGTGGGGAGTGGGATGCGTTTGGGTGAGTTGTAGATGTGGAACACGTGCAATGATACGCAAGTGTTGCAGACGTGTCTTCAGATTTATTCGATCATTTTCGAATTGTCTCCTTCGTTCCTGCATATTCCTGCGATTATCGACCGACTTCGCCGCAGTCTGGTGTGCAACGACACCAATCTTCGCTGTATTTTTTATTACTCTTGGTATGCTTGCTAACGACTAGTCTCTGCGATTTTGTCGATGAAACGTGTGGTCGCCACAACGCCTAATTTCTTCTATGGATCCAAAGACGAAGTGGTCGTGGATATTGAAACGCTTCTCGAAGAAGTCTTGACTTGCTATCAGAAATGCATTCTGTACTTTCTATTTCTGTCATCACAACTTTTAGAACGGATATGACGGTGCATGTGAATGCTTGTTCCGAGCTCTATGTCGACATCATCAACAAAAAGCTGTCGACCATTTCGCCTTCCGACATTTCTTCGTTCTGGAGCTTTGTCTGCGACATTTCCAAGGTGGTGATGGGCGATGCGCCTCTGATCGACATTTTCTCGGCCTCCTGGTCTTCGCAGAAGAACGGAGCGGAGCCTGACTCGCCTCACGCTGACGACGATAAAGAAGAAGCGGACCAAGGCGTTGAATCGCTCACTGTGGCTAAAAACGACGACAATGAAAAGGAATGGATGTGGCAAGCGTCTCTGCTCTCGCTGGAAGGTTCCTACACGGTGATTCGCAAGCTGTTCGACATTGTGGACGAATCGAATCCGATTATCTATCGCATGTTGAGCGAGCTGATTCGATTGTGCTGCCACAGTACGACGATTAGTTACGAAGGCAGCCAGTTGGAATGCATTCAGGTGAGGATCGAGAGAGAGAGAGCGTAATGAATAGACTCTGGGATTGTGCATGCTGAACGATGTGATTATTCGATACGCTTCTGTTCCGGACACAGAGAACCCGGATCATTTCTTCATCGAGCAGTACGAAGTGCAGATCATTTCGGCGATTCGTCGCGTGTTGACGCTCAGCACTGTGTACGATCCCGTTGTGCTGTCAGTGAACATCGTCTACACGCTGATTACCAGCGGCGTCATTACCGACAGAGCGTCTTTGGGGAAGTTGATGCAGATGGTGAAGCCGCTCGATGAGAATGTGGACAACAGCAAGACGATTCTCCGCATTGAGCAGATCAAGATTCAAGTCATGGCGAAGCTGTTCTTGCTCTGCTTCCTTCCCGATTCGAAGCTGCAAGGCCCGATTCGGAGTGAGATGACTTCCATTGTGCATCAGAATGCGGATTATTGGCGTGCGAAATGGTGCGTTCGAATCCGCAGAGCGCTGATGGAGCAGAAGGACGCGACCGAGTTCGCGTTGTATCTCCTCGTTGCCATGGCGTTGGTGAATCAAGAGCAAGTGACGAAGAAAAAGGAGCCCAACTACGAGTTGCAGCAATTGGTCTTGATCGTCGGAGGCATTATGAGCGCGCTGAACGAGCTGTTAGCCGACCAGCAGGAGAATCCTTCCCTTCTGACCTGCCTCATCGCGCTTCGCCTCTGCGAGCCGTTCGTGCAGTTCATTCCAGGAGAGCGCGTCCTGGAGGATTTCGTGGAGTACGTGCTTCACGTGCTGGATGTGCTGCTGCAATCGCCGCTCATGCAGAAGTCCTCCAAGCTACGCGATCAGCTGTATGATGAAAGCATTGAGCTGTTCACGGGGATTCTCCCGTTTGTAAAGATGGAGAGAGAGGAAGGAAAGATGATTGCGACGCTGCAGCCGAAGCAGGTGCAGAATCAAGTGACGGTTCGGAAAGAGAGCAAGGTGAAGAAGGAAGCGAGTGTGAAGAAGGAAAAAGAGAGCGAAGATGAGTATGAGTATGTGAGTGAGTATTGCTATGAATCGTACTATTCGTATGAGACGGACGATGAAGAAGAAGAGATGAAGGAAGCAAAGGAGAAGGCGAGCAAATCGCAGAAGGAAGTGGAAAAGGAGGAGGAGAAGAAGCAGAGTGAAGCAAAGCCAGAATTGCAGATGAGTGAAGAAAAGGAAGTGAAGGTGGTTGAATCGGAAGAAAAGGAATCGAAGGAGGAAATCAAAGAAGAGCCGAAGGAGGAAATTAAAGAAATTAAGGAGGAATCGAAGCAAGAACCCAAACAAGAAGAACCGAAACAAGAAGAACCGAAGGAGGAAGTCAAGGAAGAGCCGAAACAAGAAGAACCAAAAGAGGAAGAACCAAAAGAGGAAGAGCCGAAGGAGGAAGTCAAAGAGGAAGTCAAGGAAGAGCTTAAGGAAGAGCCCAAGGAGGAGCCCAAGGAAGAGCTGAAGGAGGAGGTCAAGAAAGATTCGAAGGATAACATTCGCTCCACTGCTTTGGCTCGAAGTGAAGCCAAGTTGGAGGTCGATGAACATCTTTGGGATAGCGATGATGAGCCTGTGAAGCCATCGAGAACTTCGCGAAGAAGCCGCCGTGCGACGAAGCCTGAACCCAAGGAAGAACCCAAACAAGAAGTCAAAGAGGAACCGAAGCCAGAGCCGAAGCCAGAACCGAAGCCAGAACCGAAAGAGGAAGTCAAAGAAGAAGTCAAGGAAGAGCCCAAGGAAGAAGCTAAGGAAGAAGCTAAGGAAGAACTTAAACAAGAATCGAAGCAAGAGCCCAAGGAAGAGCCCAAGGAGGAGGTCAAGAAAGATTCGAAGGATAACATTCGTTCCACTGCTTTGGCTCGAAGTGAAGCAAAATTAGAAGTCGATGAACATCTTTGGGATAGCGATGATGAGCCTGTGAAGCCATCGAGAACTTCGCGAAGAAGCCGCTGTGCGACGAAGCCAGTAAAAGAAGAGCCGAAGCAAGAGCCGAAAGAGGAACCGAGGGAAGAACCCAAACAAGAAGTCAAGGAAGAGCCGAAAGAGGAAGAGCCGAAAGAGGAAGAGCCGAAAGAGGAAGTCAAAGAGGAGCCCAAGGAAGAGCCCAAGGAAGAGCCGAAGGAGGAAGTCAAGGACGAGGTCAAGAAAGATTCGAAGGATAACATTCGTTCCACTGCTTTGGCTCGAAGTGAAGCGAAATTAGAAGTCGATGAGCATCTTTGGGATAGCGATGATGAGCCTGTGAAGCCATCGAGAACTTCGCGAAGAAGCCGCCGTGCGACGAGTCGTCCAATACACCGGATCGTGGAGGAATCGCCGGAGGGCGCCGCTGCTCCGGATAGCGAAGAATCGTCGGACGATGAATCGCCGCGTCGCACGCGAAGCCGAGTGGGCCGAGGCAAGAAACTCGAGTCGTTCGAAGCGTCCTGGGACAATGAGGAAGAAGAAGAAGAAGAAGAAGACGCTGGCGAGAATTGGGAAGACTCGAAAGCCGACGAATCCTGGGGATTCGATGAGGAGATTCCTAAGCAGGAAAAGGAAATCGAAAAGAAGGAAGAAGAATCTCCAAAGAAGGAAGAAGAAGAAGTTCAGAAGAAAGAGGAAGAGCCAAAGAAGACGGAGGAAATCCCCATCAAAACGGAGGAACCCCCCTTGCCATCTGCCTCCTCGGTGTCTCCCTTCGTGGCCGATCCGCTTCAAGGCGCTCCTCTTTCTCTCTTCGCCACTCCTCCGCCCTCCTCCTCCTCCTCCTCCTCTTCGCTTTTCTGGTCGATTCTCCACGTCTGCGACCTTCTCCTCACCGCGGCGCCCTCCTATCTCCCCTGCGCCCGCGCCATTCGCAGCTGTCTCCTCCTTTTCCCCGACCGCCCCGACGTCCGCAGCTTCTTCGCCTGCCGCCTCTTCGACCTCCTCAAGTCCAGCGCGCTCCCTTCCTCCGAATCGCGCGTGCTGCTCTCTCTGCTCACCGATCTCGCGGCCTCCGACCTTCCTCTCCGCAAAAGCCTCCTCGACAGCATCGTGGAAACCGCGCTCGCTCTCCTTCCCCAGCCCGACAAGCTGCCTCTCCTCGCCCAGCTTCTCCAGCTCGCTCACGCGCTCTACGTGCTCCACACCGAGCCCTGGATGCTCCAGCACTTCGTGGTTCTCTTCCACGCCTTCGCGAACGCCGCTGCGGCCACCGCGGAGCGCGCCGCGTTCGTGCTGAGCGCGTTCGTGGAGCTGGCGCCCAAGCTCCGCATCGAACATCTCCGTTTCTTTATCGCCACGTGCGCGGTGGAGGTGATCGGGATGGTGGTGCCGCGGGTGAACGAGTTCGGGAAGAAGGAGCTCTCCGCGCTCGTCCAATTCGCCGCTTTGTGTTATGGAAAGACCGAGAAGAAGAATGAGGTGGTCGATCTCGTGATTCGGCTCAATGCGCTGGCGTTGGATCGGAGCGTGGCGCTGCAGCCGATGGATGTGAGCAAAGCCGTCGAAGATCCGGAGATCACCAAGATTAACGGGATGATCGGAGAGATCTTGTTCGTAGTGGCTACGGCGAATGCGGAGCGCATGAAGATCACAATTCAGCAGTTGCCCGCCGCGAGCGCGACGAATCTCCAGAACCAGCTGAGGAAGACGGTGCAAGTGAAGCAGATGGAGAGCAGTGCAGCTCGTCGCAGAAATGCTAATAGGATGCCTGTCAAGTTGGATGCGTCAAAGTTCACACAGTGACATGTTTGTTAGCAAAACAGGAAAGAATACAGGCAGCGCAACTAATCAAATACAATAACACGGTTCTTGTTCATATTGGGGTTTGGAGACGAATCCGGAGGGAACCACGAAAATGTGGGTAGGTTGTCATATCCAATGACTCGCTGTTGCAGAAGGTGCTGCGAGTAGGAGAACGTCTTAACAGGCGACGAATTACTCGGAGGATTCATTCGGATAAGAAAATACTGAAAGCCCGCCAAAATCATGAGTGGCTGACTTCCCTCTCATTCTTCTTCACGCAACCTGATTCACGGAATCGCTTTCCCAAAACGCTTTTCTAACAAACATCAAAAACCTCAACCATCCTTTGAGCACTTAGTTAATCTCCACCTTCTTTACACCTATTTGTCACAGAAAAACGCATGCCACCCACCAGGAGGAAGAGTCTTGATCAGCTTCTCAGCCTTAGCACTCTCCTTAACGACCAAGGTGTACAGGTACTACATGTCAACGAAAGAGCAATCTACGTACCTTGCTGCAACGGACCTTCAGCTTAGTCTCACCAGAAGCGTTCTTCTTGATCTTGATCACTACAAAATCACGGAGAGCATCGAATGGGCATACAGCTGGCGTCCTTTCTTCTGGCAGCAGTGATGAACTCACGAACGTCCTTAATCTCCTTGGGCTACAACAAACGGTGAGAATTCGTCCTCCACTCGGTTTCGCACTCCACAATATCAAAATTAGTCATGCTAATGAGCACTCCACCTACCATTATTACAAAAGGATAAAGATGAGCGACTTTCTTGATGTCCTTTGGTTCTGGAAGTTTCATCGAGAGGGTGAAACGCCCACTCCAACCAAACCAGTATTCAACAAACAAGAGAATCGATGGACTGCGGCTTCATGAGTCCTACATTCGAAATAAACTGGAGATAGGGACACTTCGGAATGGCACCACCTAATACTGCGGGAACTAAAACACGCTTGTCTGTGTTGTGCGTGCGCTCAATGGATTCTTCGTTGCAAGCCTCGAGGACGTGAGAGAGAAAAACCTCAAGACAAGACTCAAGTGCTTGGTACCCACTCGTAGAGACCTGCAAATGGTTCGCACTGCATAGATTGATCCAATGAGCGACTGCGCTCACAAAGCAGGGATCAAACATCGACACATCCGATTCTTCTGGAGAAGCGGAATTGTCTTCCAGTGGCATGTCGAACGCTGAATCGAATGCATGGAAAATGATTTGATCTCTTCCAAAAAAGGAATACCACTCGTCCATAGTGTCACTGTCGTATTGCATGGAAGGAGCTGAGTCTAGAAATGTGTACACATCGTTCGGATAAGTTGCCGAGTTCACTTTGGAAGACCGATAAAAGCAGTTGTTTTGATGAGCAGTCTAGAGAGATAGCAATCCGCAAGGAACAAATTACAATGTTCTCTTCTAACAGACCGCAGTATTTGCACCAATAGAGTGTTGGTTGCTCGCGAATATCCACTATACGATATTGTGGGTGGTCTCTTAAATATTTGCAAAGTTTTTCGGCCTAAATCGAACCACAGTTTTAGATTTACAGTAGGAGCCGATCTTCCGCGAATAGAGTGAAGCGAATTCTCATGCTGAAGTGGAATACGAGATTTTCGATCAATCATTTCAAGGTTATAGCCATATTCTGCAAGAAAAGCAATCTCTTGCTTCCAGCTATTGTTGCCTTCATTTTCTTGACCCTGAGTGGGTAGTAAAGAAGGTAGATACTGCGTGTCCGAAGAGGACGGATGGGAGAGTATATCCTGGGCGAGTTTGTGCTCTATCGATTATCGTTTCACTCCAATTTCACTTTTACTTTCACCTTCACTTTCACATGGCTCGGCACTCATCGAGAAGGTACAAAAACAAACAAACCAAATATCTAACAGTTTTACAATAGACTGCAAATTCTTTATTATTCCATCCTTCACCTTATCACTAACATCATTGTCTAGCAAATTCAACTGATCCATGTGAGGGTAGTTCTGTTCCACCGCATTCGCAAGCAACTGCGCTCCTTCATCGGTAATGCCGCACACTACCACTCAATTCACCATCCAACATGTACTATCCGAGCAGAGCGTAGACAGTTGCGGCAAAAATCCATTGCGAATGAGCGAAGTGAACATGATGATTCCAGAATCCAAAATGTTGCATCCCCCGATCCATAATTCCTTCAAAGCGAGAGGCGTCTGGTTATCGATGATTGCATCGCAAATCAGCGAGAAAGCGACATGGTCGATCGCATTGCCCGCGATGTCGAGCAGAACCAGCTGATTCATCGCTCCGCTTTGAATAAACAAAACGAAGGAATCCACGCATCCCGCATCCAAATTCGCCTCTACCCCTCAGCACCCATCACCCAAATCGAACCGAAAAGCCACAATTTTTGGAGCTGAATGTTGGCCTGAACGATTCCTTCGATGAGACTTCGAAATCCCTCGTCGCCGATCGCGTTGCTGGTCAGACCGAGCTCGTTGAAGGACAAATCGCCGCGAATCATGGAGTCTTTGAGAGCCCGGATTCCCTTCTCGGTGATGCGCGTGTCTACGTAAAATCATTTTATCAAAAATAAAGCAAACCGCGGAGATAGAGCTTGTCGATGTGGTACTTTTTATCGTGAATCGACTGCAGGAAGAACGCGATTCCCTCGTCCCCGATGGGATTATCTAGAGATCGAACCGGCACAAACGAAAAGGAAACTGGCCAATCCAAAGTCGGTGATGTGGAACACATCGTAATCGATGAGACTTTTGAACTCGCGAATTCCGTTCTGCGTGATGTGATTGTCTGCAGATCATCGCTCCAGTCCTTCCAAACTCATCAGATTCAGCAGAGTGAGCGAGTAGCAGTTGCTATTCACGAAGACTTTGCAGAGCTCGTGAAGCCCCACATCGCCGAGATTGATGTCTACGCTCGACCGTGCAAAGAAATGCCTGCCTCGAAGCCAGAGTCGCTGGATCTGCGGATTGTTGAGGATGATCGTGCAGATGGCTTTGGCTCCGTCGAAAGAGAGCGGATTGCTGGCGCAGGAGAACGCTCGCAGACTGTGACTGATGAAGGTGGGGATGAGGACGAGAGAGAGCGCGCGCATGCCGGCATCGCCGATATTGTTGTCTGAATCAAAGCAGAAAGAGAGAAAGGAACTGTCGAGAAGTAGAGTGATGACGTTGGGAAGGAAGTAGTGGTTGATAAGCTCGCAGATGAGAAGCAGCCCGTCGTCGCCGAGCCCGAAATTTCGCAGATCGATGTTTTGGAGGTTGATCGTGAGCTGCGGATCGCAGTACTTGGCGAGCTTTTCGAAGCAGTCCGGTGCAACTTTGAATCCTAGAATGAGAGGGGAGAGAGGAGACGACGAATGAGCTCCGGAGAAAGCACGTCGATGAAGGGGAAGCAGGAGATCCAGTTGGAGAGATACGTCGCGTCCTCCTCGGATAAATTGCAGTCTATTGGCTAAACGGTGGGAGAGAGAAGGAAACAGTAAAGATCGATGATGTGCAGACGAGGAAACAATCCGGTTTCGATGAAGTGATAGAGCGTCGTGATCGCTGCCTTGTTCAGACAGCTTCCACTTAAATCCAACACCATGATCTCGTAAGCCCCCGCATCCATCAAATCGTCCTTCAACTGCTGGAGCTGGTCTTCGACGGACTGCTTGGGGTCCTTTCCGATCACGTCTTTTCATAACAAAAAACAGGCTTCGCCTACATTTATAGTACCCGCTCGATTTGGTGAGTTGGTCGACCTGCTGGATCACCATGCGAGGCCTGTCGAGCGTGTCATTGCGACGCTTCATATTCATATACCCGGTTTTGTATTTCTCCATCAACTCCATCGCTTCGTTCAGCTTCCCGCTCAGACTGCCGCACTCCATATGCAAATTCTCGATTCGCTTTTGGTCCTCTTTGAGCGTTTTGGTCAGTTCGGCGATCTGGCGGTGCAGTCGAAGGTTCTCCGTCTCTAAATCGTTCGAGCGCTTCGGACAGTCCGAGAGAGACTCGCTTTCCCGCGTCTTCGCGCGAGAAACGTCCGAGTTCGACTGGGCAGAGGACAGCTGGGCGCGTAAGGCCTCGTTCTCCTGTTGGAGCGAGAGCAGAAGCGATTCGGTGGACTCGGCGTTCGAGAGCTCGGTGATTTGGTTTTGCAAAAAGGTGTTTTGGTTTTGTAAGGACCCGACGTGTGAAATGACTCGGTCTAAATCTTGTCGAGTTTCCGAGATTTCGATTTCTAAGCAGAGGCGACGGTTTAATTCTTGAGCATAAAGAGCGACGTAGGGGCTAAGGTTCACCTATGAAATCAGCGTAAATGAATCAGAATGCACTCCTTCCGCATAGGAAAAAAGAAGGAGCGCGTCCTCTTCCAACTGCAACGATTTCAACTGGACAGTAAATGGAATCGCCTCGTCTTTATAGAAAATGATGATATCGTTAATGGACATCATATCAGAGTAGTTCCGAAGCAAGTACTACGTAACACACAAAACAAAAAGGCAAACAGAATTAAATCCTTTAGCGACGAGTTCTACTGTCGCATCCAAGGGGAAGGAATAATAGAAAAGATAGTCATTAAAGCGGAGAGAAAGAGAAACAACTTCTGATCCATAAAAAACAGAAATGGCCGGGGTCAGTTCCACAAAAGCATTCCTAACGATCATATCCTCTTCCACCAGCAATCCGTCTATAACGATTTGCGTACCAGCAGTGGGAATATTGTAGCTTTCCTGGATGGAACACAATAAAAATAAAAATACTTGCAAAAAGAACCGTAATTCCTGAACCGTCTGATTACTGTGAATTGATACTAGCGATGGATCCGAATTCTCAATGCTAAGAGAAACATTAATGATTTCGGTGTCCACAGCATAGGGTTCTGCCATGGTAGAAAATCCTTTGAATGTCGAACTTTGTCCATTCCATAAAAAGGGGGAAATCTTCAAATTTTGAAACCACTAAGATATTGAAACTTTGTAATCCATGGAGAGTGTCAACAGAGAACTGTGTTGCTCGATTTGTATGAAACCAGTTCCCTCCAAGAATGCGAAGAAATGTACCAAGTGCGGAGCAGTCGTGTGTAACCACTGTTGTCACCACGAAAAGGGGGGTCATTTTGTATTTAATAGGACAGTAAAGCAACCCGGAGTGGTCTGCTTTCGATGTATCTGTATTCACCAAGAATCGGTGAAGCATGCGAGTGGAGGACCGAATGAGAAGGAGGTAACGCTACAATGGTTGAACAATTTGATTTGTACTCTTTTGGGGGCTATTTTTACATATAGTGGATGAGGTAGAGTTTTCTAATGACTGTAAATACGAATCGATTGATTCTTCTAGCTTTGATGTCTTTTTTATGTTTTGCGTTCATACTAGGCTTCTGTACCAGAGTCATACGAGTCAATATACTCAACATGTCCGATTCTGCTTCGCTTAAAGAATGGTGTTGTACTCTATCTTTCCTTGCCCTCCCTTTCAAACTCGTATATGAAAGACGAATGGGTTACTGTAGTGCAGCCGTCAGTCAATGCACGGTTCTATCTACATGTCAAATACTTGTTTCTATCGTCCAACGACAATGAACATGACCGAGAAGTGCTAACAGAAGAGTTTCAGGATCTTCCTATCAATCTCAGCTACTATTTAAAGGTGTTTTCTGTTTTCTTTCCTACAGAAATCCCCACTGAAATGGACGAGACTCCTGAGGAATTCCATTTTGTAAGCGCAAGCGAGGCGAAGACGGAGCTTGCTTTACGGACTGCGATATGCGTTTTAGGTGTTGTATTCTTTGTGTGTGTTTGGAATATGCTCAGTGTATTCAAAGGCGTTGCTCGCATCTTCTTCGGTACTTCCATCTCTTCGTTTCTGTTCATAACATATCCTTCAACCCAAAGTGTTCAACGGGAACTTACTACATCCCACATTTTTGTCAATTCTCAGCAAGCCACCTGTACAAAATGCGGAAGATGAAGAGTTGACGACTATCTCAATGTCAGCCATTTCTCCGAGACCTCAGGAAGACACTCAAGTCTTCCAGTCGTCTGTGGGCAGTCTTTCGATTCGGGTCATTGGCGTTTCGTGCTCTCTACCGTTGGAGAGAACGCCGTCCATGGAGAGCGCTTCGAAGGTGCGTTCTTTCGTGCAGCCCAGTCAGAACTCGATCAAAACTGAAAGGGAGGAGTGTTGTAAAGAGGATCGAGACTTACAGAGGAATGCTAGTGACACTGAACAAGTAGTAGTGTCTACAAGGGATAAGCTCGATGATGTTCAAAAGAGCGATCCTCAAGAAATTAATCAGAAGCCTTTTATGTCTATTTTTCAGCCTGGAACAATTGACTATCAATCTCTTCTGGAAACTGGCGTAAATGATATTGGTGGTGGTCACTCATAGATCGGGATCTCTCATTTCTAGCGGCCGCTATTTTGAATTGTTTGTTTTAAATTTAAATTTATTTTGGTCTCTCAAGTCGTGTGTAAGGTGTCTGTAGAAATTGTGTTCTCGTGATGAGAAATAAGATGGGCATACTTTGCAATACATTGCGGAGAAGTCAGTGTGATAGTAACATCAGAAGGAATCATTTCAATGGGTAATCTAGCTTGGAGATGGACACTTTTCATTTCTCGATATGGAATGGATGAATTATGTTCGCAAGCAACCCTTTCAATAGGTATTTCGTGAGTTTTCTTTAGGGAAATGGTACATAGGATAGTGATTCGAATATTAAGCATAGAATTGCATTGTGAATTGCATACCAAATCTATACTCCAATGTTGCAACGTGTCGATATCACATTGATGACAGGTTGAGAACAGCTGACGTTCAATGATAGGTGGAGATTTGGAACAAACATAGAATGTAAACATTGAACATACAATAATCGTTGAATAGAATAGAATAGAATAGAATAGAATAGAATGTGTAGATCCAATGATGGACTTACTGCTTGATATTGACTAAATCAGAGAGAATGGAAGAAACATCTATGAATGAAATCAAATCAATCAACACAATACTCGAAATTGATTTCGATCGAACTTCCTCGAATGAATCAGGTAGATCGACATATTGGAGATTTGGAATATCTAAATGCTATCCGTATGCAATGGATAGTTATACTTTCCAAAGTCACTACACGAGGATGATAGAAACTACATTCCCTGGAATCGATGGATCTTAGATTTGGAAGATCTACAAAGCAAATCATTTCGAATCAATTCATTATTACTTCGCATTACCAAGGAACAGGATTCATCATTCTCTTTTCCAGCCAATGCCATATTACCAAGTTCAATGGACTGCAATTGTGGAAGATCTACAGATCAATCAGTTCATTCAAATTCATTCAATACTTTCAATTATTGTTGATAGGGGTTCTTCGAATACATTTTTACCTAATATAATGGATTGTAGATTTGGAAAATCTAATCATTACCTAAATATTCAATATCAAATCCATACCTCGAATCACAAATGAACAAAACTGGAAATTAAATGTATGGCCTCTCCTTGTTCCAATTTGAATGGATTCTAGTTGTGGTAGATTCTTCAATTCAAATTCGCCTGCGTAATCACTGAAACTGTATCTACCAATATCAATGGATTTCAGTGATTCACAATTCAATATGTGAAAAGATTTTGATTGGTTGTTGCATCTATTCAAGAGATCATCCATATCTGGATCATCATCCTCAAGATCATCCTCTTTTACTTGCGTAAATGAATTCTTGCCGATTTTCAGACTTTTCAATCGATTCAATCCATCAATTCTGAATGTTTTCACTAATTCAAAACATTCATCGCCGATTTCGATAGATTCCAAATTGTACAACAATGAAACATTCCAATCAACCAATACACATTTGTCAATCAGTTTCAAATGTTTCATTCCGATATTCAGTGGTTTGCTTCCATCGCCTTCATATTTTACATCAATATCACATTCAATTCCATTATACCATTCACATTCATTCACTAATTTACCATATCGATCATACACTTTTCCAATTCCAAATCGATTATCATCACACCAATATCCTTCATATTCAATCAAACCATTATTATGATAACTCGTTCCATATCCAAATCGTTTCCAATTGATCATTATGCCCTTGTACACCAATAATCCATCATCATCATACATTTCACCATATCCAAATGGAATTCCCAACTTGTTTTCTGCCAATACCAATCCTTCAAATCGACTTCCATGATCCAAATCCACGATTCCTTCTTCCACTACTTCTATGGATTGTTCTTCATTATATGAAATAGCACCAATTTGATGATTTCCAATCACTTTCAACACTTTCTGCTCATTGAGGACAAATCCTTGATTCATAAATGCTCCATTATCGAATTTCAATACTGCACATTCACTATTACTCAATATGAGTGAAATCCAGCCATCCACTTTCATTTGTTTACCCAAGCATCCCTGCACATTTTGAATAATAGAACTATCAATATGATAGTCACTAATAACAGAATTGACAAAATCGGTAATGTTTTGCATGGAAATGAAGAAATATGAAGATAACGGTTTTTTGAAAATAGGATTTGTTGCATTATTTCTCGAAAGAATTTATGTTATAGATTATTTATTCTATGGCTATGATATGTTGGTGTGTTAGAAACTAGAAAAATTTGACATAATCTCACTTTTCCAGCCATTTTGTATTTTCTATATTTTGGTGCAGTACAAACAATTTATTTATTCATTTATTGTTAATTTTTGTTACTTGTAGCTTTGATTCAAATGTATTTCACATTTTCATTACCTTGACTCTCTTTTATTGAAATGTCAGTTTTATTACCTTTGAAATGAATACATGCTCTTCAAGATAGTGAACATCGTTAATAATAGAATAAGGTTCAAACTTAACTGTAACGAAAGGACTTTGTTATCAAACAAATTACTACTTCATATCATTCAAATAATCAATTTCGATTCCTGAACCTCGCACAATTTCATACCCTCCACACTATTCAATCTGATATCCTTGCGATTGACTTCTGCGGTTCCCACTAGACTTTCGCATTACTCTCATTTTCAATCCTATTATTCTTTTTTCTGTCACCCTAACACTCATTAATGCACTTGTCCACATAAACGTTACATCATCCATATTTGTTTGTCTTCTCAAACATGCAACATCTCAGACAAAAGTTCTGTCGCTGAAGGACGTTTGGAAGGATCATACTGCAGCATGCTTCCGATCATTCGCATGATAGATCTGATCCATTACACTCTTCGAAACAACATAATACTTAGGAATATCTCGAGGAAGCACAGAATCCAAAGGAATAGGCTTGATAGATGGAAGAGTAGAGAGATCTATTTATCACTCCTCCTTTCTCCCTCTCTCTCTACATTCCCTATTCATTCGAGGGATCTGCATCTGAGCGAGTTCCTCTTCGGTCGGAGTACCCAGGACTAGTTCATTATCAAGGATCGATCCTACTATTGATAATGCTCACAAGCTGCTCAGCGTCTGACTCCAGCGAGACAAACAAGGGAGTTCCAGAGAAGATTTCCACAATGACTGCGATTTACTCTCGATTCCCATCCGTACCACAACCCAGTGACCAAATATCAATCGCTGTGCCGTAGCGCGTGGCACCCATCAGCAGTTCAGGCGCTCTAGTCATCAGACATACCTAATTTGCCAACCGATAAAATCGAGATGTAACCAGAGGAGTACTACGATGGTTCTCCATGCTGCCTTCGATGCGTTTACTGCAACCGAAGTCACATAGCTTTACCTTGGAGTCAGCCGAGAGTAGGATGTTGGAAGGCTTTAAGTCGCGATGGATTATTTGGTGAGAGTGGAGGAAGGACATTTCTAAAATACAATCAGGCAACAGTCGTAGTAGTAGTCGTACCTTCTATAATTGATTGAACAAGCTGGATTTTGTTGAGTTCCAGATTATGGAGAATAGCATAGGAGAGAGAGTATTGTTCAAACTCCAGCACAATGTTATTCCAGATTGTCTTTCCATCCATCTCATTTCGTTCAGTGTAAAAGTGATCTATATCGTGAGCTGTGTACTGCAGTACCAATCATATTTGCAAAATAGTGTCTTGAGCGATCATCGGAGTGATCCATAAGATATTGGTTGAGGAACAGTTCTCTCGATGGATGAATGGTTCCATCATCTATTGAATCAATCCATTACAATATCAGAGTATACCGCCAATATCGGAATCGTTTACACGGATCTGTTTTAGTGCATAGATCTTCTCACTGTGGTCATCATGAACAAGAAATACACTTCCAACTAGGCTGAATAAGTTCATACAGATATGTACATGTTCCACTTCCCACCTTTTTATCTACAAAATAACGATTCATTGAAAAACCATTCTTTCCCTCCAAACTCTGATTTTTGTTCCCCTTATAGATTATCAATTTCCATATCAGATGTTATGCACTACACAACTAGTGTGGTGTAACTATCTGTATAAATATATTTATATGGGTGCATACACTTTTTATCCAGATTGTTCTCTATGGTATGAATAGGACCGTTTTGCAATCATTTTTGTTCATTATATTATGCAATGAATACAATTTTTCATAAAAAGAGTGTTAGTGGTTTTCGACAATGATCACGAGACAAGCCATACTATTGGCATCTTATATCTCCTTGTAGTCACCTCATCCAACTCCTATACAATTTATCCGTTTTCGATTCATTCTTCTTCTATCTACTCTGCTATGGAATGATCCACGTTTTGCATAAGAAATTGAGATATTGTACATAAATCCAATAAATTGGAAAGGTTCAGAGAATGCATAAAGCAGCGAAGAAAAGCAAGTATACATGGAATGAATAGATCATTGGATCTGCAGATGAGAAGCTCCTGAACAATTCAATGGCCTGGAAAGAGTGTGTTTTCGAGTACTTTTGGAAATGGGGATTTTTAGAAATACGGTTACCGTTCGTTCCAAATGAGAGTCTTGTTTTCGCCTTTCCTTTTGAGTGTTCGAAAAATACATACTTGCGTCACCTTCAAAACACAATTTTGTTGATAATATTAATGAAACCGCCTTCCAAGTGGACACAACAAATAAAGGCTATTTTTGGAATACAAAATTACTGGAAAGTAGTTATTTTTCGCAAAATATTTTTCTTCTTTTGTAAGTGGATTACAATGAGATCGGCTATTATTTGCCTTGTTCTTGCCTGTTCTTTGGCTACCTCCATTAATAAGGACTTTTTTTCGGAAGCCTTCAAGTTCGTGAATGTGTCCTATGTGAAGTCTCCTGGCTTCCCTCGCAGATCGTATAACCACCCTGCCAACGAGGATGTTAAGTACTGCGGAACTTACGAATCTTGGTGCTTCCCCAAGAAGGGTATTTCTGCCAAATTCGACATGAAGCTTCTGGGAATGATGCATCATGATCCTGTGTACATGGCTTATACTACTCACGAGTACATTTCCGAGAACTGTGTTGATCAGTTCGCTGTTTCCACTACGATTCAGTCCCCTGTCAAGTTCGTTGAGAGCAACGAGCAGTACATGGAGATTACTTATGAGAAGATCTTGATCAACTTCCATATGCAGGAGTTGCTGGATATGATCACCTGCACGGAGCCTCTGGATCTTGATACGGACTACGATATCACCACCATTTCCTGCAAGGATGGCATGGGTAACGACTTCTTCTATGAGTTGAAGCTGTTCCTTGGCAGAAAGATGAACGTGGAGGTTGAGTTTGGTGAGAAGACTGCCACTTATGACGGACTTCCCTTCGATCGTTTGAGCGATACTGGCTGCACCTGTGCCAAGGATATCATTAAGAAGAGCGCTTCTATGATTCCTAAGGCCGTTCCTAAGGCTACCGAGACCAAGAACGAGGACATTAAGTTCTGCGGCCGCTACTCCACTGGCTGTGTGTCCTCTCCCCTTGTGTCGATGCAGGCTGATATGAAGATTCTGGGCATGATGCACAAGAACCCCATCTATCTGCAGTATCCTCTCTCTGTGTATCTGGGTGATCAGTGCACTGAGGCCACGGAGATGACTGTGGTCACTGTGAGCGGACCTTTGCAGTTCAAGAACGATGTGGAGAAGAGTGTGACCGTGACTGTCGATAAGGTCTTGATGAAGTTCACCAACGAAATGATGATTTCGCAGTACACTTGCTCGGAGCCTCTGGAGCTGAACAAGGAGTACGATGTCACCACTCTGGATTGCAAGGACGAGGAGGGCAACGATCCTTTCGCGGATATGAAGTCTCAGATTGGCGTTCCTACGGACGTCGAAATGGCTTTTGGCGAGAAGAGCCTGACCTTCAAGGATCCTGAGGGCGAGGAGCCTCTTGTTCTGGAGCGTCTGGGAGATGAGGGCTGCACTTGCTATAAGAATCTGCGTGCCTAGGACTGTTTGTTTTCATACCACCACTGAAAAGGGATGATTGCTTGGGTAGCAAATGGATAGGAAAACCGATTCGATGGGAATGGGAGTTGGATGCCTTACTATCACAACATTGTCATCTGTCCTCACACTTCCACTTAAAGTTACTATGATTACACAAGAATGTCTTGAACTGAAACAAACATCACAAAAAACTAGAAAAATCACTTCTCTTTCCTTTTCTTACTGTCCGGACGAACAGATTTAGCAACTACAAATTAGATGCAAGCACCACCCCGAACACTCGTGGTTCAGTTTCGATTTGACTAGCTTCGCCTTACTCAGGCCTTCTTCTTTTGAATCCGAGTTTGAAGAATCACCAGCCTCTTCCAGTCTTTGTTCTCGCTTCCGGCGTTTCTCACGAAGGAGCTTCTTTTTAAGCACACTTGGAGGCTCGGTTTTCTGATTGCTGAACATCCAAAAGTCTCTACCTTCTTATGTGGGACATATTTTGCTCCGAGGCCTAGGCGCTGTGCTCTCCGCTCAAAAACTGGTTGCTTAACTGCTTCTTCTTCTTGGTTTGACGAAGATGCACCCAACCAAGAATCCACAACGTTCAGAGCGTCTTGCTTTATCTCTACACCGTGGTCTTCGCTCATCTTGTCAATCGAAGAAACAAGTTTGATAAGTGGGTCAGCTCCCTTTGACGGCGAATCTTATTCACATAATTTTGTTGTCTATAGTTGATACAATGCCTTGCGCCCATAAGAGTACCGAAAAGACTTGCAAGAACCCCGAATGCTCCTGCGACATCTGCAAGGACTGCGGACACTGCACCCATCCCAACTGTGCCTGTCATGAGTGTCAGAAAGCAAACACGCAGTAGTCTCTTCTGTTTGATACAAACACTCCAAACCATAAAACAATTATTCGAAAGCCGTCTCAGCACCCAACGCCTTCAACTTGGCTGCCAATTCCTCCGCCTCCTTCTTAGGCATGTTCTCCTTCAACATCACAGGAACACTCTCCACGAGGGTCTTGCTCTCCTTCAGTCCCAAGTTCAGAAGTCCTCGCACCTCCTTAATAATCTGTCATTCACCCCTCCATCGCGTTTCTACCTTGATTTTGTCCTTTGCGTCGTACTTCACCAGCTTCACGCTCGCCGTTCTCTTCTCCTTCTTCTCCTCCTTCTTCTCGCCTGCTCCAGCGGCCGCATCTGCCGCTCCTGGGGCACCCGGAGCACCCGGAGCACCCACGGCGGGAGCAGCGCTGGGAGCAGCCAGGACGTCGGGAAGTCCGAGTCGCTCCTTCATGACTCGCATAAACTGACCGATCTGAATGAAGTTCAGCGCAAGCACTTCGTCCACGAGCTATCATCGAGTTGGAGAAGAAGCGGTACCTTCACGACCTTTTCCTCCACGGGGGGTTTGCCGGCCGCATCCACTGCTTTCGTTTGGATGGTAACCTCGTTGCCAGTGGCATCCTTCACTGTTGTAAAGCACTCCTCCTTCTATCACAATAAGACGCGGCGACTCAAAAATACCTTCACCACTTTTGCCTCGGGCTCTTTCTTCTCTCCTGCGGCATTTGCTTTGGTGGCCTCCTTTGCTCGCTCCGCTTGCACCTTTGCGGTTGCCTCCTTCATCTTCTTCCGAATCTCTTCTCCGGAAGGCTTCTGAACCATATTTGCAAAACCAGCCAATGCCTACTGCTGCAGACTCTGTAGAGAAATAGCGTTGTGCGACCGGGACAGATACAGTTCTGGGAACTGCACAGCGGGTCAGATATCGCACAGCAGAAGCTGAACTACGAGAAAAGCCAAATTCCGAGCCATACGATAGAATGCGTTTACAGCCATACACACACTGCCTTGCAAACATTCTCTCTCACCCAAACTCAAATACTTGAGTTGTGGAATTGGAGTAAAAATCTCCCCGATTTTTGGAAATCAGGAAAACATTCAATTCTCGCTTCCTAGTCGCATATAGCACAAACAATTCATTATCCACGATAATCATAAAATCCTGTTCCATCGTTTCGTCTCGACAAACTCTGGAAAATCTCAGCAGCCTTCGCAGCGTTCCGCTGGTACCATTTTCCGAGCTCCAATCGCTTGCTAAGCTCCCTCATCACCAGGACATTTATCTGATCGATCTGAATCCGGTTCCCGTTCCTCGTGAACAAATCTTGGAACTACATGCCAGCTCTCCCTTTCTCTTACCAGAGATTTCATCTGCTCCGCCATGTCGTCCTCCGGCTGCGCGGACTCCGCCGTCTTGTCCTCCGAGTCCTCGGTGTCCAGCGAGATATCGCTCTCCGACGAGTCGCTCGACTCGGTTTCCTTCTCGCCGTCGTCCTTGTTCTCCTTCTTCGAGAAGTCGTCGTCGTCCACCAGTGGATAGGGGTTGTTCCACTGGTCGTTCTCCACCGGCTGCTTCTCCATCTCGTGCACATCGCTGTCATCGCTGTACTTCGCGAAGTCGCCGTCCTCCTCCACGTCCACCTGCGTCCCAACCCGCCCTCGCGCCTACCGCGATTTCCTCGTCCACGTCCCCGTCGTTCTCCGCGTCCTCGGGCGCGTCGCGCTTCTGCCCACGGCGCGTCGCTTTCTCTTCCAGATCGCCTTTGAAGCCCTTTTCGATCGACTTGTACTGCTCTTCCAGCGCTTCTTTGAACGAGTTCTTCTTCATCCCGCCGAGAACGATCTGGGCTTGAGCGAGAGCCCGGGCTCCCTACTTCGCTCGCTGCGGCCACACGGTCGTTTTTGAGGCTGGTGGTCGCGGAGGGAAGGTCTTTGTCCGTCTTGCGCAGACGGTCGCTCTCGAAGGACTTGACGATGTGGCCGTTGTACACGCGCGCGATCTTGTAGACGAAGTAGACTTGGTGACGGCAGCGGCCGGTGCAATGGGGATTGCAATTGCAGCCTCGTTGGAGAGCATCTTGGAGAGAAGAAGGAAAATGGAACGTACAGAAGTGCGTTTTTAAGTCTAGCGATTCGGCTTGTAAGTAGGTGTGACGACTATCGTCTTCGACGGTAAATGTATCTAAAGTGTCCCGCAAGAATGCGTTAGAATTGTGCTTTCTATTCGCTAAGGCTCCACGCTAAAGTGACCTACAACAACAAGTTCTCATCAGACTGGTTTCTGAACAGAGAGGTCTTCTCCTTTGACTCGTCTCCCCTCGGCTCGATGAGAATTGCGAATTTCTTTTGATGTTGCTTCACCAACGGAATCTCGGTCTTTCCCTGGGATTTTCGATGCGTAGATGTCGTTGAACTCGCATCTGAGGCATGACCCTGCTGGTTTTGCATTGCGGGAGAAAAGGTATGGCATTGTCTTTTATTTTGTCACTTCGATTTTGAATTGATGGATCGTCACGGTGCTCCAAAGCGTAATGACGGTAAGAATACGTGATATCTTGTCATGTCTCCAGATCAGTGGATTTCTGATGACCAGTTTGGTTCACCGTCGCAGGTATGGCAGATAGTTGCCGCGCTTAGGTGTAGTCGCCAAGTTCTGATCAAACCTTCCGACAAGAACAGAGTTGTAGCACAAACATTTTCTAACCTGTAGACAACTACACTCCTTCCAATTTTTCTACTGTACGTTCTAATTCCTGTACTGATGTGTCTAGAGTGCACATTCCGTTCGTTCTCCATCCATTTCTCCGTATGAATCCAGAAATACGCACGTTGCCTCTAAAGTTTGTTTTGGTCTCGATGTCATTATCAGAACTCCTCGTCTCCGGAGTCCGAGGGGTCCGAGGGGTCTGAGGAGTCTACTTCCTCCCAGTCTAGCTGGTTTCATTGTTTCCTCATCGCTGTCATCACCTTCCTTCTTCTCTTCCTAACCGCCTTTCTCTATTTCTCTTTCCAGCTCTACGTCGAAGTTTTCTTCTCTTCTTGCTTTCATGCCTTCAGACTTCTTCCGACGATTCATTCGAAATGGATTTGCACACTTCCTTATTCGATCTCTTTTCCCTCCATTCCCCAGTCGAACAAATCGAGCTCCCTCTTACGCTCGAGCAAATCGACTCGGGTCTCCAAACCAACGTTTCCACTCTGATCGATTTTATGACCCTCAGATTCCCATTCACATCGATGAACCTTGTCCTGCTTGCCACGGACATGGAGCGCAACTCCGCACGTGTCCCCGCTGTGCAGGCTCTGGAGTTCTCAGTTCACCCTTCGGTTATATGCAGTTTCTCTCTCATTTGGCTCCCATGTAGCTGTCCGCGTTGCGGAGGCACTGGAGCCATCGCAGAGGCAGTCTGTAGCGTTTGCCATGGGAATGGAATGGTCCGGACGGAGGCAGAGCTGCCTGTGCGAATTCCCGCGGGAGTGCCGAATGGATGGGGAGCAATGAGCGAGACACGTGGTGTGCGCGTGCGCGTGCGCGTGAAGGAGAAAGAACACGAGCGATTCAAGCGCATGGGAAATGATGTGGTGTGGCGTGTGAAGTTGCCCTTAAAACAAGTCGGAGAGGGAGGGAAGTGAAACGTAGGCGCTGTTGGGAACGCGGGTGGAGGTTGAAGACTTGAGAAATCAAACTCATACGGTGGTGCTGAAGGCGGGAAGCGTGCAGCCCTTCGGCGAGGTGCGGGTAAAAGGAGCTGGAATTCGGAAGATGGCGCAGTTCTCTGTGGAAGGCGTATTGGATAAGGCCTTGCGGAGGAGTGGAGATTTGGTGATTGTGACGGAGGTGGAGTTTCCCGATCGCTTGACTGAGAAGCAGAGGGAAGCGATTCAAAAGCTTTTTTAATCGTGGTGTTTGTTGCAACAAAGGAGCGGGCGGAATTTTCACAAGGCATCTGCTCAGAAATAAGCAGAACGAATTATGCGTCGTGAGTATAGGTCTCGCATCCGTAATACCGCTGTACAAATTGAAAGAAGAGAAAAACACCTTGAATCCAAGAAATGACGGAAATCGAGGGTTTTTCGAGGATACCATCACTGTTAGAATAATTCCGTGCGCACAAGATTCGATTTTGTGTAAGCCCCTCTAGAGTTTTCATCGGCTTTTTGCTTTTCATTGCGCTTTATAAGGAATATTAGGGAAATGAACTCGACTGTAAGAATTGGAGCTGTTTTTCGTTTTACGCAATAGCCTCATGATCAGCCACCTCAGGTGAGCACTTCTGACGATCCGGGAAGTATGCATCCCGTTTCCCTCACGGACGATAAACATCCCCTTTATGATATTGATGGTCATCCTGCTATGCCGTCTATATCATTGAGTGATGCTGGATCGGTCTTGAATCTTCCCATGGGAAGTGTGAACTATACTGGAGAGCCGGATAGCTTTGGACCGCTGTTTCGGTTAGTTTTTTAATGTATCTGCAACTTTTAGAATCGATCCCAATCGAAGTGCAGAAGATGAATGGACAATGGTGGAAGGAATCTGCTCAAAGCTTGTTCGTCCACCTGTCGAGCGTAACGTCTAGTTTACGAAGTACATCAGCGAGTATACCGGTAGAGACCAGCAGAAAAAGGGCCAGATCATGCGAACTGTCCAGAAAATCATTTTTGGCCTAGAGCTGCCCCGAGGTCATGGCCACAAAGGAAAGCTCTCTACAAAGATGTCCGCTCTGTACGACGAACTCACAGGTCGCCAACCTCGCAAACGAAAGTCCAAAACGAGTGCGCAGCTGCATTGTTTTGCTGATTCCTTCAGATACGATACAAACAAGCAAGCGTCCGAATCTGCGGCCGCAGACGATCTTAGTGGGCGTGATCGGCCGCGGCGACTACGCGAAGCTCATCATCGAGCGTCTTCTACTCCAGCACCACCAAGTAATCACGGTAAACCAGGACACCTACGCCAATGTCTGCTCGTACTCTATCCTCTCCCGCTCTCCTGCGCAGAGACGCCTCCTTCGCTCAGCATTTCGCATCGATCCGCGAGAACAGTCTTCAGCTGCAAACGAATCTCCCTTCTTTCTGCAATGCTTGCGACATTATCTTCGTGGCGGTACGAGCCCAGGCCGCTTGCGAGATAGATCCCGGATGACAGCATCGCGGTTCCGTTCTACGTAAACAAGGACAGCTTCCTGGACATGGTGGGTCCGAAGCACTACATCGTGGATCTCTGCATCGAGGACCTCGAGAGCAGCGGCAAGGTCCACGCGCGAGCGAAGGAGCGCGACGTTCGCTACTACGATTGTCTGCTGTTCCCGCAGCCCACAACGCTCGCGTCCTTCGAGAAAAACGAGCCGGTCGTGCTGCTGGGCGGCGAGCCGCTGCTGTCGGACTTTCTGCGCACGGTGCTGGCGGGGCTGGGGCGCTTGACGTTCACGGGGGGAAGCAATCAAAGCATCTTCTTCAAGATGATAATGAGCGTGAGAATGGGGGCGATGAATGAAGGGAAGCAATACACGATCATTCAGCAGCAGGTGTTGATGGAGGTGTACTCGACCGCGCGGAGTCTGGGCATTCACGATCCCAAGCTGCTCGGCGACCTGCTGACCTGCGTGAATCCGGCGCGGATCATCGAGCGGAACCGCGCGTTTCGGTCGTATAACCGAAGCGATCAGTTGGCGATGGCGGTCCCGATTAAGTCGCTGACGGACGCGATCAAGCATTATTTGTAGGAGTGGAGAGGAGGGTTGAGGGTAGCACGCTGCCTTCGGTGTATTTTCCGGTGACGTCAGCGGCGTGCAAGGCGGGGGAGGAGGCGATTCGGTCGAGTAACAATTCGCAAGCGGACGTGTCGCATATGTGGGACTTGGTTTTTGGCCCGGAAGCGATGGGGCCGTCTCTACAGGGAGCGAAGGTGTGAATGTATGTAAATGATGTTTGTTGTTACGAAACGCGTTGGAAGTGAATTGTGGAGAGATATATGGGGATGTGTGTATTTGGAAAGAACGATATAAGAGTGTGTTTTTATACGAGATAAGGAAGTACAGAGAGGCGACGATTCCAAACGATCGCTATGAATCGAAAGGGTTGATTGATGCATTGCCAGGCATTCCTCCCTTTTTCCCCACTACTTCTCTGGCACACACACACACACACACAATCGACGGATAGCTTCACTCCCAATTCAATCACACTCTCCCTTTCCCTGATCATCGTATCCATTCATCCAACAAACATTCATTCACACTCAAAGCTACTGATTGTTTTCCTTTTGCTGCTTCATTCTACACGTCACCTTGACTCCACACACTCACTCCGAAGACAGTTCCTCGTTCTTAATCAAATCCTGAAGACGCTCCTGGTTCTTGTGCTCCATCACGCGAATCTGATCGAGCGTCAGTCCATCCCACTTGTCCATCTGCACGATCATCTGACACATCGAACGTCGAAAGATCATTTCTTGCTGACGTCGAACGAATTTCTCCAAAAACGTTTGAAAACCGAAGAACTTGCAGTGAATTGTGACGTTCTTGTAGCACCACATCACATGTGGAACACTGCTCTCTTTGTACCAGTTCTCCTGGAGGGGACCCAAGTTCCGCTTTTCGCTATGCCACTTTGTTATGTCCTCCTCTGGCTTGGAATCTTTCATATGTTTTGCTATATCTATTATTACACGCTCTCGATTTTTCAGAGAGGAAGCGTCCAAACCCATCACGTTCTCGATCTCCCCCTAAGTCTTAGATTTTATCACAAAAGAACTACATCTCCATCTACGTATCGCGATTCTACGATGACTTTGAACTTTTCTTTGGAAAGGTAGTTACTTGTCATCACTGTCAAACAGTGAGGATGGCAATTCCATGCCTCTTCAACAAAGTAGAGAGCATCTCGCAATCATCACCGCTCAAAAAAAGTACCGGCAGGTAGTAACTTTTTAATGATAGACGGAACCATCGATCCTATCATATAATGCTTGAGAGTGTACTGCCCCTTCTCCTTCGGAATAGGGACCTGACTGATTTCAGCAATACCGAGATGACCGTCAGTGTTGTCAAATCTGTTTATTACTCTCCCCATTGAATAGTACGGTTCATTCTTAAGAACGGAAACGCCTTCCCCGCCTCCGGTTACGCTTTCTTGGAGACCAATAAGCATAAACAGTTGCGCTACTTCAAAATCTTTCACTTCAATAGGAAGGGGAATCCGAAACTCAACGATCATTACACCAAAATTAATAAAATGGATATTCTCTTTTTCTTCCAAGTTCAGATGTACAGTCATTTACTCGTTATATTGTAATCAATACCCGTACAATACTACTTTACATACAATAGGAATCATTAAGAACTGAATGGTATTCTGTAAGTAGAATCGTTCTAAAAGAAATTGATGCTTTTTTAACACGATACTTTGGATAGGAAATCAATTCATTATGTCAAACAAACCAGTGAACACGAAGACAGCAACGAGAAAAGAAAAGAGCGTTTTTCCATTGGAATATAAGTAATCCAATTGCCAAGTACTTGGAAAAATAAAACGACGGAGAAAAAAACGAGCCATCTTGTCAAACACAAGTCTTTATTTGCTAAAATTGTTTTTTCTATATTGTTTCCCTTTCACGGAATGAAGGAATACGATGGTACTTGGAGCAACGATCTCTCCACAGTTGTCAAAGTGGGCTTGGTGATCATGAACCACTGTGCATGCAGTTCATGAATAATACTCACAGAGAATTCTTAAATGTTAGGTTCAAAACTAGCAAGGCTTCCCCGACAGTTTGTACGGTCCAGTACCGTAACGGGGACGATTAATCCGAACCTACGTCCTAAGATTTCTAATTACACTCCCTCTTGTTCTGCTAGTTCTTCCGGCGTGCAGAACACCGTAGGGGGATCGTTTTACTGCATTCCTGAGTCTGCCAGGTAGTGTGTTTGGGAGTGGGGTGATCGGTAGTTACCCGGAAATGGTGGGCTACGCTTCCGTTGGAATGGGAAGTCTTCACCATTCAGGAATTGTGCACCACAGTCCGGTTGACATCAATTCTTTGAAAAAGACAAAGGATGACATTCTGAAGTCGATGTCACTGATCAGCAAATCAGGAGGGGACATTGAAGAGCAGATTCATGAACTCCTTTCGCTTCCTTGCGAGTTGGATATTCGTGACTATACGAAAGCGATCCAGAGCTGCAGCAACATCCGCCACCTATCTATGCTGATGAACGAGCTTCGAAGTCGTGGATTAGTGCCTGATCTTCTCTTCTACAATGTGTACTTGAAGAAGTGCGAAGATTTCCGAGAGAAGGAAGAGGCGTTTCACACCTATCGCCAACTCCTCGCGGACCACGTCCACCCCGATAAGCACACGATCATTGTGCTCATCCGCTGCTGCCTGCAGGCGGGTAGCGTTTTCGAGGCGGAGAGAGTGTTGAACGATGCCTTTTCGCTCCACATCGAAGTGAACAGCTACATGTACAATCTGCTGATCGACTTCTACGCCCGCCGCGCGGAGCCATCCGAAGCATTCCGTCTCCGCGCCCAGATGGCGGGCCACAACATCCGTCCTGACGAGTACACGGTGTCCTCGCTGATGGCTGCGTGCTGCCCCACGCTGCCCTCGCAGAGCGACTTGCTCTCGCTTCTGGAGGACGTCCGCTCCGCGCCGCTGCCCGCGCGGCCCGTGTGCGTCAGCGCGCTGTTCTCGGGGATCGCCAAGGCGCCCCATCTGGAGAACCACCAGAAGCTACGCGTGATCGGGCTGTTCTTCGAGGCGCTGCGCGCGCGCGGGTTCGTGCTGGGGCAGCACGCGTACACCTCGCTGATGACGTGCTGCGCGAAGGTGGGCGCGCTGGCGCAGGCGCGGGAATATCTCCGCGACATGGAGAAGACGGGCGTGGAGCCGAACCAGTACATCCTCACCGCGTTCCTGAGCACTTGCTCGAAGGCGAAGGACTACGAGACCGCGCTGCACGTGTTCAACTTCATGCGGAGCAACGAGCGCTCCTGCCGGCCCAACAAGTACACCTACGAGGCCATGCTGGTCGCGGCGGGCAATGCCGGGCAGCTCGCCGACGCCTTCCAGATCTACAGCGACATGCTGGAGGAGGGCATCGTCCCGGACACCTCCACCTTCGCGCGGCTGCTCATCGTCTGCGGGCTCTGCGGCGACCTCGCGCGCGGCCTGCAGCTGCAGGCGGAGTTCACGCGGCGCGGGCTGCCGCGGTCGTCGTTCTACTACCACGCTCTGATCGACCTGTACTCGCGCTGCCACCAGCTGGGCCCCGCGCTCGCCGTGCTCGAGGAGATGAAGCGAGGCGGCGCCGTGGAGGCGTCGCGCTACCACTACGAGCCCATCGTCCGGCTGCTCGTCGAGGAGCGGCAGTGGGACCAGATCGACTCGCTCCTCGCCTCCTGGGCCGACATCTCCCCCTCCACGCTCCAGTTCCTCCTGCTGAGCAGCTACCGCCAGTCGCTTTGGCCCCGCGTCCTGCGCTACGACGCGCAGATGCGCGCGCACGGCATCCGGCCCCCCGTTGCTCTCGCCGCCCTCGCCGACCAGGCGCGCGCCGCTCTCCACGACGAGGCCTCCGTTTCCACGGTTTCCACGATTTCTCCTGGATCCACGATGACGCCGATAACCCCGGTAACCCCGATTTCGCCGGTGACGCCGCGAACCCCGCGGGGAGAAGGGGGAAACGGGCTGCAGTTTTTGGAGGGAAAAGTGCAGTCGATCCCGGAGTTTGTGCCGATGCACTTGCGCAGAACGACGCGGCCGATGTTTTTGGAGTCCGCTTCGTTGTTTTATCCGTCGGTTGCGTCGTGGAAGGCCAATTCGGTGGCGGAGGAAGTGCTGTTCGGGACAGAGCCGATGATGAACCTGGATGATGTCGAGATGAATTTTTCAAACTTTGACTTGTTGAATGAATTTGATAATACTATGTATTGAGGATTAACGTAATTGCTCGGGCTTGTTTGTTCAATAAGCAAGGGAGGGGGAGAGGAGTGAAAGAAGAAGGCTTGATGGTTGTGTGGATAGATGTGATTTCGTTGTGTTTGTGTGTGTGTAATAGAATCACCGATTCTTCTGTTATGTACCTGGAATCATAAGAGCGGCCCACGCAGAGTTCTGTTTATTTTTCATATATATATATATATATATATATTGCTACCAAACATCCATTTCGAAGAAAAATGCACACAGAAAAAATAGATCAAACAAACACGCCACTCTCGAGCTAAACAACCAGGACAGTGGAAAATATTATCATGAACAAACGCGTCACACGTCTGACAGAAGTACTTCATGCACTTCGGACACTGCAAGCAAATCTCTCCCTCTTTAATCACCGAACAGCACCCGTAGCACGTTCTACTCCTTCGATCCAGCCCCCATCCCTTACATTCCAGGCTTATGATCATTACATTCCTCAAAGTTCTTCGGAGGGAACAAATGATGATACGACTGTGTGAGGTGCGTGTAGTCCACCAACATCAGCATGCAAACGGGGCATCGAACCGGCAATTCGCACACGTAGCTCCGACATCGCGGACATTCATAGAATTTACTACAGAACCGAACGTGGCAAGCGCAAATATGCGATAGCTGAACGTTATTCTATGCAGCGGACACAACGTTATCCTCTTCCTTCTGTACAGGAAATCCCATCTCGCAGATTTCCCTGTGAGTCACCGTAGCGCCATCTTCGCGCTTCACTAAAACGATTGGATCGCTATTAATCGGAGGAGAGATGTGCTGAGAGAAAAAATGATGCACTTGCTGTGGGTCTTCGGGCACCGCGAAAATGCCCGAAGTGATCTGTGCGAGCTTCTGGAACAAGTAGACTTCGCCAGAAAGACTCATGACAGAACATTGAATGTGCTACGTCTCAAGAGTGAGGAAGTGCGAACTTTTTCTTGAATTATGGAGATTGTTTTGTATATATCGCGGGGATCGCACGTGCTGATGGAAGATATGAGACAGATGATCTCTTTTGCGAACTGTGAGGGCGCAAGTTCCATTGTCTTTATGGCTATGTCTAGACTCAGCTGGAGCGAAAACTTCCCGCTGCAGGTCAACTTGTCCAGAGCATTCAGATGTTCCTTCATGTGTCGTGACAGAGGGGTAAGTTGAAACGCTCTACGATCATGGGACACAATAATGCAGAGAGAAGACAACGAGTTGTGATAAAAGAAATCTCGGATGAACTGCTTCAGCTGCGACACCACCACTTCCAACCTCGATGGTTTTAAGTCCGCATCGTTCATTGTATACGAGAGATCCAAAACCACTGCGAGACTTCGAAATATTTTGCGCTGAACCGGATAATCAATTCGATTTTTCCGTTCTTCACGATCTAGCTTTTGAAATACTTCCGAGTCCCTAGCGATTAAGGATAAGTCCCTAAATACGCACTCTATTATGTCCTTCTCGTTCTCATCATCTTCAATTTCCCACTTATTCACGTACTCGCGCTCCCAAGAAAACTCCGTGATTTCCACTACAACTAACACTTCCCTTCTCTCTTCCTGCCTTCCTTCTCTTCCTCCATCGACCCAACTTCAACTCAATATATATATTAAAAATGATCAATGGGTAGTAAAAAAACGCCCGAATTTTGGAAAGTTGAGAAGAATGAAACAAACAACCCAAAAACAAAACAAGACAAAACAAGACAAAACAAACGAGCTACTCCGATCCGTCTGACTTTCTCCACAGAATGATCTCCTGTTGTTTAAAGAATCTGCAATCGTTCATATCCACCAACACCAAGTTAATGAAGTACTACACCATGCTAGCCCTTCCTCCTTCCCTACTTTCACCGAAAACAACTTCAGCACGTTGTTGAGCGTCGGCGTGAGCGCCAGTTCGTACGGCTTCAGGTAGAAGCGAACCGGGATGATTTCGTCTCTCACCGGCATGCCGTCCATAATCTCGTATTTCGCAATGGTTTCAGACTCCACAACCTCCTTATCGCCCTTTCCGACGTATTCCTTCTGGATGATCTCGATGTCCATGTGTTTGATCTTGATGCGCGCAAGGATGAAATGAATGGTTCCCGTGATTACATCGCCTAAATGGTACTTCTCCTTGTCGTATTGGAATTCGATATGCAAACAATCCTCGATGCCCACCTCCATCTTAATGTCGCGGTTCGAACTCGGCTCTTTGTCCTTTCGAAGCACCCAGATGTCCTTCTCTTCCGTCAGCATCGGACCAAACGCTTTGCTGATTTCTATGCGGAGGTAGTAACGAATGCGGACATTCACTCCGTAGTAGCTCTCGTACTTCTTCGAGACCTTCTTAAACGCGAATTTTAACGACTACTCATCATTCTGCAGTCACATATCTACTTTCTTGCCCATTATGACGCCCGGTTTCTCTAAATCTTTCTCCTCGTTTACAAACTCAGTCACATCCGTTCCAGTCTTGTAGTCAATCACACAGCCAATAAGTTTAATTAACACGCCTGTGTGCTCCAAGCGGGTTCCCTTAGGACAACGAATCTTGACAGTACCCGAGATATCGTCCTTTGCCTACATATAAAATGCATTTCCGAATGATTTCCTACACTGACAATGGGGAAATCAAATGATTGCCCATTTTGCAACTCCAGATGGTAAGCACTCATGTCTTTCTCATCATGAAGCTGGATCTTGATTTCAACTCCCTTCTTACTTCCGAATAGTCCATTCAAAAAATCCTAAGTGATCACTTTCTTCGATGATTGTCGTACCATAGCTATTTACAGTGATTCCACCACTAGATGAAAGTAGAACTCTATTTATAAATATATCACAGCCATATCGTACAATATCGAGGCAGTTATGAAGAATAGAATGAAGCATAAGAACCGCGGGTATTGTAGAACAAAAATAGTATCATATCTTTTCACATCGTGCTTTATTACTAAGTCTTTTAGTGTTATGCAGTGTATCTGCACAAATACAATCATAGCAGCAAACACAAACCTTTCCACTTTTTTTCGCATAGGCAAAAACTGTCAATTCAAATACTTTCCATTGTCACAATGCCACGAGAAATGATTTCGATCCAGACGGGCCAATGTGGGAATCAGGGTGCGTGAAATAGAGTTGACTAACGTGTAGTTGGCTTTGAGTTCTGGAAGAGAATGTGCAGTGAACATGGCATCGGGCCCGATGGAGTGTTGCAACAATTTGCGCAAGATAGTATCGATAGGAAGGATGTGTTCTTTTATCAAGTTTCTAAGTTTACCACTGATTTGACAAAATAGGCCGATGATGATCACTACATTCCGAGAGCGATTCTACTCGATCTTGAACCAAAGGTCATCGAAACGATTCAGGAGTCTGAATATCGTCATCTCTTCAATCCTGAAAATATGTTTCCGCTTGTATTTTTCATTATTCGCAGATATGTACCAAAAGAAGGCTCTGGGGCTGGAAACAACTGGGGAGTCGGATATTCCCAGTCGGACAAGCATAGCGACGAGCTTTTAGATATTATTACACGCGAAGCAGAAGATTGCGATAATTTCGAGGTATTGCTGAGCGATTTTTTATTTATTTTGCAGGGTTTTATGCTCACTCACTCCATCGCTGGAGGCACTGGATCTGGAATGGGGTCCTACTTGCTCGAACATCTCAAAGATGCCTTTCCTCACAAGTTTATTCAGACCTATTCAGTGTTTCCGGGCATGAAAGAGTCTTCCGATGTGGTGACGCAGCCCTACAACAGCATCCTGGCTCTTTCCCGCCTCACGGAGTTCGCGGACTGTACAGTGGTTCTTGATAATACATCCCTCAATTCCATCGTGGCCGAGCAGAGCAACGCGGGCAGTTTCCCCATCTCCCAAATCAACGCGTTGGTGTCAAACGTTCTATCGGTGTCGACCTCGACGCTTCGCTATCCTGGCTATGTAAACAGCGATTTTGTGAGCATGATGTCCGGATTGGTGGCTTCGCCGCGTCTTCATTATCTCATTACCGCGTACACGCCGCTCGTCGAGAGCTCGCTGCAGGCCAGCACGGTGCGGAAGACGAGCGTGTACGACGTGCAGCGACGATTGCTGCAGAATAAAAACCTGATGGCGGCGGTGAACACGCGGAAAGGCGTGTATTTGAGCGCGCTCCACGTGATTCAAGGCGACGTGGACGCGTCTGAAATTCATTCGTCGCTCCAACGAATCCGAGAGCAAGAGTTGGCGCGGTTTATCCCGTGGGGACCCAACTCGATTCAGGTGGTCTTGGCGAAGCGGAGCCCGTTTGTGCCGGCTGCGTCGCGCGTTTCGGGGCTGATGATCGCGAATCATAGCGAAGTGGGATCGGTACGAAGCGGTTTTTGGAGTGAGACGCAGATTTTTAAGCAGATCGGATCGCAGTTCGATCGGTCGTTCGCTCGCAAGGCGTATCTGCACAACTATCTGAATCTGCCGCTGTTTAACGGAGAGGACGCGGAGTTCAAAGAGTGTCGCGAAGTCGTGCGCGAAGTCGTGGAGGAGTACGAGCAGGTGCAGAACGATTCGTATTTGCAATGGCTGCGAGGCCAGAATTGGATTGTTTGTTTTTCAGGAAACACGACAAAGTACAATCACTGCATTCTACGCATTTCCTCGCGGATCCGACGCATTCGCTCTTCCTGCTCCGCTTCTTTCTTCGTCTTCTCGCTTTCGCCCGTTCCCTGTCCTTCTTCTCCATCGTCCTTCCCTCGATTATCATGATTTTTGTATGCAACGTTCTCAGAGTTCCCAGGATTCTTAGGGTTCTCAGAACTCGCAGAGCTCGCAGAGCTTGCAGGATGGCTGGGTTCGGTGGGAATTGCCGAGGTCGTCGGATTGGCCGAGCGATCCACCGGCGAGGACGCCTCGGCTTTCTCGTCCCCCGTGGTTTTCCGAGCCTCGTGCTGCTGCCGAATCGATCCCAGCTGATTGCGGAGATACCGCGTCGCCGAGAAGTCCCCGCTCCCCGCGGGGGAGGCCAGCATCTGATTGGCGGAGCGCAGAATCTCGGCGAAGGAAAAGGACGAAGCAGAGGCGGAGGCGACGGGCTCCAGAATAGTGAGGCAAATATTGACGTCGCTGCGCAGCGTGGGGTGCAGCCCGTCGGGCAAATGGCTCCGCACCTCCGCCACGCACTGCTTGCGCTGCTCGTCGGAGAGCAGGCTGCTCTTGGCTTCGCTGTTGGCGCGGTCGCGGACGCGCTGAAGGAGCCGGTCGAGGAGGAGGATCAGCGAGTCGAGGTCGGATTGCTGCTCGATGAAGCGCACCAGACCCACGAAAAGGGTCGGGAGAAACACGCAGTCGAGGAGTCTAGAAATCAAAACCCGGCTACACGCAGCACTGGAGAAGCAATTGCTGGAAGACCGACCGGATGGAGGGCGTTTCGTCGAGAGAGACGGGCTGGCTGAGCCCGGCGATGAAGGTGCGGAGGAGCTTGCAGACGGTCTGCGAGGTGAGATTGGAGCGCGTCGCGCATTTCAGCAGCAGCGTGGTCGCGTTGACGAGATTCTGCACGATCTCCAGCTCCATCGACGCGTCCGTTCCGCTCAGAATCGCCTCCAACACATCGCTCACCACGCACAGCACGCAATCTAAATGCTCCTCCAGCTCGCTCACCGCGGTTCTCGGCGGCTCGCTCGCCCCCGCCGGCTCGATCGTCACCGCGGAACGGTCGCACAGCCCGCAAATCTCCGCACACGCCTCGACCGCCTTGCAGTACTGATGATTGAACTGCTCGTGCAGCCGCATCACGTGCTCCGAACTCTGCAGAACCCCCAGCAGATCCCCGAAACGCCCGATCCACCGCGCCACCACCGACGTTTCCGAGCGAAACGCCTGCTTCGGACCGCGGAAATTCTCCAGTTCCGCGCGCGTCAGCAGCGTCCCGGACCGCGTCAGCAGCCCCGTCGCCCAGCCCGCGCAGCGCACGCTCGGCGTGGGCAGCTGCACGCCGTCCCCCACCGAACCCGTGCGGCCGTTTCCGAGCGAAACGCCCGCGCTCATCGGCTCCCCCGCGGGACTCGGCTCGATCTCCATCCGCTCTGGTTCTCTCCTTTCCGTCGTTTCCACGGTTTCCACGGTTTCCACGGTTTGGGGGAGAGGGGAGGCCTGGCGGCCTCGCTGTTTGAGCGGGGGAAGCGGCTTGGGGATGCTCGAAACGGCCTGGCGTTTCATCGTGGAAGCGATCGACGCAGCGGGGCGTTTGCTCAGCACGCGCGCGCCCGGACGATTCGCGAGCGCCTGGCGGCGCGCCTCGGTGAGTTTCCCCTTTTCCTCGGTCTGCGCGGGAGAGGAGGCTGCGATTCCCGCGGGTTTGGGCGTGTCGGCGGGCGCGGCGCAGTCGGCCCAGAGCGGCTCCCAGACGGTCTGGAGCGTGCGGAGATCGGCGGGCTTGTGGGCGCGGATGCGGTCCTCGACGAGAGAGCGCGTACACTTGGGCGCGATGGCCTTGCAGGCGTGGAGGGCGAGGGACCGGACCTCGGGCGTGCGGTCGAGAAGGCAGTCGAGGAGGTCCGGGAGAAGCAGAGAGGCGGCACGTGAATCGAGGGGAGCGAGGAGAGGAAGGAGCCAGCGAAGAAGAGCGGGGCGGGCTTTGGGGTTGCGGAAGGCGGGGAGGAGATGAGGGAGCGCGGGGCCGAGAGAGTTGAGGGAGTCGTGGAGAACCCAGCGCGTGAGCGCGGAGTAGAGCGACTCGATGACGTTTTTGTTGGAGTCGATGGTGGATTTGACGAGCTCGGGGAGCAGCATCGCGTTGTATTTGGCGACTTCCGCGCCGAGCGACTCGGCGAACTGCCCGATGCATTGCAGCACGCGCGCACGGAAGTTCAGATTCGACTCGCTGAGCCGGTCCTTCAGCACCGACATCGCATCGCTCACCGCTTTATTATTCACGACTCGGAGCTTCTGCTTCACCAGCGCGGTCAGATCCAGCACGGCTTGCTGCCGTCGCTTCCAGCTGTCCTTCCCGTCCACGTCCTGCATCGCGCGCAGCAGCGGACCCATCTCGCTCGACAGATCCGCCGCCTCCACCAGATCCGAGAGCGAGATCGTCGCTCCCGCCGAGCCGGGCTTGGACTGACTCGCAGCCCCGCGGGGGGACGAGCCGGCGAGGGACTGCGAGCCGGTTGGGCGGGCGGGAGCGTAGCGGTCGGCGAGGTGAGGATCGAAAGGCGCCTCGTCGAGACTGGTCATCACGGTTTTGAGGAGCAGATCGTTGAGGCCGCACTGCTGGATGAGGGCGCGCACGACGTCTCCGAGCTGGCGATGCAGCGCGCAGACCAACTCGATGCTCTGCTTCTTCACTTCGGGATTCGTGCTCAGCAAACCCTTCTCTCCCTGCACGTAGCTCAGAAGACTCTTCAGATCGATCGCGGAGGCGCCAAAGGCGCCCACCAGCTGCTGGAAGAGCGAAAGGACGGAGACTTGCTGCGCGGGAATCCGGGAATTCTGCATGCCCATGATGAGTGTGCTGATGATCACGTTGGGACCAACGCCTTCGGCGCAGAGGAGAAGCACACTGCTAATATCGGATGAAAGCTTCTTGTCGTGGATCTAACCTGGATAGACGGAGGAAAACAATACTTTCGGGAGAAGCGAAGTTGTAATGGTCGAAACCATGCGAGGACCTGCTCCGCATGCCTCTATGATTGTTTTCACACACTCTAAACTGCACTTGAGAATGTTGATATTGGCAGCTTTAAAGTTTCGGGAAAACGACATGGCAAAAACAATTGCTGCCTCTTTGCAAGCTTCATGCTGCTTCCCCGTGCTCTTAATAAACTGTGCAAACTCATCCATAGCTTTCACTTTCTCCTTCCAATTTGGGTCTTTGTCGATTATCTCCTTCATTGCCATAAAGTTTGGGTAGATTTGAGACAACTATGTTTCAAAAGCACATCCAACGCACACCTTTGGAATCGCATCATCTAAAGTACACTGTGCATCCGAGTCTTTGTAGGGAGGCGATCGAACTCTTCGTACCTCAATCGAAACTAAATATTAGCATCAATTTCATGTTTCGTACCAGGTTCGTCACTAGGTTTCTTTGTTGGTTCAGGAGCAGGAGCCGACTCTTTCGATTTTGCCATCGAGGCAAACCGTGGGGGCGGTCCGCGACTCCTTGGCTTTTCAGAAGGATCTGAGAAATCAATCGTTATCTCCATTCTGAAAAAGGTGTTTGAAAATAGGGAGTTTCGAGTTGGCTGACTTTTTGGAATTCCTGAAAACGATGCGATTCATAACAAATGCAATTTCTCATCAACCATGGGATTTGTAGCCCATCAGTACCACAAGAAGATCATAAAACTCGCAAAGGGTTACCGTGGACGACAAAAGAATTGTTATCGAATTGCCATTCGCAGTGTTATCAAAGCGCAGGCCAGATCGTATTTCTAATGAATTATTGTGATCTGCAGCTATGTTGGAAGAAAACTGAAAAAGAGAGATATGCGTTCGCTGTGGATCCAGCGAATTAATGTATTACTTCGCCGATTCTGGTTAACTTTAGGCCGCATCGCGACTCTTTGGTACAAACTACAACCATCTGATAAACAAGGAGAAAAAGGCAGGAATTGCCATAAACAGAAAAATGTTGGCTGAATTAGCCGTGACTGTGAGATACTGAAGTTTTTTTAATGATCCATAGGAACCCTGCTCTTTTAATTCTCTTGTGCTAGCCTTCGATGTGATTGAGAAGATGGGATTGAGCGATCCTGTCGCAGCTGCAAAGGAGGCCATGTCCAAACTTCCCGACCACGCCCCTGTTAACGATATTCAAACCGTCCTAGATGAGATGAACAAGCTTTCCCTTTCCCCTGTTTGTTACAAACAAACACATCCAATAAAAGATCAAAAATTCAGTTTCTCAATCGAGTAAATCGGCTGGGCAGTCACCGGCAGCGGCAGATGGCGTCTAGATATCACACGAATTGGCCCATCGCTTACTCCAAATGCTTCATTACGCCCTTCAAGGGCAGCAAGTCCGTGTAGATCTTTCCGTCTCGCTCTGTGATCGTTCGCAGAATGCCCAGCAGACTACGCCTCAATTCCCGGCCGTTCGCTCACTCCACAAATCGCGGATTGGACTTCATATCGAAGATAATCCGGGTTGTATTCGCGTCCAGGAGGCAATCGATCCACATAAACAACGCGGGAGTGTAGTCATTCTTCACCTTCAAATCGTGCTTCTTCCAAAGCGCGTCGTTTCCTTTGCTCGCACAGCCCAAATTCACCTCCAACATCTACGAATCAGCCCTCCTTCGAGCCCAAACCAAACAGCACAGCGCGATGGAATACACGACGTCCAGATCGAGCTGTCCCAACTCCTGTCGCAGCCGATTGCTATCGCACTGAACGCACAGAATCCGAACGCTCATCACCGTTATGAATCTGAAAAAAAGAACCGACAGCAGCGAAGCCTACTTTCGACGAAGCTCGTAAGGCTTCTTCTCTTTCCACTCACACCACGCAGCAAACTGCGAAATCATTTCCTTGTCCACAGCGAGGCAGTATCTCCAGATCTTGATCAGATCCGGCTCGGAGATAAACGAAGCGAACTGGAGATAAAAGAGCAGCGTCACCAAGTCCTTAGCTTCGAGAATCGCTTCGAGAATGTTCGGATTGACCGAGATATCGACGCCGCTTCGGATCAATTTCTGCAAGACCGACGATAGAATGGAGCCATTCGGCAGAATGCAGCGCCCAATGAATCGCTGCAGGAACTCGCTCGACAGCGAAACCACCGAGTGATTCGCAGCCACGCGCGCGCTGATAAATTCCAGCGCCTTCGCCTCGAACTCGCTCTCCGTTTCCTTCAGCACCGCCTCTTCCTCCTTCGAAAACGAATCAGCATCGGCCATCCAGTTCTTCCATTCCTCGCCCTCCCGGATTCCGAACGGCATTTCCGACACCGTTCGCTCCACCGAACGCACCTGCGAGTCCACGTGCAGTCGCTTGCTGGCGTGCGCCAGCGGCTCTCCCGCGTGGCGGATCACATCCTTCAACGAGAGCGCCGAGATCGACACTTCCGAGAAGAACAGGCTCCCTTTCACCAGCAGAAAGAGCCGGTTTCGATGCAGTACGATCTCGGACGGCACCGCGGGCAGCTCCATCGATGCGATTTCGTTCAGCAGCTCGGCGTGAAGGAAGTGCAGCCGCGCTTTCGCGCCTTCTTCCAGCGCCACCGCGACGCAGCGATCGCCCAGCGAGCCCAGGCAGGCTCTACGCTTCGATGGAGCCGCGCCGGACGCGTCGAGCGCCGGAATGGACTGCTGCGGAACCAGCATGTAATGGCCGAGCTGCGGGTCGGGACGGAGAAGAAACCGGTGGAGGGAGAAGTCGTGGAGAAGTAGCCAGACCGCGCTCAAGGAGGGGGAGTAAAGAAGGGCTGCAGGGGCGTGGGGCTGGGGCTGGGGCGGAAGAGGCGCGTAGACGAGCTTGAGAGTGGGCTTGGAAGCGTAGTGACATTGGATGATTGCGATCGAAAAACTAGGTGGCAGGAAGGGAGAGGCACTACGAGTCGGCCTTCTGAAGGAGGAAACAAATGGAGCAGCTGGTGTTACTCGGCTTTTTAATATCGAATTTTAGAATTTGGTCGAAAGCAGGCAGATCAAGGTGTTCCAGCTCCTCAAGCTTTGGAGAAAGTCTAGACGTTACAAACCACTGTAGATTCGCACATATAACAAATTCCGATTTTAGATACACGTAATAAATATCCCCCTATGGGTATTAACAGCAAAGTGGCATCTTTGATCTATTCTGTTATAAACAGGAATAAAAGCACACTTTGGATGTTGTGAAGGACTTTGCAGAGGGACTGCTACTCTTCCAGTTCAAAACGGTTGTTTCTCCTTGACAAGCCACGAGGCCTCTACAAATGATTCCCAACTAAGAAGAAAAATACCCATTGTCGTTAACTAAATAAGCAGGAGAGGTGATACACTCCTGCTTATTTGTTGGAAATGTCCATGTTGCGATAATATTCTTGGCAACCATTGAATACAGATTGATTGCCGAAGACGATGAAATAACAGCACATTCGCCACTACCAGGAACCGTTCCGATTGTAACTCCAATAACATCAGAATTCCCTTCTAGGATCTTTACAGGTGCTGATACTTCCATCTTTTAAAAAGTTGAATGGCTTTTTGAGTACAATATTACAAATTGCACTCTTTCATAGTATAGAACAAACACACAAAGCAGACATCTTTAATACAACTTAGTAATGCATCCTGATGTTTACTTATTAGCCTTCTTCGCCTTGCGGTTCTTAATCTCACTACATGGTACACTCCACCAAAAAAGTACGCAAGAATAGCCTCGCGAGACTTGTTTCTAATCTCGGTCTTCTGGTCTCTCTTCTTCTGGATATCACTCACAGACATTCCAGCAATGGCCTTCTGAACCTTGAAAGACTTGCGGCTACGGCGCTTGCTCTTCTCTGTCGCCTAAATAAAACCGGAACTTTGGCATAATATACCTCTGCCTTCTTGTTATTGCGTCTCCAAGCAGTAGTCCATCGAATACGAGCGGGCTTCTTCTTCTGAGATCCAAGAGAGCAGCACTTGTGATTAAGGAAGTGAACGGGCTAAAGATTACGTTAATCCTGCTCGAGCTACCTGTCCATCCTTGCGAATGTACATACCTCCGTGTCCGGGGTAAATTTTGTACTCAGAGAAAGAGCAGGTAAGTGTTCTACGAGAAGTTAGATTTTCCCAACCAACTCCACTCCAAATCATATATCACTTAGGAAACGATACCTACTTCACGACCATCTCTAATTATATATTAAAGAACGTCTTTTTAGATTGGAAACCAGTGGTGTTATTTTGTGCGTGTTCAGTTATTTTCTTGATAATCATGCATTTAGAGTATTACGAGGCAAACATTTATTTATTTCACAAACACGGAACTTCATCTTCTTTTGAAACCTAATCTTTGGAATCGTCAACTTCGGATGCGTCTCGGTAGGAGCGCCTATTGATTTCACTACACACAAATCTCCATACCTGTATTACTTTGGGGATTTACACCTTCACGATTACCACTAGGCTGGTTTTCATGGGAATCACTATATATTACACAAAATGTCTGGAAATAACCTATTTCCGGTTTTTCTAAATATTATTAGAAATAACTATACATACCGAACACTCTCAGCAGAGGGAGGAACAATTTCGGGTGTAGGAGGGACAGCAGCATCAGGTTCAGGAGGGACAACCTCGGGCTTAGGAGGTACAATTTCAGGTTTAGGAGGAACAACTTCGGGACTGGGAGGAACAGGAACAACTTCGGGTTTAGGAGGAACGATTTCAGGTTTAGGAGGAACAACTTCGGGTTTAGGAGGAACGATTTCAGGTTTAGGAGGAACAACTTCGGGTTTAGGAGGAACGATTTCAGGTTTAGGAGGAACAACTTCGGGTTTAGGAGGAACAACTTCGGGCTTAGGAGGAACAGGAACAGCAGCTTCGGGCTTGGGAGGAATGGCTTTATGTTTAGTAAATGGGCGAATAGGTTTGGGAGCCACAGCGGGCTTTGCAAAATTCTTTTCCACAGGCAGATTTGAAGAAGAGCTATCCAAATGAGACCTGGAATCTGTTGAAGAAATTGCATTGGTACTAGTTTCAGAAGAAGACAAACTTGCTATGGATAAAGAAGAATTAGAACTAAGTCTAGTTCGTGTAGGTCTTTCAGTTGTATCTTCCTTACCCACTTTCTTGAATTTCCCTCGTGATCCATCATCAATATCATATGTATTCGGTATCTTATATTTATCTACAAGTCAAGTAACTAATATTGTAAATACCGTTAATATCGTTCACAGTATCGAATTCGGATGGCTTTTCTTTAGAGTCTGATGCTTTTGTATGATGTTTCGACATCAAGGGATCTGTAGTAACTGTGTTGCTCACGTTTTGCGTAGCATCTTGCTGAATTGTCTCTGCTGCATTCTTATTTGAAGCAAGTTTATGCCGCCGATTAATTCTAAGTGATTTTTTATCTAGCGAAGTATCTTTTACAAATATACTTCCTCCCATATTACCTCTATTTGGATGAGATGAAGGATTTGAAGTTGTGAGAGGAACCATATCAGGATTTGGAGGAGGAGAATAAGAAGTCGCATGAATTTCAGGAATATCCACTTTTGGCACATCATAAACATTCATTTTCACTGATTGTAGTGGTGGTTGTTCTATAGGAGGAACAGCAGCATCAGGTTTAGGAGGAACAGGAGCATCAGGTTTAGGAGGAACAGGAGCATCAGGTTTAGGAGGAACAGGAGCATCAGGTTTAGGAGGAACAGGAGCATCAGGTTTAGGAGGAACAGGAGCATCAGGTTTAGGAGGAACAGCAGCATCAGGTTTAGGAGGAACAGGAGCATCAGGTTTAGGAGGAACAGGAGCATCAGGTTTAGGAGGAACAGGAACATCAGGTTTAGGAGGAACAGGAACATCAGGTTTAGGAGGAACAGCAGCATCAGGTTTAGGAGGAACAGGAGCATCAGGTTTAGGAGGAACAGGAACATCAGGTTTAGGAGGAACAGGAACATCAGGTTTAGGAGGAACAGGAACATCAGGTTTAGGAGGAACAGGAGCATCAGGTTTAGGAGGAACAGGAGCATCAGGTTTAGGAGGAACAGGAGCATCAGGTTTAGGAGGAACAGCAGCATCAGGTTTAGGAGGAACAGCAGCATCAGGTTTAGGAGGAACAGCAGCATCAGGTTTAGGAGGAACAGGAGCATCAGGTTTAGGAGGAACAGGAGCATCAGGTTTAGGAGGAACAATTTCGGACTTAAAAGGAGGAAGCGATTGAGAAGTCGAATGAATATCAGAACTGTTTGTATTGTCTGTCACCTTGTTTTGTGGTTTTAGAGAAACCGCTGCTAGGTCTGATATTGCTTGACACTCGCCAGAAATAGGACTGTCGCCTGGATGATTGTGTACATCCGTAGTTTGTGGCTCGGGTGACGGAGTTCGGGATCTTGAGTGTTTCGATGGAGATCGAGATGTAGATATTGATTCTTCAGTAGGACTACGTGGCTTGGGCGACGGAGTTCGAGACCTCGGTGGGACTCTAGGAATGGGTGGTAAATCTGTTGGTTCGCGCTTATATGGTGGATTGGAGTTATTATCTACCGGAGGAATTGGAGGCGGTTCTGGCGTGAGATTAGCAGATCGGCGCTTGGTTGGCATATGCATTGGATTTCCATGACTGTCGTAAGAGTCGGCTGAGAAACTGGTAAGGCAATATCCTTTCTTCAGAGAAAAGCGAGAGTATTTGCTTAGACTATTAGCCTTTTCCAGGGGAGTTATTGGATCGTTCCCCGTAAGCATACTATCAGTATCCTTTCCGACTTTGAACTACAGAAAAACCATTGAAACCATACATACTTCCATAGGCTGCGAAATACTTACATCGATCCTCACTTTCCTATCTTTCTACACTTTACTTAAGCAGACTGATTCAAACCTTGAATATATCTTTCCAACTCCATCTTTTCGTTTGTTTTTCCGATACTTGCTCCTCTTCAGTTACGGGAATAGCAAGCTCTTGTCCTATTCCTTTGACCTATACTTTGAAATGATTCTATTTACTTACTCCATAATAGAAAGTTTCAGCATCGTTCGCATAAGGAAAAACAAAGCAAAAAGACACATCCCTGTGTGGCATAACGTAGCAGCGGTCTCCGAACTTAATTGGTTCTTCCATATTATTAGGGAACTCGAGCGCAAGTTCAACATCAAAAGTCTAAAGATAAGAATCTGCTTAAAATATAATGCATTATAATCAAACAGCAGGCCGATATAGATTTGGCGACCCTTTATTTGACTACGGACAATGATTCCGGCAAAATAGCCCATTATATTATAATCGATCCACCCGCCTAGATTCTTAGTATTCTGCGATGTATCCGTACCTTCTGGTTTTGAGAATAACACACGGCAAAAAGTAACAAACATTCGGCTTGATACCTTTCCCAATAAGTTATCGATCCTCTTTTTAACTTCTTCTGTTACTAAAGAGTCCATTACAAATAATAACCTGAAAAACGTACGAAAATAAGTCCGTATTTCAGGATATTATGCTTTGAATTGTAGTGATATGCGATTATAAAAATATTAATTTGAAGCAAAGCTTCACAGATCAAGTGGTAACAAAACTCGATTCTACATTTATTATGTTCGTTGTGTACAAGTTATCGAAAATGTTCCTATCTTGAATTTTGTTATATTTTGTTTCCTTTCATTTCAAATGCAGCCTTTATTATCTGTGTTATTAATGTCTGTACTTGATTCGTAAAAACGGCAAGATTTCTGGAATAGGCTCTATTTTCTTTAGGATTTCGTTTCATAAATAAATAAGCATATGGAATCCATATCGCGTGTTAGCTCTCTAAATCGAAACCAGTTTTTTCGTAAATCTGGGGACAGTACTGAAGATCTGCACTATCAAGATCTCAAAGTGATTGAAGAAAGCGGGCTTCCTTATCAATTATCGGATTCACTCAAGATTATTGATGTTTTCCCTTTCCTTTTATTTCTTCCTTATAGAGCGTGAACAGTATTCATGATAGTTTGATCTCGATTTATACAACAAGGGGGGTTGGGAAGCTCATGAAAAAGCACGAAATTACGTTATCTTCTGAAAAGGTCACGAAATGGAAAAGCGCCGAAATAGGAAAGCTGTTGTGGAGTCAGTTGAAGCCGTGTGTGCAAGTCTATCATGCTTTGCAGAGTCTCGAAAAGGCCTTCAGTGATTATCTGAAGGGATTAAACCACAGGTTTTCCACAACGGAAGACACAGTAAATTTTGTACATCGTGAGATACTTTTTAGATAGTTCCGGACCTAATGAAAGATGCTGTGTTGCGAGTTATCGATATTTATGTGATTACCGATCTCGTTTTTGTATCCAATAGTATATCGTCAATATCTAGTCTGGAAAACCCAGCATTATAAGCACTTTCCGTTATTTCGACGGACTCGGATCGATTCGTGACGAGATCACTGGAAATGACGAAAGCCAGGCCATCGCTCACTTTTTGTCGATCGACAGCCATTCCTATTTAAACAAGCTCGTTAAGCTGTTTGCTCCGTTCCGTTTCCAGGAGTTTTTACAGGACTTATGTGATTATATATCTTTTTAACGAGGAAATGTGAGTTTCGTTTATCGATAATGCGTGAATCGGACTCGCGTCGATTTATCCACACCTCCTTCCACCCATTTTATGTATCTTCGCTCTCTGTCGCTTCTATTCTACATAATCGGTTCATAGATCTCGTTTTCTATGATTCGCAGATTCGATTTCCCCGGATCTCTGCATCTTCAAGTCAAAATCAGTCCGATTAGTGGAAATCCAAAAGCAATTCCGCGTCTATCCTTTCATCCCCGTCGAATATGATCTGGTTTACGACGTGTTTGAAGTGCTGCGATTGGCTCCTTCGTGGGAACAAGTCGAGGGAACCAAGCCATACACGATCAAGCAGAGTGAGAAAAGCGTTGTGTTTGATCACGATAAGATCGAACAGAGCATCGTTACCTCCTCGAAAAGAAGATTCACTCCGTGTATCTCGAGTATATCACGTGTGTCGATCTTCTCTCGCAAAAGGAGGGTTTTCCGGTGCGCACGACTTCAGAAGATTCGGTGTATCGCTCGCGAACGAGTAACACGGGCTCGTTCATAACCAAGCACTTCGTTAAGGAGAGCGCGAAAGCTTCGGAAGACGGTTTGAAACACTTCGAGCTGAACGAAGGCGAGAAGGTCTTGCTCCGCGTTTTCCACGCTCTTCGCACGCTTTCTATAGATATCCGTCTTTACGTTTGCCCGATTCGCTCTCTGTGAAATCGTAGTGGGCGTGGAAGTTAATGAATCCAGCGCAGCTCCAAGAGTGCGAAACGTGTCATCAGCGATTCCCTTCTCACCTCTTCGAGGACGAAACACAATGCAAATTCTGCTCGCATGACCGCAAATCGAAGGGAGTCGACGCGGATCTGCTTCCTTTCGCCTGCCGAACGCTGTACAACTTCACCTCCGCGGAGATTTCGCTCTTCCTGCAGTTTTTGATGATGCACCAATCGCTCGCCACGCTGCTGGACGCGCGTTGGAACGAGCTGGAGCGTCTCGCGTACGACTTGGAGTACAGCAGCGTGCAGCAGCTCATCAAAGTCGACGTTCTCTACTGGCTGCACCACGCAGACAAGCAGGGCAAGAAGCTCGCCAAGGAGAAGAACCTTCTGCTCAAGATTCGCGAAGTGGTGTGCGACTGGCTCGGCCAGATGCCTCCCAACCCTTCCAAAGAGTACAAACTGCGGTCCAAGCAGCGCGGCGAACTCGCTGTGGCGTGCATTCAGCGAACCGTGCCGCTCAGCATGTGCCAAGTCGCCATTTGCTCCTTCTTTTAGAACCAGACCATCGTTTTGAACTCGCTTCTCTCCGTTCTCGCCGATCCCGCGGCCACCGCCGTCGTCCAGAAGTTCTTCCCCCGCGGAACTCTCCTCCAAAATGGCGATCTGGATCGGATTCGCGAGCATTTGGAGCTAGTGGAGAGTTGCTCGCAGCTCACCGCGTCGAATCTGTTTCGCGAGCAGTTCGTTTCGCTGTCCTTCCTGGGAATCGAAGAGCGATTGGCGGAGCTGGCGCCGTCGTGGAGTTTCCCGCCCTCCCTCACGCTGCCTCGCATTCTCCACAACTTCTGCATGAAGAAGTGCGTGCAGATCCCCGCGGAACTGCTCACACTGCCCCTCACGATTCTCCACGACGCGTATCTGCATCAGCGGAAAACCACGGCGACGAGCTGGCTGTCGACGGAGTTGGAGCAGCGAATCGGCGATTCGGTGAACGACATCGTTCGCATTCTTTCGCATCAACTCTACAAGGCCAGCAAGACGATCGCCGCGCACGTGGCCCTTCCCGAGCCCATCTCCATCGAGATTCGGCAGCTGAACGTCACGCTCACGCTCGCCGGGCGCTCCGTCAACCTCTACTCCGCGATTCTCCAAGAACTCGCTCGCCTGTACGTCCAGAACGCCGCTTGGATGTAGACTGGAAACCGATTTGGCGTGCGTGTTCGCGCGAATGGAGTGCTGCTCGCTCGACTACTCCATCGAACTCCTCGCTCTCCTCTCGCTTCTCCGAGACACGCACTCCGTTCTCTCCGAATTCGGTTCCTTCGAGCCGTTTTCCTCCATGCTGCGTCGCCACTGCGGCTCCGACAAAGCGATCGGCGGTTCCAACCGACTCACCTCCTGGATCGACCGCCAGCTCGCCCAGCTCCTCGCTCAGTCCGAATACGACGAGCGTCTCCAGCAGTTCTCCCCGCCCCTCTCTCCCACCGCCTTCCCCAAACACGTTTCTCTTCGTTCTCCTTTCTCTCGTAGCCCTCCTACTGCCTCTACGCCTCGTCGGCCATCCGCCAAGCCGTTCTGCCGCAGCCTCCGCCGCGCGCCATTGGACTCGACCAGCTGCTCGCTCTCGACGCCGTCGCGCGGCTCTGCCACGTGCAGTGGCTCCCCTTCACGCTGGCGCGCGTGGAGGACTGGATGGACCAGGCCTTCGGCGTGCTGCGCGCGCAGGTGGTCGCGTGTCCCGCGTTTTCCGTGCCGCGCGAAGAAGACGCCGCCGCGCAGTTCTACCAGATGCGCAAGGCGATGGCGCTGCCCGACGACACGCCGTTCGAGGGCATCGTCGGGCTCTTCGTGCAGCTGGCCAATGCCGCGCAGCTGCTTCGCCTCCTGGAGAACGCGGCAAACCGGCTTCGCCAAACGGACAGCGACGAAACGACCAGCGCGCTGCTGGCGGCGATTCAAACCGCGTGCTCCGCGCAGTCTGCGCAGTCTCCAGCGAAGGGACTGGGCATTGCCGAGTCGGTCGAGCAAAGCCTGCGAGGGCGATTGAATGAGCGGACGATGGAGGTGGCGTGGCGCGTGCCTTTGTTCGCGAAAGCGGCGCAGATGCTGTCGCAGGACGATTTGTTCTGCGAGAAATTGCCGCTTTTTGCGGATCGATTTGTGGTGACGCTGTTTGGGAAGCTGGAGGAGTGGGAGAAAGCGAACGTGGAGAGCGTGATGGGGACGGTGGTGAGCGTGCTGACGTTCTTGCTGATCGTGACGCGCTGCGAGCTGCAGTTTTTCGATGGAGGGGAGTGCATGAAGGTGGGAGAGGCGCGCGGAATGCATCGTAGTTTGTGGCGGATTGCACGGAGAAGGCGGTGAGCGAGGACAAAACGGTGGTAGGAAGCGAGGGAGGGAGATGACGGGCAGAATCAGCACGTGAAGAACTTCGTGGGGTTCGTGGTGTCGCTGCTGAACTCGATCGCTGCGAGTAGCGAGTGGCGCGTGTTCCAGCAAGTGGCGGAGGACATCTACACGGAGTACGCGGTGCAGGAGGACTGGAGCTACCACTCGGAAGTGGTGATTCCTTCCTATGTAAGCGCGGTGGGTTGCAATGAACTGCAGATGTGTCTGGTGCAATCCGCGGAAGCCCAAACGCCTCGTGTGTCTATCTAGCACTTGTTTCTTGCACCAAACAACCATGCCATCGAAAAAACTACACACAACAGTTACAAACATCGAATCCAATCCAAGTAATCCAATCCAATCCATCAGTCCACAACTCTCTTCTTTCTCTCTTCCTTCAAGGCGGCAAGGGCTGCGTCCACTTCTTCGATCGGCTCCGTCGAAACACGTGAATGCTTCGAAAATCGCCCTCGGTGCGCGACGGCGTGTACACATCCACCAGCTCCAAGCCCTCCTCGATCACCTCCATGCCCTCGTACTTCTGCAGGTTCAAATCCGGCACGATGATCAGCGAGCTGAACGACGCGATCTCCGACAGCTCCCTCAGCACGTGGAACCTGCACTCCCCGTCCACCACGATCCGGTTCTCCTTCTTCGAGAAAGCCGGGCAGCCGGGGCACTTCCGCCGTCGCCTCTCCGCGTTCTCGTCGATCGCGTCCGCGTAGAACCGAATATACTCCGCGTACCGCTCGCAGCTCCCGCGCTGCTCCAGCTTCCACACGCTCGGCAGCCGCACGCTCTCGAACGCCGTTCCGTTCTCCTCGCTCCCCGCGGGAGACACCACGCTCTTCGCCTTGCCGCTAGAATCGACCCTCTCCGACACCGCTACTGGAACCACTTGTCCGATAACACCGCTAACAGCGGAGCGGGGTGGAAGTGCCCGCGGGGATGGAACTCGTTCCCCACCAGCGCGCTCCCGAAGTACACGCAGGGCTTCCCTTCTTCGATAAACCGGCTCAGCCAGGCGACTTGCCGCGGGGAAAACGCGTCGTCGAAGTAGGGGTTCGGCTCGAGCACGACGTCGCCCGCCTGCGTGCGGTCTGGAGGTGAGGGTTTCCACGATGAGGGACAGAGCACGTGATCGGCGAAACGCACCGAATTGAAGAAGTCGAGTTTCCCCACCAGTTCCACGTTCCAATCCGCGTCTCGCGTCGCCTTCGTGCCCGAGAAATCGCCCGCGGCGTCCGACAGATGCAACGCCACCACTACGTTCAAAATCGTGGAAACGTGGAACCTGCGTCACTGGCGTCGACCAGCTGGCAGCGCTTCGCCCGCTTGCAGAAAGTGAGGAGATAGTTGTCGAGACGGTTGCGACCCACCACGACGGGGAGCACGTCGCGGGGATTCAGAACCGCGGGGGAGAAGAAGAAGTAGTCCTGCGCGACGGGGATGAATTGCTCGGTGAAACGCACGGAGGAGGCGATGAAACGGTCGATGGAGGCGAGGGAGGTGAAGTGAGAGAGGAGGGAGGCGGTCACGGCGGTGTTGTAGCGACGGCCTACGACGAGGAGAGGGGGAGAGAGAGCGAAGAGGCGGGGAAGAACGTCCTGGATGGAGCTGTGGAGGATGATGTCGCCATTGATGTAGCCGTAGAGACGGCTGCGGTAGTGAGTTTGGATCCACTCGGTCATGCTGGTGAGAAAAGGCAGACCGCTGCGGTTTAGTCTGGAGAGATAGACAGGAGATTAGACATTATATTACTCGAAAGCGTCAGACCAGTCGATGTTGACTTCGCGTGCACGCTCTTTCCAGTACTCGCTGTCGGTAAATAAAACGAGCTTGATATTCTTGGGGAGTAAAGACCAACTCTTTAAAACGGCCTTTTGAATATCAACTTTGATCGGGTCCTGCGACTCAATAATATAAGAAAGAGACATACGATAGTGTCTACAAAGGTGGTAGCTACAACGAGCAGAAATCTACAAATTATCCGCCCAGACTGTGTCCAGACTCTTCGTCCGAAGAATAGGTCAAACCGGACTGGCTTGAGGCAAGTTTGTCATAAAGTAATCTACTGGGGGAAACACAGTTTCTTGCAGCCTACTTTTGCTGAGAGAAATACTGGCTGGAGTCACCAGTAAAAATCTGCAAGTCAGTTTTTCAAATCGTGTTTACTTGTATAAAAAACTGGTTAAAGGACAAGATAACTACAAGACTAATAGTTACAACTACCAAAATAAGTAAATGAAGGGCCTTGCTCTCCTTCATTTGACAATATTTGAACAAACATCGAAATTCCTCTGATTTTTACAATTCCGCAAAGTCGAAATCCAATCTTCTTTTGTGTGTCTCTTATGCAAAGTAGTCCTTTAGAGAGCGTGAGGCGTAGGAAGCACAGCTGTCAAATAGTAACGTCTAGTGAGAACACTCCAAGACTTGGGAATAACTGTCGACGAAACTGGAAGATTGCGTGTAGAGCGGACTGGAGAATACGTTACAATGTCGAGTATCCAGGGGGACGCAAATCTTCTGGTGATGGCGATTACACATTATGTACGCTTTGAGTTCTAATCACTACGGAAGGTACAATTAAAAATGGTGAAGGAATTAGGGTTTGAACAGATTGCCATTCCCTTGGTAGCGGATTGTGAAGAGTGTCCGCGCAGCAGCATATTCGCTACAAAAGGGTGCCTATCAGCGGATAATTTGCTCATTATCTTTCCCAGCGCATCGACCATGCCTGGGATTTGGAGCCGTAGTTTGTGCATCGAGAAGGGCCTCCAAGCAGGTATAATCCCGCATTTTTCTCCAGTATTAGGCACGATGCTTCCATTTTTTGTCAAGGCGCTAAGTCTTGGCCTCGGCGTGATTGTTCTGAATCCCAACGTGAATAGCGTGCGAATCGCTACATCCAACGGGGGCTTCACCAAACATTCCATCCCTCACAACGAAACTCCCGACATGCACGTTCTGTTCGCGTTTTCTCCTCATTCTCCCCCTCTAGATACGTCTGGGACCGCATCGTCTCGCAAGCCTCCGCATCGAACATCTTCATTCTAGCCTACAACCAAGGCGGGATCCAAGCGAAGAACCTCCTCCAGTCGCGCGAATCGGAGGTTCTCCGCCGCCTGCGCGCGATCGCCCTCACGGAGTCCTCGCACTCGCTGCAGTCGGAGCTGAACTTCGGTCTGGGCAGCGGCGACAGTCGCTCCATCCGCCAATTTCTCGAGCAGCACGCCATCAACTGGGTCGCCTCCTCCCTCCCCGCGGGGCAGCGTCTCCAGGTGTGCCTCCTCCGTCCCTTCCACGCCTAGGAACTCGAAGAAGTGCTCGGCTGTCTGTGCATTTCCGCGGGAATGGGGGACACCTCGAACCGCGCGCTAACGAACTTGTTAGCGCTGGAGTGCATCTTCTTCTTCTTCCAGGTCTCCTGCCCCCCCGCGAAGCACGTTTCCCGCGCTCCCGACGGGCTCCCGCGCCCCGCGCCCTCCGTCGCCTTCTGGGAGCACCTGGTCAAGTCGCTGGGGATCCCCGCGGTTCCCTCGCAGCCGTCGGAAGAGCCGAGCGCGCTGCAGGAAATCCCGGTGACGGATCTGAAGCCGGCGACGGACTGGATCCCGGACAGCGACGTGAGCGAGTGCCAGACGTGCATGAAGTCGTTCTCGTTCCTGGTGCGGAAGCATCACTGCCGGCTCTGCGGCCGCGTGGTGTGCGGCGAGTGCAGTCGCTACCGCATGGTGCTGGAGCGGACCAACAAGCCGGTGCGCGTGTGCAGGACGTGCTATTTTGGGCATATGAACGACGGGGGCACGCGGATGGTGACGGCGGCGCAGGTGTCGACGCCGCTGTCGAAGGACGACTTCCAGCTGCTGAAGGTGATCGGGAAGGGGTCGTTCGGGAAGGTGCTGCTGGTGCGGAGCAAGCGCGACCACAAGGTGTACGCGCTGAAGATTTTGATGAAGTCGCGCGTGCTGGCGCGGAAGCAGGTGGAGCACACGCGCAGCGAGCGGAAAATTTTGGAGGAGATCGACCACCCGTTCCTCTGCCGGCTGGAGTTCGCGTTCCAGACGGAGGGCAAGCTGTACATCGGGATGGAGTTCCTCGCCGGAGGGCCGCTCTTCTACCATCTCCAGCAGGTGGGGGAGGAGGAGGGCGGTGAGCGGTAGTGCCATCACTTCCCGGAGGACCGCGCGCGATTCTACGTGGCGGAAGTGATCGTGGGAATCGGGCATCTGCACGAGCACAACATTTTATACCGCGACATGAAGCCCGAAAACATCCTCCTCGACCGCGAGGGACACATCGTCATCACCGACTTCGGACTCTCCAAGCTCATCGGCGACGCGGAGGGCAAGGCCCAGACCATCTGCGGAACGCCCGAGTACGTCGCGCCGGAAGTTCTCGCGGGACGGCCGTACGGACGCGCGGTGGATTGGTGGTCGGTGGGCACGCTGCTCTACGAGATGATCGCGGGGCTGGTGGGCGAGGGAGCGAGGACTCATCGGGTAGCCGCCCTTCTACGACAAGAACCGAAAGAACATGTTCAACAACATTCTCAACGCGAAACTGCAGTTCTCGGTCGCCTTTTGATCGGGTTTTGACGTAGAATCTGTTCTCCCCAGCCGCGCAGAATCTGATTTCCAGACTACTCGTGCGCGATCCCGCGCTGCGGCTTGGCTCGGGGGCGCAGGACGCGGAGGAGGTGAAGTGCCATCCGTTTTTCGCGGGGATTGACTGGAAAGCGCTGGAGAGGAAGCAAATCCCGCCGCCGTGGAAGCCCAGTTTGCTGAGCGAGACCGACACGTCGTATTTTAACAAGAAATATACATATGCGGATATTGACGAGGCGACGCCGCCGGTAGGGGATGGAGAGGGGTTTGATGTAGAATGACATGATGCTGGATCTTCCCTCGTTCCCGAATTTTACTTATGATAAGACAGAGAATCAAAATTGACGTGTGTTTGTTGGAAACTTGCTGGCTAGCTTGCTGGCTGGCTGACTGGCTCTCATTCTTTTTTTCTTGCGGTTTCTCACTCCTTTATGAACGACTGGCTTCTTAACTACGCACTGTATATCGCATTGGCGGCGTGCGCATGGCTCTTCTACAACGTCTTTTTTGTACGAAGTTGTGGATCCCCTTCTGATTCGGTAGAGATCGAAAGAGGAGGAGGAAGCAAAGGAGAATATACTCGTCATAGGAAATGATGTAGGGAGTTTAGCACTTTTTCTCAACCTAGCTTCTCTACGAAATCCAGGAGAAGAGTTATATTATAAACGAGGAGAACATGGCAGTGCTATGTCAACGTCTCGATAAATCGAACATGTGTTCATGGGTTGACTCTTCGAGTTGTAGATATATCGCAAATCATGTGGTGAACCCAGATACTCCAACTCTGTTGGACTCTTTGTGGAACGCAGGCTTGTCTCGTCATTCTTCGTCCTTCCCCAAAGAAGTATCTGCTCTGTGTTTTTTTTATCATACTCAGCGCATTCTCTTCTTTATGAAGAATGTGAGTGTGGGGTTTTTCGTCAATCTGCTCCGCATTAACACCATCATCACAGGTGCTCTTCTCTGGTTTGTCTGAGGGTTAGACGATCGCTCCTACTTGTCTGAAGTGACAAACCCGGGAGTGAGTCGAATCATCTGCACTCCGAACGACTTTGGAAAGCTGATTTAGAGGGGTGATGCTGCATGGATGTTGTTTCCTTTGTGACATTGCACGGAATCGCTGACCAAGGCGTTTTTATCACTCGGATCGTTTCTATTTTATTTTTATCTTCTCCATAATGGCTGTTTGTTTGTTCATTTCGTTATCTAAAACCTTTTGCGCAGATCGGAGAATAACCGCGGTTGTAGATCATTGCTGAACTGTGAATAGTCTTTTTCCAACCCTTGATTCTGTATTAAAATGTATTCAACGGTTTGCTGGGTATTGGTACTTTCGACTGATTATCCGCGTAGGTTCCTCGAGGGTGTTCATCTCATAAACCGATTCGAGCCATTCCGACAGCGAATGAGATTGAACAATATAAGAAAATGTTTGTGTTGGTCAGAAAAGTTGAATTGCTAGGTACAGTGAGCAACTCCTGGCGGAAGAGGAGCGAGAGAAGGAGGAAATGGGTCAGGAGGGCATGGAGGAGGGTGTAGAGGCGATCTCCGGAGTTTTAGGAGAAAGCATTCCCATCGAAGCGATGGACCCCTCGAAAGATCCCAACATCATGGTGGATGAGGTGAGAATTGGCACACACTCGTTTTATGCGTAGGAGAACCTAGATTCGGACAGCGAGGACGATCTCGATATCCGTCCCACGGATAGTGTCCTGCTTGCAGCTAAATCGGACGAAGACCAAAGGTACTTTCCATTCTTATTGTATATTGTAACTCTCTAGTTTTCTGGAAGTGCACATTTACGACGAAGAAACTGGAAACTTCTATCTGCATCACGACATTCTCCTGAGCGCCTACCCGCTCTCCATGGCCTGGATGGACTGCGTTCCCCAGCCCTCCACCTCCACCAGCGGCCATCGTAATTCGCGCTCTCTGTCCCTCTGATCATCCTAGCCAGCGGCAGCTTCGTGGCCATCGGCACGTTCCACCCCGAGATCGAGATCTGGAACACGGACGTCCTCGACGCTCTGGAGCCGGAAGCCGTGCTGGGCGGTCTGGTCGCGGGGAAACGTCGAACCCTGAAGCCGGGCAGCCACCGCCAGGCGGTCATGGGTCTGTCGTGGAACCGCGAGTACCGGAACGTGCTGGCGTCGTCGAGTGCGGACTCGACGGTGAAGCTGTGGGACGTGACGACGCAGCACTGCATGCTGACGCTGAACTACCACAAAGACAAGGTCCCCGTGGTGCACTTCCACCCCGTCGAGGCCAACATCCTCCTCACCGCCTCCTACGACCGCGTCTGCGCCGTCACCGACGGCCGCTCCCCCTCCAACGGCACCTGGATCGGCATCCCCGCCAAGCCGGAGAGCGCCGCGTGGGACCTCGCCGCGCCCTACTGCTTCTTCGTCTCCACCGAGCGCGGCGAGGCCTTCCGCTTCGACGTGCGCCAGACCGCCGCGCCGCTCTTCCAGCAGCAGCTCCACGAGGGTCCCTGCACCGCGCTCGCGCTCAACCCCGCGGCGCCCTCGCTCTGCGCCAGCGCGGGCGAGGACGGGCTCGTGCGGCTGTGGAGCGTGGAGAGCGCGGGGCTGTGCCCCGTCGCCGAGCGGAACGTCAATCTGGGGAGCGTCTTCGCGTGCTCCTTCTACGAGTCCGCGCCTTATCTCCTCGCCGCCTGCGGAACCTCCCAGGACCTCTGTCTGTGGGACGTCAGGGAGGTCGACGCGCTCCAGGGCGTGTTCGAGGCGGGAGAGGGCGCGGGAACCGCGGGGGAGGCCGAGAAGTTGGCGTTTGAGGCGTCGGAGAAGGCGACGGGGACGTTGAATGATATCGGAAAGAAGAAGAGGAACTAGGGTCGTTTTTAGGCTGTTTTCTTTATGTGGAGTGTTTGTTGGAAAAAAGCGTGGGGGATTGGAGGGAGACGGGTCCAGTCGAGGCAATCAAAGAAAATGGTTGCTTGCCACAATGGAATGCCTTCCACAATTCGATAGATACGATTCTCAACCCAAACCACATTGGCACTTTCACATGCTTTTGCATGCTCCGAATGAACAGGGTCGTACGCTGTCTAGGAGCATCACTGACTGGGCTGAAAGCGGTGACGTATACGCCTCGCCCGCTTTGTTGGGGATTGAACCGGTCGTTTCCGTGCTGTTTCTCTCCATTCTCAACAAGTGCAGAAGAGGGAGCCGAGACCGAAACAAAGCCGAAAAGCAAATTTTCCAAGCTTCCTGCCTTTACGAAGGAAAGTGTGAAAGCTCTTTCCACAGACGACATCTACAACTATTTAAAAGCATCCAGACACCAGCGTGGCGATGTAGGAAAATGCATTGGCGCTTTTGGTTACAATCAGATCTATCCACTTGTTCACGAGCTCGCTGGGAGACCTGACCTTTCATCCAGCGTATTCCATTGCTTTGAATCGATTCCACTCTAGCACGTCGAATTAGCCGTTCGCTGTCTCTACAAGAAGCAACGCTACGCGACGATCAACTCATTTCTCCAGGACATTTCCGCTACTCACGTATTCTCTTTTTCCTTTCCCTCCCCTCCAGCATCCCTTCTTCCTCTCCGCCCCCACGATTTCCATGATGTTCGAATCGCTCATCAGCGAGCAGAACTACTCCCTCACCGACCTGCTCTGGAGCAGCGTCTACTACGGGGATCGTCGTCGATGGCGCATCATCGGCCTCTATCTCCGCGCTCTGCTCGGCAGTCGTCGAATCAACGAGGCCACGCGCTATTTGGCCGTCCTCAAGACGAACCCCGCCAAATACTCGGTCGCCACCGCGCCGGTTTTGCAGGGGCTTTTGGAGGGAAAATACTTCGCGCACTGCACCGCGTTTTATTCCTTCCTCGCCGCCCAGCGCACCGACTGCATCCACGATCCCCGCGGGTTCTTCGCGGCCCTTTTGGCGGCAAACCAGCTGAAAGACTATTCGCTGGTTTTGTCGATCTTCCAGGTGGTTCTGGAGAAGGGGTTCTGGCCGAACCGCGCCGTGGTCTACGCCGTGACCGAGCTCTACGCGAAGGGCGATTTTTGGCGGGAAAAATACGCGCGGGAAATGAAACGGCTGCAGACGGAGGGAGAGATCGATGTTAATAAGCAGCTGGAGGTGCTGGCGCGGAGCCGACTGCCGCAGTTTATTAGTGGCGCGAAGGTGATCGGGGATTTCTGCAATCGGAACCACGAGTGCGTCATTACGCTCGATTCGCAGAACAACCTGAGTTTGAAGCTGGCGACGTATGAGGAGACGCAGCGTCGAATGAGGACGATTAGTGCGTTTTTGGAGGTGATAAAGAAGTACAAGTCGAGCGATTATGATCGAAGATTCCTTGTGATTCGGTCGATCGAAAACGACACGGCGATCGCGAAGTTGCTGCAGCAGGAGTTGATTCCGCCCGTTTATAGCATTGTTCGAGTGAGATGATTGGAGGAGTTGGTGATGTGCAGAATGAGTATCTGTCGATCCCGATTTCGTCGATTCGGTCGTGGTATCGAGAGAACAGCGAGCAGATAGATGAGTTTTTTTAGAAAAGCATGCGAGGATGGAAATTTGTAATTCCAATTTTGTGGACCTTTTTTTGTTTGTTTTCAATTCTACACATAGACTGCAAGGTATGGATCCTGTATCGGACATTCGACAACGCCGTAAGGAAGAAGACAATACCTCAGGTCCGTCAACTCGGAGTTTTACAAAGAAGCTTGAGAAGCTAGATATTTATCCCAAGATTGGAGATGACTATGTAATTAAAACGGAGAGCGGTGGATTTGGTATTTTTGAGTTGTTGGTGTGATTGTCTAGTTTCGTTGTTTTCGGGGTTCATTATTATCATTTTGTTTGTGTCTGAGTTGACGAACTATCTGAAGGTAAATCGAACGGACGTTATCACAATCGATAACACCCGCAACGAAAAACTCCAAATTAATTTCAACATATCTCTCTATGGAATTCCTTGCAGTGGTGCGTTTTACTGTTTTATTATTGACGATGTGTAGAAGCTTCTCTCGACATCATGGACATATCAGGACAGCAGCAAATGGGCGTGACGTCTCGGATTGTCCAACTCGATCTCGATGAAAACCACAAACCTGTCAACATGGCATTGTCCTCTGTCTTGTACGAAGTATTCCCTTTTCCGGTGTGCAATCATAGAAAAACATCGATCCTGCGTGTGGCAGCTGCTTTGGCGCCTCTCTCTCAAACGTCTGCTGCAACACGTGCGATGATGTGCTTTCTGCGTACGAGCGTCGTGGTTGGGACACGTGGTTCGTCTCCAAATACTCTCCGCAGTGCCGCAAGAACAACGACGAGGTGAAAAAGCCGCGCGTGAACAGTCAAGGCTGCATGATGTGGGGCGTTCTGGAAGTGAACAAAGTGGCCGGCAATTTCCACATCGCCGTGGGCCACGCCGCCAATCGCGACAGTCACCACATCCACTCCTTCAACCCCCTGATGATCAGCAAATTCAACGTAACGCACCACATCGAGAAGTAGCCAAATAACCGCGGTATTCCATAGATTGAGTTTCGGAGAACACATTCCGGGGATCCAAAACCCGCTGGACGGGCACGACATGGTGGCAGAGAGTTGTAGGAGGTGGCAGGAAGGGTTTGAAGGCTAGTGACGTCGCAGAATTATTACTTGAAAGTCATGCCGACGGTGTATTCGAATCGAACTTCCACGGTGGTGTCCAATGAGCTCTCCGTGAACGAGGTCTCGCGGCGCGTGGAGATGACGCCCTTCGGGCAGATCACGTCGCTGCCGGGGATCTTCTTCATCTACGATATCACGCCGTTTATGCACGTGGTGACGGAGAGTCGGATCGCCTTCGCGCATTTCCTGGTTCGCGTCTGCGCGGTGATCGGCGGCGTGGCGGCTGTAGGGGCAGAGAGAGAGAGGTGAGGGGTAGATCGCTCGGTTTATCGATACCGCGATGTATTATCGGGCTAAGGTGTTTTGCTGTGTTTGTTGCAGGAAACAAAGGAAAGGTTCCAACTCTCATTGGAAAGATCTGAGTCGGAATCTGAAGCTGGTTTCCCCGTTTTCTGGAGGGTTTTCTTCTTGTGCTCGGTCGAAGGCGTCGAGTTCGAGGCTTCCTTGGATTTGTGCTCCACGGGAGACGCGTCTTTCATCTTGGTCGCCAGGGTTTTGAGCTTGATGCACTTCTTCTTGAGGCTCAAAATCTTCTCCTGGTTCTCTACCTCTCACTTCCCTCCCTCGATTCCACCTTTGCTTTCCTGTTTTCGCTGCTCTTTCTCCGACTCCAACGCTTCCAACACGCGTCGCACCTCCGCTTCCGCTTCCTCCGCCCGCTTCCTCATCGCGGCCAACGCAGCATCGGCATTGCCCACGGAGGACTCGGCATTGCCCAGAGAGGACTCGGAATTGCCCACGGAGGACTCGGCATTGGCTTCGTTTTCGCGGCTTTTTGGCGCGGAAGGTTCGGAAGGCTCCGATTTTCCGGGTTCGTTCGACGTTTCCACGTTTCCCTGCGCTTCCGCGGTGTTCCCCGCGGTTTCTGCATCGGCGGATGGCTCGGCGGTCGCGGGGCTTCCGCTGGGCATTGCCGGAGCGCTGGGCATTGCCCGGCTTTGCTCCAATTCGGCGCATTTTTCCCGCAGAGAGCGGAGCTCCGCTTCGCACGCCGCCACGTTCTTCTGGACCTCCCGTTTCTCCGTTTCCACTTTTTGGAGGGCGGCGTTTCCCGTCTCCACCGCGGTTTTGAGCTCTGCGATCTTCTGCTTGTAGCTGGCGGCTTCTTTCTCGAACGCGGCGCGCAGCTCCTCCTTTTCCCGCGCATTTTTCTTCGCGGTCTCGGCCTTTTCCTTGGCGACCCTCTCGACGAGCATCTTCTTCTCCTTGGCGGCCTTGTCTTCGCCCGCCGCCAATTCTCTCTTGAACACCACGGTCTGGTCGGCGAGCGCCTTTTCCTTGAGCCGCACCATCTTCATTTCCAGTTCCGACCTCGCCTTCTCCGCGCTCGCCTCCATCTCCGCGCGCTGCTTCGCCAGATTCTCCGCCAATTTCTTCGCGAACTCGCTCTGCAGCGAGCTCCGCAGCGCCCTCATCGCTTCATCGTGCTGCTTCTCGCGCGCCTCGCGGCTCCGCGCCGCCTCCTCGATCGCTTTCTGCTTCGCCTCCGTCCGATTCATCCACTCCCGCACCTCCTCCCTCCGTTCTTCGCGTTCCCGCGCCATCTCCTCCGCGTGCCGCTCCTTATTCCCCGCCAGCGTCGCCAGCATTTCTTCGTGGATCTGCTTGATCGACAGATCCGCTTTCCTCGCCGCCCGCATCGCCACCTTCGCTTGTTCCTCCGCCGTTTGCCGCGCCGCCGCCTCCGATTCCGCCAACGACGTCGCCTCGTTGCGCAGCCGTCGAATGTCCTTCTCCTGGCCCATTTTCAGCTGCAGCAGTTCCACGCATCGCGCCTCTCGCGCGCGTAGTTTCTCCTCCAGCGCGGCGATCTCCGCCTGCAGCGCGGCTTCTTTCTTCGCCGCGGTTTCTTGGAACGCCAGCGAATTCGCCGCGGCGTCCTGCAGAAACGCGTTCTTCGCGGTCAGGTCTACGATCAAAACCCGATCACGGAATGAAACCGTCGATGGTTTCGTGGAGCGAGCCGATCTCTGCGCATTTCTCCATCAGTTCCTTCTGCAGGAGCTCGATCCGCAGCTGAAACTGGTTCTCTTTGTCCCGCGTCGCCTACGAATCGCGGTTATTCGTCACTTCTACGGCGACAAATCTGGAGTGCGCGTCGCTGTCGAGCAATCGGCCCTCCTTCTCCATGGCGATCTGTCCGTTCAGCGTCTCGATCTGCTCGCCCAACGCCAGCAATCGCAGCTCGCATTCCTGCCCATTCATCGCTTTTCTGCTCGCCTACGCGCGTGTAGTCCGCGTTTTGGCACGCTGCGAACTCCTCGTGCAGGCGGCGCAGCTCGTTCACGACTTCTTCTTTCTCGTTGCGGCAGTCCGCCAGCGCCACTTGGCTCTGCACCAGCTCGCGCTTCAGCTCGTACGTCATCGATTCCGCGCCTGCTGGTCAGTCCCATGCGGAATTCCCACGGGAAATCACGGAGTTCTCGACGGACTGCAGCTGCTGGCGGGTCACTTCCAGTTTGTGTTCCAATCGCGTGTAGTCTGCGTTCCGCGCCTAGAGTTCACTCGCCTTCTGCGGGGCTACGCGAAGCTCTTCCTAGAGGTAAGCAGTCCTCTCCACGATTTACCTCGGTTTTGCGAAGCTGCGCTTCGGTCGCTTGGAGATTCTTCTCGATCACACGAGCGCTCTCTTGGTCGTAGGTGGAAGGACTGCCTTGGTATTCCCGTACAATCGCTTGAAGAGCGCGGATCTGAGGGTGATGGAATAGACGAAAAGATACTTGTTCGATGTAGGTTTGGTTTTCGGCAATAAGATCATCGTAGCGATTAAGGAAATCGAATCAGAAGCCATCAAAAGATATATTTTTGCTCAAAAGTTCTTGAATCGAAAGTGAGGGACCATCTTGACTTATAATATCTTGAGCCCTCTGGAGCTGAAGTTGTTGAGCAGCGTAGCTCTCCTCCACCTCGTCCAGACCTAGTTCTGGAGCTTAGCAATGAGAAGTACGATCATTTAGTGCTTTTACGTTAATTCTTTCTTGTGTAACTTGGATACTCAACTAAAATTGGATCAAAACGCAAATCGCCAACTTGACGGTTTTGTTCCAATAATCGATTTACATATTCCGAACGATTTTTGCTCATCGTTTCATCATCGTTCTCAGGTCCATTCATATTTCTACAAGAAAATCCGATGCAAAACCTGCTACGTACGATTGACTACTTTTTTCTGTTCTTGAAAACGCGCTACGGAACAGAGAGTTGAATATAAAATGAAACACTTCGTGTTCCAATTTGTGTTCTCCCAACGAAACCCCTGCCCAGACCACTTTTTCTTCCTCCCAAAAGTGAGTGAATCCAACAAACACCTCAATTCTCTCCAGCCTCCTTGCGCTGTTTCAAGGTCTCCAGGACCTCCGTCAGAGCCTTCTCGCTCTGCTCCATCAGCTTCTCGCATTCCGCGAGCACTTCGGTCTTAAACGCTTCGTCCTTGACGTCGCCCAGGTTGATCAGCACGTTCTGGTAGCATCCCCAGATTCCCGTCTCCAGACACTTCGCTCCTACCTGCAGATCGGACATCGACTTGATGTTTCCGATCTTCGCCATGCCGGTCATGAACGGCCACGCCTTGCACGCCGTGCGCATTCCCTGCAGCGGGACCTGCACGGCGGTCTTGAGTCCTTCCTGCATGGCGGTCTCTCTGCGCTCGATCTCCTCGGGCGTTTTCTTGGGGAGTTTCATGGCGTCCATGTAGGCGTTGAACGCGTTGGTGTCGCGATCAATCATGGGGATCATCTCCCGCATGAGCTCGTCGAGGTTCTTGATGAGCACGCGCATCTGCATGTCGAGGTGTTCGAACTTGCGGATTCCGTAGGTCATCCATCCCACCATGGCTCCCACTACGCTTCGCTTCCTCCCCTCCGCGCCTACGTCCGATGCCCATCGAGCTCACCAGCGACGACGCCGACCCGCCGCCCGGCGCCGCCGTGCGCGAGCCCAGCACCTCGACGAACTGGCGCACGGAGAGCGACGCCAGCGGCTCGTCGGGCTGGTCCTCGACCATGTACTCGATGATGGTCTTGCGCGGGTCGAAGGGCTTCACCGAGTTGAGGCCCAGGCGCTGCGCGACCAGCATGATCTTCTGCTTCTCCTCGAGGATGAAGAGGTTCTCCTTGCGGATGTAGTAGTCCGCCACTTGCAGAATGGACTCCAGGTTGATCAGGCCCACGATCTCGCCGCCGCACAGCGAGATGTTCAGCGCGCGCGCGTCCTTCTCGCACTCCTCGTACACCTGGTGCATGTTCGTCACGTGGTAGTCCGTCAGATTGCAGCTGATCTGCGCCATTTCGTACTCCTCCACGTACCACCCGATCGCCTTCAGCTCCTGCAGCCGGCCCGGCTCGTTCGGTCCGCGGCCCGCCGTGCGCACGTTCAGCGCCAGCCGGTGCGCCTGCTGCTTCGTGCCCTACCTCGCAGACCGCCTCCGGGCCTACCAGCACGTTGATGTTGAACGCGATCAGCAGCTTGCGCGCGCCGCACACCGTCGCGCCCCAGCGCGGAATGAACTTCGCCGGACCGAAGTCAGGCTCCCACTCCTTCGTCACGATGCGCTCCGCCACCTTCTCGTACTCGCCCGCACGGATCTGAGGAAGCGTGTGGCGGTACGCGCCCTTCGTCTCCGCGTACTCGTACATGTAGCTGAAATCGAACGCACACGCTATTCGTACATGGGAATGCCCAGCTCCTCGCTCGCGCGACGGGCAAACTCGCGGGACACCTCCACACAGTCCTCCATCGTCACTCCCTAGGCTTCGACCGGATACGCAAGGCATACGCTGATAGGAATGAAGGGGCACACATCGCAGGCTCCCATACGAGGGTGCTCTCCGTGGTGCTTGGTCATGTCGATCAACTGATAAGCGACACGGCAAGCGTTCAGTGCTCCCTCAATCACAGACTTCTTGTTACCCACGAACGTATACACGGTTCTGTTGGTCGAAGCGCCAGGATCCACATCCAAAACCGTGCAGCCCGCTAAAATTGATTGCAGATTCAAAATCAGTACGGGTGTTGCGCATAGCATTCGCAATAGCCTCAATCACCTCCTTGTCTCTTCCCTCACTACGATCTGAAGATTCAAATCCAAATCTACCTGAAATTAGGAACACACTCCACGACTTCTCTCACCATAATGCTCTCGGAATCAATAAAAAACAATTTGGAGAACTATGGAAACTGGAGAAACTCGAAGTTGGGAAACAGAGAATTGGCAAAAAAAGGGCAAAAAAGTGCTCAAACTGGGGATCGAACCCAAGACCTTCGCGTTATTAGCACGACGCTCTAACCAGCTGAGCTATTCGAGCTCTGAAAGTGATAAACAAATAATCTATATACAATACCTATCGATTCCTTATATCTCAAACTCACCGATGCAGAATTCTAATAAGCGTCCAGCATTATCGACTGATGGTGAGGAGTTCAAGGAAGAGTTATTTGCGAATCCTTGTCTTGAGTTGTAGTCAAACGCAGTCCAAGAGGCAGCGGATAGGAAAATCCTCAATACGATTTTATCATAAAACGATTGCCGTATTGCCTGACGCAGTACAGTGCTTTTTGTCCAATTTGGTGAATCCGTGCAATAACCAAGTGGAAGTAATCGGAAAATTGGTGGATAATGGACAAATGATATTCGCAAGTAATAAAGAGCTGGTTCTCTGGAAATACTCTCCCCTTTATGAGTTTACAAATGATATGAGTGTATATTGACAATAATTCCCATGTAATGAATAGGATAGCGATGTAATGGTTGTTCCATTACCTTCAGGAGTAATTCGTGTCAATCCGGATCTTATTGTCGTTTCAGGTCAGCGTGATCGAAATGTTTTTATCTGCACTGTCTCTGGTATGCTGTACTATTCAAAGAATGGATCTCCGGAGTACGCTTCCATCACCCTTCCCATTAACGTATTCGATTGATCCCTCTTTTTACTACTGCAATAGAATTTCAAAGTGAATGCGATCTATCCCTACGACAACGACAAGGAGGTGTTGGTAGTGTTGGAGGATCACTCTCTTCTAAAAGTGTCCGTTCAAGAGTCGCAAGTCGAGGAAATCACATCCACCCGTACCCGATTCCCTGGCTTTGTAAATCATTAGTCCCTCTCGAAATCTCCATGAAGACAACCTACACTCTCCACTCGACCCAGCTTCTCCGCGGCTATGGCTCGTTTCTCCGTTCTCTTTTGTCTTCGTTCTTCGGGTCATCCACTCCCCAGCTCTGCCACTTTTTCCAATTCCCCTACCTGGTTCTGATTGAAAACCAATCCTTCCGGCTCTTCAACCTCCAATCGAACAAGATCGAATTCCACCAGAATCTCCATCGCATTCTTCCGGACGACCGCGAGATCCTTCGCGTCTGGTTCGACTCGGACGCTTCCCTCGTGTTCTTCACTCGCTCTCGCGGCGAGCGATCCTCCTACCACATCGATCTCCTCACCCGCACCGCCTCCTCCCTCGCTCTCTCTCGCTCCGTCCTCCTTCCCTTCGCTCCCTGGCTCGACTCGCCTTCCCTCCAGCTCTCCGTCAGCCCCACCGTCAACGGACTCGAGGTCTACCTGCTTCGTCCCGCCGCGCAGCCCGCGCTGCTCGTGGCTTCGCTCTTCTCCGTCCCTTCCGTCACCACCGTGCGTGCTCCACGCTCTTTACCAGCCTAGTATCTCCCGCATCTCGCTTCTCCGCTTCTCTTCGCCGCGCCTTGTCATCCAATGACCGGCCTGCTCTTCGTCACCGCCTCGAATCTGGCGCGGTTCGTCGCGGAAACCACTTCCTCTCCGGAGATCTTCGCTTCGGAGCAGCTTTTCTTCTCGGTCCCCGTGTCGCTGCAGCGACTGGAGCTTTCGGACACGATGGCGACGCAGAAGATCGTGGAGTGCTGCGCGCTCTGGTCCCAAGAATGCTTCTACACCTGCGCGGCGCTCTTCTCCATGTTCCTCAAACGCGAGCTCGATCTCAAGCCCGTGCTTCTCCACGTCTTCGCCCATCTTTCCAATCAAACCGACCCCGCTCTTCTCATCGCGTTCTTCGAGCTCTGCGGCCACACCGTGCGTTTCCCTCTCCCCGCTGACTCTCAGGATTATCTGCGCTATCTCCGCGATTCGCTGCCTCTTCTAACGCAGACAGTCAGCCACCTCACGCTCTGCGCGTTCCTCCGCGTACCCGTCTCCAGCGATGACGAGCAAGTACTGCAGGACTTCCAGCAGCGCATCGAAGCGCAGGAAGGAATCGTGGACACGCTCACCTCCCTCAGCTCCACGCTGACGTCTCTCTCGGCGAGCCAAAAGCGAGTCAATCAGTGTCTTCCCCGCAATTTCGAGGTGGGCTCGGCGAATTCGATCGAATCGTAGCTTTCTATCGCTTCTTGGATCCACCATCCCACCTTTATCGCGGCCATTACCTCGCTCGTCCGCTTGGTTCGCAGCTCGCTGTACGATCCGCGCGACTCGCTGGGGATTCTCAATCTCCCCACGCTGTTTATCAATTGCTGCAAGGAGCTCATCGCTACCTACAATCAGAAAAACGTGCAGCTTACCGAACTCTGCTTTGTAGTGGAAACGATGGGAGGTGATGCATAGGAGGGCATTGCCGATCTGCAACCGCAAACGGCGCAGCTCTTAGCACAAAAGTACCTATCGTATCATTACTTGGCGCTGCTGCCTTTGAAGGTTCTGCTTGTATGTGATTCTGCTTTGATTGAATGTAGCCCATGGCAAAGAAGGACGAAGAACTAGCGAAGTACTGTTTAACTCTGTTTGCAGAGAGTTCATCGGCGAAAGCTGTGAAAATGGGAGTCCAACATCGGCAAATCGCCCACGAAGTGTTTGCAGACAAGCCTGAGCTATTGTGGCGTTTTTTGATTTTGGAAAAAGCTTCGTGTGAAGAGACGTTGGAGGTGATCAAGCAAATCCGGGAGAAGTCGCTTCGAACCGAAGCGTTGAGCCATTTGTGGTTGTTGGCCGTAAACAGTAACGAGAGTGATTCTGTTCTCAACGAAATCGACCAGTGCAGACTCACGACGACTGATACGAAATAACATACTATTGTCCTTTAAAACTGTTTGTAGCAAAAAGGGTTCTATTTCAAGCCTTTTCCTTCGTCGAGTATAGTTCAATTTCCACCACTTCGCTACTACTCCCTTGGTTGGTTACGATGAATTCAAATGGAGCAGTTGAAATAAGGGTAAGGGAATAGGGACAATCGATTATCGAACTCATTGTCCCAATTCTACACTCCACCAGTATTCAATCAATAAAGACTTAGTTTATTGTATTGTGATGTAAGTGTTTGATGCAGTGGAGCCTATTTTGTATGGATCTACCCATACAAATGGAATATGCTTATATTTCGAACTTTTTCTAATTGGTGTGTAGATGTCCACTAATCTCGTCTGGGAAATTATCAAGAACAACAGCTCCTTCCTTCGCAAGCAGGTCCGTGGAAACAAGGTCACTTCCTTCTCTGCTGACCCCATGAATCTTGCTGCTACTTATTCGTACTTCTTTTGCGCCCGGAGTGATGTGCAGCCCTAAGTACATCGGCGTGTGCCGCAAGGCCCCCGTCGCCCTCAAGACCAGAGGCAATTCTATTGTCCTGGTCACCAAGAAGAGCGAGCATGAGAACAAGCCCTTCAAGCAGAACGCCACTACTGCTATTGGAAGCGAGAAGACCCTTGAGAAGGCTTTCGAGAATGCCGAGCTTACTTCGATGAAGAAGGTGGCTGCTAAGCGTTACCACGCTCTGCTCCGCGTACATGCCATATTGGAACCTGCTGACGCCTAGAACGCCAGACGTGCTCAGTCGATTGCTGCTAAGGTCAACGTGACTGCCAAGAAGCACCGTGCTCACACCAGACGCGCTCGCCAGGCTGCCAAGGCCGAGAAGTCTGCTCAATAAACAGGGAGGGACAACCACTACAATAAGCCACATTGTTTGTTGTGAACAAAGAGAAGCAAAATATCAGCGGATTATTATTATTATTTTTATATATGTACATAATTCGAAAAGACTATACAGGGAGTTAGTTAGTGAGTGCTGTGGGAGCGATGAGATCGGCTGGATCGGCGAGATCGACCCGATCGGTGTTTGTGCTTGTGCCGATGCTTCCGCTCGCCTGCTCTACAGTTTGCTAGAAACGAAAGGTTCTACGTATCGCCCTGTAGTTTGCGGAGGAGGAGGTCTTTGTCTTCCTCTGGAAGCGATTTGAGAAAGTTAATGACTTCCTCATCCGAGTTCGCTTCTTCACTACTGGCCTCAATGAACGTGTTTAGTGCTGGGTCAACATTTCCTCCGATCGGAGGATCCATCTGCAATAGAGGGAGAGCGAAACGCCCACTTTAAAATGGATCTCTCGACTGATTTGCATTGCTTGATTCGAGAATTGCCGAAGCCGCTTTTCCTCCTTCGAAAGAGTAGAATCATCCACGGAGACAGGCTTGTTGTACTGACGAACGATCGCCTCGGCACGATCGTAGTTCAGGTTTCCATCTTGCTCCTTGATTTGGTTCTCAAAGATTTGCATCATACTCTAGAGTATATCGCTATATGGACAAAAATACGTCTTTTCGAGGGTCTTTAGGGTTGCCATACTCGTCTTCCTCGTCATCTTTTTCTGTCTTCTTGCTTTCATCTCCCACTTCAGCTTCTTCAGGTAGATCCGTTACCACCGGATTTCGATTTACATATTTTTCGAGGAATTTGGCAGCTTCTTCGTCAACACTCTTAGGTTTGGGTTTTTTCTCCATCTCCTTAATTTCGTTAGGAACGGCATACCTGATATAAAGTAATAACAAAATAAAAACATAAAATCCAAGTCCATCTCTTTTTCGTTAATTGTTGACTTTCCATCCCTCATCTCGATCATCTAACCAATAAAGCAGTATAAGCCATTCAAATACTTTATCAAATAGATATCGCTCTCTCCGCTTTTCGAGTTCATGCCGCGCTGCAATTTCTCTTCTTTTACGGTCCTTTTCCTACACATTTGAATGTGGAGAAGAAGGAACTACTTCTTGCTCAAGTTGGTAGCGCTTTGTTAGATTTGCCTTATTGGCAGGATGCCATTCTTTTAGCATCAAGTAATGGTGATTGATGCTCATTTTTGAGATAACTAATATAGAGATAAATCTCAACTGTAGGAGTTTTCATCATTGGTGTGGAAATACATTTGGGCGGGTGATGGTTTGGGTTTGCCTTTTTTGATATAGAAAATGGAGAGAGAATTGGAATTCCATTTGGATATGGTGAAATGTATGATGATGATGGATTCTTGTTGTACAAGGGCATAATGATCAATTGGAAACGATTTGGATATGGAACGAGTTATCATAATAATGGATGTATTGAATATGAAGGATATTGGTGTGATGATAATCGATATGGAAGAGGAAAAGTATATGATCGATATGGGAAGTTGGTGAATGAATGTGAATGGTGTAATGGAATTGAAATTGATAATGAATATGAAGGAGATGGAAGCGAACAAATAGATATCAGGATCAAGTATTTGAAACTGAGTGACAATTGTGTATAGGAAGATTGGGATGTTTCATTGTTGTATAATGTGGAATCAATCGAAATCGGTGATGATTGTTTTGCCTATCTGAAAACATTCCAAATCGATGGATTGAATCGATTGAAAACGATCAAAATTGGAAGCGGTTCATTTACTCAGACAAAGAGTTGTTGTGGATATGATGCATCGAAATCATTCCACATATTGAATTGTGAATCATTGGAATCCAATTAATTAGAACAGTTGGAAGTAAATCGTACTATTTTTATTTTAATTCACCTGTGATTCGAGGCATTGATATGATATTGAATATTTGAATGAACAGATCTCTTGAATCTACAATCCATTATTATCGATTTTGTTTGTTGCGTTAAGTCGAAGTCTATTATAAGAATTGGATGATTTATCGTGGTACATCGATGGTTACCCATTATCTCTGATTTAGTTTTCATTATCCCCAATAGGCAATGTGTAAAGTACTCAATACATACACCAAGTACTCAATGTATCATCTTCTTTTGATTATTCAGCTGTTTGTTGAAATGGAATACTCATTACTAGAACTATTTCTCATATAGAAACAATGGATGTGTTGATAGTATTGGATTCCTAGTCATTCACTCTCATAGCTCAGTAACCATTTTGCTTTAGACTAATAAATAAAACACACTGACATCTATAGAAAGTATAGACTGCACCGTATTTTATCTTCCTTCATGGTGTGCTTTTCAACTCTTAAATGTTCATATTGAATCACACAACTATTCTTCTTCAGCACTCTCCATGCATTATATGCATTGCTATTTAGCTATATTCGATTTGAATATGTACACTCTATGCTCCTTACGTTAATGCTTGCATTGTTCATTATCGACCAGGATGGGAATATACAGTGATATTGAATTAGAGTGAATTGGGTTCAGTTTGTTTTAAGGTTTCTGGAATAAATCGGCATCTTGAAAACAGAATCATAAACACACAATCCCACTTTTACAAATATCTCTCATTTTCTTTGCGATTTCTCATTGTTTTAAATTAACTCATTCCCACTGTTGGTAGATAAGACTATTGTTGAGTACATTTGAAAGTGTTTTGTTTCTGGTTGAATTGGTTTATTGAAGGCTATTCATGTTTGCGCTGTATGGCGGTATAGAAGGTTATTCACAGCAGACACACTATGTCACTTTGGCGTAAGATCTCGCATTTTGTATGATGTGATATAGCGAGAAAACCGGACAACTATTTATTGAGGGGAAAAAAGAAATGGTTCAAAACCAGAGGAAATGGTATTCGTTCTTTTGATTTGTGACAGTTAGTCATCTTAATCGGGTAAATGGGAATCCTCCGTCTATCAGACCTCTTGGTAATCTAGATGGAGAGGAACCAGGGATAGATTATTCCAATTTACGTTTGCAGTTAAAAGTACAAAATGGATTGGTTCCTTTGAATAATAGGACCTAAAGATACTCAAGGAGCTAGGCCATGGAACCAGCGGTTATGTGTGGTTGGTGAAACACCGAAAGACTCAAGTTCCAATGGCGCTCAAAGCTATATCTTTGATGTCTGAATCTGTAACACGTGCAAGTGTCTGTCGAGAGTTAAATACGCTCTATTTTGGTGATCATCCTAATTTTCCTGATTTTTATGGAGCAACGTTATGCGTATGGTCTCTACTCACTCCCTTCTCTTTAGGGAAGCCGACATCTGCTTATCCTTATGGAGTACATGGATTTGGGTTCTCTGGAGTCGCTTCAACAGCAACTGGGCGGTTCATTGCCCGAAGCAGTCCTCAGCCGTGTCGCTGAAGAGGTTCGTTCTGATTCTAGCTGCGATGTAGGTAATGATAGCGCTGCTGTTTCTGCACAAGCAGCTCAACATGATCCATCGTGATATCAAGCCGGGGAACATCCTGCTAAACAGCAAGGTGCGTTTCTCTGTGTGTCTTAAGAGCAGGGAGAAGTGAAACTGACGGACTTTGGAGTGAGCGATTACAAGGATTACACTGGGGAAATCCGATCGTCCTGGTCAGGAACGACTTGTTTCATGTCGATATCCTTGCATGAAATACAATAGAATGGAGTGAATGGAGTGAATGGGGACTTAACCACACCCCGAAGAGATCGCTGGCGAGACGTACGACGACTCCTGCGATGTGTGGTCGCTGGGCGTGACGCTGTACTACTGCGCGATGAATCAGCTGCCCTTCGTGGATTCGAACGGTAGATCTGATCGACCCTTGCGAGCTAGACAAGCTGGGCTACTGGGAGCTCTTCCTCTGCATCCGGAACAACCCCATCAAATCCCTCTCCAGCCGGTTTTCGCGGACCTTCAACAACTTCATCCACCGCTGGTAGGCTCTCGGTTTCCCCTTTTCTCCAGTCTCTGCAAGAATCCGCGGGACCGTCCCACGCTCACGGAGCTTCTCCACCACCCTTTTATTAGCATGTATCGCTCCGTCAACCTCGCCAAGAAGCTCAAATCGCTGCTCCATCCCCGTCTCTTCTGCACTCCGCTCCGTCCCGCCCCCGCCGACCCTCCCGCCCTCTCCGTGCCTCTCAGCCCTTTCTCCTCCGCGTCCTCCTCCTCGGCCGAGCCCTTCTGCGACCCCGAAGACATCGTCGTGCGTCGCAAGTCTTTCTCTTCCTCCTCTTCCACTCCGTCGTCTCTCTATCGCCGCTCCGCTTCCCTCCCGCCTCTCCGCGACGCCTCTCCGCCCTCTCGATTCTCCTACGCCACCGTGCAGCCCGCAGAGCCCGACGCCGCCGACCGGCTCTGGACGGAGCTGCCCGCCACCATCATTCCGCTCACGCTCCAGTCCGCGCAGCCCGGCACTGCCGAGCCGCCCGGCATTCCGCACCCGCTATCTCTGCCGAGGGAGCTGGAGGGAGACGAGGAGACGGGGTGGAGAGGGGTCGCGGAGGGCGAGGCGAAGCCGTTTGCCGCGCATCCGCGGATGAGCGCGCATCACTGGGCGATCGCGAAGAACGAATGGGGCATTCCGTGGGGAGAACTGTCCAGTGAGATCGGAGAAACCGGAGAAACCGGGGAAGAGAGCGAGGAGGGGACCGTGGGGACCAGGGAAACCGGGGAAACCGGGGAAACCGTGGAAATCATGGAAACGGGTAGCGAGTTGGTTCCATTGGGAGAAGAAAGTGAAGGCGACATCGTGGAAGTAGGGAACTTCGAAATGAACTCAACGCGAACGCGACCGGAAGATCGAACGCAATGGACAGAAGACTTCATAGAGGACTCGATAGAGGACTTGAATGAGGACTCGATAGAGAATTCGAACGAAGGCTTCATAGAGGACTCGATAGAGGACTTGAATGAGGACTCGATAGAGAACTTGAACGAAGGCTTCATAGAGGACTTGAATGAGGACTCGATAGAGAATTCGAACGAGGGCTTCATAGAAGATTCGATAGAGAATTCGAACGAAGGCTTCATAGAGGACTCGATAGAGAACTTGAATGAGGACTCGGACGAAGACTCAAATGAAGACTCAAATGAGGACTCGAACGAAGACTCAAACGAAGAGTTGGGATCGTCGGAGGCTGGAGGCTTCGTTGGAAAAGAGATGGAGGAAGTGGGAATGGAGAGTTCTGGCCTCGGAGACGCTTCGTCGGTGTGCTCGGAGTCGATCCGCGTGGCCAGTGGGGACAGCGAGAGCGATGGGGAGAGCGTGGACAGTCTGGAGGCGAACCCCTCGATCCCCTCCACGGATCGGATGGGCCCCTTGGACCCCTTGGAGATTCCTGCAGATAACTCTGCAGATTTTTATCGGAACTATTATGCCATGAGCCCAACCTCGTTGAATCCTTTCTACTTGGATCATCCCTCCTTGAAGCATCCTGCATTGAACCAACCCCCCATCCATCCTTCCCACTCCTCTGCGGTTTTGATCGGGTTTGGAGACCCTGCATCTTCATCATCATCATCTTCTTCTTCTTCTTCATCTTCTTCCTCCTCCTTATCTTCAGATCATTGCAAGGTTGCCGAGCTCTCGCCTCTCCGGATGGTTCCCTCCGCCTCCGCCCTCATCAGCGAGGACGTGGAGAACCCCACCTTCCTCAACGCGCGGCCTGCGTCCCTCCTACGCCTCGCTGTGCTCATAAAGGAAGCAATGGAGCCGGAGCCGCTCTCCTGGGTACAGAAGCTGGCCAATTGCTTCCACTCGTTGAGAGGGATGTTTATGGAGTGCTGTAGGCAGCAGGGGAGGGAGAACGACAACGAAATCAGGGAGGATGGGATGGAGTTGTATCGGATTAATCGGGACCAGGAAGTTGACAGGATCGGGTAACAGATTGGGTATCGGGTGTTGGAGGGAAGATGATAAATTTTGTGTGCTCTTTTGTGCGTCTAATTCGTGTGGAATGATTATTGTAAAGTTTTTCCTTTTGTTTGTTAACGTGGTGGCTGGCCTTTATCTCCCACCAATATGTCATTTATAGCTCTTGCGGATGGCTTGCATTTCTTTTTTGCGTAATGAATGAGAGAATTTGTTGTGCGTTTGTTGTCAAATAACCGCGGAAACCGAACTAGCTTCCAACATCCAGATTTTTGTGGATTCGAAGAATAAGTTCGCATAATTGATCTTACGTGTATTAGTGGTTAATTAGCGAATGGGACAGAATACTAGTAGTACGGAGAAACCATCACCCGAACCCTTGGTTTTGCAGCCCCATGTGTCTCCCAAACAGTATTTAGACTTTCCCGAATTGTAATTTTTAGATCTCCCACCGTTCCCTCTGTAATGGGTATTTTGCTTCCAGTCGTAATTCTAATGACTAGATGAATCGGACGATCGAATTCCTGTAGTTCTGAAGTATAGAGGAACAGGTAAAGACGTCTCACTAGCTGCATCTTTTATAAATAATTGGGAGGAAAAAGTACAGGCATATTTGGATAAAGGTTACGGAGTAGGTAAAACTCCATCGAAGTGGAAATGACTTATACACAATTCAAAAGGTTCCTAAAAAGGGCAATCACCATTACAAGTTCTATGTGGACGGTGAGTGGAAAGCCGATCCAACCCAGCCCACAGACGAGATTGATGGTTTCAAGAACAATGTTATTAGCCTCGACAATTTCGTGACGTACGAAATGGAGGAGAAGCAGGAGGAGGAGCGAGCTCGCCAGGAGATTGAAATGAAATACCGCCAGGCGAAGCAGCCCCCGTCCTACGACAATTTCACAGGCGAACCTCCGGGTCTTCCCCCGTATTTGCGTCAAATCATTCTAAATCGCGTATTTGTGAAAGGTGTGTGCGATGTAGCCCCCGGTAAACAGCATTCCCACGCACTTGGAGACGCCAAACCACGTTTCTGTGAACCATTTGTTTTGCAGGTCTTTGGAGAATGGCATGGTGATCACGGCATCCACGACGCGCTACCGCGAGAAGTTCGTTACGACGCTTTATTACAACTACAATCCGAAGAAGAAGGACTAAGTCCTGTATATAGTGTAAAACGTGTTTATAAGACAAACGATCGAATGAGCAAACAATTGAATCATGAAAGAATGAACGAATGAATGAATAGTCAAGTCAATAATAGAATGAATGAATGAATGAATTGATGAACAAACAATCAAATCGATGAACCCAATAGATACTAACCAACCATCCAACCGAATGAATGAATGAATGAATGAATGAATGAATGAATGAATGATGAAACAAACAAACAATCCAAAGAGAAGGAACACTCGAAAGAACAACCAAACCAGTGTGTTTTACTGAATGAATCAAAAACTAATCGAGCAGCAGCTTGCTGATTCGAGAGATCACTACACTCGATCCGTCCATCAACCGCTACGCACAAACGAATCGTCGCGTCGCTGCAATTCGTCGCGTCGCACCTTGTCCGCCAGCTCCAAAATCTCTTCAGCCGGAGGCATTTCATAGTTCTGCAGCAGCTGAATGTCCTGCACGAAGTCGCCCTTGAGGAGCGCGGGCTCGATGCGCTTCACCATCGCCGTTCCGATGCACTGCGCGAAGAAGAAACGCTCCGGATCGGCGAAAATCGAATCCCACACGCGACACGTGTCCTTCAATTCAAACTCCCGCGAAAACAGCGTCGTCAGCCATCGAATCGCGTACAACTGCGGCTTCAATTCGATCTCGTCCTACCTCTCACTCCTCCTTTTCGTCCCTACAAACCAATCGTACACTGCCGGCACGTTTCGCTCGATCATGTTATCGAATCGCTTCAGCGTGCCTTGCCTACGCCTCATTCATCGCTCCGATCCGCACAGCCCCAGCGACGTCGAGTCCATGTGCTTGATGTACAAGTTCTGCAGCTCGCTCGCGAGCGTGTTGAACGCAAAGAAGGTATCGGCCTCGACCTCCATGGAGACTTCGCGGTCCAAAACGTCCTCGGCGAAGACGTAAAGCAGCGGAGCCATGAGTTCGTTCATGCCCTGCACGTAGTTTACACACTTGTTGAGGTTGACGTAGACGAACAGAAGACGAGCCAACACCTGCCGATTGTGCTCGTGAAAAAACGGGTAATCCGCGTAGGTTCGCTCGACATCCTTCCAGATCGCTTCGCGCATATCGGAGTAACCGAAGTTTCGAGACCACTTCGATTCGTTAACCCTTTCTGGATCGGTCTCGCTCTCGTTTTCACTCTCTGCGCCACTGTGAGGATGATCATCGTCCTTCCAACTCAAATCGATGGGATTCGGAACCAGATTACAGTTCTCTCTCCCACAGTTTCGATTCGGGACCACAATAAAGTCGTTCACAAAACCGGTGTAAGTCTGTAAGTTTTTCAAGTGCCTTCGATTCCACTGCGTCGGATTCAGCGGAAACACGTTGAGAAGAAGCTTCCAAACAATGGACCGAGTGGCTGGATCTGGAAGCCCCTGATAAGCGTATTCACGAATAGAACAAATAAATAGGTCAGTCACATCACTGTAAGAGGTAAAAATGCGCTCCTTTGGAGAGAGCATATCTCTGTATATTATTTTGGACTGAGGAGGAGGCATAATCAACGAGTAATAGGGAATAGGGAGAAAGCTCTACAGATTCACACACACTCCTATTTTGACTTCACTCTTGTCGTATGCCTTTTTTCGAGCCAGTCCGATTCCTTCCAGGAATGAAGAAGACCGTTTCTCCATAGGATTGGCAAACCGCACAACCAGAGGTCGTTTTGGATCCCTCAGACGTTCTTTAATCTCTTCCTTTGTGAGATACAAGGCGTTTTGATGGTTAATTTGTAGGATAATACAGCCAATCTTTACCAACCCAGAAGCCTACACCAGTAAAAGATCAATTCTCGTTCAGTACTTCAATCGGATAACAATCAATATATGGATTCTTTGTAAATCCTGCAACTATCACATCTCTGTTTTCTGTCATTCCCAGGTGAATTCCTAAAGGTCCCTCACCAAATTCAACATCAAATATATTCGGGCAATAAAGTTTGGGCATAAAAACGAATAAAAGAATACTGGAAAACACAGAAGTATAGATTCAGTTTTTCGATTTATAGAGGAATCGAAGAAAACAAAGTAGAGAGTGTAAACAATTGAATTGCATAAACTTTTGTAAAAAGAAGCGTAATGTCAGCTAAGTGTGGATTTCGCTCAACTGATTATTTATTAGGAAGTGGGAAGAAGTCAATATTAAGCAATCGAGGTTACTTGCTTATAACGTTCCAGAGAAGATCAGTGATATAACAAAGTTCGCACTGTTCGATTTGGATGATACACTCATTAAGCAGTCCAATAATATCCACTCTTTGCTATCATCAGCCCTTAACAGCAAATGTTGATATCATAAAACTTAAATATGGTTCAGTTCCACAGAAACTGCGCGAAATAGAAAAGAATGGATATGTTATAGGGATCATGACTAATCAGGCAGGAATTGCGATAGGAAAGGTTACGGAAGGTGAAATTAAAGTATATAAGTCGATTCCAGTTGTTTGTAGGGGAAAATAGAGAAGGTTTGCGATCTCCTTGGTTGTAACTGCATGGTGTTTATTGCTAGCAATTATGACTTGTGCCGTAAGCCAGCTCCCGGAATGTTTCACTTTCTGCAGTCGCGTGTGTCGTACCCTCTCACCAGAGAGAACGCTTTTTACTGTGGGGATCGATATACCGGTATTTCCATTTTCTCTACCTTTTTATAACAAATCCAGACAGCATGAGTCTGACCGATCTCTACTTCGCCCACAACTGCGGTATCCTTTTCTACACTCCCGAATCCATCTTTCTGGAAAGTTCGTTTCCTCCTTCGCGCGCCTATCCGTCTCCCAAGCCAGACATTGACTTCCAAGCCATCGAAGCGAACTCCAGCATCGATCTCCGCGCCCTCCTCGACAAAGACAAGCGTTCTCCGGAACTCGTTCTGCTCGTAGGCTCACCAGCCTCTGGGAAATCGACGCTATGCGACGAATACTTCCGAGAGTATCAGCGTGTGAACCAGGACACATTGAAAACCCTTCCGAAATGCATTCAGTTCGCCACGAAGTGGTTGAAGCAGAAGGTCTCGGTGGTGGTGGATAACACAAATCCATCGCGCGATGTTGTCTTTTGATTGTTTGTTGAGACTAGATTCGAAGGAAATGGATTCAACTCGCTCGGCAATGCCGTGTGCCGGTGAGAGCGGTGGTATTGGAGAGCTCGCGGAGTTTGGCGAATCATCTGAACATTTTTCGATCGTTTGGATTCGGAACTACACAGAGAAAAGTGCCGAGGGTGGCGATGAATGTGTTCTTCTCGAGATATGAGACGCCTTCCGAGTCAGAAGGATTCTTTGCCGTCGTCCAGATCCCCTTCCAAATGAAGAAATTCGCAAGCAAGGAGGAAGAAGAGGCCTTCCGTTGCTATTTGTGTGAGAGTCGATAGTGAATTATTTTTGATTGAACAAACACGCTATTTTTCGTTTGCCATAGTATCTGCTTCGGTTCGCGCGGCGTAAGCGTGAAGGAATACTCGAATTGCTGTCATTCCACAAGGATATACTCAGAAGCAAATCTTCATTTATGTCAGCCTTCGTGAGATGGATATATCGAATCACAGAACCACGAACAAAACAACTCGTCATGGGAATCTATCGATTACTCCTCTTCAGTGCAATATCACTAAATGGGGGAAGCGGTCCTTATTCACAACTTCCACATTTCCGAGCTTGAAGTTCAAAAACTGATCAACTGAGTCAATACTGCAAATGAAGGACAAAAACGATGATAAAAGTGCAAAAGGATATGTTCCACGGAGTTGCACATCGTTTTTCAGCTCGATGGTAACCACAGCACGATTTCCCTTCAAAACGTTGAACAAAGACAAGAAGATCTAGAGATAATAAATTCCAGGCACAGCAAACCATTTAACAAAAAATCTGAATGGGAAGACATAGTCGCTCTCGTTCCCGCTCTCGATCGCACTCCCGTTCTCGAAGCGACTCGAGAGATTATCATCGTCATCGTCGCCACGGCAGTAGTCGTCATGTTTGGAATGACAGACTTGTGACCATTGTAGAGGGACTCAAGCAGCTATTTATCACGAGCCGAATGGAATGAATTAAAAACCAAATCAAAGTTCGGGTAGCGTTTTCGTTCATTATCACGATTCTAGTCATTCTACGGAAGGAAATCGTTTTGGTGACGATGACTTGGATACACCTTTTGTTTGGAAGAAGAAAAATGCACAGGGCGCGACATCGGTATCTGAGAAGCAATTAGTTTTGAAACGAGTTTTATTCAATTGAATCCATTATTCATAGCTGGAGAACAGCGAAGAGATTCTAAAAACGCAAGCGAAGCGAAAAGAAGAAGAGGAGCGTCGTTTGGAGCGTCGCAAAAAGCGTGAAGAGCAAGAAGAAAGACGCGAAGAAAACGAGTAGACGCATGCGTTCCATCTCATTCTCTCAGAGCCAGACTGGCGCAACAGCGAGCCCAGGAGCTGCAACTCACGCAGAAACTCATCGGGATGCGTCTGCGCATTTCAGGGAACCGCGAGAAGCCCATCGACCGCATTCTGAAGAACATTCTTCTGCTGAACGTTCGGCTTCGTTCGCTGCCCTTACGCTTAGGAACTCAACAAACCGCTCACGCCGTTCGACAACTCCGTGCTGGGCCCCGAGATCAAAAGCGAGAAGGAGCCCGTGGAGGACATCATCGCATCATTGTCTGCCTCGGACACCACGGTTCTCCTGCACGATCTGGACGAGATCATGCAAGTTCCGCAGATGGACGCGTACTTAAACTACCTCGCAGTACGCAGGGATCGGGTTTTGATAACGCGAAGGCGGTTCGCGCGGTGATCGTCGAGCATTTGGGGGACAACGGCGACGACGAGAAAGCCATCCACGATTCCGTCGTGGTACCCGCGGGGCGTTCATGCGATGTAGAACGACGTGAAGGTGCTGGTGGAGGCGAAGTCCGCGGGGGAGATCGACTCGCTGCGGCGCGAAATCAGCGAGCAAATGGAGTCGGGCGAGGCGATGGACGTGGATTATTGGAGCGCCGTGGTGTCGCTGCTGCGCTTGGCGGCGTTCCGCGCGACGCTGCGGTCGGAGCAGACGCGGCTGATGGAGCAGAGCGACCGAGAAGTGCGAGCTGGGCCGGGTTTTGAGCGTAGAAAGAGGAGAGAATGGCGGAGCGAATGGCGGGGAAGTCGAGTCGAAGGCGGATTCCGGAGAGCGAAGCGGTGGAGAGAGAGTTCAGCCCGGAGCCCGTGGCGCGGTCGGCGATCGCCGTGAAGAATCTGCTGGTGCTGGACCCCGAGAGCGATCGGAAGCAGCTGAAGGAGGAGCGCGAAATGGTGCGGCATCGCGAATTGGAGGCTTTGTCGTGCCGATTGATCAAAGAAAGGCAGGGAGCGCTGCACGCAGAGCTCGCAGAGAGTGTTCGGTTCGACCGGGCTGCAGCGTAGGGGTGGAGAATCGCGGTGATCGAAGAGAGAGGACCGTGAAGGAACCGTTGCAGAAGGACGAGGAGGAGATGCGCGATGAGATCTGTCTGCCGCACCAGACGTTTGTGTGGCAGCAGAAATACACGCCACAGAAGCCTGTGTATTTTAATAAAGTTCGGAGCGGGTATGACTGGAACCAGTACAATCAAACGCATTACGACGAGAAGAACCCGCCGCCGAAGGTGATTCAGGGATATTCGTTTAATATTTTCTATCCCGATCTGATTGATAAAAAGCAACGGCCCTCGTTCTCGCTGGAGCCCGATCCCACCGATAGCAATTGGTGTGTGATTCGATTCCATGCGGGGGCGCCGTACGAGGACGTGGCGTTTCGAGTAGGAGTAAGATAGTAGGATTCGAGGTAGATTGTAAATCGTGCTTGGGACCGAAGTAGGAAATCGCGGTTCCGGAACGACTTTGAGCGAGGCGTGCTCCATCTCTATTTTGATTTTAAAAAGTATCGATATAAGTTCACATAGCGCTGTTTGTTGAACAAAGAGAACAGAAGAATATCATATTTTCATATATAATATAAATACTATGTTACATTACACTATAGCGAACACGCAACTGTTTGTTGAATTGTCTTTGAAGATATGTATTGTCAGGATCATTACAGACTAGAATTAAAAGAGAAACAACGCAACGTACTCAAATCTACACCCTTTTTCGGGCAAGGTGAATAGATGATATGGCTCGTTTTCTACCAGTAAAGCTCGGTGTCTTGAGTCTACATAGTTCACTGTGGAGAGAGATTCCTTCGCGAAAGAGTTCTTGTTCCAGCAAGGAAACAAATCCAAATCAATCGTCGGATAATCCATTTTTGCAAAGTGAGCTGAAGAAGGTTTCGCGGTAAAATAAAAACCGCGAAATAAATCTGGGGAACTACTGGAATGCCGAAAGTTGCGAGGGTTTTGGAAAACGTGAGGATTTTGGGAATTTGGTTGTATTCAAAATTAAATGAATTCGAAGGCTCCTAAGAAAAAGGTGGCTGTCAAGTCTGTACATTATCACGTTATCCGTGCAAAATTGTACGCTATTTTGACAATGAACGCATTGGAGGGCATGATGATGGAGTTGAACAACACCCTAGGCCAGGATTATAATGGACGTTTGGTTTTTTAACGTGGTTGATTGTAGCACGTATCGATATTCTAAGCGAGCAATTCAGACAGTATCAAAACTCAGATCTTTTTCCAACGAGTCACGGAGACTACATTGATAGGGCTGTGAAGAGTTTGGCGAAACAACTCGGCGTTCCTGTGGGTGTTGATTTGCAGAACGCTCAAGCGGTGAAGGTTCCATTATTAGTGGAGAACTTATTTCGTAGAAAGTGATTATGTCAATTGCTCGCAGCGCAAGTGAGCAGGAGCGAAAAGAGATTCACGAGTGGTTATCGGAAAGCAATGACATGATTGTGCGATCCCCTCACTACGAGAAGCTCATCGATCAGGCCTGTCTCTATTTCTACAAAAGACCCGCATCGGAAGTGAGCGAAGATACTCTTGCTTTTATCCGTCGTTCTGCAAACGAGCTGCTGCGGAACAAGTCCTCCAAGGAGGCAATGCGCAAACGCCTGTGCGCTGAAGATGAGGAGACATTAGACAAGATTATCCATGAAGGCGATGGTCTGGGCCGAGAGTATGATCTGCTTCCTCGTGAAGATGATAACAACGACGGCCAGGATACGGATGATGAGTTGATATTGAACAATGAAGAGTTGGCCATGATAAATCGAAAGCGGGGGAAAGTAACAGCCTCCGATGAGGATGGAGACTTTGTGGAGAAACGAGCAAAGAACGAGATGACCTTGTAAAGTAGTATTATCATTATTATTGGTGTTGCTGGTTTTTTGTTTTACAGGCGAATGAAACTCCCAACCACAATCTGGAGGTGGGTCAGTTCTCACTTTACGACCGTTTGAAAAATCGTTTGAGAAACAATGTCCGACTCAGAAAGCAGTGAACTGATAGACAGCGAAGTTGGTATGGAGGAGGAGGAGAATTCCGATTTCAATTCTTCTGACATTGGTGGATCGGAAGAGAATCACTCTGAGAGCGAGAGTGATGAAGTCGAAAATGAAAACGAAGAGTCTGATCAGAATAGTGTGCAGGAAGTTTTCATGAGCGATAGTGACATCGACGGAGGAGAAGTGAGTGACGATTCAAGTGAGGAATCGGAGGAAGAACGCAAATTGACCGAAGAGGAGTTGCGTCGCATCAATTTAGATGATTTCTCTTCAGATGATGAGGTACTCTAAGGATGAACGCATTACTCGCAGGAAGCCGGTAATACCATCGGCAACATTCCAATCAAGTGGTATGACAAATACGACCACATTGGATACGACCTGAACGGCGAGAAAATTATGCGTCCGAAGTCGCTGGACGCGATCGACAAGTACATTCACACCCACGACAAGAACGAGCGGTAGCTGGTGTTTCTTCTGGATTCACCGTTAGCTGGACGATCTACGACGAAAAGGAAGGCAAGGAGATCCGTTTGACCCCGCGCCAAATCGCCATCATCAAGAACATCCAGAACCACCAAGCCGCGCTTCCTGGCTACGACGACGAGCCGGAGTACATCCCCTACGCTTCCGGCGAGGTGGAGACCATGCCGCTGGTGGATCCGAACCCTGTGAAGAGCACGTTCATCCCCGCGGTTTGGGAGCGCCGCAAAGTGGCGAAGATCATGAAACGCATGCGCCAGGGGCGTTACAAGCTGCGTACCCGCGCCCTCTCTACGTCTCACGCGTAGAAGCGTCCAAGGAGACCAAGCTGTTCTACGACATGTGGGAAGAGGAGGGAGAAGAGCGCCGAAACGCCCCGCCCAGCCTGGCCGCGCCGAAACTCCCCCTTCCGGGTAGAAACGTGGAACCTGTGCGAGGTAGACCACAGCGAGTCGTACAACCCCCCCGAGGAATATCTGCCCAGCGAATCGGAGAAGCGGGAATGGGAGGAAGCCAGTCCCGAGGACCGGTCGGGGCGTTTCACGGCGCTGACTCGTAGAAAGCGGAACTTCCTGCCGCAGAAATTCGCGTGTCTGCGTCGCGTGCCGCTGTACATATCCGAGGATTCCCGCGGGGAGCCCTTAACGCCAGGCGAACTTCGTGAAGGAGCGGTACGAGCGCTGTCTGGACCTGTACCTGTGTCCGCGGTCGATCAAGCAGCGCATCACGATCGACCGCAACGCGCTGCTGCCGGAGCTGCCGAACATCAACGAGCTGCGGCCGTTCCCGACGACGCAGAGCCTGGAGTTCGACTTCCAGGCGGGCCGCGTGCGGTCGATCCACGTGGACGCGACGGGGTTCTATCTGGCGTCGGGCGGCGATGGAAAGCAGCGTGGGCGAGCGGGGTGGCGGTGACGCGAAGTGATCATTTCCGAGCTGATGACCGGGCGCGTGATGAAGACGTACGCGTTCCCCGCGGTGATCCAGGAGATCCGGTGGAACCCGTCGGCGTTGTACTCGGACGTGATCGCGGTGGCGAGCGAGACGGAGGTGTATCTGATCGACACCGAGCTCTCGGGGAACGCGGACGTGCATCGGCGCTGCCGCGATCTGCTGTTTAGTCGGCGCCGCGAGAAGGAACGCACGGAGTGCCGAGGCGTCGAGTGGCTCGTCAACAAGGCCGCCGAGCAAATCGACGAGCCCAGCGAGGCCAATGGAGCCAATGGGTCCAGTGGGTCCAATGAGGCCAGTGGGTCCAATGGGTCCAATGGGTCCAATGAGGCCAATGAATCCAATGAATCCAATGAATCCAATGGGTCCAATGAGCCCAGCGTGTTCGTGGACATGGCGAACATCGTGGTGCTGCGGCACAGCTCGCCGGTGAAGGACATGGCGTGGCACCACAAGGGCGACTACTTCTGCGTGAACGCGAGCTCGGCGTCGGCGTCGATCGTGTACATCCACCAGCTCAGCAAGGGCACCTCGCAGATCCCCATCAGCAAGCTGAAAGGCCTGGTGCAGCGCGTTCTCTTCTCGCCGTCCTCGCTGCCCTACCTCTTCGTCGCCACCCAGACCGAGGTCAAGATCTACAATCTCGTCAAACAGACCCTCGTGAACAAGCTCCGCACCGGGGTCAAGTGGGTGTCGTCGATGGCTGTAAGCGGAGTGATCGGGGTTTGACGTAGATCCATCCGTGCGGAGACAATCTCATCGTGGGAAGTTTCGATGCTCGACTGTCCTGGTTCGATCTCGACCTCGCGTCCACGCCTTACAAAACGCTACGGTATCACAAGAAGGCGATTCGAAAGGTGCAGTTCCACGATCAGTACCCTCTGATGAGCACTTGCTCCGATGATGGAACCATTCATGTATTCCATACCACTGTTTATAAGTGAGTCAGGGGATGAGGCGTGATGGGTAGTGATTTCGTACACAACGCGTTGATCGTGCCGCTGAAGATTCTCCGTGGTCACGAGATTAAGGACGATCTGGGAGTTCTCGATACGCAGTTCCATCCGACGCAGCCGTGGATTATTACGGCGGGAGCAGATCATACGATTCGGATGTATATCAATATTCCTTGCCATGTTTGTTTGAGTCATGTCGAAGGCTAGAAAGGTCGCATTTGCTATCTGCTCTATAGCAACTGCTACGGGTATAGGTAGAGGCGATAGGCAAAAACGTGAGCATTAGCTAGTACTCCAAAACTTGCGAATTTCTATATGGATAAACGGAAGTACCAAGTATTCAAGCTCCCAGAAGTCACTCGGCTAAGTGAAAACTTTTACGTTTCGCTAATTCGAAGATGACTATCACCATCCTCAATCAAAATATCTTTCTGAGGTTGTCCGATTATTTGCAGACAATGAGTGTATTGTGTTTGGTGATAATGGCTGTGGCTCAGTTGATTGTATCAACGAAGCTGCTTCAGATGAGCAATTACCTACTATCGTGCTTGATGGTCGTTCTGTGGGATTGAAAGAATCGATTATAAACTATGTGAAGGCACTCCCCGCGAAAACAACATTCTCTCGCTTTCTCTTCCGAACGGCCACTGCAGTTCACTCTGTTTTGAACCGGACTCCCTGGCTCGATCGCTACATGGATAGTTTGCCCACAGACACGAAAGTGGGATGGTTCGAATCGATTTTGCAGCAAATTCCCGCGCATTCCATGCCTCCGACTTCCGATGAAACGGTTTCGCCGCCTTCTCGTTCTTGTGTGATTGTCTGGCGAGTTGATTCGCTCACTTCCATTGCTGAGGAAGACTTTCAATTGTGGGAGCATCTTCGAAGCTCGTTTCCCGCGGTTCTGTTTGTGTTGACAAGTAACCGCGGTCCCTTGTCGGTGGACGAAGCAGTTCCCGGGTATTCGGTCCCGCTCTATGTGAACTTGGGAGGGAAATGTGATGGGTAGAGCGTGCCAGTGGTCGGTTTGGCTCCGCTTTCCAGCGAGGAACGCCAGGAAGTGACGAAACGAACAGAGAAGGAGAATGAATCATCAAAGAAGTCGAATGAATCATCGAATGAATCATCGAATGAATCATCGAATGAATCATCAAATGAATCATCGAATGAATCATCAAATGAATCATCAAATGAATCATCAAATGAATCATCAAATGAATCATCAAATGAATCATCAAATGAATCATCAAATGAATCACCAACATCAAATCACTCACACCCAACAAAGGATCCACAGAGGGACGACGAGCCGTCTAATTATAGCTCGATTCGATTCGCTTTGGATCTCACGAACGGCTTTTGGGACGATGCCATGGACATCCTCAAAATGACCGAAAACGGGGCGATTTCGATGGATTCCTGGCATCAATTAATGGGAGAAAAAGCGAACGAAATGAAATCCTTTCTATCGACCTCCTTGCAAACCCTTTCCACACGTAATCACTTCCATTCTTTGATTTCATCCTCAGACCCTTCCATCGATTCTCTCTTTCTTTTCTCCATTCTCTCTGACTTCCTTCGAAACCCACTTCTCATTGGTCCGGAGGGCGTTTCATCCATCATGAGCCAATCCGATCACTTGGCAGGCCAGTTCGTAGATCAGTCCTTGGAACATCTCCAGAAATTCTATTTTCTCCCTCCCCTTTTTAGCAACACAACATTCGGAGCGCTAGCCGTGCAAGATTCGATTCAATACGGCTACAGCGACATTCTCCAGCGAATTCTTCGCCTTCCTTCGGTCCGACCGATCCTCGTCGAGTCGGTGAAGAACAGTTTTGTGAACGATGAATCCATTTCGAAGATGGAAATCAAGGAAGACGCGGAGTTCGCATATCTAGAAAAGTACAATCGAGTGAAAAGCGCCAATGCGACCCTCACAATTCAATCCCTCCTTCGCTCGGGGCTTCTCCGATTGCAGGTTTTACATCCGATTTTTTGTCCGAACGGATGGACCGAATTAATTCCCGCTCTCTATCTCGCTCCTCACAATATTGTGAATGTCGCGTATATGACGCTGGAGGATGAAGTGGGGAAGGCGCATGTGATGGACAACTTGAAAGAATCGCAGCGAACAATTATGAAGCATCGAGAAAGCTTTTTGAGGGAGTATTACGCGAAGCAGCTCGAATCCGAATATCTTGTGTTGAAAGCGATCGCCGGAGAGTACAAAGCGTTCCTGACAGATTCATTCTCTGTGGAAGACTGGCTCCAGGGATTAATTCAGGTAGTGTCTGGAAATGGATTTCATTTTAGCTGGGAAGTTTGTCTACGGATTTCTATTTGCATGCGCAAATGCTGGTGAGAGAAACAGTGGATAACTCGGGAAAAGCGACCCAGGAAGAATTGGATGAGCAACACGCGCTTTCCGTGCAATACGAGAATTGGAGCAATGATTTGGTCCAAATGAACGACCAATTATTTGAAGATTACCGACAAGCTTTGAAGATGAGAAAAGAGAAGGAGGAGCAAAAGGAAGAGGAAGAGGAAGAGGAGTGCTCTGACTGGTGGTGATGCTAAATTGTTCTTTTATTTGTATTCTTGCTCGTTTGACTGTTTGTTATTCATTTTCTATTCTTGGGAGTTTCATCTAATTCTACATTTCCCTTTTGCATATAGAAAGCAAATTCAAATCGATGAGCAAATCCATTGATGATCCCGTTCTTATCTCGGTTCCTTCCGATCTAAAGAGTGAAGGAGTCATTCGTGGAGCGATCGCAAGCTCCAGCTCTCCCTACTGCAGTAAGCTTTATTTTGTCTATTTTCGGATCGCTTACCGTGCTTATAGCTATGAAAACGTTCCCCATTCCTAATCTTGGTGATTGTACTCTCGAACTCTTGATGGTATGCTGGAATCGATCTGCCTACCATGTAGCACTTGAGCGACGAGATGGTCAAGATGGATAGTATGTTGCGCCAGCTAATCGAGAAGATAGCCAAGACCTATCACGATATGTCTTTAGAGGGAAACTACAGAAAGCTCACTGTGGACGGCCGTAGTCTCGAAAAGTATCTGGAGGACTTCCATTGGGATGAGAGCCGTTTCCCGGAGCGCAACTCCATCGGTGAGCACAAAAATCTGATCCAGCAGGACACACGCAGCGTGGAGAGTGAGTTGCGCAAGATGCTGCAGAAGTACCAAGATGTTCACAGCAATGTGACTGCTCTGCGCCGAAAGCGAGGGTTCGCTTCTTCTTCTTTTCCTTCATTCTCACCGATAGAGCGAACATCCTCACAGCGCCGCTGAGTCTGATTCTTCGTGAAGAGGACGTGATGAAGGCGACGAACGGAATGACGCTGAAGGAAGTGTTCCTGAGCACGGACTACCTCGAAACCGTGGTCATTATCATCTCAAAGTAGGCTTTTGTCCCTCGTCTCGACGTAGTACGCAAGAGAAGGAGTTCCTGCAGAGCTACGCGAAGCTGGGCAGCGAGGAAGCGGGGCGTGAAGTGGTGGTTCCGGAGAGCGCGCGCCGCCTGGTGAGCGACAGCGAGGGCTACGTGCTGTTCTCGGTGGTGATTCTGAAGAAGTTCGAGCGCGCGGTGCAGACGGCGTGCCGCGAGAACCGCTACACGATGCGTCTGTTCAACCTGGAGGAGATGAAGGAGAGCGGCGCGACGGAGATGGAGGAGCGCGAGCTGGCGAAGTTCGAGGTGGAGGAGCGGAAGCTGAAGGTAGCGGTGAGCGAGGCGGTCGATTTGCGTGTAGTCGGATCTGCTGCAGTGGTGCCGACCGAACTACTCGGAGCTGGCGAGCGAATGGGTCCATCTGAAGGCGCTGCGCGTGTACGTGGAGAGCATTCTGCGGTACGGCCTGCACACGCCCACGTTCTCGTTCGTGGTGTTCGTAGGGATTGCGGAGAGAATGGCGAGCAGCCCAAAGCGAAGACCGTGGAGAAGCTGTTCGCGACGCTGGACGGGTTGTTCGCGGAGCTGGGAGGCAGCGTGAAGGCTTACGGCTCGCTGAAGGAGGAGAATTTGACGATTAGCGCGATCGTGGGGAATGAATCGACCAACTATAACTATGCTTGTGTGTCCATTGAAAAGCTCTCGGAGTGAGTTCTTGTTTGTTTGCTCAAACAGCCCACAAAAGTTCCACGTAATTGGCGGGGAACATGCCGACCTTGCCGTTGATCTCGCCCGTCCACCAGCCGCTCTCGTGCTGCCGCGTCACGCGCACCTTCTGGCCCTCGCGCAGCGGCAGTTCGTCCGCGTCCTCCCCCGCGAAGTCGTACAGCACGCGGGCCATGATTCCCTTCGGCTTCCGCGCGGGCCTCGCGGTCTCCTCCATGTCGTCCACGTCCACCGGCACCGGCGCGCTCGCTCCCTTCCCTCCGAACGGGTTTTTCTTCTGTCCGCCGCGGCTGAACGCGTTCTCCGCCTGCGCGCCGGGCGTGGGGCGGCGGAACGAGCCCTGCTGCGTCGAGCGCCGCGCCTGCGGGCCGCCGCGTCGCGTGCGCGGGTCCTCGTCGTCGTCCTCGTCGTCGTCGTCAGCCTCGTTGCGCCGCGCCTTGGGCCCTCTGCGCGATGTGGAGAGATCGGCCTGCGCGAAGGAGGAGTGAGGGTCGTAGCGCGCGACGATGGGCTCTTGCGGCATGCCCTCGTAGGGCTTGGTGACCTTGAACTTGTCCATCTTCTGCGCCAGCGTGGAGAAGAACTCCTTCTGGACCGAGCGGAACGTGCGCGTTTCGTACGCCAGGAACGTGGGGCGCGCCGCTTCGTACTCGTCGAACTTGCTGATGAGGCGGTCCGTGATGGTCGTCAGCGTGGTCTGGCACTCCTGACGCTTGTCTTGGTTCTAGAATCGAGGGGAGGGGAGAGGGGCGTACACGAACCATCTTGTTGGGATCGGTGTTCGGCTTGCTTTGAAGTTCCTCCACCTTGAAATAGTAGTGATCGTAGTCCATCTTGGCCTTCTTACGCGCTTCGATGGCCATCTGGAAGTGAGAGAAAAGTCGTGTACTCTACAAGAACTTCCTTCATGTCGCTCAGCTTTTCCCTCAGAGGCGTGAGAATCTCTTCGTTGATGCGCTGGGTCTAGGCTATCGAGGGGAGAACGAAAGCGGTTACTGCGCTCTTCAGAGGCTCGTCAGCACACTCCTTCATGATCTGATCGTAGCTGGTAGCGATCTTCTGGCTCGCTTCGGAGTCCGTCTCCTGGATACCGGTCATTAACGTCTCGCCGATCTTGACCATGTTTCCGCATAGATCTACACAAGAACCGAACGCGAGCAACACAAACCCGTAACGATTTTCTGGAATTTTTCAACCTCCTCAATCTAATGCGTAAAGCAGAAAACCAAAAGGAATACGAAATCAGTCACTTCCTTATGCAACTTCATAAACTGCTCATAAGGCTCATCCCATCTATCCATCAGAGATCTTTCCACTCGATCCTACTCTGGATTTTCCTGTGTCTTTGCAAGTTTAAAGGATTTGTGTTTATAGATCTGTTGCGCAGACAGAGCCGTATTCCTCATAGCGGACCCAAGTTTCTCTTTCAGTTTGTTCATGGTTGGTCTCTAAAACTACTATTTCCAAAACAAAACTTTATAAGATAGATCAATGCCAAAAATCGGCCGTATTCTGTATTTTTGGAATGGAATCATTCCAAACTGGATAGTGTACCTTTTGTTTTAAAAGCCAAATCCAAGAGAGTAAAGATGTACAACGATGATTGCTATTGTTTGGAACTCTATTATGACAGATGAGAACAATTCCTGAGGCACACCATCTTCCAATGAGACAGAATGCAATCTATTTTCCGTAAGAAGTGGAGAGCAAATAAACGACTTCTAAAAAGTTAGAAAATGCCTAGCTAAGTCCCAATGTCCCATTGCCTCCCTCCACATATGTTTCAAAACAAAGACAAAACATTCGTTTGCATGGCCGCAGATACACTTAATGCTTCTTGGCGTAGTGGGCCTTGAAACGATCGAAATCGTTCATGGCAGCCTTGGCAGCACGAGCAGCAAGCTTCTTGGCCCAGGCAGTCTCCTTCCACTTGTTGTCGATCTCAGCTACTCCTCATTTTCTGTTTCGAACCCTACCCTCCTTGTAAGCCTTGGCGACAGCGGCGGATTTAGCACCGCGCTCCAGAGGAATCACGAAGTCAGTGAGGTACAGACGAGACACCTATGCCTCAGGGAAGGAACGGACACAAAACAGAGATCTGCTGTCTCTTGACACCGGTGGTGGGTCCATCAATCAGCACCTAGCAAATGAGACACGGCTGCAAGCGTCGTACTCTCTTTCCGTCGATAATGTCGACAATCGTGCAGAGCTTACCGAAGTTGCTTCCATAGTTAATGTAAGCGACACGTCCAGCTTCAACAAATCTAGTGAACACCTACACAGGGGGTTAGAGACGTTCCTTCGGAAATCACGGCCTGCCCATCCCAAACGGCAGGAAATGCGTTTCCGGGGCTCCTAACAGAGACTGGAAACATACCATTTTATTAGTCCGCGAAACCACAAACGAATTCTTATAATTTCAAGAGGAAGTGGTGGTTATTGGATAGGGAAAAGTAGGTCCCAATAATGGTATTTACCTAGGTATAATAAGGGTCCATTCTGACCAAATATTTCCCAATTCTTTTCGTGTGAAATCGAGCTTGTAAAACAAATCGAGCAAAAGATCATGAGTTAGTATACAATTCCAATAGTACACCTTCGATATGGTCCAGTAAATAATACACTATTTGACAATATACAGTAAAGAGCTATAGCCGAGCCTTGTGCTATGTCTTTGTCCAACCCTGATTTCCCTGACGGCCCGAAATCTCGTTCAACTGGTTGAGGATGTGCTTTCCGCCGGTGCTCCTGCTCAGTTCTTCCTCGTAGGGCCGAACTGCGTTGTACAGCATTCGCTGCTGTCCCTTGCTCTCTAGCTTCAGTGCCTGCTGGATCACGTAGTTCGCATACTAGAGGAGATGAGATTTACCTTCGGTGCCTACGATATCATGCAGAACGTCTCGCAGCTTCGGGCATTCTGCGAGTTCCGCTACGACTTCGTTCCGCACCGACTCGGGAGCAAACAGCAGGATCTTCTCGATGACATTGGAACTGTACTTCTGGCACGACAGAGCCACCACCTTGCCCAGCACACATCGGGCGATCCGCTCCTTCTCGCTCTCCTTTCCCTTCTCGATGAGGTACTGGATGACGTAGTTGCCGAAGGGATCGCAGATGAGCTCCACCGCGGAGTTCACGATCGCGTCGAGCATCATATTGTGGTACTTCTCGGGCGCGAAGTCCAGACAGCGCTGCACCACGCAGCACCCGTGGCGTTGCATCGAGATCTGCGCGATCAGTCCCCTTCCCAGCTCCCCCTACATTCACGCAGCTCTTCACGACCTCCTCGTACACGTACACCTTGTACTCCTCGGGCATGTGGTTCAGACAGCGCTGGATCACGTGGTTGCCGTTGGAGTCGGAGCTCAGCTTCGCGATGTTGCCGCGCAGCGCGTCCATGATGTCCTTCAGCATGTCCTCCTGGCCATGGCATATTTGGATCAGCTTCTGCACGGAGCGCGTGCCGTGCACATCGAACGAGGCGGCCACGATCTTGTGCTTCACCTTTCGAAGCTACGCGTCACTCCGAAGCACGGCTGCTCCTACCACTTCGCGGCGCTGCTCGACGCTGCTCACGTCCAGAAGCTTCTGGAAGAGGTAGTTTCCGAACGAGTCCATCATGAGCTCGGTGAGACTGTCGCCCACCTCCTCGTAGATGATGGGGATCATCTTCTGCGAAGCGTTGTCCAGACACGACTGCAGCGCGCGACATCCGTTGTGGTCGTGGGACATTTCCTTGATGTGGCCCCGGTAGCTGTCGATGTCGTTCGACTGCCACATCGCGCTCTTCGCACTACGCGTCACCGCACCGCTTCTTCCCCACTTGTCCTTCCGCTTGAAGCTGCTGGAGTGCTGGAAGCCGCCGCCACTGCCGCCGCCCACTTCCAGCGTGGAGGAAAGCGAGCTGGAGGGGGGCGAGCGCGTCGACATCGAGCGCTGGATGCGAGGCGACTCCGAGCTAGACATGAGCGGGACTGCTTCGACGAGCTACGGCATCATGAGGCAGTTGGAAGCGGAGCTCTGCACACCGAGAATACGACGAGGCGAGATGTCTGCATCCACGTAGGGCGATGTGGGGACGGGAGAATAATGGGCACGCGGAGAGTAGCCCGAATCCGACATGAAGTCGTTCATCATCACACCGTTCTCGCCGTACATGTTCTTCATGGGCGTGAAGGAGCTCGGCAGCGAGGGCGGCGTGAGCGAGTTGTTGTCTAGCGATTATGCGGCACTCTGCACGCGTACAGGGGCGAGTGAAGTCGTCGTTGTCGAACGACGAGAGCATAAACCCATTGGACGAGGAGCTCAGCGGCCGCGACATCATGGTTCCATACCCGTTCTTCAGGTTGTTCATGCCGAATCCCAGCGAGGATGTCGATCCCGAGTTCAATCCATCCTTTCCGGAGAAGTAGGAGGTGGGACCTGTAGAGGTGGCGAGGGTTGGTCCCACGGAGGTGGCGAGGCTTGATCCCACGGACGTTGAGAGGGTTGGTCCCACGGACGTTGAGAGGGTTGGTCCCACAGACGTGGCGAGGCTTGATCCCACGGAACCCACAGGACCCACAGGACCCACAGGACCCACGGAAGGGACGGAGGACAGCGGCTGCGTCGGCGAGAAGAGGTTCTCCTCCATCACATCTTGCAGATTGGCCATCGTGAGGTCGTTCCGAGGGGTGTCTGCGAGCGACGTGCGCAGAGGGAAGTCGCAAGAATCCATCGTGCTGTCGCGGTAGTTGTAGACCCCGCCGAAGGAATTGCGGGTGTACAGCTTTTTGTCCTCCGTTGGGACGGAGCTGAAGGACGGAAGGTTTCCCCCGTCCTGGACCGAGCTATACCCGGAGAAACCCATCGATGGACCCTAATTGTGAGGGAGCGCACCTGACCTGACCATATTGTAGCAGGAATCATAGCAGGAGGGAAGGCCGCCAATACCGTCCATATTCGAAATCGTAAAACCTCTGTAGGAATCCGTAAAGCCAAGCTCCGAGCTTAGTCCACTTAATTCGGTTGTTGACCCTAGAGACCCATTGGGGCTTGGAGCGATTCTACAAATAAGTCCAAACGACGGGAGATCGACTCTCCAAAAGATAACAGTCTGGACGGGGCTACCAATGGTTTCTTTTCCGAATTCGATGATAAATGCTCGTTTAAATCGCTACTCGGTGGCTTCGATTCTAGAAATCAGAGAGAACGCATAAGTAGGACCATTCACTGTAGAAGCATTACTCATCTTAACAGTTCAGACAATTGTGATATCAAACACAAGTACAATCGATTAGGGTAGCACAATGGTGAATCAAATGGAATGTGATCGTAAAGTGGTCAGTCTTGATAATCATGGGAATAGTGGTAAAACAATCCAACAGATAATATCGGCTTAATTCTATTCCAATCCCCTTTTCCAACGCGAAAAACGAACAAACACACGAAACCAAACTAAACCACTAAATTCGCTTCTTGTAGGGCAGATAGTGCATCCTTCTCATTTGCTGCTCGTTGATAAACCGCATCTCGTCGGTGACCATTCCAAAATGAGACAGTCTCGCACTACAGATGAAACCCACCAAGAACGCAAACTCGTTCGCACACACACCATGGCCTTCTACAATCTCTCCCTTTTCGTCCACACTACAACTCTGAGTGGTTCTGGAAAACAGGTACCGATAGACTTTGTTTTCAGCTTCCTTGGATGGACGACGCGGCGTGACCATTTTTAAGAACTTTAACCGCGACTCCGCGTCGTGTTTCATCTCCTCAATTCTAGGTGTGAGCCTCGCGAGAAAGTGAAAACTTCGCAGCATCTGTCTCTCCAGCATGCTCACGAAATTTGGTTCGTATCTCCTGCAGAGCCGGGATGCGCTTCGCTTCAGGCTAGAGTGTGAATGAACCTCGCAACAGAGCGTGTACGAGGAGACGTGCTGTTCGTATGAGTTCTTTGTATAAGAATCGAACTTGAGCCATTTTCTATGGAAGAAGGATCGAGGTGACAACATGATGTGCGGACGCTATGCAGTCTAGCGAGCAAGATTCGTGCAAAACGGAGGTGAAGAAAAAGGATTTCAAAGAGGAGGAAAAGAGCAAAAAATCTGTTACAGTTCAAACTATGCAAAAATGTATCTAAAAGAATCGTTTGTGAACAGGTTAACACAGCGATTGCACGATATTATTCGTATCGATTGCCCGCAGCATGTTGGATCCCAGTATTTATTTTTCTGAGTATTTGTAAATACAAATATGAGTAACATGCCTATTGCTGTAAGCGAGGTGGCCAACGTAAGGATCTGCGTCGGTATCTGAGTTTTAGTTGACCGCTCTCGGCATCAATCCTGCTAACATTAACTTCAAGTGTGTGACTATGGAGTCTGAAAAATATATCTGCATTCGTGAGGACGGAGCGCAGGGAGCCTCTCTGACCGTTGTGGATCTGACCAACAACAACGAGGTTTCCCGTATTCCCATGGGTGCTGAGTCCACGATTATGAACCCTGAGTCGAAGATGGTTGCGCTGCGCAAGGGACTCGCTCTTCAGGTGTTCAATCTGGAGACCAAGTCGAAGGTGTCTTCTTTCAAGCTTCCTGACAACAGCGCCGTGGTCTACTGGTGCTGGGTGGACGCCAAGACCATTGCGATCGTCACTCAGACCAGCGTGTTCCACTGGAGCATTGAGGGAGAGAGCAACCCCCGCAAGGTGATGGACCGTCATCCCAACCTTGCTCAGTGCCAGATCATCAACTACCGCGTGAGCCCCGACCAGAAGTGGTGCATGCTGATCGGTCTCGGCAAGGGTGCTGAGAACAGCATTGCCGGAACGATCCAGCTGTACTCCGTGGACAACAAGAAGTCCCAGGTGATTGCTGGATTCTGCGGAGGCTTCCTGAACGTGGACAACCAGACGGCCAAGGGCCAGCTGTTCACCTTCATCATGAAGGAGGGACCCCGTGCCAACTGCAAGTTCCAGGCTACGGAGATCGGCAAGGCGGGCGGTTTCAAGGTGAAGCCCGTGGAGTTCGCGTTCCCCGCGGAGGCTGCCCAGGACTTCCCTGTGTGCATGGAGATCGATGAGCCTCGCTGCCTGGCGTACATGATGACCAAGATGGGTTACGTGTACATGTTCGATATCATGACCGGCACTCTGCTGTTCCGCTCGCGCATCAGCCCCGAGCCGATCTTCCTCACCACCAAGGTGGCGACCGGTGGTATCATCGGCCTCACCTCGGGCAAGGGAGGCATCATGAAGGTGACTCTGAACGAGGCCAACCTGGTCCCCTTCGTCATGAACGGACTGAAGCAGACCAACCTGGCTTTGGAGCTGGCGTGCCGTCTGAACCTCTCTGGCGCGGACGACATCTTCATGAACCAGTTCTCCGCCATGATCCAGCAGGGCAACATCAAGGGAGCTGCTCGCGTGGCCTTCAAGTCGCCGAAGAACCTGATCCGTAACGAGAACACGATCCGCAGACTGCAGCAGATGCCCGCTGCTCCCGGCCAGCAGCCTCCGTTCGTGGCCTACATCGGCGCCATTCTGGAGCTGGGACGCCTGAACGAGATCGAGACGCTGGAGTTCAGCAAGATCATTCTGCAGCAGGGAAAGAAGCAGATCATCGAGAAGTGGGTGAAGGAGGACAAGATCACCTGCTCGGAGGCGCTCGGCGATATGGTGGCGACGCAGGACGTGCGTCTGGCCATGGCCATCTACTACAAGGGCAAGTGCCACGAGAAGGTGGTTGCTTCGCTGGTGCGCGCTCAGCAGTACGAGAAGGTGCTGCAGTACTGCCAGCAGAACGACTACCATCCCGACTACAACGCCCTGGTGCGCAACATGATTTCCCAGGACGCCAAGGCCGCTGAGGGCTTCGCCAAGATGCTCGCGCAGAGCCAGGCCGACAAGATCGACATCCAGGGAATTGCCGACGCCTTCTACACCATGGGATACGTGCAGGAGTGCACCGGCTTCCTGCTGGAGGTGCTGACCAAGAGAGGCGATCTGCCCGAGGATGCTGCGCTCCAGACCCGCGTGCTGGAGATCAACCTGTCCAGCGGCAACACGCAGGTGGCCGAGGCCATCCTGTCCAACAAGATGTTCTCGCACTTCGACAAGCCCAAGATTGCCGAGCTGTGCGAGCGCGCCGGACTCTACCAGTCCGCTCTGTCCCTGTACACGGACCTGGACGCCATCAAGCGTGTGGTCGTGAACACCCACATGATCAAGCCCGAGTTCCTGGTGCAGTACATCGGTGAGCTGCCCGCCGAGCAGGCGATTGAGGTGCTGCGCACCCTGATGTCCTACAACTCCTCCAACGTGCGTCTGGTGGTGCAGGTGGCTCAGAAGTACTCGCAGAACATCGGCGTGGAGCCTCTGATCGCCCTGTTCGAGGAGTTCTCCTCTACCGAGGGTCTCTTCTACTTCCTGGGCGCCATCGCCTTCACCTCGACCGACGGCAACGTGCAGCTGAAGTTCATCGAGGCCGCCACCAAGATGGGTCAGTACAAGGAGGTGGAGCGCATGTGCCGCGAGGGATCTGCCTACGATCCGAAGGAGGTCAAGGCCTTCCTGATCGACTCGAACCTGCCCGATCCTCTGGCGCTGATTCACCTGTGCAACCGCTTCGACATGATCGAGGACATGACGCAGTACCTGTACGAGCAGCACCTGAACAAGTACATCGAGGCCTTCGTGCAGAAGGTCGCGCCCGCGAAGACCCCCGTGATCATCGGCAAGCTGATCGACATGGACGCCTCGGAGGACTTCATCCAGTCCCTGCTGAACAGCGTGATGGCCATGTGCCCGATCGCTCCTCTGGTGGACGTGTGCGAGGCGCGCAACCGCCTGCGCATGATCCAGCCCTGGCTGGAGGCTCGTCTGCGCGAGGGAAGCGTGGATCCCGAGCTGCACAACGCCATCGGAAAGATCTACATCAGCAACAACCAGAACGCCCAGGAGTTCCTGCTGAAGGACCAGTACTACAACAGCAAGGTGATCGGTCAGTTCTGCGAGAAGGTCGACCCGTTCCTGGCGTTCCTGGCGTACCGCCGTGCCAACGGAGCCTGCGACGACGATCTGATCCGCGTGACCAACGAGAACGGTCTGTTCAAGGACCAGGCGCGCTACCTGGTGGAGCGCATGGACGACAAGCTGTGGGGCATGGTGCTGACTCCCGAGAACGAGCACAAGAAGGAGCTGGTCGACCAGATCGTGAACACGGCGCTGCCCGAGTGCAAGAACCCCGAGATGGTGAGCCGCACCGTCAAGGCCTTCATGGAGGCGGACATGCCCGACGCTCTGCTGGATCTGCTGGAGCGCCTGGTGCTGCAGGGAACGGAGTTCGGCCGCAACAAGTCGCTGCAGAACCTGCTGATCATCACCGGACTCAAGGCTTCTCCGGAGCGCGTGCCCGACTACATCGAGCGTCTGGACAACTACGACGCTCCCCAGCTGGCGCAGCACTGCCTGGAGAAGGGCCATCCCGAGGAGGCCTTCCTGATCTACAAGAAGGTGAACATGCCCGTGGAGGCCGTGACCGTCCTGATCCAGAACATCAAGGACATCGACCGCGCCGTCGAGTTCGCCGAGCGCAGCCAGAACCCCATGGTGTGGTCGAAGGTGGCCAAGGCCCAGCTCGACTTCAACCAGGTCGACCAGGCCATCGAGGCGTACATCAGCGCCCAGGATCCTTCCACCTTCATGGATGTCATCACCGCCGCGGAGCGTGACGGAAAGTACGAGAGTCTGGTGAACTACCTGCTCATGGTGCGCAAGACCATGAAGCAGGCCCGCGTGGACTCGTCTCTGGCCTACGCCTACGCCAAGCTCGACCGCCTGAACGACCTCGAGGAGTTCCTGAGCGCGCCCAACGCCGCCCAGATCCAGGTCATCGGCGACCGCTGCTTCAACGAGAAGATGTACGAGGCCGCCCGCATCCTCTACGAGAACGTGGGCAACACCGCCAAGCTGGCGTCCACCTACATCTGCCTCAAGAAGTACCGCGAGGCCGTGGATGTCGCCCGCAAGGCCAGCAACATCCGCACCTGGAAGGAGATCCTGGAGGCCTGCTTGGCCGCCGAGGAGTACAAGCTCGCCATGACCTGCGCGCTGAACATCATCTCCTCGCCCGATCACCTGGAGTCCGTGATCGCTGCCTACGAGAAGAGAGGTCTGTACGAGGAGCTGATCAAGATCATGGAGCAGGGACTGGGACTGGAGAACGCCCACACCGGCATCTTCACCGAGCTGGCCGTGCTCTACACCAAGTACGCGGAGGACAAGACCATGGAGCACATCAAGGTGCACTGGAACCGCATGCAGAGCGCCAAGGTCATCCGCGCCTGCGAGAACGCCCGTCTCTGGTACGAGGCCTTCTTCCTCTACAAGCAGTCCGGTGACTTCGATATGGCCGTGCGCACCGTCATCGACCACAGCGCCGTGGCCTTCCGCGAGGAGGACTTCTTCGAGGTGATTCCCAAGGTGAACAACAAGGAGCTCAACTACCGCGCCATCGACTTCCTGGTGGCCGAGCACCCGATGCTGCTGCAGCGTCTGCTCAACGCCGTCAAGGACACGCTGGACCACGCCCGCGTGGTGCGCCAGCTCGAGAAGACCGGCAACGTGGCGCTCGTGATGCCCTACCTGAAGGACGTGCAGTCGGAGAACATTGCGGGAGTCAACGAGGCCATCAACAAGGTCTACATCGAGGACGAGGAGTACGAGAGTCTGCGCAAGTCCATCGACGCCTACGACAACTTCGACCAGGTGGCCATGGCCTCGCAGCTCGAGAACCACGAGCTCCTGGAGTTCCGCCGCATCGCTGCCTACCTGTACAAGAAGAACGAGAAGTGGGAGAAGTCCATCGCCATCTCCAAGAAGGACAAGATGTTCAAGGACGCCATCGACACCACCGCGCAGTCCAAGAGCAAGGACCTCACCCAGAGCCTGCTCGAGTACTTCATCGAGATCCAGGACAAGGAGGCCTTCTGCGCCACCCTCTACACTTGCTTCGAGTTCGTGCAGCCCGATGTGGTGCTGGAGCTTGGCTTCCGCAACGACATGATGAACTTCTGCCTGCCCTACTTCGTGCAGTACGTGAAGGAGCTGAATGAGAAGGTGACCAACATGGAGTCCGCGCTGAAGCCCATGGACATGCCTCCCATGGGAATGATGCCCCCGATGCCCATGATGCCGCCCATGGGTAACGGTCTGCCCATTGCCGACGCCCCCAAGGGATCTCCTTCCCAGGGTCCTGTTCCCATGCCGCCCATGGGCAACATGCCTCCTATGGGAATGATGCCTCCGATGGGTAACATGCCCCCGATGGGATCGCCCTCGAAGGGACCTGCCATGCCTCCGATGGGAATGATGCCCCCGATGGGCAACATGCCCCCGATGGGTAACATGCCCCCGATGGGATCGCCCTCGAAGGGACCTGCCATGCCGCCCATGGGTATGATGCCCCCGATGGGAATGATGCCTCCTATGGGCAACATGCCTCCTATGGGATCGCCCGCCAAGGGACCTGCCATGCCGCCCATGGGATCGCCCGCGAACGCTCCTGCCCCCATGCCCGGAATGGGATGGTAAGCGAGAAGCGCAGTGAAGAGAGAGAAAGAAGAGTGATTTGCTTGCTGTTTGGTGTTTGTTCGAAATCGAAGCGGTGGATATTTCAAGTCAAGGAGAAAAGAGCAATAGGAACATCGGAATGGAAATGGAAATCGAAATAGGAATAGGAATAGGAATGATTCTTAGGAACAAACAGAGGGATCTAACATTTTTATTTTTACTTTTATTATTTCACAGTTTTAATGTCCAACGTTATCGAGGTCAACGGAGATCTCTCCAAGTGGGTGAACCCTCGAGAGAAGCGCCTGGTTGTCATAGACTTCTTCGCTACATGGTACACGTGCGTTGCTTTTCTGATATCTAGGTGTGGTCCTTGCAAATATATGCATCCGATTTTCGATGATTTCAGTGTCCGGTACAAGAATGTTGTGTTTTTGCGGGTCGACAGCGATAAGAACCGCCATCTATCTGGAGAATACGGTGTGACTGGGTTGCCAACATTTGTTTTTGTACTTCAGGGAACGGAGGTGGATCGCGTTACCGGAGCGGATGCGAATGCCGTGGAGCGGAACATTCAGAAGTATGAGTCTGCGGGAAGCGGATTCCAAGGAAAAGGCATGGCTTTGGGCGGAAGTTCGTCCGCCTCAGTTAATGCTCGTGAGATGCGTCTCAAGAAGTTTGGAGGAATAAAAATGTCCGCAGCGAGCACGAGTTCGCACATGAACAGCATGCTCAACAAGATGCTCTCGAAGGAGGATTCCGACGGTGACGAAGAGGAAGAAGAAGTAGTAGCTGAGGAAAAGGATAAAGCCGCTTCACAGTCGTACGCAGCTCAGTGTGGAGTTGACATCGCAGATCGGAATCGACGGCTTCCTTGCGAGACACGCTTCTTTCCATGGGTTTCACCGCTGCCCAGGTCGACCAGGTTACCACCGTTTCCACCTTTCACCTAGACGCTCCGCGAGTGCCCTTCGCGCGACCTCACCGACCTGGTCGTGTACATAACCGCGCTTCCCGCCCCGGCCGACGCCGATTCCCGCGGGGACGCGCCCCACGTCGAGTGCGACGGCACGCAGTGCCGCCTGGTTCCATCGAATTCGTCGAATTCATCGGGAGTTTCATCCAATTCTTCGGGAGTTTCATCGAATTCTTCGAATTCGGCGGACTTCCAGAGCCGCGTGGAGGAAATGCGCGCCAAAATCCAGCAGCGGCGCGAAGAAAAAGCGCGGGAAGAAAAAGCGCGGGAAAAAGCGCGGGAGAAGGAGCGGATCGAGCGCGGGAAATTGGACCAATTGCAGCGCGCGGAGCTGGAGCGAACGCAGCGGCAGCGCGAAGCGGAGAAGGAAAGGCGGGAGAAAATTGCCGCGGAAAAAGAGCGGCAACGGCAGCTGGAGCTGTGGCGCAAGGATCACGGGATAACCGCGGAACAGCAGCAGGCGAAGTAGAGTTGGCGGGGTTTTGGGAGGTAGGATTCCCGCGGAAAAAACGCCGGAGGAGCGCGCGCAGCTGCTGGTGGCGTCGCTGATGCTGCAAACCGCGGGGAACGCGGGTCGTCGTGCGCTGAATACGGTGCGCGCGATTCTGCAGAACGCGGGAAAAGAGGACCCGAAATATAGGCAAATCCGGCGCGACAACGCACTGCTGCAGAAAAACGTGGTGAGCGTGCCCGGAGCGCTGGCGCTGCTGCAGCTGGGGGGATTTGAGGTGGAAGGAGAGTTGCTGGTGATGAAGGAGTTCGATGCGGAGAGAGTAAGCGTGGTGTTGGGTTGTATGCCGTCGATGTGATGTGTTTGTTGGATTACGCAATGGAATGAGGGAGTGAGAGAGAAAGAGAAAGAGGTGGTACTATGTGTGGGTACTAGTGCGTTTGGATGAGAATAATGGTGAATGAATGTTGCTACATTGTTTGATTCTGTAAACTTTCATTGTATAATACCAGATTTTGGCTTGCGAACTTGCGAATTCCCTTCCCTTCCACTTCCACTTCCACTTCCACTTCCCTACTTCCACTTCCACCATCCATTCTGTTTCCCTCAAACAAATCAAAATTCCAACGGCCGAATCGCAAAGAACTGGTCCACGACCTCCTGCGTCACGTTCTTTCTCCGCTCCTGGAACTCTCCGATCAGCGTCTGCAATTCCTTTATCAGAATCTTCTTGACTTCCCCGGTGAGCATCTTTCCGCTCGCATACTCCGCCTTGATGCGCATCAGCTCCTCCTCGTCCTCCAGGAAATACTCCAGATACTGATACGGAATATCCTTCGCCAGATCGGCTCCCAATCTCCGCTGCTCCTCCTCCGTCTCCCTTCCTCCGCTCACCGCGTACTTGTTAATCTACCGCTCACCTCTCCCCTCATTCTCTCCCACCTTGTTCTTAATCTGATTCGCCGTGTCCGTCACGTAGATGCACGTGTTCTGGGTCGACGCGCTCATCTTCGTCCCCAGCCCCGTCAGCGACGGGATGAATTTGCTGTGGATCAGCGCCGGTTTGAACTCCTTCAGACGCACCGCCACGTCGCGCGTCATGCGGAAGTACGGGTCCTGGTCGATCGCGCACGGGATCAGACAGCGGAGCTTCGACGAGCACAGAACCCGCGGGAAAGACGACGAAAACGACGGCGCCGCTTGAATCGCGGGGAAGGCTTGCTGGCCGATGTTGGAGTCGTCGGAGAAGCCGAAGATGGCACGTGCCTGGGTGAGAGAACCGCGGGAATGGTACGGTGTTGACGGTGACGCACTTCTGAATGCGGACGATGTTGGGGTACATCTCGCCGATGTAGCGCATGTCGTTGAAGATGAAGGTCTGGATGGGACAGAAAAAAAAGGAAATACGAGCTTGGGGTCGAATCCGCAGGCAATGATGTCCTTCGCGTTGTCGATGCACATCTGCCGACACTCGTCGAGCGTGAGCTTCTTCCACAGGAACTTCTCGTCGTCGGTCAGCTGGATCACCAGGGGGCAGTGGAACACGTCCTGCAGCCACTTGGTGAAGAAGAAGGGGATCAGATGCCCGAGATGCAGACTTCCCGAAGAGGGGCCTCTTCCCGTGTAGAGATAGAATTTCTCTCCCTTCTCGTACGCGTCGAGAATCAAATTCAGGTCTCTGAAGAGATTACGAATAAAAAAGACATCGATGAGTACCTGTGCGAGAAGAACAGTCCACGACGCAGCCAACGGTGAACAGGCTTCCCAGTCACCTTTTCGAAACGATCAATCAGTTCCTAAACCATCACCCACTCATCTAACCACTACTTGAGAAATCGGAGAGGAACCGAACGTGCGGATCAGCTTGGCATAGTCCACTCCATCATCGCCCGCTTCCACACTCCAGGGATTCACATCCTGCTCCTAACAGTCAAAACGGGTAGCAGAAAAGGCACCTTCTTCTCCTTTGGTGTCGATTCGGCAGAAGCAGCAACGTCGTTAGCCACAGGCTCCTTCATACTCTCCGTTTTCTCTACTTCCTTCTTGGCCACCTTCTCCTTATTCGTCTGCTTCGGTTGGTTTGCTTGCTTGGGTGCCGCGGGCGCCTTCGCAACCAATTTCACAGAATTCGTCTGGATATAGTCCATAACACGTTGTTTCAAGTCGCTCTCCATGTTTATTGCGTGGGTGTTCGACTCAGCGAAGCCGTTCAATGTTATTTCTGCTCTGGAGTCGTGAGTGGCAGAAAAAGCACTATTTTTGGAACTCTTGGAGTTGACTCGATTTTAGCTTCATGCCACCTCCAACAACGTTGGCATCCCGTCTCAAATACGCTAGCGTGATCGTAGTGCCCGCTTTGATTTTGGGAGGTTTTTGGTTTTCTCGAGTGGATTCCGCGTAGGCGCGATCTGGTACACCTCCTACGGAACGGAAGAGCGTAGACAGCGCTACAAGGCACATCAAGAAGAGTGGGAGCGCGAATCCCGCAAGAAGCGCCTGGAAAAACGCCGCAAAGCCGAATCGGACAGCCATTCTACTCCTTCCGATTAGAATCAAACATCTGCTTATTTTTTCTTTATTTATTTAACAAACACGTTCACGCGACTCCAGCGCTTCCCAAGCTTCCAAACTTTTCGTTCCATTGCTTATACCCATCCAGGTCATCTTGCCCCACACTGGCTCGGACCTGTCCGAACGCATATTCAAAGTCCTCCATGTTGATAGGCCGCAGATTCGACAGCTACCTCGCAGCGTCCCCTCATCCCTACATTCATCCCTGCGATGCCTCCTCGCTTGCTCACATCCCGAATCGGTCCCATCGCCGCTTCCCTACACAGATTATGGATATCGGCACACGAATATCCCTCGCTCCGCTCGACCAAGACATCAATCTGCGCATCATCGATCTGGTTCTCGTTCTTCTTCAGCAAAATCCCAAACAGCGCTTTCCGCGTCTCCTCGTCCGGCAGCGGGATGTACAGCCGCTTCACGAACCGTCTCCGCGCCGCCTCGTCGAGATCCTGCGGCCGATTGGTCGCTCCGATGACCAAAATCGAGGCTTTTTCGGCCGATGAAACCCCGTCCAGCTGCACGAGAAACTCCGTTTTGAGACGACGCGTCCCTTCCAGATCGTCCTCTCTACCCATCACCTTCCACGTTTCCACGTTTCCACCTTCGCATGCCGAGCAGCGAGTCGATTTCGTCGATAAAGATCACCGACGGCTACACATGAGTTCCCCGCGGGAGGGCCACCGCTTTCATCTCGGCGACGCCGAAGAGCGCGCGCACCATCTTCTCTCCCTCTCCCATCCACTTGCTGGTGAGCGAGGACGCGCTGATGCTGAAGAAGGTGCATCCGCCCCCGTGCGCGATCGCCTTCCCCAGCAGCGTCTTCCCGGTCCCGGGCGGCCCGAACAGCAGCAGTCCGCGCGGCACCGCGCGCAGCCCGGTGAAGAGGTCCGGTCGCTGCATCGGCCAGATCACCGCTTCCATCACGCACTGCTTCGCGTGCGCCAGACCCGCTACGATCGAGTCCCGCGGGGAGCCCTACCGATGTCGTCCCACGTGACCGGCGCGCCGTGGTCGATGATTTCGCTCAGGATGTTCACGATGAACCGCTCGTCTAGCCCGCGCAATTTCTCCGGCAGCGAAGCAGGGTCGATGCCCAGCTCCTCCAGGGAATTGCCCGCGCCTCCCGCGGCCCCCGCGGCCCCCGCGTCCGAGGATTTCCCGCGGAACAGAGACTTCCCGATCGTCGTCATCGAATCGTCCGCAGAACCGCGGGACACCGACGACGGCGGCGAGAAGCGGCGTTTCCCGCCGAGGGATTTGCCGCGGGGAACTCTGAGGGAGAGGGAAAGAGGGAATCGGACTTGTCGGGAACCGCGGTTTTTCCGTATTTTCGCTGCTGGTCGAGAATGTACTGGCTGCGCGCGGAGATGAAGCCCCCCGCGGGAGGAGGCGCGGAGTCGGGTTCCGCGGGGAATGGAGAGTCGAGGGAGGTCGGGGGAACCGGGGGAACTGGGTTCATTGGGTTCATGGAGTTCATGGAGTTCATGGAGTTCATGGAGTTCATGGAATTCAAAGTGTTCGAAATATGCAATGAATTGAGCGGATTTGGGTTGTTTCGTGAGTTCTGAGAATTCAATTCAATCAAAAAGAGGGGAACATTCAGTGAGGGGTAGTAACCCCCAGAGGACGCAGCATTCTCGGGATCCATCGCGTCCTCCAGTGTCTCCACTTCCATGCGGCTTGCATTGCTGTCATAATACATACGCTTTGAATTTTGCGCGGCATACGGAGAGGCACGTTTGGGGAAGCGGGTTTCCTGCGGAATCGGTTGTTTGTATCCTGGATTACTGGCTCCAGCACGCGAAACGCGATCCGAATACACATCCGAAGGTGACGGCTCCAAGATGGATTTGAACAATGCCTATCCGTTGTACACAGCCACAACTTACTACGTCACTATCCGAAATTAGTGAAAACTCATTGTCCAAAGATGCCGCAAACGAAGTTCCGATTCCAGAGCTAGACGATACTACCTCCGTGTCGTAGCAATGGAATAAATCATCACACGCCCACAGCAAACCTTCCCTCCCTTCATCGGCCAACTCTTGTCGCAACGTGAGTTCACCCCTTCGCTTCACGTCGTCTCCCTCCTCTCCACAAATCCGGTTGATCAAGTTCAAAATGGTATCCGCGTTCATTTCTTTCTACCCTCTCGAACCCTCTCAGACCCTGTCCGACACCACCCCATTCTATCATCTCACAAAACAAACCACCCTCATTTCTCTAACAAACACGCACACTCCTTTGTTGTGGATCGAATTCTATTTACCACTGAGCCTCGGTGGCGGGCTGTTCCCAGTTGTCCTCAGTAGCAGCAGCCTGAGCAGCGGCCTCAGTCTCGGCAGCCTGCGCGGCAGCCTCAGCAGCCTCCTTCTGAGAGTCCTCAATCTCCTTGGGGTCGCGAGCGAAGAACAGATCGACGCAAGCATCCCACTCAGCATCGCGGCTCACGATGCCACGGAAGCGGAGCACCTCACGAGCGAGGAACCACATCATCAGACCGATGGAGTTCTTGTTCTTGGTGTTGCAGGGAATCGCGCAGTCCACGTACTCCAGAGGAGAGTCGGTATCGCAGAAGGCGATCGTGGGGATGTTCACGCAAGCAGCCTCATGGATGGCCTGCTTGTCGCAGCTGGGATCGGTCACGATCAGCAGACGGGGCTCACGGAACTGCTTGGTGATCTGGTTGGTGAAGGTTCCGGGGGTGTAGCGGCCGGAGATGGTCTGGCAACCAGTGTACTTGCAGAACTTCAGCACAGCGCGCTGAGAGTTCTCACGAGCACCGATCACGATCACATCCTGAGGGTTCTCAATGGCAACGATGATACGGGCAGCCAGCACCAGCTTCTCCCAGGTCTTGGCCAGATTGATGATATGGACTCCCTCCTTGTTGCGGCGGAACACGTAGTCCTTCATCATGAAGTTCAGGTTCTTAGTTCCGTAGTGGGTACGAGCGACCAGCATCTTGCGGACGTCGTCGTCACTACGCCATAACGCTTATCTATATGTCCCTTACGTGGGTTTAGTGAAAGCCATTCCTAATAATTCAACACAACAAACGAATTTTGCTGAATCATTCAATTTATTTAGATCATTGCACGATCCTTCGTGGTGTCCAAATCGGACAGTCGCCAAAATAGTTTGGAAACAAACAGGCAATCACCTATACATTGTCTAGTTCCTTCTCTGGCACGCCTGGGGCATCTTCCACGCACAACATCATTTCGCGAATGCGGTCTTTCCGAGCCCAGTCTATCCGGCTCGCCAATACGAGGGAGGAATAGATGTTACGGAGAATCTCGTTCTGACGGCGCTGAACTTCGTATTTGCTTATCGCTCTACACTCTAGCGGCCTATCTTGCGATACATTTTCAACTCATGTTGCTGTTTCTCTCGATTTACCGATTTCGATTCTTTTTCCTCCATTTCTTGAAGCACTGTTTCTTGCTCCTACCCAATCCAATAGAAAAATCACGCACTACATGGATTTGACCTCTTAACGTGTCACAAGCAGCTTTGAGAGATTGGTTTTCCTCCAGCAGGCTCGCATTTTCCTGCAGCTTTCTTTCGTACTCCTTGCGCAGACGCTGAAGCTGCAGAACACGTCGATCTCGACTTCGCATTTCCTCCTAGCAATCAAACCAACAGACGATGCTATACGATAATTCTTTGTTCAGCATCCGTTAGGATAGTTCCCGGTTGCAAAATCGATTCCAGCTGTCTCGACTGCTCCTCTCTCAAGCACTTCAACTGCTCTATTTGTCTTGTGATCAGCAACTTTCTTAGCTCATTCTGAAGATCCGTTTCAGAGCGCAGGGAATCCCCGGAAAGTTCTACACTGAACTGATGAATTCAACGCTACTCATTTCTTTATAAATATCTCTTCTTGATTGCTCTACTTGAAGCAGATGATAACTAGAAGCCACTCTTCTGCGTCTTTTCTGCTCTTCCACAAAAGGTTCCTATTTTTTAAATCTAATCTTCAAAAGCACATCTTCCACATCGGATGGAGTTACTAGTACAGTTGGAAAACTTAAACATGTCTACAAACAAAAAAGGGAAAAGCAGATACATCTCGAATTGAATGGGCTATTTCAATGATATCTTGAAATGGATCCATTGCAGAAAAACAACTCGCAGATTTTGGACAATAGGAATTGTGACTTGTCGAAAAGGGGTTGAATATATATAGATTATTTTTTTACACTCATATATATCTATTCGTAGTTGCACGAATTCAATAATGGATTTGAGGAGTTGGAGTGAAACAAAGTGTAGTTACTTATTGCTGGAGGAAAATGATCAATGGCTCAAACCAAATAGACCTCGCAGCAATCCATCATAAAAAAATGTCTACACCCAAGATTGATTCTCACCAGCACTTTTGGCACTACGATCCCGTTGTACTCTTTCCAAATATTGGAAAATGATATGCAGGAATTCGCTTGGTTAAACGAGGATATGAAGTCCTTGCGGAGAGATTTCCTGCCTCCAGAATTGAAGAACCATCTCGAAGCTTACGGAATGGATGGGACGGTAGCCGTTCAAGCTCGCCAATCCGAAGAGGAGACGAACTTTTTGTTAGGGCTTGCAGAGCAATACCCTGAAGTGGTCCGTGGTGTTGTGGGATGGTTGGATCTCCGCGCTGATGATATTGAGGAAAAAGTATGTGGTTTCTTTCCGTTCGTCCCAAATAGCTTGCGCTCTACTCGAAACGAGATAAGCTTGTTGGAGTTCGCCACATCGTACGTCCATATCCTCTTTCTCGAATAATAGGTGCAAGATGAACCGGACGATGAGTTCTTATTGCGCGAGAACTTCCTACGTGGCATCAGCCTTCTGAAGAAGTACAACCTGACCTACGATATCCTAATCTACCCGAAGCACTTGAAGGTAGCCAAGGAATTCGTAGCGAAGTTCCCTGACCAGCCTTTCGTCATCGACCACATCGCGAAACCTTTCATTAAGGACCACATTATCGGTGAGTGGGAGCAGGGCATTCGCGTAGTCGTTGTGATTGGCTGAGACCTAGGATCTGGCCGCTTTTCCGAACGTGTTTGTGAAGGTGTCTGGGATGGTGACGGAAGGAAACTGGGCGAATTGGAAGGAAGAGGACTTCACACCGTATCTGGATATTATTTTCGATGCGTTCGGTGTGGATCGCGTGATGGTGGGATCGGATTGGCCGAGTAGGGAAGAAAAAGAGAGAGTGGGGTGAAGGGTAGTGATGACGCTGTGCGGTGAATATGGGCAAGTGGTGGATATCGTGAAGAAGTACATTTCCAAGTTCAGCGAGGCGGATCAAGCGAAGATTATGGGCGGGAATGCGATTCGATTCTATAAGTTGAAGGTTTGAATTCATCGAATGGAATGAAAATGGAATGGAATAGAATTGTTGTTTGTTCTAAATGGAATGAAAGTGGAATGAATTGAATTGAATTGAATTGAATTGAATTGAATTGAATTGAATTGAATTGAATTGAATTGAATTGAATTGAATTGAATTGAATTGAATTGAATTGAATGGAATTGAATTGAATTGAATTGAATGGAATTGAATTGAATTGAATGGAATTGAATTGATTTGATTTGATTTAATGTGATTTGTTGTTTGTTTGTTCATTTGTTTGCTATGAATCCCATCGAATCCATTCGAATCCTTGTTGGTTACTCGTCTTGATTCCACAACCCCTTCACTAATGTTTCGCACAAACACAAAGTACAGCAACTCCATTATTCCACACAAACCCATTTACATCTCCGAATAACTCAGCGAATCAGCGCGCGCCCGTTTCCCACTAAACGAATCCCTTCGCCTCACTCCTCCTCCCCTTCTACTCCCTACGATCGTCGCTTCGCGAACTCATCTTCCTCGATCTCCGAATAGCGCCGATGATACGGCTCCTTCACCGCACTCCCCACCGCCTCGCCGTGCCCTTCCGCCACTTTCTCTTCGCTCGGAATGCAGTTCTTCAGCTATCCCTCACGCCTCCTCTCCGCTCTCACATCCACGCCCATGTTGATCAGCAGCTGCTCGATCCGCTTCTCCCGCACCTGCCGCCGCTCCGTCAGCATCGCCGGCGTGATCGTCGCGTTGTCCTCCGCGCGGTACTGATACGTCGGATGCCGCAGCAGCATTTCGTCCTCCACCTTCACGCCCTGCTGGCTATTCAACAGCGTGATATGATCCTCCTTGATGTAGTCCGCGATGTTGTAATCCGCATAGTTCGGACCCAGCATTTCCTCCGGAATCGGCAGCCCAATCCCGTACGCCGCCACCAGAATCAGCGGCCGCACATCGTAGTGCATGTTCTTCCACATCAGTAGCTGGATCCGAAGCAGCAGCTTCACGTACATGCCCCGCTTATGCAGATAGTAGAAATCGATCACGTCCTGCACCGACCGGTTCGTCAGCGTGTTCGCGATGTACCGGAAGTCCTACGCCTCGCCGCTTCCCGCCGCTCCCACCTTCGGACGATTGAAAAACCCGTTGATAAAGATGAACTTCTCCATGTCGCTCCACGGCCGGCTTCGTTTGCTCAGTTCAAACAGTTTCAGCGGACAATTGCAGTCCTTCTCGCACGCGATCGCTACCCCTCATTCCACGTTTCCACCATCTACTCCGCGGGACGTCCTGGCAGCGCATCGGCTTCCCGTCGGTGGTCAATTTATTGTTATGATTCACATACACGTAGCGCACTGGCTCTTGGTAACACAATGAAACATCCGCTTGGCGCGATCGGAAATACGCAGGGTCCTTTGCCTCACCATCCACGCTCGATCCTACTCGCGGCGTCGCCGACTCTGCATCCACCATGATCGACGTCTGGCTTCGCGTCACGCGCGCCATTGACCGCGGGGCTACGCTTGAAAACCCGCGGGAAACCCACGCTGCGACCGCTTGTCGCGCTTGTTCTCCAAATCCTCCTTCCACCCGCGATTCCCCGCGGAAGAGTCGTCGTCGATTCGGTGCAGCGCGTTCCAGTGGTCGTTGAGCCGCTTGAAACGCGTGTTGACTTCGCGGATGTGGAGGAAGCGCGCGCGGATTTGGCGGGCGATGACGGGGACGAAGAGAGCGCGGTTTGAATTGAAAGCAACTTGGTTTCGGTGAATGATCGCTTCCGAGTTCACGCGGTAGGAGCTAGGAGAGAACGGGGCGGGGAGCGGCGCGTACATGCTTTCTCCGCGAGGGTAGATGAGTTTTCGCTCGGATTCGCGGTGGCGAAGGCGATTTTCCTCCCAAATGCGGTTCGTTTGGTCTTCGAGGGACTCGGAGAGAAGGGAGGTGGATTCGGGGGAGAGCGGGGTGTCTGTGGGGAGAGTAAAAACGATTTGTTTGTTTGCCAGTGCGTGGCATTTGGTTTCATTTACAGAAATCTTGTGTGTGAGCTGCGCTGGTAAAAGTAAAAATAATAAAAACTTGATCGCAGGTGTCATTTATGTGTTGAATATAGGATTGCAAAGAGGAACAGGAAGGAACAGGAATCTAGAATCAACGTTATTTCACATCATTACAGGCTCAACAAGTGATTCGACCAATCTATAGGTGAAAAAAAGTATTGACTCCTACCGTGGATCAATTCCTGCTCTTTTGGACAGCCGACGAAGTAAATTCTATTTTGATGAGTTCGCTTCATTCCACTCATACTCTTCCCCAAATTGCTCCATCGACCTTGACGTTTTGCTTCAATTCACTGCTTCTACCCAATCACACTTTCTATTGCATTTTCGTACCCTTCATTCATGAACGAGCAAAAATGAATAAAGACACAATGTCTAATCTACAGAAAGAAATGAAAATAATGATGTTTAAATCTCTTGTTTGAAATTAGAAATGGGTTTAGTGAAGAGAAAGGAGTGAATATTGATAATCAAATGAGGAATCGGACAGTTTTAAAAATCAAATTCATGGAGAGTCAATCTCCTCCAATGGAGGAGAGTCGTAAGTTTGAAGGTGTGGAGGGCGTATGGAGTTCAGTTCTTATGTCATCTAGACATTTGATTCCGAGTCCAACACAGACGAGAAAAAGAACGGGGAAGAAAATGCAAAGAGAGAGGAAAACAAAAATGAAGAATTAAATGCAGTAAAACGCTCTCACAGTGAAGAACGAGATAGCCGCCACTACTCTCGTTCCCACTCTGCAAGATCATCCCATTCACACGACAGACACCGTTCAAGAAGGTCTCGCTACCATAGTCGGTCTCCAAGTCGTCATCGCCATTCGAGTCATCGAAGGAGGAGATCGAGGTCCAGATCCAGATCTAGATCGCGTTCCAGATCCAAATCAGCAAAACGAACGAAAAATACTCTGCTCGATGTGATCAACAATGCGAAGCAATCGATTTTGTGTAGAGCTCCTGATTGTCTCTCTAACGCTAGCTTCCCAAAACAGCACAATTCCAGACTTCGACATGATCGAGCCCCGCTACGCCTACGGCAAAGACCTCTATGTGGGGAACATCGACGAAGGCACCTTTCCGGAAGACGTGGTGGCCTTTCTCAACCGCGCCATGCACACGGCTCGTCTCAATCTCTGGCCAGGCAATCCCGTATTGAGCTGCCGAATCCTCCCCAAGTTCTGCTTCGTGAGTCTTCGCCACGAGGACGAGGCCACGGCCGCGCTCAACATGGACGGGATCTACTTCCATGGCCAGCGTCTCCGCATCAGTATCCACGTTTCCACGATTGAATGGTAGATCGACCGGTAGACTACGGAGGTCCGCAGACGGATCATCGGCAATGGCAGGAAATCTGTCCAGACAAAACCTGGGCAGATATGTTCGAAGTGTCCGGATTAGATGTGAGATGGATTCTCAAAGAGCTCGAAACCATTCCACAGGAAGTTCTTCATATGTGCGTTGAAATGGACGAGCAGTCGCTTACTACGGTTTTGGAGATTACGAACTTGGTGACGCCGATTGATTTGGAATCGGTGGATGACTTCTCTGCGCTTCGGGAGGAGATCAGGGAGGAAATGACACGCTACGGAGAGGTGAAGAGCGTGCTGGTAGCTCCGAAGACCGCGATGGAAGAAGGAAAAGTGTTTGTGGAGTTTGCGACGGTGGAAGAAGTAATAGTGGGGAGAGAAGGTTAGAAATAGGCGAAAAAAGCGTATAACTCGTTGTGGTATCGAATGTTTGACAATCGATTGCTTGGAGTTGCGTTCTGCTCGAAGACTCAATGGGAAATCATAAATGCAAATAAAACTTAGTGGTCCATGTTTGTTTCAATACCGTATTACGAAAGAAAAAAGTGCTCCGTAAGGGGATCGAACCCTTGACCATCGCGACATAAGCACGATGCTCTACCGACTGAGCTAACAGAGCTCTGAAAAGAGGGATATTTTACGGTAGATATAGCTAGAAAGGAGGTAACAAACTATGTTACGATATTGATCGGATGGTTCTCTTATTCTAGGTGGGGAGAGCATGTTGATCGCATAAGGTGAGGTGATGTGAACGATAAACTACCATAATTTCAATGCATGCTTTTGATGTAGTGGTTGTAGTAGTAGTAGTAATTGATGTCGTATGTGTATGTTCTTTACTAATCTGCGGATATCCGTCTTGCTGGCGGATATGAAAGAATTGTACAGGTGGTGTAATTGATTCCTTGCGATTTGTAATGCTTGTTGAGGACATATTTTGTATAGGGATATCATTTTTAACGGTATGTGTTATAGAGAAGCGAGGAGATCAGCTGAAAACAGTGACATGTATTGGATGTGTTACATTTTGCTTCCAATTGTAACTCAATGATGTGAATCGTTATATGGAAAGAATGTGAGCAATCTATAGTACAGCAACTGAAAATTGAATCATCAGTTGAGTAGTATATACAGATCTGCAGCTTTTAAATTGATAATACTATGTGTTAAATATCCTACGAATATGAAAAAGACACCTATTATCGGTTGCAAATACTATCAAGGAGTCAACGAGACCAACGGCACTCTCATATATGGAAAGTTGTACTTTGCATATTTTCCAATGATTTTTCTAAATGAACTCTTAGGTGATAAATAGTATGATGTATACCAGTGAGTTTACTCGATATCGACTGTTCAGAGATGAATTCATTTTTGTGGTTGCTAGTACACATTGACGTGTTTTGCGCGAATATTTTGTGGGTGCCTTTTCGGCCATTTTCGACCATAAACGCTTCTCAGACCCTATCAACTGCATGCTGGCCGCTCGCAGACGGCCTTCAGACCCCGATTTTCATGGCTCACCACGGCTTACTTCAGACAACATCACTTATTTGGTTTTCAATAAATAGAAGGTGCGAAAAAATAACCTCAGCTTCTTTTTGCTAACTTTAGCTGAAAATCGACGACGCATTCTGCGCGATAATTCTATCGACCGAAGTAAAAAGAACTTCGGTTCGCTACTACATGTTTTTCAATAGGTAATGTCCAAACGCCAGTGTGTATATGTTGTCGTCCAAGATCCATCGTTTGTTATCCGTGCTAATCTTGAGTGTCTTGCTCTGTTCCTTCGTGGTGAGATCGCTTCCTTGATTATTGATGCGTTTGGAGCTGTCTTCGATTACTGCTTCTCCCTTCTTCTCTGCCTCTAAAACACGCTTGTATAAGTCGATGTTCTTCACGCTCATCCTTTCTCCATCGATCACCACAATGCGAGGCACTCCCTTTGCTGCATTGTGAATCACATGCTTTTCATCGACCAAGTAATACATCTTCGGTCTCAGTCCAACGAACTCCGTGATGCGATGTCCGTTGTGCTCGTCCTTGAAAATGGGACCAGGCAACTTCTTGTTGAAGTTGAGGAACGATTCCAATGAGGGGAACTTGCATTTGTCCACTACATGTTCGTAATACTTCACGAGTTGTCCATAGAAGTAGCTCGTGTTATCCAACTCCGAGAAGTCGAACGACTTGTACATCTTACACATCTTGTGAACGATGTTACCGCGATCGTTCAACTGCACGATGAGTGAGTCCGTGTCCTGTCCCAATAGCTCCACGTTATCGAATGTCGTCTTGAGCACGTTGTAGTAGAAATCGTAGATGATGTGTTTGGACATGTCGAGAATGGCAAACCCGATGAAGAATGGCTTCTCCACCCTGCGCACCGGTGTATTCAACTTGATGCCGATGAGATTCTCGGAATACATGGTAGTCCCGGCGATCATATCATATCCATGCTTCTGAATGATTGCCTCACGTTCATTCCATGTGTTAGCGAACTTCACTTTCATTCGTTTCAACGCGAGTACCTTGTCCGACACATAGGCTTTCTAGTCGGGAATAGTCCGGTAGGTAAAAATATCGCCGATCATATAGTACGTAACAACCAATCGCTTCCAGGTCGGTCCACCGATCTTGATCTGTTTTCCTGTCTCAGGATTGAAAGTATAGCCAACGCGATGTGAACTTATTTATACTATGCTGTAAGAATATTTAGTGTCCAAAGTGAATAATGGTATGAATTAGTCAATGGGAAAATAGCATGACCGTCCGCTTTGTACTCGAATTCATTGATGTCAACATGCTTGCTATCGCTGGATGAGGATGACTCGTCATCTCCTGCGAACATCATGCCAATGTTCGGGTCTTTATCTTACGCCTCAGAATCTTTGATCCTTTTTCCCCAGCATCCTTTCACGCGTCTATAGTTGTCTCGTATCATATCGATGGAAGCTGTGCCTCCAATGATAAGAAATCGATTGTTTGTGATAACATTCGTGACTTTGGTACGAACATCGTCGTATCCGGTGGCAATGGTTTATACAACAAGCGATTCAATTTCTCGTCGTACTTGATTCTCTACTTGAGAAGGTTCCAGAAGCGAACTCCGTTGATTTGAATTTTTCGTCCTGTATTGGATTTCAATGTGTTTATTGGTTTATTTGTGAATATATCCATAAATGTGAATGCGTATTATATTAATAAGTGCGAACCCAGTATACCAAGTGTAAATGTAGTACAAGAAAACGGAGAATAACACATGGTCATCCCTGGTACGCACTTGTGAGGACGAGAATATCAAACTCTCCGATATCATCATTCATACCAAGTATCCGATCAATTGTGAGCGTCTATTCGGCTTCAGTGTTTGCACCCTGCAATCGAATTTGAACTGTGGTTTGATCCTGCACGACAATGATTGCATCAAGATGACGTTGGATGAAACTCGTCTGCCCATGTTTACCGAGGATGAATGGGAGTATCTATTGCCTCAATTGGAATCCAATGGTCTGCTCGGTGTGCCTCTAAACGTCTTCGGCAGGAAGTATTACACACAGCCTTATGTGGTGTCTGTGGAAACAGAGAATCGTGCTGTTTACTTCTTCTCCAACTACTATGTTCGCGTAGTCTACAAGGTGGTGGATGATGAAGTGCCTCCCGAGTTGTCCGATCTGTTCATCGATGATGGAGCGTGTCTGAAGGGTGTGTATGTTCGTGCATATCAGCGCCAAACGGGGGCAACTGTGTTGCCCCGGGGAGACATCATCTTCCCCAAAGTAAATAAGTAAATGTCGTACATCTTCAGCAGCAATGGAAACCATTACACGTTCAAGAAGCTCGACAACATGCTCATCAACATGCCAGAGAAGGACGGTCATCATGTGCTAATTCGAGAGACAGTGAATGGCGTTCCTCAGTATTCGTGGGGCAGTGCTTCATGCATCGTGAAAGCGAACGAAGCATTTGTCTTCGAGTACACACCAGAAGCTACCGAATCATTCAATGGCGAGTGGGGTGGTGATGGTATGCCGCCTATGCCGTCCGGATCGTACCTGATAACCACGACTGTCATAACGTACCTTCCTGAAGACATGTTCAACGATTGCACGTCAATCGAATCTGTGGTTGAAAAGGGTTATCGAGTGCTAGTCACGTTTGACAATACGCCTATTCTAGACAGACCGTACATCGATACATTGAATAGTCTTGTATCTCATACTGGTTATGCTGTTGTAAATGTTGGTACCTCTCCTGTCCTTCGTACGTATTCGAATCTTCCCATCATGCTTCTAGGTGGTGTGAAGAGTATCACGATCGTTTTCGAACACCTTGGGGACGCTTCATCTGCTTCTTCTGACTCCTCGTAATGGGTCGATGTGATCTTGCTGCCTCTCTCAATGCATTGGGTTCCTTTCAACTCTTGGATCGAGTGATGGGCGGTGCTGGTTGTGGTTTCCATTTGCTAGCCAGCAGTTCCCAATCATAACACTTCTGTGTGCTATCGCTTTCCACATTCTTCACTTCGTACATCAATGGCATGATGTGATCGTCAATGTCAACAACTTCAACCAAGTCCTGAGACCATTTGCTAGTCAATGATCGCTTTTCCAGAACGCGAGGTCTTCGTGTCACTCGAACATAATCACCAACATCGAATTGAGGTGTTGTGTCCTTTGCTGTCATGTTGGATGGTTCTATTTTCTCCGTGTACAAGATATCGTTGTTCCAAATGTCATTGGGTGTATATCCGATGTCTCTGTTCTTCCTTGCATTGTATCGACGAACTGCACCATCGATCAAGTCGAACCATACACCTTTCCATTGATTGAATGGAACCATGATGTGTTCCTTGATATCTCGAATTGTTCGTTCAGCTAGTACTGCTTTATTCGCTGAATCCATGTGATACATGGTGACATCATACTTGTTCAAGATGTTTGTACGAAAGATCGCATTGGTGAACTCGGTACTTCGATCCGAGCAACTATGCTTTGATGATTCACCATATGTCTGAATGATATCATTCATCGCATGAGTGACTTCTGTAGCATTCTTGCTTTTCAGTTTCCGAGTCATCAGGTATTTCGAATATCCATCAATCCATACAAGGACGTATTTGTATCCACGATTCTTATAGAATCCAGTACTCTTTTGTGATCCCAATACTTCTTGTATCGATTTGTCTTGTTTGGAAGAGAAATCGATAAGATCGATGAAGTATATGTTTCGTTTGAATCCACTGATGATCATTCGATTGGCACCTCTTCGTTTTGCTGGTTTCCATAGTTCCTTGATCTCATTCATGCTCCCCACACACCTCGATAAATGAATCGCTTTATTCAAGGAATGAATAAGTTGTGTCAGAGGAAGAATCACAAACTGGTTATAGACTCGAAATGCATTTTCTCCACTATACACTATTTCAAATAGAGCATCACTCGCATTCAACATTGCAATGATCGTTTCGATATCATATGTACCTCATGAAATCGATAGAGTATGGA